GAGACGCGCACGCGGCGTTGTGGCAGATGCGGCGAGCCTGGCCATAATGCACGCACCTGTCAAGGAGTTGCACAAGTGCCCGAGGAAGACCATTCCGAGTAATTTCAATCATTTTTGTCAGTGTTGGTTGAATCATGTTGAAATTTGTTGTGCAGATGTGTTTTTGTGGGACGTTCGCTTGTCTGGGACGTTCGCTTATCATGTACGTTACAATAAATGAAATAAAATCAAGAAACGTTACGGTGTTTTCTCAGACGGAATCCCATGTACTGCATTGCCTTAGTTGTGTTTCTCTACCTATTCCTTCGCCAGACGCCAGGACCTGAAAGTGAAGGTAAACAAGTGATGGCCCAATGCAATCAGCTCTCCCCAAGATACCGACCCACCCATCCATCTTTTTTACTATCCCCCTTCCCACCACCTCTTCTTAAAGGGGCGCCTGCGGATACCTTAGCGCCGCGTCTGCGCAGCATAACTCGCCCGCAGAGCCATAATCTGCTGCCGCTCCGCATCAGGCAGCTGGTCGATAGTCTCCTGCGGCAGCTCCATCACAGCGCGCATCAGCGCCTCCGGGTCCTGGCCGCCTACCGCAGCTGGAGGCGTGGCCGCAGCCGGAATAACAGAAGCAGCAACCGGAGGACCCGCGGCAACGGGCGGCGCGTAACCGCCTGCGACGGGGGGGGTGCCGGTGTACGTAGTAGGAGCGGGAGGCGGGAATGCGGCGCCGGCGCCGGGGTTCTCGAGCACCGAGTTGATGGCGTCTGGCGAGACCAAGCCCATGATGAGCAGCGCCTGGAATATGGCGTAGCTGAGCTGAGGAGCCTGGGTGAGCAGCTCGGTGGCGCGGGCCGGGTCATTGGTGGCTAGCGTCTTCATTTGCTGCAGGATGTCGAGGAGCTGGGCGGGGGGAAGGGTGTTGAGTGTACGCGAGATGGCGTCGGTGCAGGTGACGCCCGGGGGCAAATCCTTGCCCTGCGGGAGAGGAGGGAGTAGGCCGCTGCCGCCGAAGGTGCTAAGGGCCGGGTTGGGTGGAGCGGTGGTGCTGCCGCCGTTGGTGGTGGCGGGCGGGTTGGCGTAGTTCACGATGCTGGCGCCGGCCTGGGAATGGTTAGCTGAGAGGGAAGGTTGAGGAGCCTCTGCAAAGGGACATACTGCGCCATCGCGGTCGCGGTTATCGTCGTCGCTGACCGTCTCGTTACTAAAGTCGACCCGCAGCTTGCGACCCATGATTTCGTAATCGTTCAGGTTCCTGACTGCGGAAGCGGCAGAGTCTGAGGATAAGAGTAGAGTGAGTAATCATGGCTAAGTTCTGAGGCCAAGGAAAAAGAGGCGTACCGTAATCTGGAAATTCGGCGAAGCCAAAGCCTTTAGGTCGACCAGTCTCGCGATCGTAAACGAGTCGAAAATTGAGCACCCTTCCTGCACCACTGAAAATTTCTGTGATTTGCTCCTCGGTCAAGCCTACACCGGTCATCAGCAGAGTCCAAACGGTGGCAACAAGCTATGTTCCAACACTCACCATAGGGAATATTTCCCACAAACACCACACGAGACGGTTGCCGAGTCGACATGGTGCCGGCCGAGCAGCAGCGCCGCAGGCAACGTGCTCTTGGGGCTAGAGGCTACTGATTGGGATATGGAGTGGCTAGCAAGAATCCCAATATCGATATGTAGAAGCGACAGCACGAAAGAGCGCAGCGTTGTGAACTGAATGTCACGTCTGGGAGGCGAGAGCGATGGGAAGGGAGAGACAGAGAGGTTGAGCAATCCAAACAAAGGCAGCAGCAACTTTGGGATTCACCAGACGAAGTGGGCTACCAGCAATTGGTTCTGTTCAGGCTCTCTTTTTCTTCCTCACGTGAAGCCTGTGCCCAGGTCCAAGGAATGCGCGTGGTTTGATCTCGGATGATGAATTACTCAACGGTGAAAATGTTATAGACAGGATCTCCCAGTGTTGAATTGCAAAGTGAACTGAAGTCGAAAGCCAAGCAGAAGTACGTACCTAGACGGCAATGATTACCCACAGTTGTGGGGCTACGGTTATGGACCGTGACACGTGAGGGGACTTGAGGCTGAAGTGCGCACGGGCCAGGCTGCTAAGGCCCATCAACTCCATCCATTTAGCTTCAGGAAGCTCACGGCATTCTCCACCAGATCAAACCGAGCTCAAGTCTGCAGTGAACCTCAGCATTGCAGCAGCAGACAACATGTCGAACCGCAACCCATTTGAGGAATATGCCAACCGACTTCGGGCGCAGGTTGCCAGGACAGGCGGCCGTGGAGGCGGATTTCCTGGTGGCTCACCGCGGGGCCTCGGCGGCGGCATCGCTGGTCTCGCCCTTCTCGGTGGCGGCGCCCTGCTCTTCCAGAGCGCCCTCTTCAACGTCGATGGTGGTCACAGAGCGATCAAGTACAGGAGACTAAGCGGTGTCAGCAAGGATATCTACGGCGAAGGTGCGCTTCTATTCCTGCCCGCCTATGCTTTGCATCACTGTGTCCCGAATTGCTGACACGCCCCTTGCAGGAACCCATCTGGTCATCCCATGGTTCGAGACGCCGATCATTTACGATGTGCGTGCGAAACCGAGGAATGTCTCCTCCCTCACCGGCACCAAAGATCTCCAGATGGTCAACATCACCTGCCGTGTGCTCTCGAAGCCCGATGTTCAGGCGCTCCCGCAGATCTACCGGACCCTCGGCCAGGACTACGACGAGCGCGTGCTTCCCTCAATCGTCAACGAGGTGCTCAAGAGCGTCGTTGCACAGTTCAATGCGAGCCAGTTGATTACCCAGAGAGAAATGGTGGCAAGGCTCGTGCGGGAGAACCTCTCACGGCGAGCCGCGCGCTTCAACATCCTGCTCGATGACGTGTCCCTGACGGTACGTTCCTGGAAGGAGAATAAGGTGGTTTTGTATGGTTGAATAACCTCGGTCTAGCATCTCGCCTTCTCCCCCGAGTTCACAGCTGCCGTTGAGGCCAAGCAGGTCGCACAACAAGAGGCACAACGCGCCGCGTTCATTGTCGACAAGGCCCGGCAGGAGAAGCAGGCCATGGTGGTGAAGGCCCAGGGTGAGGCCCGGTCTGCCGAGCTCATTGGCGAGGCTATCAAGAAGAGCAAGGCATACGTGGAGCTGAAGAAGCTGGAGAATGCCCGTGCGATTGCCGGGCTAATGCAGGAGGCCGGCGGCAAGAACAGGTTGCTCCTCGATTCGGAGGGGCTGGGTCTGAATGTGTTTGAGGATAGAAGAAGTAAGGAGTGAGGAGAGGTCATGGGGGCCGACAAATAATCTCCGCTGTATGTTATGGGACGGGACGATACATCAGTCCCTGTGTAACAACATGATGATCCTGATCTCAGGCTTAGTCGCAGTGGCACGGTCATTGAGGTGTGTACTAAATAGCCATATCTACTGTCTCCTTGTCCACTTACAAGCAGCGGCTGGGAGTGATGTTCGAGTACTGACTGCCGCTGCCAACAGGTGGGTATGCCCCGGATGGAGCGAGCATTTCCAGACGCTATTCACAAGGGGAGAAGCCTGTTGCCGCCTAGCCGTCATGGACAACAAAGCGCCACACGACAGCTACAAAGAAATTATAATGGAATTGACGAGACATAAACGTCCCAGGTTAGTTCCTGGGAAGCATTTAGATGTAAATTTTGCAGCCGTTGTCATTGAGCAGTACTCTGTAGATCGGCTCAGGGTTAGGGGGAGACTGCCCAACTTAGGGTTGGGTATGACCTGGTCCGATGTCAGTATCTCAAACCAATTCCAGGTATTCTGACGAGCCTGGGATTTGTGAAACTCCAGGTAAGGCTTGGCTGAGCCAGGGTTAGCTGGCAAACCAAGATTACTGCGGCGCCAAGAGCGCTGGGTGACATTTCGCTGGCGTGGTGGAGAAGATGTCCTAGATATAACCCTAACCCGTAGTCAATCGCCTTCCTGACGGGTCAGTTGAAATGGTGGAAAATTGCGTATTTCAGGTAACGTGATTTATCAGCGAATGCACCATATCAGCGAGTGCACCACTGGTAAGGGCTGCATATATATTTGGGTGCAGCACTAACAACGGGAATAAGCGGGGAATAAGTTGTTAGTACTTCGACTAAGTGTCTGTGCAGCCCTTACCAGTGGTGCACTCGCTGATATGGTGCACTCGCTGATAAAACACGTTAGTTTGTTACCTTAAAATCGATTTTAGGATTATTTCCAAGCCGTTTTAAGAATTACCCAACCCTAGTCCACCTTCAATGCAGCTACCCCACCACCCCTCCTGTCCCTCAACCTTCAAGTTGACTTCACACTCAACTTCTTTCTGCCTGTCCTCTTACCAAGATCCATCTCCTCGCCTAGTAAGAACCAAACGGCGTCGCCCACCAACTCATCTCAAGCAGCGGCCTTCCCAACCTCACCTCGATCAGGGAAAACACATCCCTACTCTCAATATCCTTTATCGACCCAATCTGCCAAGATGCTCATCAAGTACGCAGTTCCCATCTTGGAGACATATCAACCCGACTACTCATAGTTGACCACACAAACCACCAAAACAGAGTCCGCACCCTCACCGGGAAGGAAATCGAGCTCAACGTCGAGGGTTCTGACCCGGTACGGCCCCCCCCCCTTTCCCCAAGCCACCCCTCCATCCGCCAGCCCTAACTCAACTTCTTATGTGATGCATGACTTGATGGGAATGACGCTGATAAAAGGGGAGCAGGTCTCAAAAATCAAGGAACTCGTCGAAGAAAAGGAGGGTATTCCGCCCGCCCAGCAGCGTCTCATTTACGGCGGGAAGCAAATGTAAGTCGTTCCTATTTTCCTACTATGCTTCCTACAATTATGTCAGTACCGGTGGACAATGGTTCTAAAACGGGGATATCAGGGTCGACGACAAGACGGCGGACGACTACAGCCTGGAGGGCGGGGCAACGCTTCACTTGGTTCTGGCGCTTCGCGGGGGTCTATGAAGTCTGGGATGTTTCTGACGTTATCCGGGAGTTTGGTCTGGTTAGAGGCTGGGAGTGGATGAAGTGAAGGGGAGGAAGAGAAGCGGTCGTGGATGGACGGGACGGAAATTATGTGCAACAGGACGAGAGGGTTTTCTTCTCTGACCCTCGTAACCAAGTGAGAAGGAACTTGGTTCAAAGCTTAGTGTATTCGCTGCTTCCTTCTCCGAATGGCCGAGACACGATTACCGGGAAGCGAATAGAGATTTGGTTTTGGTTGCGCTGTTTGTCTGCCTTGAGACGGGTTGGCTCTCTTCGGCTAGTTGAGTGTTCAATGGCGTGACTTGGTGCAGCTATGTGTCCCCGGGGCATGTTAAAGGATAAAGGGATAAGGAGGAGTGAGCTCAAGAGCGGACTGGGGAGAGCTGTTGTAACCTTTTTATGGCTACTTGGTCCAGAGAAACAAGATATGTCCCGAGAGAGCCCAACCAACATTGCAAGGATCCGTTTCGGTGGTTCGGGTTCAAAAGGGCTGCTGTTTGAGAATGTACTTGCACTTGCACTGCTCGAACATCCTGTGAGATATCTCATGCGATGCTGCTACTCACAGGGCGTCGAAGAACCATGTCAGAGAGAGCGGTCAGGGTAAGCAGTGTTACGATTACCCTGTATATAGCGTGGTATCTTCCCAGTATTCTTTACAAACAATCCATCACTCCAGATAACTAACCATTTCCAAAAGTCTGCGGCTTCGCCAAGGTCCACAACCAGCCCATGAGGGCAATCCCAATCTTATGAACTCCACGCAGCCAGTACCATCAGAGTCCGCTATCCTCCAGATCCTTTCCCATGACCTTTCGGATCTTTCACTTCCCGGCCATCTTCATCACAGTCAATCAGCTCCACCACCTACGAAGACAAACTGCGACTTCTAGCTTATGTCGGCGAACCGTATGTCTTGTTGTGTGCCGTTGTCTTTAGGGATCTTTGAGGCGCAAACAACAAACGGAGACTTCGAGCCTGTGTTGGCAAATCTCGTGCGCTGATTTTACCTGTGATGGGCTGTTAGGGAGCAACAGCGCGATGGATAGGCAATCGCACCCTCCTCGGAGTGGAAATAGATGTAACCAGGCGTCGCCTAAGTCCCGAGATCGAAGAATGTGAGGATCGCTAACGCCTTGTTAGTAACTTTAATATTTGAGGGCAATCAAGGACGACATACATTGACGTCACATATGCCGTTTTCCTTGAGAAATCATCACCACATCCAGCCATCCCGACTACCTTGAACAACAAGCTGAGACTTCGAGCCTGCATCGGCGAGTCATATGCCTTGTTGTATGTCGTTGTCTTGAAGAGCTGAGACTCCAAGCCCGTGTCGGCGAGTCGTGTGCGTTGTTTGGCGTCATTGTCTTGAGCAGCTCAGACTTCGAGCCTATATCGGCGAGTCGTCTGCGTTGTTTGATGGTTTTCTTTGAGAACCTTCCAAGGACATCGAAGACGGGGCTTCCAACAACACCGCGGTGTGTGACTGGGGAAAACAGTCAGTCAGTGGCCCAGAAAGCAGGTAAAAAGGTGAAATTAGCCTACATGTTGACAACGAAGCGGTATGCTGAAAGAGGGGGGAGTCGACGTCGACGAAGCCATCTCAGACAACTAAAACAACTAGCTGGGACTTCAGGTCTGCGTAGGCGAACCGCGTGCGGTGCTTAAGGTGTAGTCTTGGGGATCTTCCGAGGCACTCCGTTGGCACCAGGAGTCGCGGACAGGCCGATGGGGCGCCGTGGCTTGTTGAAGAAGCTGGGGAGCCTGGCAGGAAGTTTGATGGATTTGGGCGCGGGCGCTGGTGACGGAGGAGGCGGGGCGCGGTGCTTTTCGGCGGGCAGCTCGTCGGCTGTGTCATCGCCACTCTCAGGACGCTTGGGGGATCTCCACGGGGAACGAGACGCCGCGTGCTTGCCATCAGTTCGGTGGTTCTTTGCGGGCGGCTCGTCAGATGTGCCGTCATCACTCCCGTGTCGCTTGGCGGATGTCCGCGTGGGGAGGGGTGCCGGGGAGCGGGGTTTTGCGGGCGATGAAGCGGCAGAAGTCGGCGCTTTTTTGGAGGTGATGTCGCCGAACAGGTCGTCATCGTCTCTGGAGTCAGTGTCGTCGAAGAGATTGTCCTCTTTGGCCCTGGAATCGGTAGAAGCGGCATTCTCGCCATCGCTCTCGCTGTCGGTGAAGCTGAGGAGCGTTACGCCGGTTTTGGCCGCGGGCTTGGCGACCTTCTTGATTCCCAGGAGGCGTGCCTCATTCCCCTTGAGGTCCAGATCGGCCTCACGCGAGGCTGTGGCCGGCCTCTTGGACGGAGCGCGGATGTGGGGTTGGCTCCTGATCCGGGCTTCGTTGACCATGGCTTCGGGCGCCTTCTTGATTTGCCCTTGGGCGACGAAGAGTTGGCCAGTGGGCGTGCGGAGGTTGAAGCGCGACGCTTCCAGACGAACTTGCTCTTTGGCTTTTTGGAGGAAGGTTTGCTTCTCACGCGGCGCGCCAAAGCCACGCTTTGCTCTGCTGGGGAGAACCTTCTTGGCCTCGCTAGCGGAAATGTACGTGGAATGACGAATGCTGGCTTGCTTTTGGGAGAATTGCTGCTTCATCATCTCGGTGGCGGCCGCAGCCTCCTCTGCGTCGAGCTTCGCGTAGAGGTCATAGACTTTGTGCCAGGATTTGGGGTCGCTTGGAGCGAAGTTGTGCTTGGTCGAGAGCCGCGAGAACTTGGTTTTGATGAAGCGTTGCCAGTGCTCAGCGGTGTGGTCGTAGATTTCGTCTGTATCGCTATTGGCCTCGATCTCGCGAAGCTGTTGGGCTGTTTTGACAGCCTTGAGAAGGAGCTGTGTGTATTGTGGAGGCATGGCGCCTAAGCTCGTGATTAGATGAATGTTCTTGATGGCCTTTCGGAGACAGATGTCCACGAGTGAAGGAGCTCCAGTGGTAGGTAGAGGGAAAATGGGGAATTTGGGAGCAGCCATGGTGGGCAACGGATGGAGGGTCTTTATGTAGGATGGCTTTGAAGCTCGTAGCGCGTCTATGTCGAGTCTATGCAGACTTTCGTCACCTGTTAATAAACAGTTGCGTGCTCAGATACCTCCGAGCGGTGCAGCAGCAGGGCTGTGGTTGAGTCAGATGTCGAGGTGCAGTTGAATGTGCAGTCAGTCGTGCTGGTTGCAGCAGCCGGGAGTCAACCATTGTCCTATAGCTGCAGCTCATTTGCTAGTGAAGGTATTGGGCCGTGTTGTGCCCTTGGACGGAGAGACGATGATACAATGACAGCCAGGTCGAGCCTCAACGGTGGAGTCGAAGTCGTCTCACAGCGTCCGTTATCCTCTGTAATCGAATGTTGTTGGGGGCAGAGCATGCGGTGAGGACGTCTTTCGGTGAATTCGGCTCATATATGAAATAGTCCTGGACAAAGCTTTATTGACCCAAGGTCAATCAATGACAAAGGAGCTGTTAACAGGTTTCACGTGGCTTTGAGCTGTAGCTCCACAATCTACAGTAAGGTACCGGGCGCCCTACAAGTACCGTACCCCTCTTGTTTGTTCGTTAGCGCCTGACTTACGAACTAATATATCGAACCAACGCCCGAATGTCCTATTTCAGTGCAACTAAACTATGTTGAAATGAAAAGTCATCATGAGCTTATTTCGGGCTCAATTTTCTTGTATTGAAAGTGAGTTGATAGCTATGGGAGGGAAAATCTTGCGTTCGTGGGGTGGGTCCCTGTCTGTACACATACTGTGCACCTAGAAGACTGTGCACGGACACAATAACCTGTCTGGTTCCGTAGCATCATCAATCCAGGCCCATGCTCGCTTTTGTTGTTCCAATCCAATCGTCAACCTCAACCTCCTCCAGCTCGGGTGTTCTGCGAGACCGATTTCTTCTCTGGTATAGAAACTGCCATCGACCATAGATCTGTTTACGTACCGGTCTTATTTTGCAGTCGTGAAACATACGAAATGGCATCTTGGGGCCTCCTCGACGACAAGGACGAAAACGAGCTGCATAAGTCGCGACTTTTGAACGTCGAAGAAAAACCGTTCAAGCGCGTCACCAAGCGCCTGAACACCCTCCACGGCCTCACCCTTTCCCGAGCTCGTCAGGCACCGACACCGCCCCCCGAAACAAACGGCACCCCTCATCAGCAACAGTCCGCCAACACCCCACAACAACGCGACGATGGCACTCCCGCCCCGACCCCTTCCGGCGACGCCTCGCTCGACTTCGCGCAGCTCAAGGAAGACATAACCCTAGACTTCGCCGCCTTTGACAGCAGCATCGCCCGCCTCCAGTTCCTTCTGACAGCCAACGAGCGCGAGCGCGAGCGGTACGCGGCCGAGCGGCAGCGGATTTCGGCCGCGTCGCAGTCGGTGCGCGACAAGACGACGCAGCTGCGGGCGCACCTCGAGCAAGCGCGCGCGAGGCTCGCGCAGCGCCGGCAGTTTGACGCGCTCGCCGACGCCATCACGAGCAACGCGTCGCTGCGCCCGCGCGCCGAGCAGGCTGCGGGCCTGCAGAAGCTGCGTGAGGAGATCTCCGAGCTTGAGGCGGAGCGGGAGGCATACGGAGTGACGTGGAATGAGCGGCGGGAGCAGTTCTCGAGGATCATGGAGGAGAGTATGAGGTTGAGAAGACTCATTCGCGACGAGAAGGAGGAGGTTGAGCGGAGGGAGGGCATGGATGATGATGCTGAGGCTGGCGGCACGCCGAGGGCGTCTGGGGTGGGGAGTAGGGAAGGGACGCCTGGGTTGGAGGGCCGGTTGGCCCCCAAGAGTGGTGCTGAGAGCGGGGATGCTTCGGGCACGCCCAGGCCGCTTTCTGCAGGCGGGAGGACGCCGGCGAGGGGAAGCCCCGGTCCGCAACAGGGAAGCGGGTCGTTCACTGCCAAGTCTGCGACTGTTGTGGGCGAGAGCTTCTCGCAGGTTAGCAGCCACATGGGGAGCCGTGAAGGCTCGGTAGAGAGGGACACGGAAGCAGTGCGGGCCGAGACGGAGGAGGGACAGGACGTCGAGATGGGCGAGACCAAGTACGACGACTCAGAGCCTGACAGCCCGCTGACGCCGCCTCCGGCCGACGACACCCCGCAGATCGTGGTCGATGGGGAGCCGGAGAGCATGGACACGACCTAGATGACAAATCCAATTCAAGAGGGCCATTAAGTGTAACAGATGGGAGCGAGATGTAGCATACCTAATTAACATTGAGTCGCCTGCTTGCTTGCTTGCTAGCCAACGAGTTCACTGCCTCCGTTGACTGAATTACACATAATTCTCTGCCAGTCTACAACTCCTCATGTCGCTCCTGCGCCGCTTCCTCCTCCGTAGCGATTTTCTGCCCCGCCTCCAGCGCCTCCTTGGCCTTCTTCAGCTCCTCCTCGGACCCGGTACCATCGCTCTCGGAAATGGCAATCTGCTCTTCGAGCTTGTCCACGGCATCGACGATGCGTTTCCTGAGCGGTTCAAACATGGCCTTGGTCTCCTCCAGGGACCTTCTCTGTGTTGGGGGTTAGGGTTGGGTTCCTCCAGCAGAGATATATCTCAAAACCACGCAACTGTTTTGACGGTGGGTGACACACCTCTTGTTTCAAGATGTACTCGGCGTTGCTGTCCAGGTCCGGGCTGTTGTTCGCGATGTCCCCGGCCAGCTTCTTAATGCGCTTTTCCTGGTTGGCCTGCTCCTTATGATAGTACGACTCTTCCTTGACCAGGCGATTGACTGCTTGTGTTGCGATGGCCAGTGGGCTTGGGGGCGCCATTTTGAGTCGGTGGGAGATTATTGGATCTCTGGTTCTCTTGAAATCGCGGCTTGTCGAGTGTAGGGTAGTTAGTATACGACCAGTGTGGAAGATCTCAACGCAGCCTGGTTGTGCTGTTAGGAGGCGTGCGGTTGACTTGGGCAGAAGTGGGCCGGCGGGGCACGGATAGAGGAGACTTTCTTGAAAGCTGTGGTATTGTATGAGTGATTGAGAATCCCGCCACCGGTGCTGGACTCGTCTTGATAATAGGATGAGGGTTGAATCTTATTTCATACTCTCATCCGCATCTCTTGACACATTCGACTGCTCTCACTATATAGTCTGAGACGAAAGGAGCTGTACGGGACATGTCCGCAAAAAACCTTGGTGCATCTCGCCATGTAACGCAGCTCAAACGGCGAGCTTACCATGTTGGCCTCTCTCAATTTCGGATTTCAATGCCATGTTCACCTGATGATTCCTCTTCGATGGAGAACGGTCAGTCCCAAATCGTCGAAGTACATGTCAAGCACTCCCGAGCGGCGGCGTTCAAGTTGCTTCAACACTAAACCAGTATTTACACTGGCGTGGCTCGAGTGCCAGAACATTCGAACCAGCACCCACTGACGGGGGTGCTGGCCCGGGAAAAAGTGCCATTCTGGAACCAGGCCCAACAGCGCCAGTTCAATACTTTCCAGGTTCTAACTCCAGGACCTCCCTTGACTCAGTGTTTCAACCACCAGACCACTCTTTCATTCTGTAGCTCACTGTGACCCAAGAACCGAAGACTTGGGCGAAGGTCGTCCGCTCTGCACGTGCCTCCTATAATTGGCTCCCCCCGCGCTGGGTAAGGGACGGGGAACAAAATTTGGCAACGGCCTGGCAACGACATGCAGGGCTGAGCGGTAACCTCGTCGAGGTGGGGTCCAGCGTCTCGAACCAACAGGGAGTTGAGTGTTGCGACAAGGGGATCTGTCAGCCGACTCCACCCATCCAAAGTTTCCAAGCGGCGACTCTGTTGAACTGGACACGTCGTGCACATGGGTTTGGAAGTTAATTACGGCGCGCTCGTTTCAATTCCTCTTCCACTTGCTTTCGGCATCTTGTCGCTTCTTGAAGAGCCTGTGTCTCGTCACTCTTTGCACATGGTTCTTCTATAAGCGCTTTCGTTTCTTGCTCTGCAACTATTCTGGGTGGATTTTCAGGGTCTTCATTTTCCCTCCCCGATCGAAGCCGCGCTTCCATCAGACCGCCCCGCTACCATCCAGGGGCCAGCAACGCCCGTCCGAACATGGAGAACGCCTTTGCGAAACCGATCGAGGAGGTCCTTGGCGCTCTCAATGTCAACCCGGCAACTGGCTTGGATGACGAGCAAGTCGTAAGGTTACAAGCCGAGTACGGGAAGAATGGTATGTCGTCGCCATCCTCCCCCGGATCCTCCGAACCATCTTCGCGGTATGCGGCTAACAAACCGCCTAACCAGCGATCGCCGAGGAGCCTCCAACACCTCTGTGGGAGCTCATTCTTGAGCAGTTTAAAGACCAACTAGTCCTCATCCTTCTCGGTTCCGCCGCCATTTCGTTCGCACTCGCGCTGTTTGAGGAAGAGGGCGGGTGGAGCGCATTCGTCGACCCGGCCGTCATTCTCACCATCCTGGTCCTCAATGCCGTCGTTGGGGTCTCGCAGGAGAGCAGCGCCGAGAAGGCCATTGCCGCGCTGCAGGAATACTCGGCCAATGAGGCCAACGTGGTGCGCAATGGCCAGATCCACCGCATCAAAGCCGAGGAGCTTGTTCCTGGCGACATCGTCGACGTCTCCGTAGGCGCCCGCATCCCTGCCGACTGCCGACTCGTTGCCATCGAGAGCAATAGCTTCGCTGTCGACCAAGCCATCCTTACCGGAGAGAGTGAGAGTGTGGGCAAGGACAGCCGTGCTGTAGTTGACGACGAGAAGGCGGTGCTTCAGGACCAGATCAACATGCTCTTCTCTGGAACGACCGTTGTCACCGGCCACGCCAAGGCAGTGGTTGTCTTGACCGGTTCGAAAACGGCTATTGGCGATATCCACGAGAGCATTACCGCCCAGATTTCCGAGCCAACTCCCTTGAAGCAGAAGCTCAACGACTTTGGCGACCAGCTTGCCAAGGTCATCACGGTCATTTGTGTCCTGGTTTGGCTCATCAATGTCCCTCACTTCAGCGACCCCAGCCACGGAAATTGGACCAAGGGCGCCATCTACTACCTCAAGATTGCGGTCTCGCTCGGCGTTGCCGCCATCCCTGAGGGCCTCGCCGTTGTCATCACCACCTGTCTCGCTTTGGGAACCCGCAAGATGGCTGCCAAGAACGCAGTTGTCAGGAGCCTGCCCTCTGTCGAGACTCTCGGAAGCTGCAGCGTTGTTTGCTCCGACAAGACCGGCACCTTGACCACGAACCAAATGAGCGTCAGTAAGATCGTTTACCTGAATAACGCAGGCAATGATCTGGAGGAGCTCGATGTCGAGGGCACGACCTACGAACCCAAGGGCGACATCAAATTCCAGGGCAGGACTGTCTCGAATCTCACTCAGGAGTCCTCGACGGTGCGGCAAATGGCTGAAGTGGCCGCGCTTTGCAACGACGCCCGGCTCGATTACCACTCGCATTCGGGAAGCTACTCCAACGTTGGAGAGCCCACTGAGGGCGCCCTGCGGGTCATGGTCGAAAAGCTTGGCCCTTGTGCCCCTGTTGACAGTCAACACAAGGACCGTGTCCATCATGCCAGCTCTTGGTACGAGAAGCACTACAGCCGCCTCGCTACCTATGAGTTCTCTCGCGATCGCAAGAGCATGTCCGTTCTCGTTCAAAACGCACAGCAGAAGAAATTGTTCGTCAAGGGCGCACCTGAGTCCATCATTGAGCGCTGCACCCACGCCTTGCTCGGACGTGACGGCAAGAAGGTTGCTATGGATCGCAAGCTCGCCGATCTCCTTCTGAAGGAAGTCGTGGAGTACGGCAACCGCGGCCTCCGTGTCATCGCCTTGGCCAGCCGTGACAATGTCAATGACGAACCCCTCATCCACAAGGCCAAATCCACGTCGGAGTACGCCACGTTGGAGCGGAACCTTACCCTTATCGGTCTCGTTGGCATGCTGGATCCTCCACGCCCAGAGGTGCCTGCTGCTATCCAGAAGTGCAAGGACGCCGGGATTCGCGTCATTGTCGTGACTGGTGACAACCGCAACACTGCCGAGACCATATGCCGTCAGATTGGCGTGTTTGGCCCCTATGAGGATCTGACCGGAAAGAGCTTCACTGGTCGTGAGTTCGACAACCTCAGCCCAAGCGAGCAACTCCAGGCGGCCAAGAATGCGTCTTTGTTCTCCCGTGTCGAGCCTAGCCATAAGTCGAAGCTCGTGGACCTCCTCCAGTCGCTCGGTGAGGTCGTGGCCATGACCGGTGACGGTGTCAACGATGCACCTGCTCTCAAGAAGGCTGATATTGGGGTGGCCATGGGCTCCGGCACCGACGTGTCCAAGCTCGCGGCCGACATGGTTCTGGCCGATGACAACTTCGCCACCATTGGTGTTGCCATCGAGGAAGGGCGCTCCATCTACAGCAACACGCAGCAGTTCATCCGCTACCTGATCTCGTCCAACATTGGCGAGGTCGTCTCTATCTTCCTGACGGCCGCCTTGGGCATGCCCGAGGCTCTCATCCCCGTCCAGCTTCTCTGGGTTAACCTTGTAACCGACGGTCTCCCGGCCACGGCCCTGTCGTTCAACCCGCCGGACCACGACATCATGAAGCGGCCGCCGCGGAAGCGCGACGAGGCCCTGATTGGCGGCTGGTTGTTCTTCCGCTACCTCATCATCGGCACCTACGTCGGCCTCGCCACGGTAGCCGGGTACGCCTGGTGGTTCATGTTCTACTCCGGGGGCCCGCGGATCAGCTTCTACCAGCTGTCGCACTTCCACCGCTGCTCCACCGAGTTCCCCGAAATTGGCTGCCAGATGTTCAGCAACGAGATGGCCAAGGCTGGCTCGACCGTCTCGCTGTCGATCCTGGTCGTCATCGAGATGTTCAACGCCATGAACGCGCTCTCGTCGAGCGAGTCGCTCCTGACGCTCCCGGTTTGGGAGAACATGATACTGGTGTATGCCATCGGTTTGTCGATGGCGCTGCATTTTGCCCTTCTGTACACACCGTTCCTCCAGACCCTGTTCTCTATCCTGCCGCTTAACTGGACCGAGTGGAAGGCGGTGCTCGCTATTAGCGCGCCTGTTGTGTGAGTACTTCCCATTCTGTCGGCGCTGATGATCATCACTGACATTTTCCAGTTTCATCGACGAAGGTCTCAAGTTCATCGAGCGGTCGTTTTTCATCCAGCGTTCGACGCGCAGGTTGCCCAAGGCGAAGAAGGAGCAATAGAGGGAGAGCGTATATACACACACGTAGACTTGTGTAGGAGTAGATAAATTGACCGATTTGAACCGGTGGTATATGTTGAACTCGAAACGTGCAGATCGCTCTGTAATCATAGCAGTGTATGCGGTCTGTCTTGCAGCTCTCGACAACAGTATCTGAGAATGGCTTAGAGTTACAATGCCCCGTATGCCCGGCTTCGTCGCGGAAGCGCAAGTCTCGTCCGTTGTATTGTATCCACCAAATGCCCCTAATCCTGCCGCCCCTTCAACAACCTCTTAGTCACCTTGTTCTTCTCGATGATGTAGACATGGGCGCCCCAGCCGGAGAGGGCGTCGCGGTCGACAGCGTTGAGGAGCGCCTGCGAGATGGTCTCGAAGAGCGCGTCCGGGCCCTGCATAGGGAACACAGGTCAGTCATGGTCTCGTCCACCATCACCGCCAAAAGCCAAACATAGAAATAGGTAACACATACCAGGTCCGGCTCCCACAAACTCTCGCACATGCCAAATAACTGCTCCGTCGCCGTCCCGGATACAATAAAGTCCTTTGCAAAATCAATGCACCCGATGCTGTCGAAACCGCAGATGAACGGTTTGCCCGTCTTGGGCTCCAGGCCGGCCACGACGGGCGAGACAAAATAGGGGCCGAACCGCCTCTCGTACAGGCTGCTGCTGACGAGGTTGGCGAAAGTGCGGGGTGCGATGTGCCGCTCCTCGCGCAGGCGGTACATGTTGACCTTGTAGCGGAAGAGGTCCGACACGGTCGAGACGTCGGTGGCGAGGCCCGTCAGGCCGAGGAAGACGTGGTCGCCGTACTGGAAGATCTTGGGGAAGTTGTTGGACACCGTCAGGGCTTGCAGGCCCAGGCGCAGGTCGCAGGCTATTGCGACGCAGTCTTTGCCGACCATCGCTACGCAGGCGCCGCCGTCTGGGGGGGAGGAAGGGTGGGGTGGTTAGAGAAGGGTGGATTTATTCGATAGGGAAGGTTGAGGGAGGTGTACTTATTGAGAAGGGGGAGGACTGGTAAATGATGAAGGTTAACAAATAGATCGTGATGGGAAGTTGCTCAGTAGTGGGAACGGCATACCATCTTGGCGTTGCTGAGATGTGTCTGGACGAAGCAGTCGGTGGGTGGTTGCGAGCAAGTGACGGACAAGGAGAGCCGGAAGCTCTCACGATCTGGTCGATTGAAAATCGGCACAAGTGTGAAATGGACTCGGGGCGCCCCTTTGATTCCGTTCCCAAAATATTAACGCCGATAGTATCGTGGATGGTGTGTGGTCGAGCTGTGGAAAAGCTCCCGTAGCTGGGAGTCAATCAATCAGCCTTGTCGTTGGGTTGAGAGCTCCAGTTGACAGGCTGCACTTCACTTGACGTGCAAGGCAACACGCAGCTGGCGCGGCCGGGACGAGACCAGGGTGCCTGGCATAGGCGGCGGTGATAGGCGGCAGTAAGTGCTTGGCGGACGAGCTTCCCAATGTGGCGTCACATCAGTTAAGTTGCCCTCCATCGTTCGTCAGGCGCCAGCCCACCAACGCAGCGCATCAGTCCCTGATATTCCACCAATTTCGGTACCCACCGCTTGACACCTAGCTGCGAGCATGCAATAGCTCCATCAAATACCTGGTGCCCTGGAGTACCTACTTGACAACTTTTAAGCGTGTGGTACAAAAGCGATCATCATTGCATACAGTGTATCAACAACTACTTGAGAGCTTCACCTCCCCTCGGCTGTGGCGGGCCCGAGCTTCGGTGCTTACAATACACGAATGAGCAGCCTCCGAGCTCCATCTCTCCGACGGCCTTCTTCGCAAGCTTAAGCCTGAGCATCAATTTGAGCACACAAGCCAAGAATAGCCCAGTCTTGTTACCTCCTTTTGAACATATCCTTGCAGCCTTGCGTGACGTTCATCTCACCTTGTCGTTAGTGCGTTTGAAATCGGCACCCAAGTCTCACAGTCACGATCCTGGAACTTTCCACTACAACTCGCCATCTGTTACCATGGCTGCACACGTTGAGGTCGTTTCGACCGATCTCAGGCGGGTGAAGGTCAAGGTCACGCCGGGGACATACCTCGTCGACGTCCTTGGCGAGGCTTGTAGGAAGCTGAACTTGGCGAGCGACAAGTACGAGCTCAAGTGAGTTAACACATCCACATCTAGCCCTCGGCTTCCTGCTGTAAATTAGCTAACAGGTGTAGGCATAAGCAAAAGCTCGTCGACCTGTCTGGCCCATTCCGAACATCGGGCCTGGGACCCGGAGCCAAGCTTGAGCTAGTGCAGAGATCAAAGAGCGCATCGGTGGTCTCTATTGCCCTCGATGTAAACGGCCAGCGATATACCAAGAAGCTTCCCAGCGATATGTCATTATGGAAGGTGATGCGGCAGTTTGAGAGCACAGAGCAGGGCCTCAACATCACGGGCAGGGGCGTGCCGGTAGGCACCAACAGCGGCCAGCTGTACCACGAAGCACCGGTTGTGAACATCATGGGCAGGGAGTATTCGGCTATAGCGGACCTGCAAAAGACGCTGTCACAGTGCGGCATCAGTTCTGGCAGCATCGTTCTCAGAGTAACGTTCAAACTTAGCGAGAGAACGCTCTATGACGCCATGCAAGAGATTTCGCGATATTTCAACGACATCGAACCGGAGCAGTCGAAGGGAGAGGAGAAAGAAGAGCCAACGACGGCTCCGGTCGCCGAGGAGCCCAAGGCAGAAGATGCGCCTCCCATGGAGAAACCATCGGGGACTGGAGTCGCCGCCTCTGAGACCTCCAAGGAAGCAGCACCAAGTGGCCCAGCAGAATCCAACACAGCAGGCCAGTCCATGGAAGTCGATGGGCCGTCAGCAGAGAACCATACCCCGGTCGACCCCCTCCAACCAACCGGCGTCTTCTCCGCGCCCTCATCCTCCACCCCGGCTGCCGCCCACATCCACGAAGACGACTCCGTCTACGAACCCACCATCGCCCACGCCCAGCTCCGCCAACTGCAGCTGCAGCAGCGATCCCAAAATACGCGTCTCAAATCCGACGCCGAGCTCGCAGCCGAAGCGGTCGAGGAAGCCGCCAGGCTAGCGAAGATCACCAGAGTTGAAGTCAAAGTCCGCTTCCCGGACCAGACCTCGGCCCTCTGGACCATCGCGCCCGACTCGTCAGCCGCCTTCCTGTACCAAGCCATCCGCAGCGTCATGGCGCATCCGACCCAGCCCTTCAAGCTCATCCTCCCAGGAAACCCGAAAACGGTCATACTCGAAGACGAGACGAAGAAGCTCATCGCCGGGTATCGGCTCAAGGGCCGCGAGTTGGTGAATCTGTTGTGGGACGATGGGGTGCCGGCCGCGGCGAGGAGAGAGCCGTTCCTGAAGGGCAGTGTTGCGAGTAAGGCGAGGGAGGTGGTGGTTCAGGCAGTTCCGCAGGGAAGTCCGGAGGAGGACAACGAGGTGGCGAATGGAGCTGGCCCGTCGTCGTCAAATCAGCAGAGCAGGGAGGACCGGGGGAGGGGTGGGGGAAGCGGGATGGACTCGGATGCGGTGAAGAAGAAGTTGAGTAAGTTTCTGGGGCTGGGGAAGAAATGAGCTGGGGGTTTGAGGAGAAGGGCTCTTGATGGGAAGTGATGAAGTGGTGGTATTTTATGGCCTCAATGGCGGGAAAGGGGTATGGGAAGATGGGTGGTGTTGAATGTTTGCGTTGTGTGGCGCTTAGGGCGGAGTGGTGACCTCAACAGCGCCGAGTCGTTGGTATGTAGGGAGCCATCAAGAGATTTTGTTTAGTGTAACAGTGTCTTCGTCGTCGTTCCACCATATTTGCTTTCGCTGTTATGGGCAGCGATGGGGACACAATGTCCGACTGCTTATGCTATCACACAGATCGAAGAGTACTATCATGGCTAGTGTCGTTCCTCATATATCTTCAAAGCAGTCCAGAACCCGTCCAACACGACTTCTTAGCCGCCCCCAGCGACGAACTTAGATCGGGCAAGATATTCTCTTATCATATGGTCATGGCCAGGTGCGTAACTGGGTTCCTCTAGTGGCCAGCCCTGCGCGACTCGACAATGACGCGCTGCAGCTCTTCCACCTTGGCCTTGGCCCGTCCGAATGTGCCGAGCTGTGTGAGGTCTGTCAGACCAGAACTTCGGCGTGATCGTTGCTACCCTGGTAAGAGGGATCATGTATAAGGTATGTATGTATGTACCTTTCTCTTGGAGAACTTGCGGGCGCGCTTGTCCTTGCCGTTGCGGAGAAGCTCAATGACGCGACGCTCGTAGGGGGCGAGGCTGTTGCGAGCAGTGTTTGTGTTAGTGTAGGCTGTGAAGATGATGCTGATTACTCTGTCGGGCTCATCCTGCCACCGGGTTTGCTGTCTGCCTCTCCCATCCAGGCGGGGCACCAGGTTCATGAGGGTCATTGCCACTGCGCGCGCAGCAGAGACTTTCAAGTTGAGAATCCTTTCCCAATCCCCTTGATTTCCTGGGCATCGGATTCATCAGCCCCGGATAACGCCGGGAACTTGTTCCCCTTGTTGTCTTCCGGCAGATGTAAGGTGTTTGAACCGCAACCGACTCACCCGGCAACTTCCTTGATAATGGACCGCACAAACTGGGTCCGCTTGCTCGACTTACCCTTGCTCAGCGAAGGTCGGGGCTTGGGGACGCGGGCCGTCGTCTTCTGTTGCCGTGCCAACGTTTCAGGGGTCAGTCAGCGTCCGGCTCTCGGGATATTTGAGCATGGAATGGTAATAGTTACGAGAAGTGATGTGACAGGACGATAGTTATTCCCTTCGATACCCTCCCAGGAGTACAAGTGACACTGTAACATGAATTCCTAGGCTGAGAATGCAGACAAACGTACGTGACCCTTGTTGATGCCCTTGGCAAGACCCGTCTTTTGTTGCTTGTCGGCGGCCATGGTTTGTTAAGTTATCTGTGGGCCTAGCTGTGTTATCGATCTCGCTGTCAATGTGGAGATTTCGAGGGTTGTGGAGTCGATTAAGGTCGGATTTGTGGGCTGGAGTTCGAACAGGGTTTGCTGTGGTGGTAATCCGTAGCTTGGCGATGTGGCTGGCCAGTATCCTGAAATTTGTGGCTTTTAGCCTTGAGTTTCTGCGGAAGCGTCCACGTTGTTCGTCTTGACTCTCGAATCTCCAACTTGCATTCTCAGACCCCGACTACCTTGGCTGCCGCGGAATGTCACCAGTTGCATCTCTGCCATGGTGGAGGAGGGTTTTTATCCGCAACTTCACCCGGACGTCTCGTGGCTTGGTGTCTGAAGTGCATTCATGGTTGCAGGCAACGCGAATGGCCTTTGTCTGCTTGGAAGTAGGCTGCGGGTTGAGAACCCGAGTCACTGACAGGTGCTGCTCATGCAAGAGCGCGAGACGCCCAACCACCGAAATCGGACCTCCGTCTCGGGCAAACAGAAGTATCTGGGTTTTGAGCGGCGCACATGTACACCCTCTCGTCACCTCACTTGCACGGCCATAGGGCCGTAAGATGAACCGCCATGCCTACGACGACGTTTGTTGATAGGCAGGGGAGAGAAAGTGGGCGAATTTCGTATGGTGTAGTCATTTCTCGACAATCCCCTAATGTCAGCTTGTGTTGCTATCAATCGTCAGCTCTGTTGTCCGACGGAGTAGCACTGTTGTCGGCCCCAGCCTGGGGACGCCTTCTCTAGTGCGCCAGAAAGGACGCGCGGATAAGCCGGGGATGCCTAATGCCGTACAAGCAGGTTGAATACGGCGTGAAGACGTCAAACGGTCCCCTCTCGGGCTGAAGACACCTCCACTTGACCCGGAGCACAGAAGACAGACCGACGGGGGTTTCATCTTGTTATAAATGACCGGAAGTCTGACGCGAGATACGCGGAGTGAGAACATCCAACTTGCGTATTCATGGGTGACTATACTGGACCTCGGATAACGAATGGAGTCTCAGTTCGCATGCTTCATCGAGTGCGTACCCGTGATGGCATGAGGAGCAGCTCGTGTTTGTATGAAACGAAACTGAAGGTGTGACCAAGATAAGTCTCTTCCCACCGAAAGATCTAGGGCATCATCGTCTCACAGAGTTGTGCCGGTTGACCTGCAGGAACTCAAGCGTGTTCAAGAGGGCAAAAGCCGCATGTGTTGATCGATAACTCAGCTCAGCCTGCGGCTTCAGTCGCACTGGAGAGGTCGCGTCACTCAGCGGCCTTCGTCCGGTTTGGACATTGCTACTGCTAAGGAGCACAGAGCCGCAGACTGTATGCAGGTCCTGTGCGTGTTTCCAGGTTGTAGAAGGAACTCGGCAAGAAACAATTCGTGCGAGGTCGGCCCAAGATCCAAACCTAAACCTGAAAACTTGCATTGCCTCATCCCTCTTGTTTTCTCCCTGCATTAAAGTGTCGGTCATTCGCTCTCTTCGACCAAGCCGAGGTCCAGGCGGCTTGACTCATCGTTCACACTTCTACCGTCAATCCTTGGACCAAACCAGCAGATAACCACATGCTGCTGCCACTCATCTTCGTCCTCGCGGCTGTGGTGCATCTCACCTCGGCCTTGCCGGCTTACGACAATCACGTGGCGGTCAAGCCTATCCTGGCGAGCCAGTTCTGCATCTTGCCAGACGAGTTCGTGGTCAAGAACTTCGATATCTTCTTTCTCGCCGCAGACAACAACCGCACCGCGTTTATCAACTTCGAGTACTCAAATGAGAACACCTGGATCAAAACCAAGTGCCAATACAATGAGACCTCCGTCAACGTCGACCCCAAGGGGCATGCCCAGAGATATGCCTGCGAGAACAAGCCGGCCAATTTCACTTGGTGGCGAAACGGCACTCTCACCATATACGAGAGATCCTGTCCCCTGGAGGACAAGTGACTTGCCTTTACTCGGGTGGAATAGACACCGGCTGCAGAAAGTTGATGAGATGCATAGATTCAAGGCCAATGAGTACGTGGGCTCGGTCACACCCAACCTGAGGTGCTCTTCGACCAGCGGCGCGTTCAACGGCAACACCATGGTTGGAGCTGGCAGCCTCTGTGATGCGACGAAGGCGCTTTCTGCCCTCTTCACCAGTCAACAGTCGCTGCCGGACGGCAAAGCCGCAAGTCGACCACAGTGATGTGGGGCTGATTGAAGAAGTACCTCGTGGATCGTGGGGAACATATTCAATACGTATGGCTTGGTACGATGAATACGGAGGTGAACGTACAGTAGGTAATGATTTCAAGGTACAAGACCAAGATATGTGTTATAGATGTCAAGATCGTAGCCTCATTGCCGCCGACTCGCTGGCGGAAATGCAAACACAGGGCAATTTTCCGTTGAAGGTTCCAGTTGTCAAACCAAGTGAATGAATGATCCACTGTGGGGCAAACATCACAGCAACACAATGACGCCAGGCCCTGGGCACACACCCCTGTCCGCTGGAAAACGATGCCAAGCCTGCCAGCCGATGTCACTTCCGTCATCGCCAACTCCGGTGCCGTCCGGATCTCCTGTCACCATTTTCCAAAAGGTCCTGCTAGTTTCTCCCTCAAAATGAAACATGTGAAAACCAGTCGGGTGGATTCATTTGAATTGTTCTAACCTGCTGTTTTCTCGTTGATAGCAAGGCTGAATTGTTCGGACCCGACCCCTACCTTGCCCGGCATGACCATGTCACGCGATCCCACCCACTGACGCCAGTGCTGCATCGGCCATCTTCTATATCATCGAACCTACACTTCCTTTTACGACCTCAACCTCCTCCCTACTACGAGCACTTTTTTCCATTTTCTTCATACCATGCGTCTATTACGCACTCTCACCCTAGCGCCTCTCTTCCCTGTCGTACTTGCCGAACCGATCCCTCCAATACCAGCCCAAACGTCACCTCCAGGTCTCTCAGACCAACAATATCTCTTCCCCTCCGCTCAGGCCCTCCAGTCACCACGACCAAACGGCGTCTCAACCCCCTTCTTCGCCTCCCTCGAACGCGCTGCCCGTCTAGTCGACATAGCCTACTGCGTCGGCACCACAGGCATCTCGCCGCCCTTCTCCTGCGTCTCCCGCTGCAAGGACTTCCCCTCGCTGCGCCTGATCCGCACCTGGAACACGGGCGTTCTGCTGAGCGACAGCTGCGGGTACATCGCCGTCGACCACGGCAGCGGACATGGACATGATGGCGGGACCAGCCGCAGCCGCGCAGAAGGCACCGGCGGCGAGAACGGCAATAAGCCGGAGATCGTAGTTGCTTTCCGGGGCACCTACAGCCTGACCAACACCATCGTCGACCTGTCGACCGTGCCGCAGGAGTATGTCCCTTACCCAGTCCCGCCACCCGACAACGACGACAAAGACGGGGACGGCCGATGTGACAACTGCACCGTGCACACGGGCTTCATGGCCTCGTGGCGCAACGCCCGCGAGACCGTCCTCCCGGCCCTGCACGCCGCGCGGCAGACATACCCCGGGTACAGAGTGCACCTGATCGGACACAGCCTGGGCGGCGCCGTGGCGGCGCTCGCGGCGCTGGAGCTGAGGCTGGGGCTCGGCTGGCGGGATGTGCTCGTCACCACGTTTGGGGAGCCGCGCGTCGGCAACGCGAAGCTGGCTGAGTATCTGGATCGCGCGTTTGGGCTTTTACGGAATGGCAGAGAGGAGCAGGGGATGAGGTATCGGCGGGTGACGCATGTGGACGATCCGGTGCCGCTGCTGCCGCTGCGCGAATGGGGATATCGAGCGCACGCCGGGGAGGTGTATATTGGCAAGGCGGAGCTGCCGCCTGCGCCGGAGGATTTGAGGTTGTGTAAGGGGGACGAAGACCCGGAGTGTATAGCCAGGGCTGAGACGGAGGACTGGTTTGGCTGGCTTACGGCATGGATGAAGCGGGCTAGGTCGCAGCAGGAGGAGCGTGCTGAGATGCTGGAATTACAGCAGCGGTGGCTCCCTGCCCGTCTCAAGCTGTGGCAGCTCTTCTTCGCACACCGGGACTACTTCTGGAGGCTGGGATTGTGCGTCCCGGGCGGCGATCCAGCGGACTGGGGGAGGGAGAAGGATAACATGACGTTAGATCATGAGGTAAACGGCGCTCCTGAGGTAGTGGATCTGTGATTTGGTTATTGGGATGGCGTTGTTTCGTCGCTGTTTATGATGGATGAACTGGGCAACATAGCATGGCGTTCGGAGTCAGTTAGGGATGCTTGTGTGGCGTTCTTAGCACTTTCTTAACTTGCTTACGCATCCGCGCCGCACTATCCAAGCAGCAACCGCTGTATGTTTACTACCCAGATGACTAGATGCATTTGATGTTACAGGTATACTTAGTATTGTATAAAATTGAATTGATCTCCCAAAGGTATGGGGTTGGCGAGTTTACATTTTGCTAATCTCATCATGTGGAGCCGTGAGCGATTATCCTCATCACACAACACCCATCTCTTTCTCATGATGGCTGGTGAGGAGCGAGCACTAGCCTCACCTCTTGAGGCGCGTGACACTGCCATCCAGAGCCCGGGATTGCGCCATGAGCGCCGATTGGCAGGAAAAGTTGACTGGGGCCGGAACGGGGTGAGGTGAGATTGATGAGTGGACATGGGCCGCACCTTAAGTTATTGGAACATACGATGGACATCAAAGTTGCTGAGGACAAACAAAGACAGGTCTGGGTGCTTTGGAGGCAATATGTAAATCAGACTGTACGGGGCGATCCCGCACTGATGCCCTAGTCTTTGATACCTGCAATGTGCTGTTGGTACTTGGTGATCACTGTTTGTTCAGGTAGCTTGAAGTTCAAGGTTGATTGTCGTATTGGCCTGATAACTCGCCCATTATTCTAGCCGCTTCCATGGTGAGCTGTCCGTCTGGCCCCACCCCTGTTACCAATGGACAAAATCTCCGGACCATTTATAGTGGGGGATTGTCTGTGTGACGGCTCCATGGTCCTGCACAACCACTGTCGAGGCTGAGATTGATGAGAAAGGGGGTGAGAGAGAGCCTTGCTGCCTCGTGACGGACATTTACAGGGACACGAGACTGATGTGCCACGAAGGTGCGCGGGCCCCGAGCAGAGATAGAAGGACACCTACAGATTACTGGTACTTCAATGGAGGGGTTTTGATTCGAGGCTGTCCCTCCCCTTTGTTGGCTGTTCTATTCGTGTAACGTGCAGCATACCCTTCGTCAGGCTGATTCCAGGTCCCTTTGCCGGAACGGTCCTTCTCAGACGATAAAATCGATGACCGCGTGGGTTGGCTGAGACGTGTTTGTTTTGAGACCGCACATGTTAGGAGCCGGTTGGCTTGCGGAGAGGACCATTTACAATTTTTTTGGCTGGCGTAATGTCTGGTGAAGATGGACGGTGTGCAAACGGCGGCTCTGTCGATCTGATCCCAGGTAAACAAGAGCACCGCCATACAAAACATGGGAGCGACCATCATGTGTAAAATGAATGCCTCCACTGCCTGGCGAGCTTGTTGACAGTCAAGTGAGCAATCCCAGGCGTGGGGTCACCATTTCAGATGGCCTTGCTAGCGTGGAACTCCCATTTGTCTGGGAAATAAAGCGGGCTCCAACGTCACATGCTAACGGAAAAAAATGTGGATTCTTTCAACCTCCGCGAGAAAAACAGGGATGCCGGGCCCGGCTGGACCACTAGCGTGGTGAGGGGGAGCCATTCAACCCTCTCCTCTGAGGCTTAAGACCCTTTGCTCAACGCCTAAACACACTGAACCTCAACCACATTCCAAAAAACAAAGTCACTCTACTGTGGTGACTTTTCTCGCGTCTTCTTTCCTTCTCCTTCGATCACACATCTCACAACCGGTTTATCCCATACACCTCTTAAAACACACCGCCCAAAATGGCAAACGAGGTATGTACGCGCGCTCGCCTAGACCCGCCCTTTCCCCTCCTCCCCGCGATATGGCTCGCATGCCCGTGATTGAGTCGGTCTCAACGCTGTTGCCGTACCCTTCGCCTTGTATTTCAGTTGCTGACCGCTTACTTTTGCGCTAGCGTGAAAGGTGTGTTTCCTCATCTATCGGCAACTGCCCTCCCACTCGCAGTGCACTGATCGGCCCTCCCTTGAACTTAGCAAGACGTTCCTCGCCCGCCTGTGCGAGCAGGCCGAGCGCTACGATGAGATGGTCACCTACATGAAGGAGGTCGCCAAGCTCGGCGGCGAGCTCACCGTTGACGAGCGTAACCTGCTCTCGGTCGCCTACAAGAACGTGGTTGGCACCCGCCGGGCCAGCTGGCGCATCATCTCGTCGATCGAGCAGAAGGAGGAGTCCAAGGGCTCCGATAAGCATGTCGCCACCATCCGCGAATACCGCCACAAGATCGAGACCGAGCTGGAGAAGGTCTGCCAGGATGTGCTCGAGGTGCTCGACGAGGCCCTGATTCCCAACGCCGTGTCGGGCGAGTCCAAGGTCTTTTACCACAAGATGTACGTCCACTTTGTCGTGGTCGCGACAGCCCCATACGGGTTGTGGTTCCCAGCGCGCTAATATGGCGTGTAGGAAGGGCGATTACCACCGCTACCTGGCCGAGTTCGCCTCTGGCGAGAAGCGCAAGGTTGCCGCTACTGCTGCGCATGAGGCGTACAAGGTGAAGACCACCAACTCCCTGCCCACGTGCCCTCCCAACAACTGACAAATCTCTCCCACCAAAGAGCGCCACCGACGTCGCCCAGTCCGATCTGACCCCCACCCATCCTATCCGCCTGGGCCTGGCGCTCAACTTCTCGGTCTTCTATTACGAGATCCTCAACTCGCCAGACCGCGCCTGCCACCTGGCCAAGCAGGCATTTGACGACGCCATCGCTGAGCTCGACTCGCTCTCGGAGGAATCGTACCGCGACAGCACCCTCATCATGCAGCTGCTCCGCGACAACCTCACCCTGTGGACCTCGTCCGACAACGGCGAGCCCGAGGGCGTCGCCGCCGAGGCCGCCAAGGAGGAGAAGCCCGTTGAGGAGAAGACCGACGGCAAGGCCGACGAGCCTGCGCCCGAGCAAGTGTAAGCGGCTATCGTTGGCTGCTTTTGCTCGTTCCTGCGTTTTCTCGGCTGTCGCGTGCCCCTCTCTCTCTATATCTCTCTGAGCCTGTGCCTGCTGTGAAGCGGGTTGATACACCTGCACCAGCATTCTGTGCGGCTTTGAGCTAGAGCCTGAGTTGATTATCTCTGGGACAGGGAGAAATCGGGCGTGTTTGTAGTCTGTGAACTTGGGCTTTCTGGTGGAACTGTTGCTCTGTGGCGGCACACTGGTCAAAGGCAAGGGAAAGGGGGCAGGACTGCGCAAAGGGGAGTTGGGTTGATGTGGCTAGGTGGGGACTGAAAATGCAGGGAACATGGTGCCTTTTTCCTCTTTCTATGTCTTTTACATCTCCGTTTTTCCTCATATCTTGCTCTCTCTGTCGCCTTCCCCTCCAAGGGTCAGATGTATCTCGGTCTCCCCTTCACCACCAGTATGGGATGGGGGAAGTTTGAAACCTCAAATATCCCACCAAAGTCCTTGGTCTTCCTCTCAGAGACCGAGGCAATATACCATCTAAACCAAGGCTCGGCTGGTAGCCCATCTCCTGATGGCATGTGTCTCCTCGCGCCATTTCGACTTGGAGTTTGTGGTAGAAAGGGCTTGTACGTCTTGCGACCCGATTCGTGGGCGGATTATACACTCTCTGTTCATTTTCTCCTCTCCCAAGAGGATTAGGGCCAGCGGATGGAACAGGGTTGGGGTCTGACTAGGAGCGGATGAGTGATGACAGTTATTTCAAACTCAATTTTGTCTTTGCTCAGACATCCGAGCTGCGAATCCGACAAGTACATCGATCCTACACTAACCATGCACATCCAGGACAGGCCTGCTGGTCTGCCGCTACTCTTCTCACTTCTCCTCTGACCCTTGACGCACAACGAGAATGTGATGCAAACCAAGGTACTCTTGTTTGAGTGGTTTTTGTTTCGTGTTTGTTATTAGCAATACCATTATTCTACCTATATTTATCTTTGCGTGATTGTCCACCATCAGTACCTCCGAACCTAACGCCTGCCAGCATGCCAAGCGAGGCCACATTAAGAGCAATCTCATCTTCGTGCTGCATTGCTAGTATCTCGTTGCGTCGTGTGGCAGCGCAGGAAAGGCGCCCAAACTTCCATGCTCTTGGGCGGTCTAATGTCTTGGCCATATCGGCTGGGTGCTCATATTTCAACAAGCGCTGGCACATGTTCTGTGCCATGCCTAATTGACTTGGAGCTGCAAACACAGTACGAGTCGCCGTATCTTGCGAGGATCCAGCGTCTGAAGGTCCTTCAGACAGCAAGACTGACTCGTGTAGCGGAGATAGAAGTGTCAGGCCAAGCCCTCCCCTTCACTGGTCTGATGTGGTGAAGAAAGGAGACCTTGTTCAGGCGGGGTTCCAGTCTTCAGGGAAACAGGTAGACCGTAAAACTGTGGAGGTCACTGTTTGTGTTGATGATGGCCATAATAACAAGACTTCCGGGATCCTCTCGCGTATGTGCCAAGTGTCGTGTAGCAAATTGATAACCCCATGTCTTCGTGCTTTCTCCATGCTCCAGTAAGCCGGTCGTCCATTCGCTTATCTAAGCCGGCAATCAACCACACTCTTCCCGGTGAGATTTCATGGAAAGAGCACTGGCTAGCACCACCCAGACCTCCACCTCGTCCCCCAGGACATCCGGAGCGGCGAGGGCCCCCGCTCAGCAGCTTCACCAAGCGACTTGACCAGGACAGCTCCCTAGTCCTTAGGCCGGTTCGTCGCCCGCTGAAGCAGCGCCGCCGCCCGCTGCAGGCGGGACATGCTCCTTGACAGTGCCGTGCGCCGGTGGTGTTGGTCCGAGTCGGTGATGCCATCCAAGTCCGACGACGACGAGGAGGTGGAGAAACCCACCCCTCTCGCACCATCATCTCGACCATCATTACCATTGCGATTATTCACCGACCGCGCCTCCCCGCCAAACCAACTCAAGACCCTGCCACCAAGAGGACCACCCCGACCCCCACCATCGCCGCGCGAAACCGACCTCAACTTCTCCACGGGCGCCGACACGGGCGCAGAAAGGGGTTGGCTAGACGGCCGGGCAATGCACCTCTTCTGCCCGTGCGCTGTGCTCGCCCAGCGCGGCTGGTAGCCGTCCGGCCATGGCACATCGCCGGCGTCGCGCTTGTGCGCGCTCTGGCTCCGTTGGGGCCGCCGCACGCGCAAGAGCAGCCCGCTGATCACGCGCTTGGTGAAGTTTTTGCCGCCTCTATCGTTGGAGGCCAAGGTGGTGGAGCCGCTGCTGGTGCCGGGAGGGCTGGGAGGCGGGGTAGAGGATGGGCGGCTGCAGTGGCGGCATACCGGGGCCGGTTCGGGAAAGGAGGGAGTGATGGTGGTAATGGTTGTTGCCTTTTTATGGTGGATGTGCGAGGACGGGTTGACGACTGTTTGTAGGGCGGTCCGCACGCTGTCGGCGAACTGGGCGCTGGTTTTGCCTACGCGGCCGCGGTTGTCGCTGCCGATGCTGCTGCTTTCCATTGGCTCTGAGCAGGCGCAATAGGCGGCGTCGCCGTGGCTGCTGACTGCGGCGCTCCAGCCGCGGATCCAGTCTGCTTTCTTGCCTTGGGTTTTTCGCGGAAGCAGTTGCTGTCGTGTGGCCAGCCAGTCGGTGGGTGGAGGTGAGGAATCTTCTTCCTCTTGGGTTGACGGTGGTGGTGATGTCTGCTGGGATTGCAGCTGGGTAGTTGGTGTTTGTGGTTCGTCTGGCACAGGTGACTGTGTCGGCTCTTTGACAGCATCTAGCTTCGAAGTTTGTTTGATCGACGCTGGCTTGTCGGAGGGATGTGTGGTGTCCGAGCGTGGTGGTATCTGGGCCATCAATTCTGACAGCGCCAAGGGCGCTCGGCTCTGAGGGGATGCGTTGCTTGAGAGCTCCATTGTGCCTGTGGGTGTTGGGAGTTTTGGAGTCGATGGTGTGTGCGCAGGAGGTGCAAATAGGATATGTCGCTTGCCGAATGACCCAGTCCCCTGAAGGAACAAGACCCGTTGGTTGTTCTGAACTCTGTGTTTGAAACGTATTAACCAGCAACGATCAAAGTGAAGTCTCGAAACCGGCAAGGTCCTGAACGAACGTCAGTGCTCAAGCAAGCTAAAAGAGAATGCTGAGTACAGAGGTAGGCGAAACCGACTAACCTGCTCCGTCCCCGGTGCAGATATGCGCCTCGAGTCTCTGTACGAACCTAGCAAATAGATGGGTCGACCAGTAGTCCGACCGAAGAGGACAAACGAGGACAAGCGAGTCCAACTTGTGATCCGTTGCACTTCGTGAACACAACGTAGTGTCACTGGGAAGCGACAGGTCTGTCACCAGCCATTCCCCCGGACCTGAAATGCAACCCACCGATGGCCGTTCGTCGCGCGCAGCAGCTCGAGGAGTCAAGAGGATGATAATAGGTAGAACCTCGCGTCCTTTTTCTATCTGGGGACGCGTACCTATGCGTTTGAGAGCTTGTTGAAGGGAAAATTCGATTGTGCTTCTTGGTGCACGAGCAGAGGCTAGCAGATAAGTAAGTACCTTGCCAGGCTGGGGTCGCCTCCGACTCCCCGGTTCTCGGCAGGCATTGTCATGGTGACATTGTCTTGGCCAGCCAAGTCCGACTAGGCCTCTAACGAATTAGCGCACGGCTTGGCTAGAGTTGTGCCGACGGTTGCAGCCCTGCAGCTGGGTCCCAGCTCCGGTCAGAGCTGTGGCGCCGTGCCTCCTCCATAAACATCAGGTACACAGTAGTTGTGCCTTTCCGCTGAAGACCGCAGTGATGCAAGATAGAGCCATGTCTATGGTACTGTACTCCGTTGACTGTCAGCCCGTCCCTTCTCAATTCCTGCATGGCTCTCATATGAGGCGGCTGGCGTGTATAGTCGGTCCATAACCTGTGTAAACGACATCAAGAAAAACAGGTAATCGGTTTAAGGTATTGAGCTAGTGCGGACAGCTAAGCTGCGAAGGTACCTTCGCTGGTGGAAAGTAGGACCTTCTCCCACCTGCGCCTCTCCAGACAACTACAGTTGCAGAATGGCAAGCCTACGCCAGCTACTTATCCCTTGAATGTGGTAAACAACGTCTTCAAGCAGAAAGAGCTCTACGTGTATGCGTCCGTTGTCTCTGCGCACTGTGGGCTTGATGGGGAACCCGGCCTCGAGTGTTTGAGAGGAAGAAAAAAAAAACCGATATCTCATAGACTGCTGCTCGCTGAATCGTCCGATCATTGCCCTCTGTATGCTTTTCCCGAACCTGCAACGCCAACCCTAGATCACCCACCCTTTTGAATACCACCTCTTTATCTAACCTTGTACCCGAGAACCCCTTTTGAAACGCTTCCACCCAACGCCCCATGCCTCATTGTAAGAAGAAAACGATCCACCATCCACGTCCAGGTCTAAAACTCCCCTCTCACGAAGGCTTCAACGCCTCCCACGCCCCCATCTCCATCCCTTCATCATCCCCAAGCAAATCCACCGCCGGCGCCTTCCTATGAGTTGGCGGCTGCGGCGGCCGCACAGCCGCCTGCTTCTGTTGTGTGTGCGCCAGAGAAGCAGAAACCGGAACAGCAACGGTCGGCTTCCTAGCCGGCAGCTGCGGTTTCCGTTCCTGCGCTGCTGCCGCTGCCGCCAGACCTGTAAGCGATATTCCTCCATTTGAGGCAACCACGCTCGTGCGGCTGCCGGTGTTGGTGCGTCGGGGAAGCTGCGGTGGTGGTGACGGCGGCGTCTCGCATCTCGGTGTCGGGATCGCCCCGTCATTCTTCGTTGCTGCTGGCGACGGCGGCGTCATTTCCAGACGGTTCCGTGTCGTGTCGAATCCGAGGCTTGCTGACATGATACTACCCGCCGGTGAGACTGGGCCTGTGAGATGCGCGGGCTTCTTGGCCACTGGCGGTGGGCTCCTGTGTTTGACAGAATGCTCCTGAGATACGGCAGGCTTTGGCCCGAGAGGCGGAGCGGGCGTTGTTGATTTGGTGACCGGCTTTCGCTTCTGCTGGATCGAGGGCGTTGGAGAGTTGGACACCAACCCGAGACCTATGCTGGTTTGTCTCCGTGGCGGAGGCGGGGGCGGTGCTGAGACCGCTTGGAGCGTCTTTGCGTCTTCGCTGATCTGCAGCCTGCCGACCTTAGCAGGCAGCGCTGATGGATCGTATGGGAGCGGCAGCTTTCTAGGCACCGAGCTCGACGCCGAGGACGAGAGCAGCATGGAGTGATTGACGTGTTCATACGGCGAAGTCGACATGCTAGAGAAGGACGACAAGCGGGATTCGGATCTGGGAACATTAACCCAGTCCGGCTCATCAGTTGGTACATGAGGGTTCGTTGGTCGCTTCGGGTTCAGGATAATTTCTGATGTTGGGTTGTCGGGCCTTGGCGGGTTGATGGAAGATCTTGCCATCTTGCCATTCTCGAGCCACCATTTTTGGCGGTCGGAGCTTGCCGGCGGCAAACCAGGCTCGATGGCATCGTATCCGATCAGGTCCTCGTCTTCCGATTCATTCTCAGCCAGGTTGGCCGTGTCTCCTCCAACCTCGGCCTTTCGCCGTTCATAAATATCCCTGCTAATTTTATCCCGTAGCCTCTCGTTCACAATGCTGACGGTGCACTCGAATATGGCGAAGACAGGTCTGTGATCTGAAAAGCGTAATGGTGCCGAGTTGTAGGCCAGCTGGCGGAGGTTTGACCCCTTGCGGAGAATGCGATCTGTCCAGGCAGGGATGCGGGCTTTCTCCCTGAGCACCGCTGTTAGTACGATTCTATCCCTTCACGACTTATGAGCGAGCACGTACGAGCTGTCATACTCATCCGTTCCGACATCGAACTTGTACGTCGGCATGAACGTGATGCGGGCCTCGGAATAAAATCGGAAAGCAAGCCCAGCCACCATCTGCAGATTCAGCTGGTCGTTCTCAAACAGTCGTTCGAGGTCGCGCCTTTTCACTGCCTCTTTCGCTGTTTCCAAACCAAGACCAATCCGGTAGTTGAAATCCCCGAACCAAATCACAGAGTCTAGGTTGTGGATGTCAATTATGCAAGTTCACTTCATCCGTCACAGAGAGTCTTACCATGGTCAGCTATGCCTCTGTTTCTCTGAAACCGAAGGCCCTGGTCGATAGTGGCGTAATCTCTGTTCCTTTCCTCGTAATTCGCAAACCCCGCCGCCAAGTGTGCCGTCACAAAACAGATGGGCGTGTTGGCATAGTCGAGTCGAATCGCAACTGCCCCCTTGTTGCCAGCCATGCCTGACATGCCCGTTTTCTTGACACTGCCCTCCACATTCTTGATGTTGTGGAGCACCGACGCCTTCACAAAGATGCACAGTGCCGCGCCCACGAGTTGCCCGCTCCGCAGTAACACATACTTCTCGTCTCCCTCTCGGCTATAGTACCGGTCCAGGGTTCTTTTGATAGCCTGTTCCCACAGCTGTTTCCTGGTAGGGTCGCTGTTCATGATCTGCTGGGGGTTGAGCTCAACTATTTCTTGAAACCCAACGGCGATGATTTCTGGTTGGATGGACCCCAGGTCGGAGGGCCAAAGCCAGGCAGACAGATCTTCGTTGATGCCATCGGTTCGTCCATTGAGATTAAACGTCCCCACCAGGCTGTCAGCTGTTAGCATTTGCCTTGCAGAGACCATGGGGTTAACACTTGCAGGTGGATTTTCTTATTCGAGGAGAATTCGCTGCTCCGCTGCTGCAGCTCGCCGGCAACATAGTCGCTAATAGGGTCAAATAGGATAACAGGGGCCTGGCCAACCATCCTCCCCAGGAGGGTATCAATTGTGATTTGCCGCGCCTTGTCAGTAAAATTGTTGTGGTAGAGTCGGGTAGCCGACTTTCGGACATCGGCAATGGCCCCAGCAAGTGACATCTTGCCGGTGCGGGTGAATGAGGACTTGAGGGCGCCAGTTCCGGCGTAGATTTTGGATAAGGAATCGCCATTGTCGGCCCACAGGTTAGCATGCCGAGACCAAAAGTCCGAGAGAGCTCTCTCCCCTCGGTGACCGAGAAAAGATTCCACAGCCATTTGCGAAATGATTGTTTGAATCAGGTTTGTCCTGTCTAGACAATCAAGGCAGTTTGTCCTGAAGACGCCCTCTTGCTGCAAGACCACAACATAGCGCCGCCGTTTGTGGTCATTCAGACCACCAGTTGACTGCCTTGCATCATCCGACTCCTGGGCGAGATAGTATGCGAATCCATCTGCCGAATCTTCAATGTACCGACGAATCTCGTTTGCCGCAACGTATCCTTGAGGGCCCTTGGTCTCTGCATGAAAATCATACTCTGTCTCCCTCAGCAACGCATGGTCTCGCTCCCCCGGCCGACTTAGAGGGCAGTTCTGGACGCCGAGTCGGTAGAGGGAAGTGAGCTCGTACTCTCCGGGCTTGGTAGCGCTCAGGAGATTGATGACGTGAACTGCGCCATATGCTTGTTCCAATTCCGAGAAGTGCTTGTCGAAAGCCGGTTGGGTCCCATCGGCTGAGCGCGTGATGGTGATCTTCTGCTGGTTGGGCAGAAGTCCAGCGGCCTGCTCCCAGAAGACGGGCACTGAGCCTCGTACTTGAGCATAGGAAAAAACCACTCCTGAGGGGCTCCAGTATATCGTTTCCGTCTCCACGAAGTTGGCGACGTTCCCGTCGTCGTCGATGCCTCGCGAATTGAATCTCGTGCCGGCTCTTCTGCATGACAACCGCGATATGACAGTCAAGTAGGAGGGCAGGCCCGTCTTGGCGGAACTCAACGGTGCCGAGGTTTGTGGTATCGCCCAGCTCCTGCAGAAGCCGCGGATCGCCGAGGTCAATATCCTCGAGGCATCCAGTGCGTCCCGCTCTCGCTTTTGCAGTCGCGACCGGAACAGAACGAGTGGGCGGATCATGTAAGAATTCCATAGGAAGGACTCGTCGAAATTATCTATATCGAATTCCGCAGCATCGGCCGGCCTGTGAAGTGTTAGCGCCCTTTTCGGCATGAATCTTCCCGTCCGTGTTCCTACCTGTCCTGCATGCGGTTCGTAACGTCAAAGTCGGTGCTATAATAAAATGTCCCATTGCTAAGCAGCTTCTGTAGCTCCTGACAAGGGTGTTCCACTGGCACATCCCTCCGCCCGAGACCCTGTCCGTATACCGATGCGGCATCCGAGTCCAGATCGTAGGGGTCTAGCGCCACGACGTCATCGTACTCGGCCGAGTTGAGGCAGAAAAACTGCACGGCCTCAATCTTCTCCACCGTCTCGCCCGGCCGGAGAGTTGCGACACGCGAGGCCTGGGTCACGACGCAGAGGAAGACGTCGCGCCCGATCGATATGAGCCCAAGCGTTCCGTAGATGGGTCGTGACGTGAGCGGGCGGTAGTCGGCGAGCAGCTTGTCCGAGGTCGGAGAGAACTCAACCATGCACTTGGATGTAACATTGTCGGACGTGTTCGAACGCGGACGGACAGACGACGATGGTGCCAGTAACCCATTGGCTATGGCCTCGGTCGTTGTCGTGCTGTGCCTTAGGATCAGGGCATGGGAGTGGGAGGTGATAGCAATGGCTCGATGAGGGTATTCGCGTATTAAAATTTGGCTCGATTTTTCAGAGGAGGGCGGCTGGCCAGGCCACAGGGCCGTTGACGGAAAACTGGAATTATAGTCCATGTCGTCGTCCCGAGTCGCAAAGAGTGGCTGTGATGTGGTTGGAACAGAGGGGCCTCGCAGAGCTGCAGACAGAGGGCATGGCGGTTCAGAGCAACCGGACCGGCCAAATTGGCGCCACGGTCTTGGTACCGAGGGGAATGACCGGTAGATGGTCGGTGATGAGTGGCTCGGAAGCACAATGGAACCTTGAGATTTCCGTCGTCCTCCTTCCGGACGGAATGAATTCGGAGCGGAAGGTTGGCAGCCCGACGCCTGCCGGCTGGGCGCTTTTTCAGCTTTCAGCCGCAGAATGCGGGGCGAGCTGGCTCACAAAGGAGTTTTTCTGGCCTTCGTTCACACCCAAAGCAAAGGAACAGACCGAAACGGCCAACACTTCCAAGTAATGAACAGATTGAAGTGACACAAGTGGGTCTATATAGCTTCCAGCTCGCCGTTGTAACAACACTCGAGAGCCTAAGACACCTAAGTAGAGGATTGGGTCCTGCGCCATTTGCCCCTCTTCCATGATGCGTTGTGCCCAGCGCTGCGTTGTCCCAGACACTTCACGTTGGGAGTCACCGCGACAAATCAACATGCTCCAGAAACCAGTTATGCAAGGTCCTGGGCGAGCATCGAGTGAGTCAAAGAAAATTTCTGTTAGACAGGGTCTTCACAGAGAGAAGGTTCTATAGCGTATCCAATCCCTCTTGATGCAGTAAATGAAGCTGCTGGCCATCGTGACCATGGTGCGAAACCACTTTGAAAGATGAAAGAGGAAAAGAGAATTGGCAGAGGCTTCAGATTTAATATCAATGGTAAGATCATGCTCTCCATATAAGGAGAATCATCCTCTTCCTATCATGTTTGTTGATTTGATTCAATCATCATCAGCCTGAAGAGAAGGAAAGGAAGAAATCAGACAAGTTTGTCTGAAAAAAGTGTGGTTAAATGGCCCCCACTTTCATTCAGCCTTTGCCTGCGGCCCGCGACCGGCGCAAATCTGTTCGGGGTTTCGGAAACAGATGGCCGCCACTGGAATCGCCAATCATAAGTGGATCTTTGAACAGCCGCGCACCCGCTTTTTTGCGTTTGACCTCGAGCTTCCAGCCTCTCGACTCCTTTGGCCTGCCGCCTCGCCAAACTCATAGCACTTGCGATCTTGCAGCCTTGACACCAATTCTTGTATTGACGCACATATTCTCCTCCCTCTAAGACCATCAACATTGAATCAAAAACCCATTTTCCGGCAACAACAATAGCAGACCACGACACAGGCTTCGCAGCCAAGCACCGACAGCATGGGTGACTTCGCAAACTTCGGCGGCACTGATGAGGAGAATGCTGAGATCAGGCGTCTTAATACGGACGTTGTCAGTCGCTCAGTGTTCTTCCGAGTGTGCAACGCAGAGCTGACCTTGCTATGTGCTCAGGAAGCGGATCCCGACAACTTCGAGAACTGGGAGAAACTGATCCGGGCCTGCGAGGGTCTTGAGGGCGGCCTTAACCGCAACTCGAGCCCTCAGGCTTTGGCAACCCTACGCGACTCCTACGACCGTTTCCTTCTGAAGTTTCCGCTGCTGTTCGGCTACTGGAAGAAGTATGCCGACCTCGAGTTCAACATCTCCGGGCCCGAGTCGGCCGAAATGGTATGCCGATTCGGTTCCTCCTGGCCAACAAGAGCGACGCTGACGCGGGTACTAGGTCTATGAGAGAGGTTGTGCCAGCATTACCAACTCGGTCGATTTGTGGACCGAGTACTGTTCCTTTAAGATGGAAACCACTCACACTCCCCACCTTGTGAGAGAGTAAGTATAGGCGGATCGTTTCCTTCCCAGCCCCATGACCGCCTCACCTGCAGGAAATCTGCGATGCTGGCTGGCGCCCGCCGCCTGTCGGACCGCGAGGGTCGCTTCGATCATACAACCGTACAGCACATGGTGAGAGACACCGAAGGCGGCTGCCATACTCTGCTGGATCGTTCTCTCACATATCTAACCAGGCGCTGCTGCACTCGGCAGATTACATCCCGTGTGCTGTGGCCTTCTCCTCATTACACGTTCGCACGTTCCCCGGAGATGTAATCTGGCCTCTTTAGATGGGTCGCGTCGCTTGCACAAATTCCCTCTTGTATTTACATACCCTTCCCAACCCACCCATCCCATCCTGTCGTGTTTGCTCGCCGCTGACCTTGTCTCCAGGCTCTTTGAGCGCGCCGCCTCACATATCGGCCTCGACTTCCTCTCGCACCCGTTCTGGGACAAGTATTTGGAGTACGAAACTCGGCAGGAAGCACACGACAAGATCTTTGCCATTCTTAACCGCGTCATTCATATCCCGATGCACCAGTACGCGCGCTACTTTGAGCGCTTCCGGCAGCTGGCTCATACGCGGCCTCTCCAGGAACTCGTCCCGGCCGACGCGCTGGCTCGATATCGAGCCGAGGTCGAGGCCGAAGCTATCCAGTTTGGCATTCAGAAGCCCGAGCTCGAGATTGACCGCGACATCCGGGCCAAAATTGACGCCTCTTACTACCTGATCTTCCAGCGCACCCAAGCCGAAACGAGCAAGCGATGGACGTACGAGGCTGAAATCAAACGGCCATATTTCCACGTGACCGAGCTTGAGCACCACCAGTTGGTTAATTGGCGCAAGTACCTTGATTTCGAGGAGGAGGAGGGCAACTACCAGCGGATCGTCTTCCTGTACGAGAGGTGCCTGGTCACGTGTGCGCTGTACGAAGAGTTCTGGCTCCGGTACGCTCGGTGGATGTCGGCGCAGGAGAACAAGGAGGAGGAGGTCCGGAACATTTACCTGCGTGCGGCCACGCTGTTTGTCCCGGTCAGCAGACCGGGCGTGCGCCTTCAGTTTGCCTATTTTGAGGAGATGTGCGGCCGAATCGATGTCGCTCGGGACATCCACGCGGCAATCCTCATGAAGCTGCCGGACTGTGTCGAGGCGATCGTGTCGTGGGCCAACATGCAGCGGCGGCAGAGCGGTCTCGACGCGGCAATCGAGGTGTATAAGGCGCAAATCGACTCGCCCGTTGTGGACATATACACCAAGGCCGCATTAGTTACGGAGTGGGCGTTACTGTTGTGGAAGGTGAAGGGCTCCGTTGATGAAGCCCGCGTCGCCTTTGCCAAGAACGTGGAGTGGTACGCCGACAGCCGCCACTTCTGGCAGAAGTGGCTCGAGTTTGAGCTGGAGCAGCCGACCAATGCCGAACTCGAGGGGCAGCATGCTGAGCGGGTGAAGAACGTCTTTGCCGAGATGCGGTTGAAGAGCCGTCTCTCCCCAGGCATCAAGCAGGAGTTAGGCCGGGTGTATCTGAATTACCTGCAGCAACGCGGGGGCAAGCAGGCAATGAAGGAGTTCTTGCTCATCGACCGAGAGCTATTTGGGTATGTATTTTCAACCGTTCCGTTCAAGTGTCATTGGCAGGGCACAATGCTGACTCACAATAGTCCCCAGTCGGTTTCTCCCATCACCAAGGCCAAGCAAGCCAAGGAGGATGCTGGCCTCGCAGGACTGGACGAAGCCACCCGTCTGAAGGCGGAACGGCGGTTCTACAACTATTACGAGTTGCACACGGACCCGGACGCGAATGCCCAGGGACCAGCTAGCTTTGACTAATGGATTTTTGGGGATGCCTCCACCCCATTTCAGTAACATGTTAACGGCAGCTATGGTTCGGTGAGCGTCTGGTGGGATTCTGAGTGTCATCATGCGAACGACGCAGCATATCAAGTTCGTTGGTGAAGAAAAGGCGCACGCCGTTTTTGTGCCGGAATTGGGGGAGGTGTGACAGGTGGTTGTTGGATTGGCGTACTCGACCGTGCTTTCTCGAGTTCCAGGGAACGTGACCCAGTTATAAGAAGTATACGTGTAGGGAATAATGTAGGACTACCGTCAAGTGGAATGCTCCGTTACCAATCGTCGATTCATAGTGTCCCGAGTATTCTTGCCTTCACAAGACTACCGTGTGGCTCGTTGGTGGCACATGTCTGACCCCCTGAGCAAAGCTGCAGACCCTTACTAAGGACGCTCTTCTGAATCATCCATACCGCCTTTCGGCCTCGGGTGGGCGGTGGGGCCTTTCTACAACAACTACCGGGCTATCGAGAGCCCGTGCCGGGCCCGATCTGGAACGGGACCTTTTGGTGCGAGCCGATGCTGACATATGCCTAATAAGAAAGGACATTGCAACGATCTGACTCTGCGCAAACGGATACCTCCCAATTGTGCTTCGTGCGCTCCCTGGCGATTGCAGTGCTTGGCATTGCGTAAATATGGACACGATGATTGACTCATGGCCTCTGGCCTGTCGGAGCCTTTCCTGGAGAGTCTTCTGATTCCGTTCATATGGTTGATGAGTCAAGGCACGCAGCCTATCAAACTGTCAACAACTGGTCCATACGCAGGGAACCGGAGCCAAGACTATGAGGCTCAAAATGGTCTGTTCCTCTGCTAAATCGGACGCAACTGCTGCTCGGCTCTCTTCGGAGAAGCCCTCGGCTCCGCGAGAAGCCTACGGATTACTGCCGTCGGTGCTTTCCACCGGGGCTCCACACGCTGCTTTCCGCCGCCACACGTGAAATCGTGAATCGGAAGAAGAGGTTCCAGTTATCAAGATCCTTGCGAACCTCAAACCTTCCGTAAGACCCACAGTGGGGGTACCTGGCAACGAATTGGCCACTCACCGTTCACGTATAAAACATTTTTCGACGTGATTCCACTCCGCGTTGTTGGGAACAGCCGAATTGCATCTCCGTCCATTTGCCGTTCTTTTTCTGATTACGCATCCCTCTCTCTTCATAACGCCATTGTCGTGGCCAGGTATTTCGATCTTTTGTCACGTCCGCAAGACTTGTCTTTCTCTCTTTAAAGCACATAGCTGAAAAGGTTAGCATCCCAATCGTCCCCTGCGCTCTCCCCACAGCTCCCTTCCTTATCAGCGATCGGGAACCGCGCCATATCAACTCCCCGTACTCTCCAAACACTTAAACACCCGATTCTGACCGTGTGACCGGCAACACCACAGATGGCGACAGCGACTCGCACCTTCACTCGCGCCCTGCGCACTTCAGCCCGGCCCGCTTTCACTGCCGCTCCTCGGATCGCTTTTCGCCAGAGCGGCCGCCGCTTCTACTCGTCGGAGCCCGCAGCCAAGCAGGGCTCGTCGGCGTGGCTTTGGCTCGCCGGTGCTGCCGCCGTCGGTGGCGGCGGTGCCTGGTTCTACCTCAACAACCAGGGCCCCGCCACGCCCAAGGTCTTCACACCCAAGTTCGAGGACTATCAGGCCGTGTACAACGAAATCGCGAGCCGTCTCGAGGAAAACGACGAATATGATGATGGGAGCTACGGCCCCGTGCTGCTTCGCCTGGCGTGGCACGCCAGCGGCACGTATGACCAGGAGACGGGCACCGGAGGTAGCAACGGCGCCACCATGCGCTTCGCTCCCGAGAGTGACCACGGCGCCAATGCCGGCCTGAAAGCTGCGCGGGACTTCCTCGAGCCTGTGAAGGGTTAGTGTTGCCGCCAGGTTGAGTAAACACATCAAGGACTAGATGGCTAACAGTGGCAAACAGAGAAGTTTCCCTGGATCACTTACTCTGACCTGTGGATCCTCGCTGGCGTCTGCGCCATCCAGGAGATGATGGGTCCTCAGATTCCCTATCGCCCCGGCCGCACGGACAAGGACGTCGCCGCCTGCACTCCCGACGGCCGCCTTCCCGACGCCGCCCAGGCGCAGGACCACTTGCGGAACATTTTCTACCGCATGGGTTTTAACGACCAGGAGATTGTTGCGCTGGCCGGCGCCCACGCGCTCGGCCGCTGCCACACCGACCGCTCCGGCTACTCGGGCCCCTGGACCTTCTCCCCGACCGTCCTGACCAATGACTACTACAAGCTGCTGCTCGACGAGAAGTGGCAGTGGAAGAAGTGGAACGGCCCCAAGCAGGTAAGGCCGAACCAGCCCCTTTCGAGCTGGCCATTCGAGAGAGGCGGATGCTGACGGGATGAAACAACAGTACGAGGACAAGAAGACCAAGTCGCTGATGATGCTCCCGGCCGACATGGCGCTCATCCAGGACAAGAAGTTCAAGGAGTGGGTGCAGAAGTATGCCGCCGACAACGACCTCTTCTTCAAGGACTTCTCGGCCGTCATCGTCAAGCTGTTTGAGCTGGGCGTGCCTTTCAAGGAGGGTACCGAGAAGTGGGTGTTCAAGCCCGTCAACGCCTAAATTGGTGCATCAGAAGGGGGAGGAGAGAGTTAGACGAGGAAGAGGAGGGTCAAGAACATAGACGAGGTGCCAAGTTCTTCCTGAGCTGGGTTTAGAAGGAGGTTCATCTAGAAGAAGGAGTGCTGGTGGTTGCTTTATCGTGGCATGATAAGGAGTTGAGGATTGATTCCCGCGTCTCGGTGACGCGTCCCTTAGAGGACAGGGCGGTTAGACGGTGCCGCTGTAATACATGCTTCTTTAGCGTTGTCTTGCTGTGTCTGACGGATCAGTTTGTAAAACAGTGGGGGATAATATTAGGTCACTGGAAGAGAGCCACGAAATTCGCGAGAAGGGTGTGGTTGTGGGAAATGTAGATGTGAAGAGAGAGCTTCCTACAGCGCCATAAGGGCGAGAAGTCCCTGAGACGGCAGTTGTGTAGCCGTGTGACTTTGTGAGCGACGTCATGGCTAGACTGTTTGACTGGTTTCAAGCTTGTACGTGGGGGTAACATCCGCTCCGAGTCCCTGATGTATTCTCCTGCCTCTGGACTGGCAAGTTCCCCGCGATTTCTCCTCCGAGAACCTCTGCAACTGGACCCTTGCCCAGGATATTGGTCGCTTTTTGGCCTTCAAGATCTACTGTAGTACGTAGTCTATATACACCATTCTGGATTCGCGCTCCTTCCGGTATACATGTCCAGCGATCTTAGCTGTTTGCCCCTGAGCCGGTCGCAAGCCCTTGGGTTTGGGAGCTGGGACAAGTAGCCGTGAAGGGTTAGGGCTGTCACTGGGGTATGTATCGCGTTCTTATCAGCTGGTACAGAGCCACTTATCAAACTTCCATACTTTCCGAATTCCAAACCATCTACATGCCGTAGTACAACCCTCACAGACACAATGGCCGCTGCGCGAACACCAGTGTTACGGCACATCCTGAGCTGCCAGACGGGGGCGCTGCGCGCCTCGAACCAGCGGCGCTGGGCCCAAGTCCACGACGTGCGCTTCCTCGCGACTACGCAGCAGCCACGCAACATCCTCGAAAAGTACCGCGACAAGCTCGACCGCAAGGCGCGCGAGGAGGGCCACGCAGACATCGACTCGCTCAAAGCAGCTTACGCCCAAAGGATTCACGCCCTGCGCAATGAGACCGACGCAGTCCTCACTCCCCCGAGTCGCACACCTGCGCCTGGACAACAACCATCATCATCACCATCCAGCCCTAGTCCCTCCTCCTCCTCGTCGAGACTTCCACCACAACAACAACCACCCAAACCCTCCTCGACGGGGATCAAACCCCTCTCCGAAATACTCGACATCCCCAAAGCCTCCGTCCTCCCGACAAAGGAACTAACCGCCATCTGGCGCCTGCACCACGCCGTCCGACCCAACTCGCTCTGCGCCGTGATCCCGGCCGCCACCTTCACCGCCATGGAGACGCTCGCCCGGCAGAACCCGCAGTTCGTGCTGCCCGTGCCGCACCCCAGCCAGGGCGCCGAGATGCACTTTTTGCAGTGGACCTGGGACGCGGCGACCAAGTCGGCCACGGTGCTGTTTACACAGCTGGCCGAGTACAAGGCTAGGGGGGAGTTTGCGGCGCCGCATACGACGGTGACGCACTACAAAGATTTTCTGGCCCGGGAGGACGGGGGGGAGGGGGTCGTCCTCATGCAAGGCTTGGTCATGGATGACCGCGGGGTCAAGGTGGATGATGCGCGGTGGTTGGTTATGTGCTTGCAGCGGTTCTATGGCGGGTGGGACGGGACTGGCGGGAGAAAGGCGCAGGAGAGGGCTGAGGAGAGGAGGAGGTTGTTGGAGTGGTTTGGACGGGGGGATGGGAGATTTAGTGTGGAGCGGTTGATGGAGGAGGCGGAGAGGATGGGGTAGGGTGGTTGAGTGGAGGGTAAGTGAGTGATTTGTATCATATCTAACTAGCTAGATGGAAGGTAGGTCAGAGGTGGGCCACCGTGTACGTGGCAGCATATAGAGCACGGAACTGTTTGATATGGCCGGCGTTGGTGATTACAGCTTCGCGCCTGAATCCCACTGCTCCTTCTTCGCCTGCTCCCGCATCACCCTCCGCAGCACCTTGCCGCTGGGTGATTTGGGCACCTGGTCAACAAACCGTATGCCACCGCGTAGCTTTTTGTGGGGAGCCACCTGGGCTGCCACCCACTCCGCAAGCTCCTGTGCCTTCGCCTCGCTTGCCTCTCCCCTATCACGAAGTACGACGTACGCCCGCGGCACCTCGGTGGCGTTGACTTGGTCCTCAACGCCAATGACGCAGGCATCGGCCACTTCCTTGTGGCCTAGCAAGATGCCTTCTAGCTCAGCCGGCGGGACGGGATAGCCGTCTAGGCCCTGATCAGTGATCTTTCGCTGAGAAGGGGTAAGATGTAGACTGACTGTACTTGATCAGCTCCTTGATACGGTCGACGCAGTAGAAGTTGCCGTGCTTGTCGCGTTTGAACACATCGCCCGTCTTGAAGTATCCGTCGGACGAAAAGGCTTCCTTGGTGCGCTCCGGGTTGCTGAAGTAGCCCGGGAAGACATTGGGCCCTTTCAACCACAGCTCGCCGGCCTGAGGAGGTAAGCTCAACATTGAACAAGAGAAACTAAGAATACAAAACTCACCTCCCCCTCCTCCACGTCCCGCCCCTCCTCCCCCACGATCCTCGCCTCCATATTCGGCATCAGCTTCCCGACTGATCCCATAAACTTGGCCCACTCATCCACCACCTGGCAGCACACAAACGCACACGTCTCGGATAGCCCGAACCCCTGCTTGACAGGCACCTTCAACCGGTTCCACACCGCCTCAGTCAACTCCCGCGTCAGCGGCGCCGCGCCCGAGTGCAGCAGCTTCAGCGAGCTGAGATCGAACCCCTCGACCCCGGGATGCTTACCAAACGCCAACACGACCGGCGGCGGGACGTACGCGAACGTGATCCGGTACCGCTCAATCGCCCGCAGCGCCTTGGTCATGTCGAACCGCTCCAGCACCACCAGCTGCCAGCCCTCGTACACCGACAGCAGCACGCCGCTGGTCAGGCCAAAGATGTGGAAGAAGGGAAGGATCCCGAGCTGCTTGCCATCGGCGCCGCCGCGTGAGCGCCACTGGCTGCCTTCGACGTAGCTGGCCTGCAGGAGGTTAGAGACCATGTTGTGGTGGGTTAAGCAGACGCCCTTGGGGAGGCCCGTGGTGCCGGAGCTGTAGACGAGGAAGGCTATGTCGCGTTTGGGGTTAATGGAAGCGGGTTTGATGGCGGTGGTGGTGCGGGGAGGGGTGAGGAGGTTGGTGAAATGATGGATGCGGTGCGCAGGGCCATGATGTGTGCCGAGAAGGAGGATCCGGTCGAGGGGGAGGTTGGCTTTCCGGGCGGCTGAGATGGCGGTGGGTAGGTTGGCAGCTTGGGTGATGAGGCCCTTGGCACCGGCGTTATGGAGTTGAAATGCGAGCTCGTCGGCGGTGTAAAGTGGGTTGGCAGGAGAGACAGTACCGCCTGCCCACAGGGCACCGAGTGTTAGGATTGGGGTCTATGTCGAGTCGGTGTGAGTGACAGTTTGCGAATGACCATCAAAGTGGGATCACTGACATCAATGGAGTTGGGAGTGTAGAATGTCAGAACCTCGCCCTTCCTCCATCCCCAGTGCTCCTTGAGTCCCTGACCGAACTCGATCGAGGCCCTGCGCAGCTCTGCCCAAGTGTATGAGCGGCCCGTCTCGGCGCATGTCAAGATCTCTTTGGCCGGGGGAAAGTCTCGGAGCCGATCTCCGAAGAGGAGCGTCCAGAGGTCGACATTTTTAGGAATGTCAAGGTGCGGGAATGTTGACGGATACGGCATTGCGAGCGACAGGTGCGCGGGTGGTGATAGAGTGCCTATGAGGATCTCATCTGAACTCTCGAACGGCACATCAAAGCCGTTTCAACAATCATTTCAAGAGCACCCATTCCTGTCTTGCAGGACCTGCGTGTGCCATGGCTTGCGGCTACATATTGAGTTTCGGCGGGCCATGGCTGGCATCGGCTCTCCAACCTGGAATTGAGCCTCGGATTGTTGTAGCCTTCGTTGGTGAGCCCGTTGTCGGGCTCGTCGGGCTAGCATCGGTCCCACCCGGCTCTCAGTCCGGGCTGCCGAGACTGGGGCCGTCAGGTGACGGAGAAGGGCTCTCGGCGCTAAGACCTGCTGGGCTAAGCGCAACCGCCAAGGGAACGAGATCCACAACAGGGACTGCACCGACACTGCTTCCGGGGTGTCGTCTCATCACTTCCCCAACTTCGATGTCAGTTTCAGGTCCCAACCCACAGGCTCACGGCTCGACTTGGCTTGCCATGGCCGTTACGCTTGGTTCATCTCTACCCGGTTTCTGAGCTTTCCATCTAGATCTTTCCAAGCCTTTCAAGTCTTATCAGCGCATAGAAAACCGAGCGGTAAATACCCGTTGGCTCTGTCGCAAAAGTTTCTTGAACCTCGAAGCATCCTACGATACCTAGCTGCCCATGGCTTTCTCACCTCAAGAATACACGTGAGACCACCTCACATATCAACCTGCTCGCTTGCTCATCCGAGCCGCTTGGTCCCCTTTCTTCCAGAACGGCGGTATTGCCGTCGATAGGTGGATTTGTGTTTGCCCGTCTTCGAAGGGTTTGAGGGTTGAGGTTCAGGGGCAAGCAGGGGTATGAGGCGCATCAGATGAGAGCACCAGATTGCTGCGACACCTTTCAAACCGCGCTTGTGTATGGTTTCTCATCTGGGCTGCGCGAACCTGGCGCTTGGAACCTGTCAACCCAGTTCTCGTGGCGCTCCGCTGGTCGGCAGACCCTCATTAGAGTTCCTGGTCCGAGGGATGACGTTTGGTAAACAGTGAGAGCTCTGAATTCCAACCGTCCTGATCACGTCATGAAGTCAGGGGACATAAGCCAACTCATACGAAGTCCTCCTGGCTCTGGGCGTCCACAGGATATTTAAGGTTGTGGAATCGCCAACTTGACTCGTTCTGCTGTCTACATATCGATATATCGAATTGCGCCATCCTCTCAGTTTTGGCTTTCCCCTTCCTGTTCGTTTCGTCAACAGCAGTGCTGTTTCCATCTCGCGAATACTGTTTCTCCAAAGTCTATTTTCTCTTGCCATCACCATGTATATCAAAGCAGCCGTTCTCTTCTCCCTCCTCGCATCGTCCCTCGCCGTCCCGGCCGCCAACGGCGACCGCAAAGTCAAACGAGGAGTTCTCTCCGTCCAGGACTATTCCGAGTTCCAAGTTTCTGATGGTGTGGCGGGTAATGCCTTTGCCGAAGTGAACGCCAAGTTTCCTGTATGCAAACAAGGACTATCGTCATGCCTACCATCTTCACTCACAGATTGCAGATTGGAACCGACTTCGCCTCAGTAGATTCCGAGGATCTCGCTATCCTGAAGGCGGCGCGTGAGACTGCCGAAGCCGCAGAGACTGAGGAAGGCGGATTCAACGACGCTATTGAAGCAGCCGGAGGAAAGGATACGCCTGCAGGACAGGCGCTGCAAAACGGCAAGATTAAAAACAAGGTGCTGAAGCTGCAGCTGCAAGTACTGGCCCTGCAGATTGAGGCTGCCCAGGGCAAGGACACGGCTGCGAAGCTGGCCGAGCAGAGGACCAAGCTGGCCAAGAACGTCCAGCTGGACGAGGAGGCGGCGGGGCAGGCGAGCTCGAGCGTGGATTTTCAGGGCACCAGCCAGCCGTAAGGTGCAGCTTCAGGAGAGACAGATCTTTGTGAACGGCCTGGCATGGTGGCGTCGAAATTGGGGAAGCATGCTTGGTAAACCAAAAATGGATCTATAGGTGTTGTGTCCTGGGCCAGCAAACTAGGATCCATACAATTAACGACAAGGGTATCATGGCCACCTTACTAGCCAGCAGCCAGCCTGTCAAACATGGCCCAGTCCACCTCCTCAACAACCCTGCGGTGGCTGCCCTCGACCGCGTGGGGCTTGCTAGCCTCGAACCAGAAGGCCCATACGCTGCGCGTATCAGCAGTCGCCATGCCCCGGCTGCTTACCAGGCCGACATGCTGGACCACCTGCTCGCGAAGGGCGAACCTTCTGATCCCGGTAGCATCGCAATACTCCTCGATTATGATGTCGGTCTGGCCCCTTTCCCTCTGCCGTAGATACTGCATGAGATTCGGGAGTTCTTGCCGGTGAAAGACGAGCGCCTGCGAGCAACAACCATTTTTGTCCATGGGCACAACGCCGGCTGCCAACGCGGATGTAGGTGGACCAAGAGGGACGCTGTGGTGGAGGCTGTAGCCCGGCAGCGGCAGGTTGTGCTTGCCCGCCATATAGGCCAGCACCGTAAACCCGGGAGCGACGAGCAGAGAGAGTACGGCAATGGTAGCCCAGTCAAGGCGCAACCGCTCCCCGCATCTCAGAAGCCGCAACAGGACGAGAAACACGGCGGTGCCGCCGGCAGCTATCGCCAGCATCAGCGGCAGGTGGCGATACCACCAGTCGCCCTCGGCCGCCCAACCCAGAAACGTCTCTGTATAGAACAGCCTCAGATACAACCAATCTTTCTCCCCCTCCGCGGGCGTGTAGTCACGCGCCAGGTACTGCAGGCCCCGCATGGTTCTCGCCATCCAGTCCTCCGCGAATATCACATCATCCTCGAACACGGCAATAAACGGCGCGCTCGTCTCCTCCAAGCAGCGGTCCAACACGTACAAGTAATCAAACACGCCCTTGAGCTGCAGATCCCTCTCCTCCTCGGCCTTGCGCAGCCCCGCGCTCTGCAGGCTCGTCAAATTCTCGTAGCCGGCGGCCGAATCGGTCAGAGCCCGCACCCAGGGTGCCTCCCAGTCTGGGTGCTGGGCCGGATCGGTGTTGGCAAACAGTACCTTGACGGCGAGCGCCGCCCGCTCGCGCATGTCCAGCCCCGCCAGCATCGACCCCAGGGCGTCGGGAAAGTACTGGCGCGCTTGATCACCGTCGCGGCGGACCGTCACGAAGGCGGCGCACAGGGCCGGGGTGTTCCCTGCCTTTTGCGGGGTCTTGCTGGGTCGCGTTGTCGCGCCATTGCTGCTGTCGTGCGCGTCGTCGGCTGCTGCGGTTACGTCGCGGGTGACGCGGGCGATGTAGTCGCGGGCTTGGCGCTGGCGAACGGCTGAGTAGTCGAGGTCGTAGACCGAGTCGGACTGGAAGTAGGCGCTATGCGGATCGCGCCACAGAAAGAGGCGGCCGTAGCTGAAACCGAGGAGCCAAATGAGGCCGCAGATCAAGAAGGCGCGCGCGGCCGGGAGGGAGAGGATGCGTAATGGGAGGTGGACAATCCACGGGCGGAGCTTGCCGATATTAGCGTTATGGCATTGCCGAAGCATGCTGTGTAGTTGGTTAACTAGTGGCGTTCGGTTGCTGCCATGAAGCAGAAGTCTGAGAAGCCTGGTCAAAACGGAGACTGGACGATTTAAAACCGCGTTATACGGTACAAGCATAATACACAACTTTTCGGCCCCCACTGACAAATCGAGGAACTCAGTACGGGATATTCGTACTTGTAAGGCACGGAGGTCACGGAATAACGTGTAACGTGTAAGACGAAGGCAGGAACAGGAAAGAGTCTTGGCAACTGGTGCCAAGCATGGGGATTGCGCAAGCCTGCAAGGGACGAGACGGGGAAACACAACCAGGAAAGCTTGACTTTGGGCTCTGTTTTGGCCATCTTGCAAATGCAGGTTTTGAGTTTTGAATAATCTGATCTAAATAGATGGAGCATGTCGAGGCGATGACTTAGAGGTTAACAAACCGGCCCTCTTCGACAGTCGGATAAGGCACTCCTAGGTAGCCGTGCATTGCAGGCTGCAGGAGAACCGAGTGCGAGAAGCAGTACGATTTTGAGGCCGAGGACTGCTCGTGCTGGGCAGCCTTCTCTCTAGGCTCTCGCCGACAGGAAGACAAGACGGCCAAGCCATGGCCAGTCCGATTGGGTATCTCATCCATCCCGAGCATCCAACTGCTGCTCCGGATGTCACGCCCCCGGTCCACCCGGCACCGGCATTTCGAGCCCCACTCATTGCGACCCCCGAAGAACCAGTCCGCCCACACGGCCCGACATCGGCACCTCCGTCCAGTGCCAGAACCGATCCGGAACGCACAACAACCGGCCCGGCTCCTGATGGAAACCACGCCAAGACGAAGTCGCTGTACCAATGCGCCGACTGTCTGCGTGAGTACCGAATCTCCAACTTTGTTGTTGTCAAGTCGCCCGCTGACCAGCTTCCCCAGGACGCTACTCTCGCCCGGAGCATCTCCAGGTATTGTACAGTCCGTCCTGACCATTTCTTGCTGCTGATTGGAATTAGAGACACGTAGCAGCGCATACACTTGGAAAGCGCTTCACCTGTGATGTGGGTTGCCCACCGATCTTAGACTGGATCTGGTCTTTGACTAATACAAGTGACAGGTCTGCTCCAAAGCCTTTGCCAGAGCCGATCTACTCAAGCGCCACCGCGCCAACCATCAAGCTGACAGCAGCAACAAGCGCAGACGCTTCAACTCGGCCCCCTCAGCGAGCCGCGTGGCACAGGCATGCGCCCCCTGTGCGAAAGCCCGAGTGAAATGCGAAGAAATCAAACCGCACGTCTCCGTTTTTCCCGCTGCTCCCCTTCCTGATCCTGGCTAACCGTCTCAGATGCACACGCTGCAAGACACGGAGACTGACGTGCGAGGTGGCCTCCTCGGAAGACGCTGCCAGGTCCCTCGCCCACCTGTCGGGGACCCGCGCCGAGCGTCATGAGTCTACCCCTGAGTCCTGCTACTCGTTCTCATCCAGCTTGGGGCAGCGTCTGCCTCGGCCGCCGACCTCGACCCCATCCTCGTACGTTCCATCTGCCAGCCCCGAGGATAGTAAGGAGAGTATTGCAGCCCCGGCCTACCCCATGTATCAAGATGACCCCTTGCCAACCTCGGACGCATCTCCGACCCCCGGAGACCAGGCTAACGCCGACGACTTTTCGTCTTACCCTAATGATGACTTGACTTATGGGGGTCAGGACCAGCCAAGAGTCCAATTCCCCGATTTTTTGCGCGACGTCTTGTACGATCAGTCCTTCGGCAGCTCGAGACCGCCCGAAGCACAGGGGCTCTCCATGTTAGACTTCCACGATGACGCAAACATCGATTTCAGAGAGTTCGATTTCTCCCTCCTGGACCACTGGAACTTTGAGGCAAATCGTCACATGGCCGGCCCGTCAACCGACGCCGAAGAGCCCGCCGGCATAACAGAGATGCGCTCCGCGTTGAACAAGATGTGGACCGAATCCCCGTGGAAATGGACACCGGGCAAGACAGACAATTGCTACACCGAGCAGTCCAACCTGCCCCTGCCCTCCGGCGACGCACACGGTGCTCGGGATCAGAACAGCCAACTCGCAGCCGGCCGGGTGGTCAAGGACACGCTCCTGCCTTCATGCCGCGACAAGATTCTGGGTGTTGTCCTAGGCACCTGCCGTGAAAGCCACATGGTCAGCCGGGTGGCGTCTTCCTTTCCCTCGGCCAACATGCTGGACTCCTGGATCAACCTCTTTCTAGCGTCCCACTTGGGCCAGGTCTCGTCGTGGATTCACTACCCCTCATTTTCGCTCAATAGCCAGGGGACAGAATGGCTCGCCACTGCTGCTGCCGCTGGGGCCTTGTTGACGCCGGTGCCCGCTTGGCGCCGGTTTGGGCTGGCCTTGCAGGAAGCGATCCGTGAGTCTTGGCCTTTTGCGTACACTGCTCTGGTGGCTGACTGATCTGGCACAGGCATTGCTCTTCCAGAGAAAGTGAGCTTCAAGCCCTTTCGCAGTTCATCCTGGGTCAGCTAAATGATTTTTCAGTTCGAGGAGGACAACAGAACTGTTGCCGAGATTGGCAAGGTACAAACCTTGATGCTGGTCCAAGACATCGGGCTCTGGAGCGGCAACAGGCGGAAGATGGAAATCGCCGAGTGCCGTAAGGATTTCAAAAATGATTGTGTCATGTTCATAGCTAACAGAAAGTAGACTTGGCCATACCTATAGCGGTAAGTTGATCGCGTCCCTCTGGTAAGCTGTACTGACGAGCATAGATGATGCGCTACAGGGGCAAGTTCTCACGGTCCATGTATCCAGACATCGCTATCCACGCCTCGGACGAGGGTGAGGTCCTGGAAGAGAAGTGGAAAAGATGGTACCAGCTCGAATCCTGGAAGCGGTATGATGATCTCCTTCTTCAACCGGGCAGTACTGACTCCTCCAGATTGGCCTTTCACGCCTACGTCCGCGACGCCCAGATCTCCATGACACAGCTCAACAACCCATCCATGTCCTACGCCGAGCTCACCCTCCCGCTGCCATGCTCAAAGGAACTCTGGTACGCCCGATCCGCCGACGAGTTCAAAACCCGCTATCTCGAGATGTCCACTGATAAACGTTCCCCCTCTCTCGGCGACCTCTTCCGGGACGTCGGCACCCTTCACGCAACACACCGCCACCTGGACCTCCAATTCACAGTCTCCACCTACCTTCACGGCTTCTGGTCCTTGATCTGGGAGTACTGTCAGCTCGCCTCCATCCACCAGTCGCCAACTTGCACCTCAACCATCACCAGCACCACCAACAGCAACATGACCCTCCTCCTCTCCTCTCGCCGCCACGATCTTCTCAACCAACTCACCGCCTTCCACCAGCTCATCATCACCAACCCCGCTAAGACCTACGACATCCTACCAGAGTCCCACCTCCTCCTGCACGTCCTCTTCCTCAACCTGCACCTCTCGCTACCGGACATGCACCTCTTCACGGGAAAAGAAGGCGAGGACCAGGCGCGGCGCGTCTACCCTGCCCTGCAGCGTTGGGCCGCGTCCCGCGACGCGCGCCAGGCCATGTGGCATGCCGCGCAGGTACTGAGATGGGCGAGCTTGTTTCCCAGGGGCCGGCTGAGAGCGTTTTGGAGCGTGGGCGTGTGTCATGCTGCGTTGGGGATCTGGACATATGGGGTTGTGAATGGGGCTGCGAATGGGGCTGCTGTGGCACGCGGGGGCGAGATGATGGGGATAGGGCTGGATATGGGGGTGGGGATGGGAAGATATCAGCAGCAGCAGCAGCAGCAGCAACAGCAACATCGTCATCAACACCAGGAGCAGCAGGGGCAAAGGCAAGGGCCGGTGGTGTACCTTGACGGCGGGGAGGAGACGGCCGAGGTAAGGGCGTGGGTTGAGTACGCTCAGGGGCGGCCGGCTATTCGTGGGTTGGGGGCTACTGCCAACACTGGGTACGGTGACGGAAGGGGGACGGAGTGCTTGCTGGAGGACCCCAGGGCGTGCATGGAGGTTGCGCAGGAGATTTTGAAGGCCAACATTGTGGGTGTGTGGGAAACGTTGCCGCCGCTGAATGAGAATATTATTGTAGTGTTGAAGCAGCTGGAGAAGGCGGCGGGGGCGGTGGCCATGCGGTAGACGGTGGACTTGGGATGTCGTGGGCTTGGAGGGTTGTTGCGTGGATGGTGTTGTGGCTGGACTCCGGGTTCTTTATACCATGTACTGTGGAGAAAAAGATCCATGCATGCCATTGCACCTTTCATTCGACCCTTTCTTCGCTTGTCATTTCTGTTTGTGCTGGTATGTCTGCATCTCATAAGCCAATGCCCCAACACTTCCAGCACAATGATCTTACAACTCACGAAACTGCAGGGCATATTGAGTTGCTACCCAAAGCAGCCAACGGCCCTTCTTGACCGGTTCAAACTCCTCGCCGTCAGGCAAAACAAGGCCAAACTACATGGCAATGCCGTGGCCCTGGACTTTGCGAAGCGATGCGCAGAAGGTGTGAGGAGGAGGGCCGGGCGGCAGATGCTGCGTCAGGGGCAATTGAGATTGTTCTGCGGCGGCAGGCTTCTGGCGAAGACGGAGTCCCGGGTAGCCTCCATAGATAGCAAGCTACTTTCTTTCATCTCGTAATAAGGGATAGTGCTGTGCTTGACTCGTAAGGGTCTCAATGACATTTGGGGGAGATGGTGAGCTGGAGCTCGTCGTAGGTACTCGGGTGAGGATATAGCAACGAGACAGAACGTGCGAGGATGTCGTCTCGATGCCAACAAGCGTGTGCATTGTCATCAATGCAACAGAAAGAGTCGTTTCTGTGCCCGATTCAAGTCGAGCGCAGGAAGGAGGCGGCTGGCCTTTTCTAATCTAACGGCACGAAACATGGCTGTCATACTGAAGGAACGCTGATCACCAACTGGATGTGGAAACAGGAGACCGAGAGGCAACTGACTGTAGTGAGCTGCTCTGCTGTGCCCGTAAGACGTTATCTGAATGATGAAGCCCTTGAACATTGCGGCTCGTTCTTAGACCAGAACAAGGCTGAACTGAAGTTCGATACGCTGAGTCGACAGGCTGCCTTCCGAGATGAAGCGGAGCTTTTAAGAAAGGTTGGCATGTCAATACCTGGTCTGTGCATATGCAGTTGTCCTGGGCCTGATTGAGCAGGACATGGAAAGCTGGATATTGCATTGTCGGAGTTGGGCTGCGAGATGAGAGACGAGTTGTAGTAACAAAAGCCAAATTTAGCGGGACGAACCACAGGTTGGGTGCGATTGGCCGCCAGAAACTGTCAGCACGCAACTTGATGGGGTCTTATGACTTCGTCGAATTGGAACATATTGTGAATTCTAGGTTCTGATTCTTGTTTCGTTTGAGAGTTGGATTTACAGGTTGATCTGTGAGGACGGCGTGTCGGTGTCGTGTTCCTTTCAGGCGGTCGATGTCCAGGCTCGAGGCCAAGCGCTCTTTACCTTACCGGAACTAGCCTAGCGTGCTCGGTCGCTCAGACCCTTTGTGGCGTGTAGTGGGGCAGTTCTCATCTTGAAACAGAGCTGTTTGCGGGGCTGCGATCCGCAAATCAAGTCCCTGCATGGCATGTCTGCGTCCCCGTCTATGCGAGAAGCTTTTCCAAGCCTTTGTTGTTCTGGTCCAGAGTAACCATGTTTGGGTTTGTTGTCGTGTGCGACCGGCAACCGAAGTAACTATGACAGGTGTTCTAGCGTGTAGGGCCGGCCTCGGCGTAGTCGGTGATGTCTGCTGCTGACTCCGAACAGATATATGACCGAGGGGAGGTACTGTATTGTACACAGCCATGCGCCGTAATAACGATATGAGTCGAGAAGAACAACGAATAGTATCTCCTCCAAAGAAAGATCACCCTCCGCATACCTGAGGTAAGGCATAGAGCAGCCCACGGAGGCTCGCAGGAGTGCAGCCTGAGTCTCGACAGCGCTTCCCACCTGGAGGCATCGTAGAAGTTAAATTGGTGCATGTAAACAACCTGGAAGCCACCGGACCCATGTGTTCTCATCCACGGAGTACTTGCACAAGTACGCAGAAGAATGTTTGTTTGTTCGGGAAGCACTAACTGAGCGCAAGACGGCACCTGGCTTGCCAAGCCAGATTCATCGTGTTTACCCCTTCCCCATGCATTCCTGGTCAACTTGTCATCCCGTTATTTCCATTTCTTATGCGACTCTGGAGGACCCGCAGCGCTCCTTCTCGTCAACCTCTCTCGCGTTTTCTCTTCTTTACACTTTCGTCCGAGACTGTAGTTGAGGTAAACATCTGGGCAGAGCCTAGTTCAGTTGTATTGGTGGTTTGTATTCAAGCTCGAGAGCCGCCCGCAACACTTCTCGCCATGGCGCTGCAGGCTGCATACAAGCAGTTTCTGGCTTCGCCAAGCTCGTCGGCCCTCGCTGAAAACGCGTCGCTGCACTACGTGACGACTACCACAAGCTTCTCGGGCGCGACCGGCATCATCAAGCACCTCGCCTCTGTGCGGAACAAGATCAAGAAGAAGAAGGAAGATGCCTTGTTCGCCATCGAGAACCAGCATGCGCTGGCCCTCGAAGTGGACACTACCCTCGAGTTTGTCACCAGCGGCGGCCCCTACCTCCCCGGCTTGGACGACAACTTCCTGGCGGATCGCACCGTCTACCTTGCAGTAGTGAGTCGCAGAGCAGACCCGGGACCATTGCCAGTTTCACTAACACGCGTTCTATGTAGACCCACATCGTCACGTTCGACCGCGACGGCAAGATCGCACAGATTCGGCAGAGCTGGGACCAGGGTTCGCTTCTCAAGCAGGTCGAGGTGATTGGCAGGTCCGGCCAGAACTGGCCGATCCGCGACAGCAAGGACCAGATAAGCCTCATTGCAAAATCCGTCAAGGGTGACGGTGTTGCGCCCACTCCGACCGAGTCCCTCGCCGCACGCTCTCGGAGCTCGACCAACGCCATGCGCGACCCGCATGCCTCTCTCGATCTGTTCGCATCACGCGAGGAACTCGAGGATGCACCCTCCAACATCGTCTCGCCCTATGCTGGCAGAAGACCGCGCCAGCGGGACTTCAGCGAGATTCTGGGCGATGAGCCCCTGGAGGATCTCAGCTCACCCAGCAATGGCCGTGAGCGCTCGCAGTCTCCCAGCAAAGTTGTTGCACCCAAGATTGGCGCGGGGAAACACTTCCAGCCCATGCGCCTGTTTGATCGGGACGACAAGGAGGCCGATGCCGACACGCCCGAGCGCAAGCAGTCGATTGGTCGTGTCGTGCGTCCGGACCCAAAGAAGTTTCAGCATTTTGAACTTGACGATGGCTCCGAGGCTCCGCCTCCCGCACCAAAGCCTGCTCCGGATAGGAAGAGCAAGCATGATAGCAGCTGGTCGTTCGAGGACTTTACGACGCCGCAGAAGCCCGTGGCCAGCCGCGGCATGCACAAGGCTCGCGACATACGTCATTGGAACGCAGACAATGAATTGCTGGAGAACACGCCCGCTCCGAATCCGCATGTAATCAAGCCTCGCCGCGACGCCGAGGCGCACTTTGAACTGCAGGATGACGGCCCGATGCGCGAGGACCCACGCAATGCTAACCGGCCGCCCCGAGGCACCGCCCATAACGAGGGGCTGCACCTGTATGACAACAGGCTACACGATGAAGACGCCACTGGCTCGCCTGGCCCGGGCCCCCTGGGCAACATCACCAACGTCAAAGGCCGGCACAAGGATTTCGATCCCCACTTCAGCATGACTGACGACTCGCCGCACCATGACAGCGGCAGCGAACCCGCGAAGGTGCCTGAGGATCGCAAGAAGGCGGTCCGCATGATGGAGAGCAACTGGTCAAACTACGATACCTCGCCCGTGTCCCGCAAGGAGAACGACAACCCCAACGCCAAGCGGAGCGGTGACGATCGCGGCATTGTGATTGCCGGCGACGGCATGGGCAGCAAGAAGGGCACCAGCCGCGGCTGGCTGCACGGTGAGGATGATGAGCCGGCGGCTTACAAGGGCAAGACCCGTGGCCCCCCGACGAAGTCCGATAATTTCTGGGACTTCTAAGGCGGTCCGTCCGATCAGGGATTGCTAGTCGCGCTGATGATTGACGTTTTATGCGCTGTACAACGTTCATGACAAGAACACATCTCATACGCACTTACCCACTCTGCGGGGGTTTCTTTTCGTTTTCGCTTTGGACCTTGTCTGTTCCCAGTTGTTAGACTTCACGCTGGCGGACAACCTCTTGTTGGGCTATCAGGCTGTACGTATCTGGTTTGTTGGGATTAGAATTAGGATTTGGTTTATCAAAATTACTCAGGCTTGTTCTGATAGCAAGCACGCAGGGGCGATTCTATACCTTTCTAGATGCTCTCCTTTGCGACATGTCCACTCCATCCACAACCCATTCATAGGGGCGTAAGCCCAGTCCGCTCCCGGCCCCTTGATGTTGGAAGAGTATTTTGGACCGATCCAAGGTCCGACTCGCTCCTGATCTCTCAAGCCGATAACCAGGTTGCCCTTTTGCGTTTGGCCACACGACTATTTTGTACTTGAACTGCCAAAGTCACTGCACCGTAACGCCAGCCCAAGATAACGCCCTGGTATCTTCGCAACAACCTCCGAACCATGACTCCCATGGCACGGCAATGCACATAAACGACACCCTATATACACCCCTTCAAAACAACAACAGGAGCAGGACTCAGCAGAGAAATTTATAAACCCGCTTCCACCACGGCATTCCCCGCTCTTCGTCGATTTCCCTGGATATCAAAATCGGCAGGTTGAAATCCCTCCTCCCCGTATCCACATCCATCTCCTCCACCTTGACCGCCGCGGTACGATACCACAGTTTATACCCTACATAACACGCAAGCACTATCGGCGCGCACAGATACTCCAAGAAGAAGTTTTGCGCCACGTCCCGCGGCGACTCAATCGCTCCCAACCCCGTGCCTCCGCCAGTCCCCTCGTCGCCCATAACTTGCCCCTTCGACGAACCATGCGAATGCGGAACAGGCCACGCGGCCGTCCAAAACTGCGCCACGAGCACCAACACATTGAGCATTAAGCCGACCCACGAACCCGCCACGCCAACCTGCGACCGAAACGCCAGCTCGCCCAATCCCCTCCCTTTGAACCTCCACGCTTTGCGAAACCGGATATGCGCTAGACAGATCGAACCCCAGGTGAACACGGACGACAGGCCCGAGACGGCGAGCAGCCAGTTGAGCACATCGCTCTGCTGTTCCTCGAGCTCGGCCAGATAGCCCAGCAGCCCGACGAGCGCGGCCACGAGGATGGCGACCAGCGGCCGGCCGCGGCGGTCCACGTAGCCCAGGATGCGGGGCGCCTGGCGCTGGTCCGCCAGCGCGGCCAACGTGCGCGACGAGCCGAACACGGCGCTGTTGCCGACGGATATGACGGCTACTAGAATCACGCTGTTCATAACGCCGGGCAGGATGGCGATGCCCGCGGACTCGATGGCGATGACGAAGGGGGAGGCCGAGGCGTCGGCGGCGGATTTGGCGCCAAGGAGCCGGGGGTGGTTGTGCGGGACTAGCAGGCCGATGAGGGTTAGGGAGACAATGTAGAAGAGGGTGATGCGCCAGAACACTTGTTTAATGGCCGTGGGTAGGGAGCGGCGCGGATTGGCGGTTTCGGCTGCGGCCTGGAGGTAGATACAGGTAAGATTAGAGGGTCGTTCTTGATTTGAGAAAGAATAGGGAGAGCGGCGTACGAGACCAACGAGCTCGGTACCGGTGAAGGCGAAGGCGGCGGTCACGAAGACAGCACATAGGCCTTTGAAGCCGTTGTTAAAGGCGCCAGGGTTGTGCCAATAGCGACCGCCAATGTAACCGTCGTCGGGAAAGCCGCCGATGTTAATAACTATGCCGAGAAGGCTACAGTCGTTGTGAGCGATGGGCAGGGGGGATGGAAGGGGGGTTGGCTGGCGTACATGAAGCCAATGACGGCGGTAATCTTGACGATGGCAAATACGAATTCGGCTTCGCCGTAGCCTTTGACACCGAAGAGGTTGATGACGACAATCGTGAAGAGGAAGATGGTGATAAAGATGGATTGGTTCAGGCCGCTGTTCCAATAGCCGACTGTGATGGAGGCGGCGATAATCTCGAGCGGCAACACTACGAGCCACTGCAAAGCATAGCTGGAATTGTCAATATCAATTTGAGACATGGCGTCAGAGGCGACTCACTTCCAGCCCATAGCGAACCCCCATGCCGGGTCAAGGAACCGTGTTGAGTAGGCCGAAAAGGAGCCAGCGACGGGGAAGGTGACGGCGAGTTCGCCCAGGGCTTGGATGGTGCAGTACAGCATGCAGCCCACGAACAGATACGCAATAAGAACCGAGGCCGGGCCTCCAGTGTTGAGCGCCTTTCCAGACGCGACAAACAGCCCGGTGCCTTGCGCGAACATGTCAGTCGAGGTCTGTCCATCCCAGGTCATCCACGACCACCCGAGCCAAAGACTACCCACCAATGGACCCCCCAATAGCAATCATCTGCAGATGCCGCCCCTTGAGCTCGCGGGACAGCAGCGTATTCGCCGTTCCAACAGTTGCAGCGTGCAAGTCAAAGTAGTGACCGCCGCGGTTCCGGGACCTTTGCAAAGACTGCGAGTCATCGGACCGGCGGGCCATCATGGACGCCCGGTTCCGGTCCTCGGTCGAATTCAAGACGGAGGCGGGCGTCACATGGAGGCCGGGGTCTCGGCGGAATGAGTCCAGCCAGCGACGAACAGGGTGCTGGTCAGTGTTGCTGCTGCTGTTATCGTGGTTGTTGTAAGGGTGAGAGGATGTGCCCTGGATGCTGGGGAGGCTGCCCAAGGTGAATGAATCCTCCTTTGGCCGGATATCGGCCATCTGGACATCGCGGGAGGGGCCCATGCTCCCGGGCGACGTTGGGGCTGGTGATGCGAGACGACTGTATGCTGCCGGCTTTGCCGCTTGGGTATCATAGAGTCCCGGTTTGGCGTTTTTCCTGGGCGCTCACTCGGATCTCTTCGGTGCGAACTTACCGCCTAGAGCTGTGGGCCCTTCCCAGTCAGCAAGCCGGACAATGTTGAGGTTGCCGAGAGATACCTAAGTTGGTGCCGTCAGCTACTGGCGAGAGCCCGAGTTTGCCGTCATGAGCGAATTGCTAGATTTGAACGATCAGCAAAAGCCCAGCAGCTTGCGGCAGCAGGCCTCCACTCCACCCTGACGTCTCATGCTCGTGTCGACTGTGTTGATCTGCAAAGATCATCGGGTCGTGCTGTGAAGGGAAGTCTGCGCGCCACAAGAACGCATCGACCCCAAAGATAATTCCATCGACACAGCCGTCACTTCGCCCAGAACCGGGAATCCGCTTATCAGCGGGCGCCGATTCCTCAATCCATCTCTCGGGCCCCATCGGCACTACTACACGTACGTTGTAGCGCACCTGCTGGATTGGAGTATGCCCGCTGAATGCCCGGGGATGAAATCAGGGTTATCGGAGGCTTGGCAACCCCTTAGCACGTGGGTTTTATCTTCTACGTGTGGAGCCGGACGGGGTTTCCAGCTTGCCCTCTGGTCACTAACAACAAGCCTCGACGGAGGGAGTCAGGTTTCACTTCGGTCACGCAATGCTGGCTCAGGACGGCGCATCAGCACAGTGTCCCTCGTCTTCGGCAGTAGGTGCGATTGCCGAATCAAACACGAGACGAATTGTAGTCTGCTCGAACCCATGAAACCGAGCGCGCGGGAAAAGCAATCAGGCAGCGGCCCGCGCCGAGCGAAAGACATGAGATTGTCTCGGATCCCAAAGCGTGGGGTGATCCCCTCGAGGCACGCGACACCAAGCCACGCCTGTGCGGCACATCCCGGTTCGGGCTCCTAAACGCTGCAAAGCTTTTGTACAGTAAGATTATATAAACTCATATTTCACATCACTCATCGCCCCGTTGAATACCCTTTCCAACCACCTTCCCCTCGGCGTCCCTCGGTTTTCTTTTCCAACCCGTCGAGAACAAGGGCCCCATGTCAAACCGGGGCAGCGGATGTGCCTCGGTATTCAACACAATCCTATCTAGCGGCAGCAAATCGTCGGGCGAAAACAGCAAATAAAAGTACTTGAGCGTCTCGGCCAGCCAGAAGCTCTCCATGTTGTCCCTCGTGATGGGCGGGATCTTGTTCGCATTCGTCAGGCTGGTAAACCCGCCGCCGTCGGCGACCGCCGTGTAGTTGACAAAGCTTTTGAACATCTCCCACCCCCACTCGCGGTACTTGGTCTCGCCCGTGATGCGCCACATGTAGAACAAGCTCTCAACCGTCTCGGGCCGCTGCAGGTTGTGGCTGTCCATAGACTTGACGTCAAAGTCCTTGCGCCACTCAGCGTCGGGCGACGGGTCGAACTCGGCCGGGGCGTTGTGCGGTGCCGATTCCGGGAGCGGTGGCTTTGCAATGTTGAAGTAGGTGATTTCGGCCGCGAGCCCCGTCGCCATCCACTTGTACATGCCCCAGCATGTGTGCATCAACTCGCGGGCCAGCTGCATGTCAGCCTCGTCTTGCTTGGTCCAGGTCGGGAGTTTCTTGGCTTCTTGCTCCGTGAGCCCGCCCGTCGCTGCCAGTGCGATGGTCCCCGGCATGAAGCAGACGAGATGGTCCATCTTGGGCGAGAGATCGCCGCCCAGACCGCTCGGTCGCTCGCCGATGATGGTGAACCGGGAAGGTTCCGTGTAGGTGATCAGGTGTTTCCTCACGCCCTGTAGCGCCTCCCGCCACATTTCCAAATATACGGGCTCCTTCTTGTTCGTTTGCAGGTATTGCTTGATCAGGTATTCATAGTACGAGTCGCCGCGGCTGCCGAGCCGAATGTTCTCCCCGTGGAACTTGCCTGTCGTGGCGAAGATATAAATGGGCACCAGGCCATCCTTGGCGCCGTTGTCATCTACCAGCTTCATGACCCTCTCTGCCTTGTCCCAGAATTCTTTCTCGCCTGTGAGTTTGGCGAGATACTTGAACTCGAGCTGCAGTGTGGTCGTTTCGGCGGTTGATGACGCTCCCAAATCAGCGTGCGATACAATGCCCTTGTACTTGGCCAGGTTGACGCTAGCATATGGCACCCCAGAAGGCGAGTCAAATGCCGCCATCAGCCTGTCCGCTAGATCCTTTGCCTTTTCCAGGTACAAATCCTCCCCCGGTTTCCCCGGGTCATCGTCCGGTATTGGCGCCAGATTAGGGTACTCCGTCGAAAGGTAATGCGCCGACAGCAGCCCGCCCAGCATCCGGATGGTCGTCTCAAACGTGTTGACGTCCTGGTCCTGGTCCCAGGTCAGCGACTTCGCCAGCCACTCCCGCGCTTGTGTCAGCCGGCTGGTCATGTTCATCAGCATCAGCGTGTCGAGCGAGTCGATGATGATCCAGCCGAGCCCCTTAGGTGCCATCTGCTTCCCCTTCTTCGACTCGGGGTGGAACTCATCGTAGCCTGCAAGCCCGTCAGCCCAACCCACCAAACCGCCCATATCAACCCCCACTCTAGGACAGGACAAACCCACCCCATGCATATCTCTCATACGCATCCCAACTCAACTCCATAGCTTCCACCACCCTCTCCCTCCGTTTCAACCAGTCCACGCGGGCCCCTTTTCTCCCCACTTCCCCCTCCTGCCTCAACCACCCCCAATCTCCCAGCCTACTCACCGCCGCCTCCCGATGATGCCCCGCAAACAACCCCGTCCACCACACCAACCCGACCAGCACCAACACTAAGAACCCACACGTCCGCTTCCACCGGGACACCGGCCTGCTCCAGGCTGACTGCCCGCCGCCCCGCCTAGGCGGGTACATGTACGGCTTGTCCTTGTACATGGGCAGGCCCGCGCGGCTGCTGCTGCGCGGCGAGATGAAGTCCTGCACGCCGTTTAGGACCGAAGAGGCGGCTGTGCCGGTGCCGGTGGTTCGTTGGCGCGAGGAGGAAGAGGAGGCTGCGGCCCAGAGGTGGTCTTCGAGTTGGCGTTGGGGGTTGGTAAAGGAGGGGACATTTTTTGGGATGGTGAAGGACATGTCCTTTTTGTTTTGCTGTTGTTTTTGTTGTTGTTGAGGTTGCTTCTCTGGGTTCGGGGATTGGGCTTTTTCGAGGTCGGTATTGAGGTTGACGTCGAGGGCGGCGGCGGTTGCTTCGGTGAGGGCCTGCTGCGCGGACTGGAGGACCTCGCCTGCCTTGTCGCGGATGTCAGCGGCTGCCGATTGGGTTGCGGTGGCGGCGGTGCGGATGATGTGTTGCAGCGGCGAGAGGGCTTTGCTGTTTGCCGTGTTGTAGCTTCGGTTGCTCTTCCAAGTGGCGATTGGGGTCCGGTTCAAGCTGCCAGTGCGGATGTTGAAGGGGTCGCGAACGTTCATCGGGATGCTGCGGCAGTCGGCAGGCAAGGCATGGCCGAGGCGCTCACCGCTGGCGGATGGCTGGGAAGTCAGAGCTACCAATGCCCCGTCTTGCGGATGAAATGTGTTCAAAATATCATGGGTAAAGAGGCCACTGTATCAATACTCCGTAGGCGATGGCTATGGACGGCCCGGCAGTGTGGAACCCATGCATCTGACCCAAAAAAGCTGTGCCGATTCCGACCGAGCGAACCTCATGCTGAAACGCACGGGCCATCCAACTTAGACCCCTCCAGAAAAGGTCCCTTTTCGGAAATTGAAGGGCACAGACACTCCGTGCAGAAGGTCAAACCACCGCTTCTTCTCTTCCTGCCAGATACCTTAAGCCACCCATTTTGATGGCTGCGAGGACGAGGAGCGAACCGCCAACCCACGAACGCGCTGGGAGAGAAGGAGGGACTTCTCGGCCAGTCCAGGAGCACCAGAAGAGGGACACATTGCACCCCACAGGTCCCCAATAGGCTTTGTTTTGATTACACTTTCCGTTTTTCCACACGATGGCTGCGGGATTTTGACCAACTGTTGGCGAACAGTGTTTGATATCGCTTGACATGTGTCGGGTGCATGATTTGGTCTCAACGATGGCGGTCTGGCGAGCCATCTTTACTTGAGCGCACTCTCAAATCATCTTAGAATGAAGATTGGACGGAGGTCTTGGGAGTCAAGATTGTGAGCCTCTGGAGCCGGCCTCGAAGACTGCTGCCCCTTGACCTCGATTACCCCGGCCATGCTATTGTCGGTGCCATATGGTCCGTGCAGACCTCGTCGGACGATCGCTCTAGCCACCATATGCAACTTCCGGCACAAGTACCCCTAGTGCGCACATACCGAGATCTTCCATGGAAGCGGGGTGTTCCAGAACCTAGGAATTCCTTCTCATCCATCTCATGTGAACCTCGGGTTTCTTGAATAGGCCGACGTTTTGGGACCCAGGCTGCGAGCGTATACTAGACGGAGTAACTCGATTTATTCCAGTTTCACACCAGTAACACAGCGCATAACACCCAAAACCGGCGCTTGGAGATACATCCCACCGCATCAGTCTTACTCTCAACTCACCCCAACCCTCTCCACCCACAAGCCTACCAATCCTCCCACTAACGCACAATGGAACCCCCGTCCGACTTCCGGGCCTACCCCTTCCTGACCCCAGAAGAGTTCACCGAAGCCTGCCATCACCTCGACCGGCGCTACTGCCAGGCGACGCTCGGCCCGCTGCGCAGACAGTGGAAACTACGCGTGGGTACGGCGCTCAACGCCACCGCCGCGTTCACCCTTGGCCCGGAGTACAGCACCTACCTGCAGATAATCCGACCGCTGGAGGGCGAGTTGGACGATGGTGGGCTGACGGGCGTCTTGGATGAGTTTTCTTTTGATGGTGGGGATGGGAATGGGATGGAGCTGGGGGAGCGCGAACGGGATAGGGAGATGGTTGAGGCGGAGGAAGCGGATCAGCAGGAGGTAGGTTTCACCGCTCCCCATCTTATAAAGACAATTCATGTATGCGAGTTTGATAAAGAGCCTTACACGGACCCAAACAAAAGACCGTTGTCCAGCACCCGCAGAAACACGACCCCTTCCGAGCGGGATATGTTAGATATGAGATCCACCTGCACCCGGTCTACCAGGCCCCCTGTCTGTGGTTCAGCCTGCACGATCTGCCGGCCGGCGAGCAGGAGCAGGCGCTGCACATCGACACGGTCTTCCGGCGGCTTGTACCGGAGCAGTTCAAGGCGGGCTTGCGAGCGAGCGTTGGGAGGATCGGGGGTATTTCAGTCGACGTACGTCTCCCCACCGGCCCAACTGCTTTTGTCCTTCCGACTTCCTTTTGAGAATTCGCCATTACTTGCATTATTTTGGGGAGATGCTAGATTGGTGGTTAACCGGGATGCTTTCTGTATGGCGGTCTAGACTAACACGAACCATCTTATATCCTGCAGCACCACCCAGTTACAGGCGTCCCCTGCTTCTTTGTCCATCCCTGCCTCCTTGGTGAGGCCATGGAGCGGTTTGACTGCTCCAAGGAGAACTACCTGATGGTGTGGCTCGGCCTGGTGGGAGGCTGTGTCGGGCTGTGGGTACCGGCAGAGATGGTGCTCAAATCGTGAAGCGGGAGGGGTTGGCCGCAGGCCCCATCATTCAACCTTGATCGCCTCTGGATGACAGCACGGGGTATCATTCTTCGTCGCTTTCCTCCTCCATCGCCACATCCTGGTCGCTTTCTTCCTCTTCTTCCTCCTCGCGCGGCCGCTTTACACCCCTGCTCTCGGGGGTGCCGGCGTCGGCCATGGCGTGGTCCGCGCCTGGCGGCTTCGACGAGGGAGCAGGGGCTGCTGGGGCCGCGCCGGGTACGGGGGCGTTGAAGATGCTCTGCTGGAGGTCGGTTACCTCGACGCGGGCGGCGGCTGTGGGTATCTTGAAGGTGCCGTCGAGCTTGGCGATGATGTTGGATTTGCCCTTGGCGTAGGAGATTTTCTGCCCACGGTAATCAGCAAACCTGCGACGGCGTACTAGGTTGAGAAGAAGCTCACCATCTGACGACCAAAGAACTCAAAGCCGTCTAACGCGCGCATCGCCTGTGTCGCCGTCTGGATGTCCTTGTACACGATGTGCGCCTGACCGCGCATCTTCATCGTCTTGAGAGCCACAACGTCTAGCACCGCTCCGTAAGTCGAGAAGAGCATGTATAACGCCGTTCGCAAGTCTTCCTTTTGAATCTTGGCTGAGGGGAGGTTTGAGACGTAGAGGGTCTGGCTGGGCGGCACCGCGGCGACCTTTGCGGGGAGGCCCGCTGGCGGAACACGTGTGGCCATTGTCTTACTCAGTTGTTCCAATTTCAATAGATCGTGTCACTGGGCGATATGAAGCGCGGAATTCCGCCAGAGATGGTCGTGTGCGGTCGCCTTGCTAGTCGCCTGTACCTCGTCTGGGATTCGCTGAAACTAAAAATTGGCCCCAGCTGGAGGCTGAGACTCAAACCCCACACCATGGCGTAGATATAGAGACAGGAGCTAAACCCCACCATTCAGACCCACGTTGTCAACGTCAGCGGATACTCCCAGGTGTCCTTCATTTTGCAACATTGCTCCTATGATCACTAACTCGGGCCCTCCAGCAAACAACCGACAGCGGTAGTAGAGAGCTACTCCTACCGCAATCAATAGAATTTGACAAAATGGCGGCGCCCGAAGTTCACCACCTTTTTCACAACCCGATTGCCGACCACTCGTTCTCGGCGGACCACAAGACGCTGGCCGTTGCGCGCGATACCGCCGTCGAACTCTACGCCAAGGTTGGCAATGTCTTCAAGCTGAAGGACGAGCTCAAGGGCCACGACAAGACCGTTACCAGCATCGACATTGCTCCCAACTCTGGACGCATCGTGTCGTGCTCACAGGACCGGAACGCCCTCGTCTGGGAGCCCACCCCGCAGGGCTACAAACCGACCCTCGTCCTGCTGCGTATCAACCGCGCCGCCACCTTTGTCCGCTGGTCGCCCTCCGAGACCAAGTTCGCCGTTGGTTCCGGAGACCGCCTCATTGCCGTTTGCTATTTTGAGGAGGAGAACGACTGGTGGGTCTCGAAACACCTCAAGAAGCCCATCCGTAGCACCATCACCACGGTCGCTTGGCACCCCAACTCGGTGCTTCTCGCCGCCGGCTCGACCGATGCCCACGCCCGCGTCTTCTCTAGCTTCATCAAAGGCGTCGATGCCCGGCCAGAGCCTACCGCTTGGGGCGAGCGGCTCCCCTTCAACACCGTCTGCGGCGAGTACATGAACAACTCGGCCGGATGGGTGCACTCGGTCGCCTTCTCCCCCAGTGGCGATGCACTCGCCTTTGCCGCCCACGACAGCAGCATCACGGTCGTCTACCCGAGCGCCCCCGAGCAGCCGCCTAAGGCGGTCATCAGCATCAACACGCAGCTGCTGCCCTTTATGAGCCTGATCTGGAACGGCGAGGCCGAGATCATCGCTGCCGGGTACGACTGCGAGGCGTTCCGCTTTAGGGGCGGCATCGACGGCTGGCAGCTGAGCGGTGCTGTAGAAACCAAGGGGCGGCCTGGCCTGGGCGACCAGCGTGAGGAGTCCGCGCTGAACATGTTCCGGCAGATGGATCTCAAGGGCAAGGTCAAAGACGACACCCAGCTGAAGACGGTTCATCAGAACACTATCACCATGATTCGGCCGTATGAGGCATCCGGAGATGCCGTGAAGAAGTTCAGCTGTAAGTCCCCGTTCCCTTTCATAGGTTTCAGGCACCTGACTAGATCCAGCGAGCGGTGTGGATGGGCGCATTGTCATCTGGACCGTCTAGATGTACTTAGAAACTGCTGCCTTGAATGTCTGAGACATGATTTTGAACTCCCTTTGTGGTCTGAGTGAATCAGGAACCATGGCGGGGGATCCTATCGATTTCTACGATTTGCCCAAGCCCCTCCCACACCTTGTCCGCGTAGATATAAGAAGAGGGAGGCACTTCCAAGTTCGACACTTGCATCATCGGCCGTCTTCCAGTACAGCGCATTTACGGAGCCGTCAGATAGGCCAAAGCTTGATTGTTTCTGCGACACTCCGATAGCCATGGACTAAACTGGGATCCGAGACGGCCTTCGACACCAGCTTCCTATGTCACTGCCAACATGGAGCTGACTGGCCAAAACCATCCTCAGCCAGATATCAATCAATTAAACTTGAGCCCAGTCACATGGCAGGGTTGCGGCCTAGATGCTGGTGCCTCCCCGTCGCACGCCACCACACCGGCTGACGACACAGAAAGGCCAGTCGGTTCTCACCTCGCCATTGTGCACTGCCTGCAGCATGAACTCGAAAGCTGGCCCAAAAAGACCCCAAGGGCGGTTCTGCGAGTTGCGATAGAGTCGTCCCGCCGGAGATTGCTAGATCGACTCGAGGGTCTTCTTGGTCTTGAGCGCGCCGCCCCAAGCCGATGAGCTGCCACAACCCATCATCAGTCCGCCTTTCTCCGCGGTCGCAAAGCCTGAGTGTCAAAGTCAAACTCAAACCCCACCGACCCTCCTCTCATCAATCACCGGAATCGCACAAACCCAGGAGGTCTTCTCCGGGCCGGTGGCCCAGCGGACCATGCCCGCCAACCATCCACCGCGCACTACAGCTGAAGGCTGGTGATTGATCCCGGTTCAGAAACAACCACCCTGCAAGCCACGCCCTCTTTCGCCGTCAGGCAGCCCATCCCTGTGCCCAGAACTCCCCGTGCCCGATGTCGCATGGCCTAGCTACGTCCAACAAACCCATGATCGAGCACTGGCAGCCCCTGATCTTTTGGAAGAGGGCCTCTCCCAGATTGGCAGCGAACTTCTGGACTTCGTAGCACCTGAGTCGCTCACTGGATATTCCGCAAGATCAGCGACCTTTTTTTCCTGCTTCTGGAGTGAAAGACGCGGGAAAGATGATTGAGGCGGACAGGAGATCGTGTGGGGTGGTACACGAGCCAGCTGTCGGCGAAGAATCGATCCCCGAGCAGCATGTCGTTGAGCGTCCGAATCTCGGCAATACCAGGCTAGAATACCAGAATAGCTTTTCTGTAGGAAACATAGTCGGGGTCCACGGCAATCTTCGAAATAAGCTGGACGATCAGGTCATATTCGATCCGGTACTGGTCCATCTGAGCGAGCGTGTTTCGGATCCGTGCGGAATACTGTCTTAGTTCTTTGAGCAGTTCGGGCTTGGACGTCTGTCAACCTCCGGCTCGATATCGTCATCTAGCTCGGTCAGCTCCTCTTGGTTGCGCTGATCGACCGTGTAGCCTGTCAGCTTGATGGCATCCTCAAGGTATGCGACGCGGACGGGGAAAGTCCGTCCCGGGACAGTCAGGACGGGAGCGCCGCCAAGGTATTTGGAGAAGCGCTCAGGGTCGACTGTGGCCGACATAAGCACGACCTTCAAGCCCTTCCTCCGCAGCAGTGACTTTTTCAGCACAATGAGAAGGAAATCGCTGTCGATCGACAACTCGTGAACCTCGTTAAGCACCGGATGGGTTATCTCATCGACGTCGTTGGATCCTTCTAACATGCGCATGACGATTCTGGTCGTGGCGTAGACCAGTCGGGTTTCCCGCGTCGTGTTCAATTCGAGGCGGATTGAGTAGCCGACCAGTGAACGACTCGTGCCAAGGTCGCTACAACAGCCAACGAATGGACAGATAATAAGACTGCTCTAGAATGGCTACAGCATTTACCTCCTGAAAGGTCGAGGTGCAAGTAGCCCAGTCGGCCACATGACGACGCGTCTTCAACTACAAGGGATTAACCGCGCTCCCAGTCAGGTACCTCGACCCTGCCACGTCGGCAAGACCGCCGTTTTACCATTTCGTCGGCTAACCTCGAACATCAGGTTGAATGCGATGACTGACGGGTTCTGGCAGCGCCGTGCAACCAAGTCAGTTTGTGTTGACCTTCTTTCCAGTAAGAATTGTAGCCAAGGCGACTTACAAGTGTCCGAATCAGCTAAGAGATACTTGGAGTAGTCTCCAACCTTGTCCTAATGTTGACCTTCTTGGTGTCGAGTGCCAGCCCTGAGTTTTGTCAACGTTGATTCTTGAACTTTACGACTCGCACTTTACCTGAGAAGAAGCGGCCCAATAAACCTTCGCCAAGACATGGTGATAGTGTCAAGAATGGAGCGACAAAGACCCAGAAAAACATACAAAACCGGGATTCGCTGGTCGTCACCGACCCAACTACTAATCCGGCCCTTACTAGCTAAATTTCGAGTATGAAAAGCCCTTCTCCATGTCACAGTCGCTCTCTCGGTCACAAGCCCTGGTTCTGACGTGATCTAAATCGGCCCGGTTTGTGGACTCGTACCGTTCAAAGCAAGTTGAGAGTGAAGAAGAGGGTGCAACGGCCAAGATTAGGCATACCAAGGATCAGAAAATGGGTGCCTCTGTGCCTCTGTTAGTATAGTCCGTTTCAGAAAACGGTGAAGCCGGCTATACCGCAGGCTCATGCAGCAAGTGCGGCAAAGCGGCCAATCGAGCCCTGCCTTCAGGCGCAGCCTGCGGGCACAGCCCCGCCCTAGGCAGCTGGTGTCTCGCCCCACTAGGTTGCCTGCGAGCGCAACTCCAAGGACGCCAGGTCGAGTTCGAAAAAGACGCCCTGCAGCTCAAAATGCAGGATGGTAATTTGACGGCTAAGATAATTTTATGTTAAACAAGTCCCGAACTGGCATTCATGATAATGACGAACTGCAGACCATCTTGTGATCTGGTGTGATAAAGATTGTTATATGCAAGCCCCATGGCCAGCCGCGAGGATACGACGCCACGTCTGCTTAGCTCTCTGGTTGTCCTTCTGCACCTTTAAACAGCAAGTTATACATCCGTACTCACTGCCAACTTCTTTTGAGCTCGCTGCAAAGTAAGCTTCTCTTAAAACTACTTTGCAATATTAGCAATAAACACGATGAGTACCGCATTATCTCTTAGGCGCAGCAGGTGAGCGCGGCCCTCGCGTCAGTGGCACTTGCCACCTAGCAACTACTGATTCCATTTACCCTGCCCCATACGCAGTGACGATCTATGGAGCGACGCAATTGCGCAGCTTAATGAACAGCTGAGAAATATCATCGACTTCGACCGTCTGGAAAAGCGAGATATCGTTTTAGAGCTGCTTGAATAGGCAAATATAAGCATCCAGCAGTGCGAAGTCAGAGCCTTGACGTTTCCGAGGGGGAAGAGCGGCGAGAAGGTCATTGTCAGAGACGTGCTCAGCAAAGTAGTGAAATGGATTGATCACTTCAAGCAGATCGGAGACATTCCAGTACAGTATGATCCTGGCCACGCCGCTCTGCCGTGGGCAGGCGTTCGGTTTCTACTCGAGGTGGGTCTGCTGGGTGATTTCTAGGTGAGAAAGTTCGCGCTGATATACAGCAAATCGCCACCAAGGATGTCAAAACCTTCGCTTCCGTTGTCGAGCATATACCGTTGATAGCGGAGCTCATCTGTCGCAGTGCGCTTATTGAGGAACTGCTGCTGCGGTCCCTATCCACTACCGCGGACGAGCTGCGGCAAGCGCTGGTCCTCCTCTACGTGAGGGTAATGGACCATCTTGCTCGTGCAAGGGCGTACATTCTTCAGCGTACATCCAATTAGTGAACGCCCAGCTCTTAGAGATAATAAAGCTGACTCGTGTAAAGAGCGTATCTTGAAAAGTCTGTCTCTGGCAACCTCAGATCTCGACGAGTCCTTCAACGCCATCGACGGTGCCCAGGAAAATGTTGATCGGTGTTTTAATTTAGCAAGCGTTCAAGGTTAGCCACGTTCTTGCCACGTCTGTTGTCGTGTCTCTTTGCACCCTTGGTACTTTGCTAATGGGGACAACGCAGCCAACCTCGAGAGACATGGAGGCTCAAGAGTATCCTCGCAAAATTTCAGGCTCCACTGAACCGCTGGAGCGAGCAGTTGACGAAAATCACGGACGATCTTGACGGTGAGTTGCGGCTTCCAGCTTCGAGTCGGTCAGCTGACGACTCCCAGGAAAGAAGAGAACTGAGGTCCTACACTGGCTGTCTGCCGAGCCATACCTCCAACACCATGAACAAGCGAAGGAGGGTATGCTTGAGGGAACCGGGCAATGGCTTCTCTCGGACCCTGTCTTTTTGAAATGGAAGGAATAGAGTGCCTCCTCCATACTCTGGCTTCACGGCATTCCGGGGTCTGGTAAGAGCAAACTTGTGTAAGTGCCCGCGCTCGCCACATTACAGAGATCAAGAACCTAAATGAAGCTAGGTCTGCTGTCGTTGAAGACGCCCTGGAAGCATACCTGGATAACCGGGGTCACCAAAGTCCACCTCCAGCGTACTTATACTGCTTTCGCAACCCCGCTGAACCCGGACGCTCCGATCCCAAAAAAAACCTGGCAAGTATTGCTCGTCAGCTCTCTTGTTTGGGACCCGGCCGCCCACTACTCCCGCCGACAGTGGCAGAATTTAGAAAGCGCGAGAGAGAAGCCTTCGCCAACATATCACCACGGCTACAAGAGAGTCGGGATCTTATCTTACAGCTAGCCAAGCACTTCCCTGTGGTGATCATCGTAATAGATGCCCTCGACGAATGCAACCCAGCTACGCGGCGCCAATTCCTACACGCGATGGAGTCTATCCTTAGGGCTTGTTCCAGCTTCGTCAAGATATTCATCTCTAGTCGTAACGACCAAGACATCGTCTATAAGCTCCAGGATTACCCCAATCTTGAGCTGTCGTCAGACAGGAACCGGGGTGATTTCGCCAAGTTTGTTAAATCCGAGACGAGCTCTATATTCAACAGCGGAGCTATGCTGCAATATAGCACAAGCAAGGAAGAGCTACGGCAGAGAATTATCAGAGGTCACCAACGGTGCGCACGGCATATAAGCTTGTCCGGAACTAGTGAGGGTATGGTACTGAACAGCGCCGTGGCAGGTTCCGCTGGGCTACCTTGCAGCTGCAAGCTGTCGGAACGAAGCCGCCTTGATGGCTGCATTCAACGGACCTCAGTGGTTGATTGGTGCCAGCACTGCAACCCCTCTTCCTTACATACTTAGTCCTCTCCCATGCCCATCAACAGCATGGTCAATCAATCACTTTTACCACCTTAAAAATTCAATCCACTGCTTTGGCTGGGAATAGCTTCTTCCAGCGCATATCTCAGCGGTCGTCGCCCTGCAGGTTCCAACACAAACCTGGCCCAGAAAAACCTGCCTTTTCAACTGACGGGGTTGGTGATTGCTAGGAACTTTTCAGCGTGCACCAAAGTCAAAGGGCCCAAGTAAACACAATCACCTAACTATAACTAACCTTCAGTTACCTGATTAATAACGAAGTCACAATCTTGGGCGGAGAGAGCTCTGCGCCTTTTCATTCAGCTGCGCCTACTTACCTTGTCTTTACCAAGAAAGCCTTTTGGATTCTCGCTTTTGAAACAATATGAGAAATGAGATGGATGTGGACAGAATTGAGGAAGATCAGGACCGATGGGTCGCCGCCCTCGATGAGAACAATGTCGCCTTACTTCATTTATCGGGACGGTGACCGGTGTTCCATCTTCCAACCGCGCCTGCATGGCTCTTTCAATGTCTGTTTCTCTGCTGAGTTTGATTCACCCTTGGAACGATGGGCCATCCGAATTCCCATCCCAGCCACGCTTCCAGGGCCATGCTTGACGAAAGACGGAGATCGAAGTAGCCACAATGCGGTAACTGTCCTCCTTTCTCTCCACTTATGTGAGAGGTCGGGCTGATACCAACAGGCAGGTATGTGTCGGCCAAATCAACCATTCCCATTCCCAAAGTCCATGCCTACGCATTTTCATCCACGGGGCTGAACGGCCTGCGCTACACCATCATGGACTACCTCGACGGCCGCAGCCTGAGGGACCTGAAGTTCCAGTCCAGCGAGATCTTTGGCCTTATCAACTTTGCCTGGGCACACCAGACCCCGACGGGGTAGCACCTCTATCGACAGCTGGTAGACGTCTACGTCCAGCTTCGCCAGCTAGAGTTTCCCCGAATCGGATCCCTGGGATTCCCCTCTTGGGAACGGGAAGCATCGGTCTTGACTTGCAACCCTGAAGATATCTTTGTTTGCAATCTGCCGCTCTCGATAGACATGGCTACGCAGGAACTCGACGGCTTGGAGCCCGGCCTGATTTTTCCATCCAAGACAACCTTATCCACAGCCAAGGACTACGTTGACGGCCTGCTCTTGTTGGCCGATAATAAACTAGAGAAAGAGCCCGACCAGGGAATGGACGAGAAGGAACCCGCATCGATTCTGTACGCCGCTCAACATTTCAGACGCTTCGTCCAGGATGAGTGGCTGGGTCCTTCGGCGAATCAAGGGCTGTTTGTACTGAGTATAAGCCCACCCATCTTTGCTCGTCTCTTGGGCACCTGGTGTGCTCCTTACTACCTACATACTAACGTGGGTTGACTTCGCTCATCTAGTGCATTGAGACATTGATAATATGTTATGCAACATCTTGTTCGACCAGGACTACAACCAGGTCGGCGTCGTGGACTGGGAATGGAGCCGGCTTGTCCCAGCCCAGTTCATGGCGCTCCCAACATGGCTCCTTGCCTCGCAACTGGAGTGGGTAATGCTTGGTCCAATGAGTAAGGCCTACCTCACACAAGTCTCATATCTCCGAGCGGCGGTTCAAGAATGCGAGAAGGCGCTCGGCGTGCCACCGCTGCTCTCGACCGAGTGGGCGCCTCATGAGACGTGGTATGCGGATTTTACCCATTGCTCAAGAAGCGGCGACATGGCTGACACTCGTCACTTCGAAGGTGCCACACCACCATCGTCATCGGACTGAACTACCCAGGGCACATATACCTCGTGTACTGGAACCTCATATTTCGAAAACTGGTTTCCAGAATTTGCGGTGGTACTGACGAACAGCTCGATCAACAATACGAGAGTGAAATTGTTCCGCGTATCAATGCCTTCATGGCGGCTTCCTGGAGAGGAAGGTACGAGAACAACTGAATTATTTCGAGTCCGAGAAGGAACACTACGGCCACAAGACACCGCGAGGGATCATCGAGCGAGTTTACTGGTCTTAGTAAAGGGATTTCGAGGAGAACGGAAGGGAGAAGGGGATATGAACACGAGGCATCCGCGCTGCCCCCGGCTTAGTTAGACCAGCCAGGAGGGAGCCCGTCCAAAGTGCTTGTTCCGCCCTGGTTGTTTCTTCTTGGAGATGCAACCCCGCTGATCTGGGTGTGTCACGTTACCCTCGTGTGCGTGAGCCATTGCGCGTTTAATCTTTTACCCATCTTCATCCACCAGACAGCCTTCACGGCATCCAAGACAGACATCCCGTGGAGGGTGAGAGACTCTCTCAACTGCTGGCAATAACAGACGAGGACGACGCCACTATCACCCAGCTGACCTCAGTCAAACGGCAAGCCATCAAAGCGTTTAGTCCATACACAAGTATTACTATGAATGCCGTTATGCACATCAACAACTGAAATGAACAGAAAACGAGCAGGTCAAGCTGAGCTCGCTCCAACCCCTCCACCGTCCTCCCATGTCCCTCAATACCTAACCAACCTCACCTACTTCCCTCTGTCTCAAATACCACACACCCGGTCAGTCTAAAGAAGTAGCCTCAACAGAGGAAGAGCAAAAGAAAGAGAGGAACCGTCCCGTCGTAGCATGCCACCGACCCGTACACCCCAGCCCTGCCAACGCCGCCGCGCCAAACAACAGATCCACCGCCTCAACACCAAAACACTCACAACCCGCCATTTTTCCTGCCACTGTCCTCCTACAGAGAAAGACCCGACAGTGTACCGCCTACCGCCTCCGCTCATCCACATCCGCCCCCAAAACCCCAGGCCTCCGGGGGTCCACCATGGCCGCGACCCTCTCGTCCCCCCTCCTCGCCCCAATCGTGACCCACACGTGCTTGGCCGGTATCTGCACGCCGCCCCTCGTCTCCCTCATGCCCGTCCACATCAGCCTCCCCACCCTGGAAAAATCGCTGTTGCCCAGGCCGCCGTTGGCGTTCCACTCGCGCACCACGTCCCTTATAAACTCAATCTTCTGCCGGAACTGGTTCGCCGCGGGAATGCCCTGCAGTTCCGGGCTGATCTGGGGTCTGGTGCGCCGGGCGGTGGTGGATGATGACGTCGTGGTGGTGGTGGTGGTGGTGCTAGCACTCCTGCCGCTACCGCTGCTGCTTCCGGAAGGGTGCTTGGCGAAGTTGAGGAGGGTCTGTAACGGGTAGGAGAGGACGGCGCGGTCGTCGAGTGCCGATTCAGCGAGGGAGCCCGTCTCGGCGAGGGTCCTCGCTGCTGATTGTGGCAGGTGCCAGAAGTGGCACCACGTTCCCGACGCGTCGAGGACGATTTTGGTGTGGTCGGGGAAATTGAACTGGGAGGATCGGGGTTAGTAAGGACGGAAAGGTAGAGAAATATGGGGAGATGCAAAAGCTTACCTGCATGTGTCCGTCGGCAAACATCCAGCAGCCGACGTCGCCAAAGCGCTGATAGAAGGTGACCACATCGGCGGGAGGCACTGTGGGATCGGTAATGGTGGGTACCCGGATGGCCGCCTCTTCCGTCTGCCCTGGGCTCTCCATCTCCCGCCCGTACGCGATCATGTAGTTGGCAAACTTCTTCCACAACACAATCCTTTCCCGCTTGCGGTGGTCATATATATCCCTTCCAGCAGACAACTTGCCCACCGTGCCATCTGTATTGACCGGCAGAATGAAGTTCTCCGGAGCCACCCGGACGCGCGAGATACCGCTTTCGCCGTTGTTCTCGTAGAAGTAGATCCCCTCCTTCATGGGAACAATCTGGTGGCGCGCGCTGTAGCTCGGATCTTCTTTGCGCATGCAGTGCCGCTCGGCATCGTGAACCAGCAAACATGCGGGGGGTAACATGCCCGGGTTCGGCCCGTCCGGCGACGGGATGCTGCGGAGAATGCACCCAACGCTTCCGTCGTTCAGAACATAGCCCAGGCCAAACTTGTTGGTGTAGTCGACCCATTTTACCACGATATGCGGCGCGGGCGGCGTCTTGTCCCTCGGTGACACAAGCGCCATGGTGCGGGAATTGAGCGCCCTCTCAAGCTCGGCCTGCAGCTTCCGGAGTCGCTCGAGCACGACATCGGGCTCCGTGCCGGGGACTGTTTCTTGGTACTCGGACGGGCTGAAAAGAGATAGCCTCTCCTCCTGCCGCTTCTCTCGCGTAGAATCCGACCCCCTAGGTGGACGGGCAGCGTCATCCGAGCCAATAACAGGCTGGCTCCTCGTCGACGCGATCTGGCTGCGAAGGCTGCGAGTTGTCGTCCTTGAGACGGGGGTGGCCTCGTCTGAGGGTTGTTCAGGAGGAACAGACGGCTCCTTGGTAGGGCGTGGTCGCAGAGCGACGGTCCTTGAAGCAGGTTCCGTGACGGTTTTAGATCGTGACACGCCCGTAGTAGCTGTCGGCCTGTGCTGGGCTCTCTGCTGGGCAGCAAAGCTTTGTGGTGGCGCCCGCAGCAAGCCGGACGATATCTTTTGTGTCTGCGTACTCTCTTTCAGACTCGTGCGCTCATCACTGCTGTCAGGAAGCTGGGATGATTGCTTTGACAAACGTTGTGTTGCAATTCGCTCCATGATTTTCTTCTGCTCATTCTTGATCTCATCAAAGGGCCGGTAGACGATGCCCTCGGCGAGTGGAATGATTGGGGTCAGACCATTCTGCTCTTCTTCGGCCATTTCTCGCCAGATGTTTCGAAAAACCAGTTGCGACTGGCAGTAGGGTCCGACACCACAGTCGCGGCACATCTCCTGGACATTCCGAAGGTTCGCTGATTGGGTCTGTGAGTTCAGCGGCTCGTAGAAGGCAGGATTCTCGGGCGCGAGTTCCCGCAGCTTGTAGTTGATGTCGGAGGCTACGGGCATGTACCCGGACGTGAAGAAGGGGTGGGCGACAATCGTGTCAGGGTCGGGCCTCCTGTCGGCGTCCTGGAGCATGGTGGCAACAAGTTCTTTGGCTTCCTGGCTAATGTACTTTTGCGAGTTCTCAGATGACGGCCATTCGTAGTCACGGTCCTTCGCGCGGCGATAGATCTCGTCGGTGGTCGATGATTGGAAGGGTGGTTTCGAAGTGAGCATCGCAAACCTGGTCATCATCAGTTTTGGCTCTGTCGCGAGACAGGCAAGAACTTACACAATGATACCCAAACTCCAGATATCCACCATGTGATCGTGGCCTTTCTTGCCCTTCTCCAGGATTTCCGGGGCGATGTAGTTTGGCGTGCCACACAACGTCGTCCGCCGCATGACCTGCATGTCCTTGCCTGTGAGCAGCAGAGCGGCGAGGCCAAAATCCCCAATTTTCGCGTTCATGTACTTGTCGAGAAAGATGTTGCCCATCTTGAGATCTCTGTGAATGATTCCTTTTGCGTGCATATATTTGATGGCGCCCGCGATCTGGACCGTGTAAAAGCGTACCTCGGGCTCGGTCAGGCCCTTGCGGCGCTTCACCATGTCCATCAGGGAGCCGTTCGGGCACAACTCCAGTACCAAGTAGGTGCAACTCTCGAAGGTGAAGGCGCGGTGGAACTGAACGATGTTTTGGTGGCGCATCTTGGAGTGAATTTGCAGTTCTGTTTGGAACTGGAAGGGTCCTGTTAGTTCAAAAAATGTAGTCACGGGCCACTGGAAAGCAAACCTTCTGTTCCATCTTGGCGGGCATCTGGCTCTTGACGATCTTCAGGGCGACTCGCTTGGATTGCCCCGCTGCCTTGCCCTCATAGCAGATGGCGAACCCGCCCTTGCCCAGCAATTTTCCAACCTGGTACACAACCCCATCCTTCCGGTCGGCGCTTGGCGGTTCGACGACATTATTCGGGGGTGGAGGGGGGTGCTCCTTGTCCTTGGTCGTCTTGAGCTGGGCCGCAGTCTTTGTCTTTAGCTCGTGCACTCGAGGAAGCCGTTGGGCATTAGCATCCCGGGGGGACAACGCCTCCATGTCGACACCCTTCATGCCCGTCTTAGTAAGATGACCGATTGACGCGAATACACAGGGCCTGGCTTGTGACGGCGTTAATGTACTGGACCCTCAATGTCTTCCGTCGGTCATATGTCAGTGTTGGCTGGATCTTGAAGAGAAGAGCTGCACTCCGAGCGACACGAACACAGCTCACAATCAACTGACGGCCTGTTCATACAGAGAGAGCAGTAGGGTTGCCGGACTGGCGATGCACAAACAGGAGTCGATCCTGATTATGGGTGCGAGCGTGGAGACAGCAACGGGATATTTGGCAACGAAATCCAGCCGCGATGGTGCCGAATACCGTGTCGTGTGTCGCGTGGATTTGCTTTGTCAAAACTCGGGAGGACCAAGAATCCACCGCCCAGAATGCAGTGTTGTGCCTCCGTGTGTTGCCAGGGCAACCAGCACCGAGGCTTGCAGGGGTATGAATTAAGCTTCCGTGACCCGCCAGGAACCGGGATCTGCTGCAGCACCATTGGCTGTCGTTGACGACCGCTCCGAGCTCCGCCAAAGCCGAGAATGACTCCATCCAGCAATTGCCACAGCCGACACTGCCTTGAATTGGTAAGTTGGCTTGACGTCGACCATGAATAAGCATGCCGCCCTGGGCCGGTCAACACGAATCACTCCGAATTGAACATCCGCCCGCTTGACATATAGCCAGCGAGTAGCGCGACTCTCCATCACGACCTTCCCGTGTGCTCCGACGACAACGAGAGTTGGCTGGTACAGAAGCAGGGCACCCATCGTCATGGTGCCATTACCACTATTCAAGCTCGCTGCGCTGTTTGTGCGGCACGTATCCAAATACGGCGCGGTTCGTTTCCTCCCGCATTGGATGTTGAATCATGCAGCCCGCTAATTCACCATGCTGCCTGCAGAACCACATCAAACATCAAGCCCATGAACACCCACGATTCCGAGCCTTTGCCGCCCGGTATGGCCAGATCATACATCAGATCAACATGCGATTGTCAGTTGCCCTGCTGCGGAACTCAACTGCCGAGCAAAGAGCGAAAGAGAAGGTCGAGATACCCACAGTAAAGACAGAGGAACAAGTCAAAAAGGAAGAGGAGCTCCGAGCCAAGTACGGCACGACGGCGCGGGAATCACACCCGGCCAAGGAGACCCCCCGGAGTGTGTGGAGACGCAAATTTCGGCCGCTGCCCGAGGCCAAGGCGGTCGACCTCTTCGCCGACGTTATCGGGGATGCGTTTATCCTCGGGGTAGCCGGGGGGCTGATCACGTACGAGTACTGGAAGTCTTCGCAGAAGCCTGATAAGAACAAGGAGCTGATTGAGGAGCTCCAACGGCGGATGGAGGAGCTGAGGATAAAAGAGGAGGAGCTGGCAGCGGTGGAGAAGATGCAAGAAGAACGGGTCCGCTTGATCGAGGACGCCTTGAGGGCGTTTAAGGATCCGAAAACCAAACGGCCGCTTCTGCCTACACCAACAGCACCAGCACCTGCCTGAGAAGCTGGAGAGGAGCTGGAGAGCAGGATCCTCAGAGTTGGCCAATCCAGAAAAACCTGTTCCGGACCGAGTCTTGGGGGCACAGCAGCTTGTCTTTTGGCTGCGGCGTGCTCATCTTGTACGATGATGTAACAATCTCAGGCAGAACTAAACCTGCAGTGGTGCTTGGAGGTGCAATGTAAGTTAGTGAGGAAGGCGCGAGGGGCCTCTTGCCACCGACGCGGACCCGAAAACCTTCTCGGAAGCGAAGACAACCTGGATAGAAGCGATACCCTCTGAGTTGTTGATAGACCGTCAAATTCCTCTCACATTCACCTTCTTTCACTCAGGGTCTGTACATGATGGAAACTTTGCACGACGAGTATGCACCGGTGAACCTCGTCTGCTCAAGCCTGAGGCAGCATCCAGTGTGGGCTTCTGCCGTTACTCACCTCCTACAGACCGACGGAAGACGATGGAAGGGTAGGACACTCACCAAGGGAGCAAGAATCGATCAGACACTGATATCGGTTCAGAAGCCCACCTGGTGACGCATGACATTGCCCTGAGCATATTAGACCCGCACACGGAACGCTATGAAATATTCCGCCTCCTCTTGATCTCATCAGCAGACATCAACAACCCGCAAATCCTCTCCCGAATCCAGCACCTTAGCCAACTCGACGCGACCAACACTGCCCTCGTCTTCCTCCTCCAACCTCACGATACAGAAGAAGGCCCACCCGCCATGCAAGCCTTCATGGAGCTTCACATCAGGTACCGCCCATCACCTCCCCTGGATAGACCACAAGCTGCGCGCTTCCACCGCGTGACGACTTACTGACCTTATATGCACTGTCCACAACACAGACTCACAGCAACCCAACAATACCTCCCAATCATCCCTTTGTCCACGCTCCCAGACCTACCGACCGCCCTCCAGGCCTTCCAGTCCTCGCTTGCCGCCTCCCGAGCACACCACCGCACGCGGCTGCCAACGGCGGCAGTCGACGCGGCAAGGGACATTCTGCCTTTTTGTGCCATCGCCTACAACACCACCACCAACAACAACAACAGCAGCAGCAGCAGCACAGGCACGCACAACACAGTCATCTCTGGCCGCAGCAGCGGTCGCATGAAGAACGATGAGGGTACTAAGTCCGCCGCGCTGTCGCGTCAGGCAGTGGAGTCTCTCAGTCAGGGGTTCTTCAGCTTCAGGGAGTTAGTTCAGGGTATTAGCACTGCGGAGGGCCAGAGTGGGGTGAGGATGGCGGTTGGAGACGCCGAGGGGGAAGGCATGGTTGCGTTTTGGGGGTGGGAGTTTGAGGTTGGTGGTGGTACTACTTCTACGGGCTGACTACCGGTTGACTACCTGGCGTGTTGGGGAACGCACCAGTTGCTAGGATGTGTCGGGTGGAGCTCGGTGATTGCGCGAAGGCATGGTGTTGGTTTGTCTGTCTGTCTGTTGTTGACTCTGCTCGTCCGGCTGTGTTGGAAGGGGTAGAGGCCGGTAACTTCTTCTGTGCTGACAATTGCGGGTACGGTGTCTGGCTGTGATGGGGAGGGGTGGACGGCGACAAGGGCGGTTCGTGTGTGTTGTGATGGAGGGATGAACTGTTGTGGTGGGTTTGTGATGCGGGCTGGAGTTTCTGGAGTCTAGACCAAGACCGAGAATAGCTTCCTGAGCATGCATTGCCATGTGCATGGAAGCAAAGCGCCCTGCATGAGTGATGGCCGAGCTGGGATCCTGTGATACCGGCCGTTGAACCCTTTTGGTTGGCTGCATGGCGAGTCTTGAGAGCTAAGGCTGGAGTGGAGGATTATGTAGCCTCCACCAAGATGGACGTGATATGCCTGCGTCTGCAGATCAGATCACGGTCGTTTGGCAGACATACCCAATGGCAGGGCTGAATTGAATGTCGAGATAGGTCCTCATCCTATCACACGTATTGTATCTCCTCGTTGCGAATTGCGGGATATCGAGGCTATTGAGGTTAGGGGCTCAAAACTGATATATCGAGTGAAGGATCTATCTCAGCAGTATGGGGCCCAGTTAAGCCAGTGGTTGGCCTTTGCCATCCCTGTAGATTAGTCTTCACATAATGACACCACTTGCTGTTGCCCATGCTACTGGCCTTGCAGGAGAAGCTCTAACTGATGCCACACGCCGCCAGGTGAGCGCCATCTTAGAATTAGCAAGGGCCACAAATGTTGTTGGCATTCGTTGAGCCCAGCAGGCTGAGGAGAGCTCTACCGAGTTCATATCCCAATGCGCATGAGCCCTGGGGCTGCCGCCTAGCTTCGGGGTGCACTCGAGAGGCCGGGTCTCTATGTGGAAACAGCTGGTAAGTTGAAGTACTCCAGAGCGGGGCGAATCTAGCGGCAGTCAGAACGCTGCTCGCCAAACAAGTGCAGGTTGCAGCGGTGAGCGTGGGGACGAGGCCCAAAATAACCTGGTGCAGCTCCTTCCAAGTAGAGCTGCATTGTGATGAGGTCGACCCAGCTTGGCAAGTACCTACTCTGGGGACGCTGATAAGGAACTCACCAGCATTGGCATCATTGGCGTCACGAATAGTGGTGTGACAAGTGCGGGCAATCCCTTCCTCAACTTCGTCCTCGGAACTTTGGCCGGACACGTGAAGCACATGGAGGTCTGGGCTCGATGCGAAGGCTCGGTTGTAGCAGCCGGAGGAATTGTGATAACAAAAATAGCCTGGCATTCGAGTGACGTACGTGCATGTGCATTGCTGCCGAGCTAGCAACCCTGAAGAGGAAAAGCCGAGCGGAATGAGGAACCCGACTGGCAAAATATCATTGGGCAACAGACAAGGTGAGTCTGGAGTCTGATTGGGCTGACATTGGCACCAAGACCAGTCAATCGCTCGAGTGTTTGTCGATTCGATCCTTTATTGAAGTCACGAGCAAGAACGCAAGAGAAGTCGATGTGCATATGCGAGCACAGCGGAGGCTAGGAACGGCTAATACCAACATCTGCGATTCCCCTCTGTCTTGGAAACAGAAGAGTATGGTTACGTGTAAGTTACGTAGCAGATACAAATATCGGTACCTTAAGCGCTCAGAAAATCGGGAATTGCCTCCCTGCAAAAACCTTGTCTGCAAGCGTCCGCAAGGGTTGTGAAGGGTTGATTTGCGGGTGAGGCAATTCCGGACTTCACCAGCGCTTACGGTATATCAAATCTAAAATGGCCATCATCAAGGAGAATTCCTCATCGCTTACCTGTAAGTCGATGTTCAGGGTCCAAATTGCCGAATCGGTTGGTGGCGATATTGGATGATGAGATGGATCGGACTCGGACGTGTCAACCCGTTCCCCACGTGGCTTCTCAAGAGATCTCAACGTCCAGAGACGACACATCCCAGATCTTGTCCAACGCCGGCCGAATTGGGAACTGAGCGACAAGCGCCGTGTGAATAACCTGATGAGTGCGCGCCGTGGGAACAAATGCAGCATCGTCGCCACCGCTCAACCTAAGGTGGTGGCAGTACTGTGGGTCCGCCTGATCAAGCCTTAAACGTTCCATAACCTATCGCCCCCGTCTACTCTCAAACGGCTTGTGCTTCAGCAGGCTACCAGATTCGCCGGTCCCGGTTGCGGAGTCTCCTGTGGCTAGTCAGAGGCTACGAGAGGTGGAGGTGAGGCAATATCATGTTTCTCTCCCAGCATGAAATCTTGATGGAAACCATGCTGCCGATGCTCGGCTGTCCTGAGTCAAGCAGATTGAATTGAGGTGGCGGGAACCTGAAGCCGCAACAATTGGCCGCCCTCTCACTCAAATGGCTCGGCACTCCAGCAAAGAGCTACTAAAATAAAGCTCAATAGTGCCGTTCTCCTTGCCCAATACATTACACTTGTGATGCGCTCGACAGTCAACCTCTCAGCGCTAGGCAGTATTCGGGCTTTCTTGTCACTTGCCGCCGGTGAAGCGCAGAGGGGTTACAGGTCGATACTTTCTCTTGGCTGAAGCGGAACTGCTACCCAAGACATGCATGGACCCCGGTTCCTGACGCAGACAGAGAGCGGGTTGTCACCTGATTGGCTAAACCCGCTCTGTAACCGCCCTCGGCACACCCAATCACACCACACAGGGCAGCCCAGAGCTGCTGTCCCAGTTTTCCTCGCCATGCTCGCATCGCCGAACGCCCCCAAAATCACCGTCTTCTCTTCCCAGAGCCCAAGTGAGCTTTGGATATCCGCCCGATTGGAACCGGCTGAGGTATTAAAGACAATTGTCAATTTCGCCCTCCTCCCACTCGCTTTAAAGAGGCCCTGAATCGGGCGGGAAAGGTGGAAATACCGAGAAATAAGCAGTGGTCACTGACCATGGACCGCGGCCGGCGGCATCAAGCGAGGTAACGCAGCCCGCATCTTACCGCCCGTAGTCTGGGCAGGCGGTCGAGCTTGCCAGAGAGAGGACAACTCGTTCATCAGACAGCATAGCCAAATTAGGTTTCTGCCCGTCCAGCGCTAGGTGACGGGGAGGGGTGGGAGCCTTTGGGCTTTTCTGCTTCACGAGGCGCCGCCATCGATTGCTGCCATGCGGGGACTGGCTTTCCGAGTCACCGGCGCGAAGACGCAGGCGGTCTCGGCCGTGGCTGATTCTGCCCATGAGACAGCAGATGGTTCCATCCTGGTTTCTCTGCTGCTGGGAGCATCCTATTTCTATCTGTTTTCCATGAGACAACTTGCCTCCCAGAATCACGGAGGTACGGATAACGTGGTTTAGCTGTCTGGCTTTGTCCCCTGCCGCTCCCCACCCCTCCTATGACAAGGGGGCGTGGGAAAAGTTCCGCAAGACTCCACCTTGACTTACACACCCACGCAGTCGCCTTCGGGACAAGGCGCGCATTTTGATGTTCTGGGCTGCAGACAGACCCTGTCGCTTCTTAAACTCGCAGCGTCCCAGATGTCTGGCGATCATGTTGTCCGTCCCCGCTCCGTCCATCCATTACATACATGCCCAAACGCCCCCTTCGCCTCATACCTCCCCCTTGGTAACAGCGAGCTTGTCTGATCTCCATCGCGACTCAATGCGAGAACTACCCGGGCTCTGACCAACGAGACACCCTACCGCAGTCACGAACTTGCAGGGCTTAACGAGATTCCCATCCGGCTCAAAAATTGTCTCCTCTGGCATACCCATGGGCGCATAGCCCTGGATCCGAAGAAACGGCCCACTGGTCTGGGACGCCCGTCAATGCTCGCCCATATGCCTGCTGTCGAGATAGATCAGATTGCCCGGACCTGGATTTCCCACGAACACCTACCGGCATCAGCCCTGACACCCGAGACAGGCACGCCCCCCCGGTTGCTCATCTGACACCCGGGCTTGCGGGCTCCGGTGCAAGCCCTTCAGGGCGAGTGCCATATTTCCCGTCCATCTGTTGGCCGGGGCGGAGGATTCCATTATCAACTCAACACCGCCCACCCAACACCGCCCCGCTGGCCGTGGCCGTCTCGGGATCCTCTCCGCCTCTCCTGCCTTCTCTCCTTCTTTGCCGCCGCTGGTCGATAGCCCTCTTTCATATCGATCTTTTTTTTCTGCATCCTGGTCCGCCAGGCAGCCAGTCAACCCGCAGGTCCGGAACCGCGCCTCTCTTTCGAGCTATTACGCTGTATTATTGTTTATTTTCCCTGCGGCAATCTGTCCCCTCGGCGCTTCGAACCGCCCAGTGAAGGGGATCCGTGATAATCCAGGACGAGGAGGATTCCAGCGTGTTGTGGACACGGCAAGAGAGAGGGACTTTTGGGCAAATTTCTGGCTACTAAGAGGACTGTTGGGAACCGCCTGATCAGACCATTGCGTGCCTGCCAGAAACATGGGAAGGCTTATCAAGAATCATTGGGCGAGGCTCATCATCCTGGCGGCAGCAACCTGTAGGTGACCCTGGAGGTGTTTTTCACGGACGATGTGCGGGACCCAAAAGCTGACACCAAGTTCCAGACCAAGTCGCGGCCGCAGTGGAAGGGTTCTTTTGGCCCAAGATATTCTGGGACTTCATGACCAAAACGCTCGATCCGGCCGTCAAACCGATACCGGTCCTTCAGACCGTCAATCTCGTCTTTGGCCTAATCCTCCTGGCATGGGAGTGGCCACTGAACTTCCTCGCCGGCTCTAGCCTCCACCGAAGCCTCGAAGCGCGCCTCGTCTTTCTCCCGCTCACCGCCCTCGCCGCCGTATTGATGTACCAGGGCACGAATGCCGCCATCTACCAGGTCATCGGCTTGGGAGTCTACTTTTGGGCATATAGTGAAGGAGAGGTACGTTCTTCGACTCCGCATGCCTTGCCATGGAACATCGCTGACGGGAAACAGATGATTTGCGCGAAGCCGTGGACGCTCCCGCAACGGACGCCGCGAAATGGTCGGGTCTAAACGGCTGCATGTTTATCTTCTTGCACGTGTGTGAATACACCTGGCCTCTAAATACCTCCTGGTCCGCTCTCCCGTTACCTCGGTATCCGTTTATCTCTTCAGTCCGACTTGCTATTGATTCTCGAAGTCAAAGCCACACCGAGTGTCTTGCGAGCGTCCCTGGAGACGAGCATGGGCCTGAGTCGGAGAAGGAGAAAACCGAACCGGTACATATTGCATCAACAGCCCGAACATACGCATCCGCGTCTCAGGCGCCACCTGAAGTGGCCTTAACTTTTCGTGTTCTTGCTTCCATATCTCTCATACACCATCATTTTTTTTATTTATTCCTGCATGGACACGTTTCACCTTGTTCCCTGAACAGGTGGGGAGAGGATGAGGCGGTGACAAGCATAGCGAGCATGGCGTTCTGTGTGTTATTTGTGTGCCAAGAGAGGGGAAGTCACCTTACGAAGCAAACACCAAGAAATCTCAAAGAAATCGGTTAGCCGTACTCCGGGACGACCATGGGAAGGAGCTGTTGAGGAGAGATCGGAGATACCATTTGTGGCAATGGTCCTAGGAGCGCGAGTCCTGCTAAGAGATTTCGGCGGCCTTGTTACGACGTGGCCAGCAGCATAGCCGTAAGGCTTGTGTATACCACAGTAATTAAAATACACTCAAAAGCATCTCTCGTTCATCCGTGTCATTTGATGGACTTTTCAAGAACCCCAAGACCAAAACCAGCGGAGATCGATATAACTTGCAGTCTGGAACCCAGAAGTCTTGAAACCAAAACCAGTCTGAAACCGGAACTCGGTCGGACAGAGCACAACATCAAGCACCCCATAATAATGAACATTACTAGTATCCCCCATACGGACCGCTATCCAAGTTATCATGCTACCTAGTAGGGCCTGAGTAACTACTGGAAGGCAACCATCGGTGCAACGGCCATATTGCACAGGCATAAGTACGGGGTATACTATCTTCAGCATCACCTCCTGTTCGACAAGGTACACACCAAGTTGTATACAAGAGTTCGAGAACCACTGCAACGAGACACGAAACCCGCCACCGTCAAAAGCGCCCCGGGGTCACCTGAACTCAACTCAGACAGACTCAGACCCACCACATTCCGTACCCCATCTCCTCATTCGAGAGGTACTGTAGCGGGATCCCAGCCTTCTAGAAGACACCGCGGTCCGGCAGTTGAGGCAGCACTGCTTCGGGATGGCAGAATGCGACGGCAAGCGCCCAGCGTTGGCCCGTCGACGCAGCCTACTCTGCTTCCTGGAAACCCATGACAAGTTGGCAACCGATACTCCGTACCAGCGAGCATCAAACGCCGTGAGAAGCAAGCGCCAAAACCGGCGAGTCAGAGAACCACGATGTTGGCCACCGGACGGCTTCTCAAGAACAACCCTGCAAAACCACCAGCCATCGAGAGGGAAGAATCCACCCTGTCTCTGATCAAGACCCAAGTCACGTGGCGCTTGGCGGTTAACGCTTGTGGAGAGCGCCAAGCGAAGCGCCGAATCGGTACCTTAGCGTTAGGAACGGAGTACGGAGTAACTACAGGTCTGTTTGTTTTCTCCGAGACACGCTTCTCGTCCACAGCATCATGTTGTGAGACAAAACACACCAAATGCAGGGAACGCAACCAGAACGCTTCACCGCCAGATCCGCCAGACAGCCACTCAAAGAAAAGATTCATCGCATACGTCCTCATGTTGTGTTGCGACTACTCTACAGGCCCGACCAAAATCGACGGGCAACTCCTCGCTATGCAGCTCCGTAATCTCTAACTGAGTCATGATCCGCCCCGGAAAAAAGTGGGGAAATACCAGCCATATCAATTCTCGCTGTCAACCGTTTCCCCTGCTCCCCTTGAGTCAAGCCACACCCATCCACGGTTACTTGTGGTTCATGACAAGCCTCCGTGCTATCGTGATGCTCCTTGGCCTTGAACGTGCAGCGACGAAACGGAGAGGGGGGACCCGTGGCTGGCGCCGGCGATGTCTTCTCTAACTAACGATGTATGGGCCATTGCTGTCGTTCTTGCGGCCTTGACGTTCCGCCATCTGCCGATTGGGCCGTTAGCTATGAAATTCTCTGGTCAAGCGGCACAGTGAGACTAATAAATGGAAGCGACAACTGTGCGGTCGTCTCCGCGTCGAGATGGCCTGGCTGATGACTGCCGCGATCTGATCGATCTGCTGCGTGCACATATCCTTGGCAGACCGGCCGCTCTAAGCGGCCGGTCAAGCCAGTGCCTGATGGCTCAGCCCGTTTCGCGAGCCGCCCAGACTCCTGTCATACCCAGCCTGCGGCCATCCCGCCAACCGCCGAGAACAGGGCCTCGACGGCGTACCCGGTGTAACAAGTACACTAGCCAACCGGGCTGGTAGGGCAATACAAACAGGGAAACAGAGGGAAGACAGGAAATGGAACGTGAGAAGGTCATACCTCGAACTCCTGCAGGTCGCCCTTCTCCAGAACCATGCGTACGACGTCGTCCTCTTGGGACGTGCCAAACTCGTTCTCGAGCGTCAACTTGGAGGCGCCCTCAAGTAGGCCCTGCGCACCGTGCCTAACATGAAGAAGCACCCGTCAGCCAGCCATTCATTTATTCATATTTGGATTCCCTAAGGTGCGTTATGCCCTCCGCCGCGACCTCTTCCGCCTCCCAAGCCACTCCACAGCCCAGGAAAGCCGAAAGACAGTCCGAAGAATGGAGAGAGCGTAGAGGAGAGCAATAGCAAAGCAGGACAGCCACAGACTTGACGAATTGTGTGAGAAACGTACTTGTGCGTGGTAAAAACCTTGAACGACGACACCACCTGGGCAAGCGGCACGCTCTTGTCGCTCTGCCACCGCTTGAAGTCGTCGACGCTGTCCAGAAACACGACAAAGTCCTCGGCGGCGCCCTTGTAGTGGACCTTGACGTGGCTAACGTCGCCGCGCGTCATCTTGGGCTAGGTATGGGTTTGGGTTGGGTTTGTCGGTTGTTGTAGGGCTTGTTCTGTCGTTTGTAAAGAGATCGTCTTGTTCCTGGGGGAACGAGACAGCGAGATGTGGTGGTCGGGGTAGGTGCCGCGGAGTGGTGGGATTTATCGAAGAGTAAGGTGATGCTTGTGGATGGATGGAGTGGTTCAGCTGGAGGGAGAAAATGGTGCAGTGCAGTGAGAGAAGTTGTGTTCAGCGGAGTTCTTAAATGGGAAAGATCCAGACAGATCTTGAACTAGCCTTCTTGAATCGTGAAAGTGTCAAACTGCTTCGGGAGTAGTTGATTGTTGATATCGTGCGTTCTTGCCATTTTAATAGCTAAGGAACCATGTGGTCCAGCAAGCAGCAGAGCGCCGAACTACGTCATAGGCGACGATCCTGGCACTCTGCACTTACACAACTCTCTCGGACCAGGTCAATGGCCGCACAGAACCGAAACCCCCCCTCAGAAGACGGCCATTTCAACCCTTTCTACTGTAAGCCACCTTGGTTTGATAATTGTGAATTAATTCTTGAAACTTTGCCGGTATGTATCAATATCGGGCTCTGGCCTAGGGTCTGAACCTGTGTTGCCAAGAGCAGTGATGGACGTACGGATTACAACCCCTCAAGTCCCATGCCAACACCAACCGTTGATCCTTAGGGACAACTTGAAAGCTGGTCTTGACGTCACCGAAACAGGATACAGAAGCTGGGAGAATGACCCGACACTAATCAGTGTATTTACCGTCCGAGCACTTGTAGACCAAAGCCTCCTTTTATCACGAAGTGATGGCCCTGGTGCTTCCATGCCTTCCCAACCTTTGTTCAGCTAAGCATACAACTCAATCCCATTGAGAACTTCCACAAAATCCATCCCGTCCAGGTCAAAAGAGGGGCAGCAAAAGACGGGTATCAACTGCTTTTTCCAACCAACCCAGATCCCTCACCTAGCCCCTATTCCTGAGTCCCTTAAAAGCAAACAACAAACTGCAATGCAACCCCCCATGACCCTACCGAAACCAGCTCCGGATCTCCTCAACAACCACCTCCCGCCGTTTCAACTCCGTCTTCACCAGCTTCCCTGCAAGCCCTTGCGACCGTGACCGTGACCGCGTCGGCACAATACCCCGTCCCTGCCCCCGACTGAGCCTCTGTCGCGCTCCCCGCACCGAAGACGCCGACCGCCTCTCCTCTAGCTTTCTACTCTGCACTACCTTCCCCGCGTCTCCCATCTCGCAGCGGCCGGGGCGGGATTCCTTGGAGCCCTCCCGCGAGGACGTGGCGCTCCCCTCGTTCCCCAACGACTTGGGCATGCTCATCTCACTGCCCAGACACGGAGCCCACGACCCGCGAGGATCAATTTTCTTGGCTCCGGCCTCCCGCAATTTCGTCACCGAATTTTTTTCTGGCTCCGGCGCCTCCCCCAGTACTTCGGGCGCAGAAGCGCGGCGTGCTATGTCCGGACACGCCTCCCGCGCACAAGCTTGATGTTCAGCGCGAGAAGCCGATGCGCTGTATGTATCCTCCACCACCGGCACTGGCACCGTTCTCCCCACACACCCAACGATTTCCCCCTCACTGATCCGCCTCTGCCTCTTCCTCTCCCCAAGACCCCCAAACCCAGTATCCTTACCACCACTACTACCAGAAACACCAGGGGCGGCGCCCGCACCAGCCTTCTCCTTCTCCTTCTCCTTTTCCTTCTGGTAGTGCAGACTCGCCAAGCTAGTCGACCGGCGACTGAAGCCGCCCGCCGCGATGCTCACCGCGCTCAGCTTGCGCATCATGGACGAGGCAAGCTGCTCGCTCCGGGACCGCACCGCAATCCCGGGGAACGGCAGCACATCCCGCGTCCAGACGTCCGTTAGGAGCGCCTCAAGCCGGGCCCTCTCGGCGCGGGCCGGCGCGAGGACCGGGATCCGGCTGTTCGTCGTCAGGAGCGACTGCGATCGGTTGATTTGCTGCGATTGGGCATTGGACGACGAGGATGACGACGGTGATAATAACGAAGATGGTTGTGACGATGATGATGATGATGAGGTCGGGAGGTCCTTAGCGGCGCTGGTGTTTTTAAGTATGACCTGGTATAGCGGAGATTTGGGTCCGATGGTGGTTGCTCGGTGGATTGATATCTTTCGGGCAATGGTTCCTAGGATTCATGCAAATCAGTAGCCTGTGGGGGTTCGGATGTAACAGCGCTTTGAGTGACGTACCTGGCTTTCTGAAAACAGTCCCCAGAGACTTGACGTTCAGTGACAGGAAGCTGGACATTTCTGACTGCATCCGCTCTTGGCCGTCGGGGGTGGCGGCTCCTTGGTTGTTCAGTCGTGCACACCATTCCAGCTCCTCCTTTGGTGAGCACGCGGTCAAGATCAGCTCGTACAGCTGGTTGTTAGACAGAAATACGATTTTCCAAGAATATCGCGCCGTGTGGCATTGAAGCCCTGCCCAAGATGTCAGCATTGCTTGGAGACAATTGCGACGGAGGTCTTGCCTCGGCCATTGTCAGCTTCTTCGACCTTGATATTGCCCAAAGCGATGCAAGCACGGATGGTGTATATCTGGTCGATTCTGCCAGCCGTAGCAAGGCAAAACCACTCGCGGTACAGAAGGGCAACCATGTATTGCCCGCTGACACCCTCTTTTGTTTGCCAGCAGACGTGGAGCGCACCGCAGAGTTGAATGTGACCAAACGATCGGATACGGCTTTTGGACGCTGCATCCACCTGCTGAATGCCCGTCAATTACTGGCCAAAACGGAACTGCAGGCAGCACTTACATGGTTAGGGAATGCGAGTCGGTCCTGGAGGATCCAGGTCTTCTCCAGAACCGACTTGGTCCGACAATCGTTTGTGGCGCGGTTGATCTCGGCAGTGGCCTCGCGGAGCCTGATCAGCGTGTTCTCGATCTCCACGTGAGAGTAAGGGCAATCGATCACCGGTGTGTACTTGAGTAACTCGGAGAAGAGAAGCGGATACTTGCACACCCGTTGGATCGGCTATCTGGGTCAGCCACGGCTCTCGATTCTGGCCAACGGTCACTTGCCTTGACAAGCAGGTCGCCGGTTGTGAGGGCCTTCCTCGACTGGTTGTCGCGGCTGTCGGCAGAGCCCAGAGACGAGGCCAGGACCTCGAGCCCTTTTTGGTACGACAACCAGCCTGGCATCGTCTGATGGGCGGCTGCCACATTTTTAATCATCATCTCGTACTTTGCGCCGTACTCCTCATATATGAAGAAGCGGTTCATCTACGAGCCAGCGGAACGGTGAGCGCCCGGAGTAACGTCTGAACCGTGCGGTTATAATCCCAACTTACCTTTTTCAGGAAGATTTTAGAAACCTCAGCTGCCGTTGAAGGCTCGGCCATCATTCCAGGAACCTCGCGCAGCCAGGAAATGTCTTCTTTACCCTCGGGCACAGCATCTAGACTCCTCCAACGGAAATGTCCACGGGTTGATGGGTTTGATCGGGTCCGTCTGATTGGAAGATCTAGCTGCGTGTATTCTGAGTCGGGCACAGCCCGGTGCAGCTCTCCAAGGATCTCCTCGTGGAGCTCCACGATATCCGTCAGGTTCTGGTTAACCGACGGCCGCAAACCGGCCGGAGAACTGGGCAGAGAGGCAAGGATAGTGACGTAAACCTGCAGGCCATTAGCCTCAGTACAATCCCGCGGATACTCAAGCATACATTCATCAAAAACCGCACATCCCCGATGTAGTCCTCCTCGCTGCTAATTAGCTCCTCCAAGATGCGACGTCTCTGCACAGCCCTTTTCGTTACAGCAGGGTCCAGGGGCAGCTGTCTCTCGGGACAACAGCTGTCTTCGGAAACGCGTGGCCCAGAGAGGGAAGCCCTCCTGCTGCGCTCCGTCCTCGGGCCGCGGGATGATCGAATGGTCGTTTTCCACGAGCGAGTCAACAAGCTGACACCGGCCACGGATACGCTGGCGCTTTTGACCGCGGTGACGAAGGCGAAGGATGAGTCGGAAGACGAATGCCTGTGGTGAGAGGACTGCCGAGTCTGATCATCGACATCCCCCGTGTCCTTCAGCCACTGTGGAAGGCTGCCGTCGTAGCCAAGCATGTCCTGACGCCGTAGTGCCCGTCTGTGCAATGTTCTTATCCAATGTTTAAACGGTCTGGCTGAACGTGGTGATGGGTGGCGGCGCAGGTGATCAGCTTGCAAGGCGACCCCAACGAAGCCTTGTGCTCCGTCCGCCTCTTGTGCCTGGTCGAGGGGTGCTGACGGGACGTCCTTCAAAGCATACATTGCCGCGCTGAGCGCTGAGCCCGCCTTTCCTTCGTCGTCTGCTGGTTTTTCCGCAGGGTCCGCATCTTCGGGCTGCTCGGCACCACGGGTCATATCGCACGAGGCCCCGTTCAAGGAGGGCGGTCTAGGATGGTCGACATCTGCGGAGCGCATCATGCGCGGTCGAGCACAAGGGAAACAAATCCAAAATCGGGGCGTGTCCCAGCAACAACACGCATGTCACGGGCCGGTCCTGCCAGCCAGCTCAGAGCATGATATTAGAAAATATCAAGCTCGAGAAGACTCTGATACCTTGGTAAGACATGTGAGAGACGTTGATGTCAAGGCCAAGAGAACCCAAGGGGAGAAGGGAACGAAAATGGAGTTGTTACTCGATCGGGCCGGAAGGAGGGAACGGACATCACTGTCCGACCGCTCAGAGATGGGAGCAGGCCCTGGCTTAACCAACTCTGTTGGTCAACAATGGTGAAAGGGTCATTCCCGGATTGGGCTTTCACCGTATGAGCAAAACACCCAGTGGAGGGCATGGATGGCCTGTGGAGAGGACGGCAGCCACGACCGGACGAACAGCTCGAATGCATCAAGCCAGCGCACAGGCTTGGGAACGGGGTTCGACTGATCATTGGCGCGTCATCAGAACTGGGTAGCCACAATATAGTCGGACCGAGCCCAGCCACGTCCTCTGGCCGATTGGGTTCGACCGCATTTGGCCAGCATCCATGACGAACGCCGGCGGACAGTCTCGAGCAGACCAGCTCTTTTTCTCCGTTGTTGCACCATGTTCATCCGGAGAATCAGGGAGATTGCCTTCGCTTGTGCCTACTCCGGCCCTGTGTCACTCCTTGAGGCTCCCGTCCGGCGGGGAAGTATCAGGTGAGAGGGGCCCGAGGACCGAATGCGGCCTTATATAACTGAGCTTGTAAATCACATGAAAAATTGGCAACCTACAGCCATGGATAGGGAAGGTGTAAGTGCTGTGGTAAGTGCCCAAATGTTGGGTTCCAGCGAGGAAAAGGACAGTCCGTCAAGGTGAATTGGGTCGGGTCCCCGGGACTTGGACTGCCCAGGGAGCTCTGCTCTACCGCCGGAACGGGAAGTTCCGATCCCGACCCTCCTCCATTGGTCGAAGCTCTTAGCCCTGAAGATGCCCCTCTGAAGCTACCCCGCGCCGCGCATACCCAGGCGCCGAACGCGTCATTTGTGGCAGGCCTGATTACGGAACTGATCCAACTCCCGAAACTCGATCGTCGCTTGCAGCGCATATCTCTGATTCTGGGACGATGACCTTAAGCGCCGGAATGGGTCTGCAGCTGATGTTAGAACCATGAGCAACCTCCACGCGCCCACCGTCCCTTCGGGGCCGACCACGGCACCCATCGCAAACGGAAATGCGACGCACCTCACCATCGCCGAACTCCAGCGCAAGAAAGACATCATCGAGGGCGAACTCAAGGCGCTCGGCGGCGTCCTCGATTCGGTGGGTAGTGCCAAGTACTCGCGCAACCGAGACGATCCGCTTACAAGAGGCTGCTGCAGCACGGGGTTGACATGAACACCAGTCTCCTCACCCCCGATGGGTTTCCGCGGGCCGACATCGATGTCGCACAAAGTACGATGGCGGCGATCCGAAGTATGTGAGAGGGCGGAGAGGCTAACAGGCGCAGTTCGGACAACCAGAGCCCGCATCATCCACCTCCGGAATGACTGGAAGGATCTGATGGCCGTCATCGAGAAGCGGCTACACGAGCATTTTGCGAGCCTTCAAGACGACGACGCCGCCGACGAGGCCGCTCCTCCCCCGAGCATCGACTCGATCCCGCGAGACTCGGTGCCGGAGCCGCTCGACCAACCATTCGCCAAGGTCAATACAGTGGTGGACAACAGCCCGGCCGCGGCCGCTGGTCTCAAGCCCGGCGACCTGATCCGCAATTTTGGCTACGTAAACATCGAGAACAATGACGGTCTCAAAAAGGTGGCTGAATGTGTCCAAGGGAACGAAGGGGTAAGGCCCCAGCAACTTTGCAGCATGTGAAGCTGGTGGCAATGGAAGGCTGACGGTGCCGCAGCAAAACATCCTCGTCAAGGTCTCCCGAAGCACTGGGGTTTCGAGGCCTCAGGAACTCCGTCTGACCCTGACACCAAGGCGTAACTGGGGAGGTAGGGGGATGCTTGGATGCCATATTTTGCCGCTGTAAGTCGGGTTGATGACGGTTCGGCCGAATGTGTAGTTATAGCGAGACGAGCGCAGCTGTTTGTTGAGCTGCGTTGCCTTGGGCCAAAGTTGGCGACTGAGCCTGTCCCACCTCGGCCTGACCAGATTACTTTTGGGCTGCATCGTCCGCTGCTGTGGTCAGGCAATTTGGAACTCGAGAGGAATCTTGCGAGGCGATGCCTAGCACCAGACTAAACAGCGAGCAGAGCAATGGCTTCAGGTTCGAAAGCTGAAAACATCCACTCGTCATGACGCATTTGCAGCAGGCAGCAACATGCTTCTGCGAGCCTAACGAAGGCCCATCCAGATGAACTCGAACGCTTCGTTCGGCCTGTTGCAATTAGTAATCACCCAATGTGTGTTTTCGCGCCGTGAAGAAGATCATGAAATGCTGCAAGGGCTTGACAGGCCATTTGTGTTGTCATAAAAGCTGAGCACATGTCGGCGATTCTTTTTCGCTCCAAAGCTTCTTTCAGATTCTTGCGCTCGAAAGACAAGGCAGAGCTTCCTGTGCCGCACGAGCCACTCTGATCACGTGCCTCGACTCCCCGCCGCCCAACGAGTTTTTCGTCCAAGGCTGCTGCTGTGGTTCCCAAGCTGCCTTTGAAAACAACATCACTCCCCCCACTCATTCTTGCAACCTGACCACAACCACCTCTCCCACTGCCTCCAGAACCTCGAAAAAAGTGCGTTGCCATTCCCGTCCTCCGGTCGCTTCTACTCGACGACGATTTTTTCATCGCCGATCTCTACAAAAAGCTTCTCGCTCGCCTCTCAAAGCTAACGTGGGTTGCCCAGAGCTGACTCCTCGTCGCACTTGATCACCACCCATCCACACATCCACACGACATGGCTGAGGCGCCCCAGATCCCGACCTTCAAGCTGGTCCTCGTTGGCGATGGTGGTACCGGCAAGGTGAGTTGTCCCCCGTTGTCGTCGCTGGCGCCCGCTATCGCGACTTTTACTCTGCGCCGCAGTTGGGGTTCCCAGTGAGCGCCAGATCACCATGTGCCAGCCCGTACTAACATTGCCTGGCTCAGACCACCTTCGTCAAGCGCCACTTGACTGGTGAATTTGAGAAGAAATACATGGCCACTTTGGGTGTCGAGGTCCACCCTCTCGGCTTCAGCACCGTATGTCGTACTCTGTCAGCCGTGCGATCGGGCGATTGCGATGACTTGGCGCTGACAAGTTTGCAGAACTTTGGTCAGATTCAGTTCGACGTGTGGGACACTGCGGGCCAGGAGAAATTTGGCGGTCTCCGTGATGGCTACTACATCAACGGCCAGTGCGGCATCATCATGTTCGATGTCACGTCCCGCATCACCTACAAGAACGTCCCCAACTGGCACCGTACGTACCTGATTTGATGAGCCAAACAGAGTGTTAGCGAGAGGAGTGCTAATGCGGAATTAGGTGATCTCACCCGTGTCTGCGAGAACATTCCCATCGTTCTCTGCGGCAACAAGGTCGACGTCAAGGAGCGCAAGGTGAAGGCCAAGACCATCACTTTCCACCGGAAAAAGAACCTCCAGTACTACGACATTTCGGCCAAGTCGAATTATAACTTCGAGAAGCCCTTCCTCTGGCTCGCCCGCAAGCTCGTCGGCAACGCTGCTCTGGTACGATTGGATTTTTTGAACGCGTGGGCGCATGCGGGCCATTTTACTAACGACGACAAACCAGGAATTCGTCGCCGCCCCTGCATTGGCTCCCGCCGAGGTGCAGGTCGATCAGAACCTCATTGCACAGTACGAGGCTGAGCTCCATGCGGCCGCTGAGGCGCCCCTGCCCGACGATGACGAGGACCTTTGAGCGGCTCCAGACCAGGCAGCTCGGTCAGTACATTGAATGTGGTTCAGGATTGGTAATGCCCGTTATGAAAGGATAAGATACATCTCCCGAGGCACGCACAGATGGCAAGTACAGGCATTTGGGACGGACATTCGGGGGAACACGTATGGGTGGGGCTTCGAGGGAAGGCATCGATTTGGGATTTTTGATGGGGGGAATGGAGCGGCGGCGGCCAACATGTTTCCTCTCAAGGTTTGGTTGACCCCAGACGCAAGTCAGCCAGATCACGCAAAGCTAGATCTGAACAACACTGCTGCATAAATTGCGGCCCTAGGTAGATCAATATCAGACGTCAGTCTCACTAAGGAGCTTCGCCTGGTCGACATGTCCAGAGAAAGGAGTGGCCAAACCCTCCCTTTCACCTCGTTTCTCATCAGCGACGAGCGTGAGGTTGAAATCGGGCTTCAAGGCGGTGAGGCCCCGCTGTGGGGCGCAGCTTCATGACATCAAAGAAGCAGGCAATGTGCACCATGAGGCGCTGCTTTGTCAGCCGGACTGGGGCATATCGCTTGGCAATAATGGTTGCCCGGTAACGAGCCAAGCCCACAGCAACATGGACGGAGTACTTAACGTTATACAATTATACATAATCAAACAATCGTCGAGAAGCGGAATAGTATCTTAAGATATCAGCATATAGCGTCTCAAAGTTTACGCCACGGGTGAGTCGTAATCCAATATAACAGATTCTGATGGTTTATAATTCAGTCATAGTTTGTTCGTTGGCGTGCCACGTCACCGGCCCCTAGTCAAGGGGAGACAAGCACTGGAAACTGCAGCGGCAGCATCACCTCTACTTTTCTTGCTTCCATACCAATTGGTTCACGGTAGCAAGCGAACCAGGTTTGGGCTGTATACAAAGCTCATCTCAAATCATGGCAGCATTTTATTAGCACTGCGCGGTATAAGCAGTGCGCACGGTCAGACCGTAAGGAGCTGTTGTCTTGTGAGGTCGAGAGCACGAAGGGAGTGCCCGGATTTGGGGGCAAGCTGTCCGTCCCTATACATAAACAGGGTGCTGTTAGCCATCTATTACTTTGGTACTCGAATCTGAGACGGCTTTCTCAGTTCTCGAAGCTGCTTCGACATGAGGACTTGTGCAGCGGATGGATGGCCCGGCCTTGCGTCAGGGGCAGTAAGGGACCAGGTACCTTAGCCAAGGGGCATGGAACGGGTTACCCAGTTAGCTGAGACAGGAAGACTACCTTCATTTGGTCTCCAGAGGCAAAATGCCCTCCAAGTCCGGATGGGACTCATACCTGAAAAACATGTCGGGCGACAAGCTCCTCAGTGTGGTGGACTTTTCTGCTCCACCGGGGCGCGCAAGCATGGCGTGGGATAACTTTACCACATATTGCCCGCTCAAAAACGCTGTGACGTGAACATTTGAAGGGTTAGAGGTGCTGCTTTTGCCACGAAATAACTGAAGCACACGGGGAGTTAAGTGTCCTCAGCAGACCGAGATCTGCCACGTTGACGATGAGAAATGTCCGGTGTTGACACCCTCGCCGACAACGCTTGACTGCTCGGACGCTTGACTGCTCGGTATCCAAAACCTGGTTCCCAACCCAGTCAGATCGGTTCCAGCCATGCCTGTGAGGGATCCAAAGTGAAGGAGAGGGAGATAGAGAAGAAACAGGTACGGTCCGGTGTGGACGAGTCTTTGACTTGCTCTGGAATGCCGGTGATGATAGACATGGCAGTTTTGATGGCAGGACTGATCGGGGCGTTGCTAAACCTTCCCTACTAGTTATTGAGACCCGGTTTTATCTCGACAAACGTGTGATCAAGGCACTTAAAAGGCTGGCCAGATCAGGTATGGAGTGGTCGTGTATGTCTTCATCATCTCTTACCCTCTAGTACAGCAAAACGTAAACGACCTCGAGTGTTTATGCCTGTCTGAATATAGGACCATCTTTACCATTTGGGAGTGCCTTCTGTTTGATCTCTAGGCATTACTTCAGCCTCGAAATCCGACGGACTGTTTCGTACCGTCTCGTTGCAGAGTCCTGATCATGGAATTATCCCATCCGTCGAGTAAGAACCTGCTTCTGGGATAGAGACAGGGCCTCGGAGACCATTGAATCCTTAACCATTTTGGTTCTGCCACAGAAAAGAGGTCGCAAGCATGACTGCCGAACTAAGGAACGAAGCCATGAGAGGGACTGCAAGCTTCAGACAAGCTTGTCTCAAACCTGAGCCCTTCAAGCGGCCGTTGTCGTGCAAGGGCAGGAAGCGTGTGACAGTCACCCATACTTTTGCCATTAGCACAACCCCCAACATCAACAATCGTGAAAGCACGGCAAGCATGGCCCAACAGCCTGTCAAGCCCCCAAAGCATGTATGACCCCAATCCCAGACTTGAGATTAAGGCATATATATTGGAGAGATTATTCGAAATAAAATGGGAGGAAAAAAAAGAAAAAGAGCACACATTATCTCCAAAACAAGTCTGCTCCTCCTCCCCCGGGTGTTAATGAACGTATCGCCTCAAACCAAAAAGAACGCATCATCATTCCAGCACGCATCAAGAATAGTAAAACCATCATATATATCAAGAAGCCTCCTTCTCCACCCTCCCTTTCCCGCGATTTAGATACCCGGCGTCGAGAAGCCCGGAGCCTGCGGCCAGTTACCCAGGCGTGCCGGATCGCCACCGATGCGGACATAGACACCGACGGCGGGGATACCACCGTCGAGCACAAAGAACTGGTACCAGCCCGGCGGGCAAATGTTGGCGTTGGGCGGCGCGTCGACGGTGCAGCTGGTGCCGGTGCACGAGACGCGCGGCATGATGGTGCGGGCGCCCATCGAGTTGCCGTGCGTGCTCGACACGGAGCCGAGCAGGGTTACGGTGATGGCGCCGTTGCGGGCCGGCGCGCCCAGCGTGAACGCGATGTTGGCCTGGCCGTAGGCCCAGTCCTTGTTGACCAGGCTGAAGGTCGGGCGGGGTTTGCCGCTGAGGAGGTAGGGCGGGATGAAGACCTCGACTCGGTACTCCTCGGGGTTCTTGCCGTCCTCCGGGTTGGAGCCCGAGATGAGGACACGGCCGTCGAGGAGCGTGATGGCTTCCGAGTGGTACAAGCGGGAGATGGTGGTGTTGGCGGCGACCGTGATGCGCGAGCCGAGCGGCTTTGACGGGTCGTAAAGGAGCGCGTTTCTGTTGGGGTCCGTGGCCAGGCCGAAGCCGGCGTTGCCGTGGTGGGCGCCGTTGGCGATCAGGTATGTGCCATCAGGGAGCGGGGCCATGCACGTCAGGACACGTTTCGAGGGCATGCGCTCGATCTCCCACTTCGGGTTGGCCGCCTCGGGGTAGATGGAGACGCAGTTGTCGAGGGCATTCATGACACCCGTGGTGGCGCCGCCGCAGATGAGGACGCCGAGCGGGTCGGTGTAAGGGTACTTCTGTGGGAAGAGCACGGCAGTACCCTCGAGAGGATAGGTGCGGCCCCCCTTGTCGTCGTTGGGTGCGCCGGGGGCGTTGGGAAGGACCTTGGTGGTCGCGAAGGTAACGGGATCGAGGATGCGGGCCTCGTTCCAGTACTGGACAAAGATGCCACCACCGGGCAGGACGAAGAGGTAAGGATACAAGTTGTTGGGGTGAGTGCGGTCCAGCCAGTCCATGTACAGCGGGGCCTGTCCGGTGTACGGCAGGATCTCGAGCGAGGGAACGGCCTTGTCGTTGGAGCCGATCAAGCCACCAACGACCAAGACGGAGCCGTTGGTCATGACCATGGCGGTAGGATACCAGCGGCCAGCCTGGAGCTTGAGCACGTTGACGTTCTCCTCCCAGTCGTGGGTGTCGCCGGGCCAGTACAGACGGGTGCCATAGGTCGAATCGCCAGCCCAGCCGCCGACGTTGAGCTGACGACCGGCCTTGTCAGGCAGGGTCACGCCGGCGGCACAGAAGACGTCGGTCTTGAGGTGGAGCTCACGGAAGGTCCGCGATGCGACGTCCAGCTCGTAGGCGCCAGTCTCGTTGCCAGGGCCCGTCCCGTGCTTGGAGATGAACGACACCTTGCCAGTGATGGTTTCCTGGGTAATGAGCGGGATGTTGACACCGTTCGCGAAGAACTCGTACCGGCCGGCCCGCCAATCCTGCGGGAAATCCCACGAGTATTTGGGCGTGCCAGTCCAGAAGTAGGTGGAGAGACGGCTGAGGCCACCGCAGATGGCCGTCGGGTCGCCTTCGCAGGTGATGCCGCACTCGCTCTCCGGCCGGAAGGTGGCGCCGGCGGTCGCCATGTTGGCCGGGTCGCCGCAGTAGCATTCCCGGCCGTACTCCATACCGGCGGCATGGTAGCCAAACTGTGCGCAGCGGTCCAGGCACATCTCAGGGGTCATGCCAGGGTAGATGATCTGCCAAACGAAGGTGCGCTTGTCGTTAAGGTTGTCTTCGGCGCAGCCCTGGTATGTCCAGTCGCCGACAGTCTGCTTCGGGGCGGGAGGAGCATAGGCCTGAGGTTCGCCCTCGGAAACAATGCTCAGACGGTCGCCAGCACCGCACTTCTTGGTCGGGTCGCCGGGGCAAGCCATGCTGCATTGCGAGTCGACAGTTTTTTCACCGCCGTTATAGATGGCATTGCCGCAGAAGCACTGGACGCCATACTCGGTGCCGGAAATTATGTAACCGGCCGCAGCGCAGGCGTTGGCGCACGTCGAGGGGGTGTTGGCCTGGCTGTCGGGAATCTGATGCTGGAGGATACGTCCCTGCTTCCCGTCGATCCAGCATCCCTGATACGACCATCCCTCAGGAACGCCGGTAACGACGGGCGGCGGGGAAGTGGTCGTGGCCGGTGGCGCGCCAGTGGTTGAGCTCGGCGGAGGAGTGCCGTCCCTGGCATAGACAGACAGGCGGTTGCCGGCGCCGCAGTACTGGCTCGAGTCGCCCATGCAGGTCATGCTGCATTCAGACGCGGGCGCCGCGACGGAGCCGGCGGCGAAGCTGTCTCCGCAGTAGCACTCGCGGGAGTACTCGACGCCAAAGTACGTGTAGGCGGAGCAGTAAGCCTGACACGCTTCAAGGGTCATGTCGTCGGAAGCGAAGGTGGCAGCACTCAGAGCGCGCCCGGCCGTGGCCTCGGTGCGGCACCCATACCACTCGTAGTTGCCAACGGTCTCGGGCTGGGAGGGTCCAGTCGGCTGGCTGCCGCCGCCGGTAGAGGTACTGGGACTTGTCAGCAATCGAAGCCCGGGCATGGGGATATACAAATATCACAACTCACGCGGCGGCGGAGGAAGTTCCCGAAGGGCTTTGGCCCCCGTAGCTGTATACATTCAGACGGTCAGGGCCGCCGCAGAGCTCGGTGCTGTTGCCGTTGCAGGTCATGGCGCAGCCGCTGGTGGCGGGGGCACCGCCGTTGACGATGCTATTACCGCAGTCTGTCCGAGTCAGTTCATGCTCCCGGCCAGCAGGTTGGGCCTCACATACAGCATTCGCCACCATATTCCACGCCGGCAAAGTTGTAGTTGGCGGCGCGGCAGGCAGCCGTGCACTTGGCCACCGTCATCTCGGCGGCCGGGATGCCGCCGGCGCCGTAAGTAAGCGCACGGCCTGTTGTCCCCTCCGCGTAGCACCCCACGTGGGTGTAACCGTTGACGCCCGGGTTCGGTGCCGGCCCAGACGAAGTCAGGCTATCTGTGTAGAAGAGCGATAGCCTGCTTCCGGCTCCGCAAGGCTGGGTGGCGTCTCCGGAGCAAGGCATGTTGCAGTTCGAGTCGGCTACCTTCTCGGTTCCCGCGGCAAGGCTGCTCCCGCAGAAGCATTCAACCGAGTACTCTGTGCCGGCGTAGGCGAAACCCTTGGCAGCGCAAAAGGCGAGGCAGGACTCGATTGTCATGTCCTCGCCATCCGCATACGCGGCGCTGTTGATGGTCCGGCCGGGTACATCGGTATAACATCCTTGATACTCATAGCCTGACGGAAGATCCTCGGGGATGGAGAGCTGGGCAAGCGAGAATGGGAGCTACAGGACACACATGTTAGCAAAGAAAGAAGCCGTTGCTTGGCCGAGCCCGGCTCAACAGCGAGGTAAAGAGTCTTACGGCGGAGAGGAGGAGAGAAGAAACGAGCGTCCTTGAGGGCGAGGCCTTCATTGTGAAGGTGGGTGCGTCCGGAGAGCGGACGCCAACACCAACAAACTGGACAGGACAGCAAAAACGAGTGTCAGGGTCGGAGGAAAGCAGAAGCAAAGGGGGAGCAAAGACACCATGTGGGGGGCGGTGTTCCTAAGATATACACGTTCGGCCCATGGTGCCGAGTCCGCCGTGACCGTGACGGGTGACATGACCGTGGACGATGGGTTCCTCTCCTGCTGCTTGGAGAAATGGCTGAACAGGGGCAGGTACCCGTTGGGCCCGCCGAGCAATTGGGCTGGCCATTGGCCAACAGGGAAAAGCGAGAGAGAGTGGGCCAAGTCTAGTTCTTCCTCGATCTTGGGCCAGCCCGGCGTCCAAGATTGCAGGGGTTGTGCTGTGCTGTGGACGGTCAGCGCAACAACAAGGGTCCTCACTGCAACCCAACATTGGACCATGCAGAAGAGCCGTACTCCGTATCAAACAGCGACAACAGGCGAAGCGCTCTCAAAGGCATGCATGTCGATGGGGTTTCTCGTTCAAACCTTTGGGTTTCGCTCTGGCGCCGAGTGATGAGCTTGGGGCAGCTAAAGAAATGACAGAGGTGGCTGCCATGATCCTCGCGCAGGTAATTTGCGAGGGCCGGTTGCCCCTGAGATCGCAGTGCGAACTTCAGGAACCAGTATTCATAAGCCAACGATCACATCTGGGACACCCTCCGGCTCGGTGATTGATTTCACGGATGGCCATGGTTGCCTGCCGCTGTGGTTTGGGAGTCGGCGACAGAGATGTTTTGCCGCAACATGGCAGGGCTGAATTTGTCCAGCAGCAGATGCAGAGACGGAAATGCCAAGATGCAATGCCAGATCACAGCTCGCTCTCGTGCCCCAGTCCAGAAACCTGCGAATCGCCTGCCCTGCAATGACAGAGAGGACTGCCGGGGATGGCTTGACCCCATCCGGGCGGGCTGGCCAATGCGAGTGCCCCGTGGCTGCGAGAGTAGTCGTCAATACGAGGTGGATCACTCACCATCACCAGTTCGTCACAGCTCACACACAATGCCATATTTTCCCATCTTCCTCCCACTTGAGCCACTTCATCGGCAGGTCTGCTCCGGGACACACGCAGAGTCTGGTGATCGGCCGTGCATGTCCCAGACTCCCAGTGTGGCCCCTCGTTTCTTTTTTCCTTCTGGTGCCAAGTTGTCCGGGGCTATTGGAGGGAGGAGGATTGACCCCAGTTGCTGGGACAGGCTATCGACAAGTCAAACTCAATAGCGTAGTTTGCTCGGGTCTCCATCAGCAATTTACTCAGCCTTGGAATTTGGCTTGGAGAAAGGGTCAAAAGTTGGTATTTTTTTTTTGTCTGGCCATTGGCTGCGAATCGTTTGCAGGGATTTTGAGAGCAAGCTGAAAGAACGAAATGGGGAAAAAGACGTTATCCGCTGCACCCGAGCAAAGGTACGAAGGTACAATACTCCCCTGACTGGGCCCTGTCTTGGTAAAAACAGAAGCAACAATTAGTGGCAGTGCACGTCTGCCCCACGGGGTTCATGCGAGCAGCCCACGTTCCATCCTTCCATTTCACACGCATCAGGGAAGTTAGGCGACTACAGTACAATACGGAGATCTTTGCTAGATATTGTTGGAGATATTCCGTACTAGATTAGTTCTCGCTTTCTGCTAGAATCTACAATAGCTGAGCACGATGTCCATGCAAATCTCCACGTTAACGCTTCCAGGTTGTCTCCCTCGGTCGAGACCGGACTCCACCGGACCCGAAAATCGATTTACCATGAACACTGGCCAGGCCTTCCAGATTCTCTCTGCTAAAAAGTTCAGCTGCGTCGGAAAGGGGCTCATCGAGAACTCCATAGGCCACGTGGATCGACGCTAGCACTACACACTACCGGTACACTAATATCTCTCAATGTTATGTGGGCAGGGTCGATTTTGTCGACGTCCAGGCTCTTCAACTGGCTGGCTGCAATTGGTGACATGACATTCGATGGCCACCTCCGCATTGGCCCGCTCGGCCTGTGGCAGCCGGGCGGAGCTCGGTCAATTCAGCCCTTCCACAAACAGGCAGGCGGCCGATCGTTCGTGCTACGTACATCCGTACTCTCGCCGCATCCCGGCCATGGCCCCCGGGTGATCTCCGGGATGGGCCGATGCTTCCGTTCCCAGGGGTTAGTGTAGGTACAAAATTATTATCACTACGAATAGCTCGATCACTTTCTATCAACTCTTTGTCTGGTAATCCTCCTCAAGAATCCACTGACGACGTCGCCACAAAAGATGCATTAGACGCCAGCTAGCCACATGCAGTCATGCACGTAGACGTGGAGAAGTGTTCCCCCGCTGCCACCACCCAACATTGGAGTACAGATATCTCAACTCGTATCAGCGTACGGACACACCCCGCAAATTTATCTGCTGTTGATCTGAGGTTCTGAATCACCGCTCCTCTGGCACCAATCGCCCACACCACGTATCGAACTATTGAAAGAAAGGCATTGGGACTGGCCGCCCCAAGGAACTCGCAGAAAAATAACACAACTGCCCAACATGCGCTGACATCGGAAAGATGTGAAATCCTCCGGCTCTGGTGTGCCGTGGGCCACAGTAACACGAAGAAGCGGTGGGGATTCGCATGCACGTCGCTCCTGCAATGCGACGCCTACAATGGCTTGGTCGTGCCAGTGGGGGCTCGAAATGGTCCGACAAAATCTTTTGCATCTTTCTGTTGGTAACACCACTTTGACTCGGTTCGGCAATAAGACCAAACAGGTCAATCGGCGACGCTTCCTTCATCGGCTCCCAGCAAGCTCCGAGTCTGCCGCCATGAACCAAGCCCAAGAGAATTGTTGTCCGAGATTCTTTTTGTTCGGCCCGCCTCGACACCGCAGGCGCCAACCCTTGCGCAGCATGCCCCCAGTCGTCTCAGGAACACGAGCTCTTGGTTGCAGATTCCTTTTGCGGGCAAAACCACATCAAACAGCGACGGAAGAGGAGGTGATCAATAGTTACCAATGTGTTTAGCCAGCGTTTCGGGGCGCACGGCGCGTCCCTTAAATGCATTGACACGCTTTAATGCATTGACACGGTAGGATTGAATTGGTCTGCCTGCTCAAGATGGATTGAAGTGCATTTATTATTGCGAGGGAGAGGAGATGGCGCCCTCCCACCGCTGAGCAATTCAAGACTCATCTTACTACAGCACGTTTTCCCGACATTGAGGTACTACTGTACGAGTCTTGTACATCGCAGGCAAGGTGCCTTACCGTAGTCAGGGGCAAACAAGTCCCCAGTCCATGGCGCTGCTGGGCCAACACTACGTAGATATTGGTTACCCCTGAATAAGGTAAGCTCCCCGTGGGCCGAAGCAGCAGCTGTCTGGTGGTACCTACATTGTGCTTGTATCAGCGCACATACCACCCGAGGCGGACGTTCAGGTAACTTGCCATTATTGACTCCCAAAATACCAGTCCAAGTGTCGCTCTACGAGATCACCTTCCTTTTCTAACTCAAAGCTACAACTCCAGCTAGGTGTAGTGTTGTTGCTCTCTTCGTGAAATGTTAATGTTGCCCTTGTAGTCTCCCACTGGTTCCCATAGTCTTCATTGGTGGTCAACCTGAGATTTGAACTATCTGCTCACTGATTCTCAACCTCATTCGGCTTCTTCTTGCCTCAGGAAGTGGCTTCTTCGGCGACAATGATAGCTCAGCACAAGACTCTTATGAGTAACAGTGGTAGCACGGTAAAGACAAGACAGAGACAACAGAGGAAGTAAGCAACCCGGCGACTCGGGAGTATCTCATTTACAACTTGCAACGGAAGTGTTCTCCTTGTCTCCTGGGCTCTTGACGAAGTGTTGCTTTCATTCCACGAGAAGTCTAAACCAATATCACCCCCATAACACCGCTGGCTTTCTCATTTCCGCCTTTCTCATGCTCTTTATCCCTGAGAACACCATTACCAGTTAACTCCCTCCCTCGAGTGATTCATGCCTGACCGAGCTCTATCAGACAGACATCGGCTTCGGGGTCAGGTAGCCCTCCGTCCCCAGCCCGTCCCTCTTCTCCCTTTCATCCGATTTGACCCCAATCCAGGCCTCAATGCCTGCCAGTGCTTCATATACAGGATCCGCCTCCCACAGAGTCAACCACCCCCTGGTTGGCTCAGCGGCATTGGGAAGGAGCATGGTTGGAACTTCAACAACCGAAATCGTGTGGGTTTGACTCGCCACAAGATAAGGGAAAACAGTCGAGTTTTTCGTAGCCAACCACCTCTATTCGACCGGCGCGGGAATAGGGCTGGTTGGCGAGCTTTTTTTACGTTTTTCTGTCTTTCCATTTGTATTTGTTGTTCCCTTGCGAGGACTGTTTTCTCCCCTTTACCGATCTAGGTATACCAATTTGACGAGAGAAATGTTCACCTGACTCTTTGTCACAGAGAAATAACTCGGTCCATCACGTACTCGTCTCCTTCATCACCTACCTACCTACCTACCGAATTACCCTACCTGCAACCAGCTCATTCCATCAACAGGCGAGACACCGACGGGCCGCTTTCAAACTCACAGCAACAGTGGGCTTGCTAAGTAAGGTATAATAAACCTCCTAACAACATTCTCAAAAGCCTGCCTATCCATGCCAGCCGCAAAGGGAAATGGGCAGGCAATCTGACTAAAACATACGGCCGCGGCAGACATGCTCCAGACTTTTTGAAGGTCAGCGTCGTCCTAGATTCAGGCAAAAGCGCAGAATCGGTGATGAATCAAGCTAGGATAAAGTCGATGACGGCTTGCAATATCTGTTGGAGTCATGTCGGTCATATCGTCAGGGCCTTGACATATTTCTTTAAAGGAGAGGGCTGCGAGTCCGTTGACTGCAGACGGCTGATGTAAGTACGTGCTCGGTACGTTCACGACTTAATCGAAGCTGACGATGACCATAAACAAATACCCATCATGCTGAGGCAGTCTGCTGGAGTGTCGCGCTCATGAGTCGGACCGGAGTCGGCGAGAGCATCTTCGTTCAGCAGAGTGACACTTCCTGATCCAGCGTCAAGGGAAACGACTACTCATTTGAGACTTGTTGGGTTTGCTTCCGCATGGCATCGGTTCTCGTCCATGAGAGTATGTTTGTCACGTGCAGCGGCCTCGAGCATGTCGCGGATGCGAATCACGTCCATCTCGAGCTGTCTGACCTAGTTCGGCTTTGCGATGCCGGTGCTGCCCCTGGGCCGTCCATACCTGGGCCCGCCGGATTTGGGCCTTCTCAGGGCTGCTATGTCTGCCGGTGCTGCATCTCAGCCAGCTGTTCTCGGAATTCCGGAGCTTACTACTTTGGTTGCATCTTGAACAGAGCGTTGGACAGAACAGGGCGAGAAGGAACAAACAACGAAACGAAGTGAAATGTGCTCCAGCTCTAACGCGCGCAGACCCACGTGAAGCCAGTATGACGAGCATGCATGTCTCCTTGGCACACCCAGGGATAATGGGCCCGTAAAGGTATCTTTTCTTCCAGATGAGGCTTGACGCCTGACGGTCTTGAACGAGTAACATCTAACAACTTTCTTACAAATTCGGATGTATTTCCATCTCATACACTCGCGTTGAGAGACCATGTCTAACTGGTCAATGTCATGCCCTTCGCTTCCTCCATTTCGTCGACCATCGCTCCCACCCCCGCAATTATATGACCGCCCCCAGAGATAAAAACGCCGCTGATATGCTCCTGATTTTCGTTTACCCCAACGCCAATGCCGCAAAATAACCTCCCATCATACCATCAAGACTTCCCAACGTAAAAAGAAGAACCCCATCCCAGCTCCGCACATTGGCTCTTGCCCCTTTCCTTCTTCGTGCCCAGGGCACAGGTACCGATACATACCCACCAAACCCTCGCCACTATCATCCATTTGCCGCCATCAATCCCTCACTCATAACCCCCCTCCTCCTCATCAGTAGCCGTATCCTCTTGAAACCCCACCGCTACGCCACCATCACTACCAACTTCACTTTCATCGCCATCATCATCCTCCAAATCCCCATCCTCTTCTTCATCCCCATCCCCCTCCCGATCAAGAACCGCCATCGGCGTCCACGCAACATAGCTGTTCTTCAGATCCAGCCAACGCTTTGCAACCGGCAGCTGGAACGGGTCAAACGGGAAGCACGCCTCGAGGTGCGTCCACTTGTCGTCGTCGTACTCGAACCCCGTGTCGCGAAGTGCGCCGCCCGTGGCGTAGCTGCCCGTGAAGAACTGCGAGAGGTGGACCGACTTGTTCTTTTCAATTTGCGGGTATCTAGAACAAAACGAAAACAAAATGTTAACTGTGGGGGCGGGGATGGAAGGGGAGGGTTACAAGTGGAACTGACATGTAAATGAGACGGAGGTGGTGCGACAGGCGGGCGAATTCGTCCACGATTATCGGGGAGCAGCATTTCAGTGGCTAAAAGGCCGCCAGTCAGTGATTATCCAAGGGCTAAAGGGAAAAGGGGAGACGGCGCACGTTGAGCTTGCTGCCAATGTTGGCCTGCAATCTGGGCTTCAGGCCCGTCATCCAAGGGAGCTCTTGCCCAATGAACGATGCCGGATCGTCCCAGTCGAGGGTAGGGGGTAACAGGTCCCGATCGATCAAGTCTCGCCAGCGGAAGCAGAAGATCTAGCACCACAAGGTCAGTACACGAGGGAACCCAACACTCAGTCATGTTGCCGCGACTCACATAGAGCAATCCCTGAAAGTATGCACTGCGAATGGTTAGCATGCTGATGCTTTAAACAATCCCCACGAAACAACTCACTAGTATTGGCTGTACCGTCGCACATCGGGACCGCGGCAGTTGCTGTGGATTGCGCGGTAGTGATCCATATAGTCAAGGAATGTCTTGGTGATCATCTGCACCTGCTCGCTCTGCACCCTGGCCCCGCGTGCAGTGAAGCTTGCCAAGTAAGCAACTGCAGCCTGCTTGACGACCGGTGGCCGATTCGACTCGAATCTGACAGACGTCAGAATGTGTATACCTCGATGTTGGGATCCGGGCGAGGGGCTTACGCAAGATTGAATAGCGTCCCAATGAACATCTCCATGAACTGGTTAGACTTCATGGCGAATTTGAAGAGTAGATACTGGGTGTGGCGCGACTTGAGATGCTGTTCAACCGTTAGTCATCGACCACAAGACGTCTGAAGAAGGAGCACATACCGGCAAGATGACATTGGAAAAGTCGCTCAACAGGTCCTGGAACGCCTCAATGGCCTCCGGAGTGTCGGGGTCTTCAAACACAGGGGTATAAATTGAAAAGAGCAAGTCGAGGATCGCATCCATCGTTTCCAGCTTGCTCTTGATCGCAAGCACGCGCTTGGCGTCCTCATTGAGCTCGTCCTCGTCGCTCAGGACAGAATCGGCATCGCTGTCGTCGTCCTCGTCTTCATTCCTAGCGTCCGAGGCTTCCAGCTGCCGCAACACCGCCCTCGTGGTCACGTCGTCATCGTTCTCCAGGTCAAGCGTCATCTCTACATCCAGCTTGACCAATCGCGAAAGAATCAGCTCCATGATATCCCGCTCCAACTCGGGCCTCGCCGCCTTGAGACGGAGCAGATGATCGATATACTCCATGTGCGTGGCCTTGGACTCTTCAGAAAACGGGAACTTGGCCGCGACCAGGTTGAGAATTATGTGCTGCCCCGCCGGGAACAGCTCCAGGAGGTACTTGAGCCCGACATGCAGCCACGCCTTCTTGGTCTCCGGGTCGACGGGCGGAAACCCGGCAACGCTCGACGCGTGCCTCGTCTCGGTGAACTTGTCTACCATCATGGTGAGCACCTGCGTGAACAGCGACCCTTGCACCGACGCCAGCGCCGCCAGCAGCTGGATGTACGCCCGCGCAAAGCTCTCGTCCCGCTCTAGCCAGGCGCACCGCAGCACGCTGCGCAGCAGCCCCGAGCACGACCGCCCTAGCAGCGGCACGTACCCGGTCAGCGCCACGACGTAGACAATCAAATCCTGCTCTATTGCCGCCAACGCCGCTTCATCCTCCTCCTCGTCGTCGTCGTCATCATCGCCTTCTTCCGACGTAAGTGGCAGCTGCAGCTCCTTCTTCCTCCTCCTCGGACTCGGCGAAAAGATGTCCTTCAGGTTATCGTAGTCCTCGTCGTCGCCGCGGGCGTGCGCCTCGAGGGCCTGGCGCACCTCTCGCTTCGCCTCCTCCAGGCTCTTGCCGCTGATTTCCTTGACCATGTTCAGATCCTCGTTAAAAACGACCGTCTTCTTTTGTCGTTTTGTTGGGGGTTCATCCTCGCCGTCATCCCCCGAGTCGTCCGACCGCCGCTGTCGCGTGCCCAGGACCGAGGACGTGGGCTTTCGGAGGATGGGTTTGATCGGAGAGGATGCGAACGTGGGTCCGGAACTGCGCGGTATGAATGGCTGGGCCGTCGTCATGATAGATGTCTTGGCTCTTGTTCTGAATGTTGGAAAGAATCGAGGGAGAAGGTGGCGTAGTCTGCTGCGCGCGGGAGTCGACGGCGAGACAAGAGAGACAAGGCGAAAAAAACTCAACCCAGAGAAGAAGTGAGAGAGTCAAGGGAGAGACGGTGTTTGGTGTTGTGGCAGAGATTTGTAGCAGCAGTTGATCAACCATAATTGTTGCTACGCATCTCGATTGATGGTGGCAGACAAGAGAACTTGTCGGTCGAGGTCCCAGTCTTGGGGAACTTTCTGCGCTTCTGCCGGTGTATCCACCACAGCCATCGAAGGAAAGTGTTGTAATTCGTACAACATTTTTTAAAACCAACCGACACGTCTCCCCGCGAATGGCACGTGCCCAGTGGAGCCGCGACCTCAGCCAGGAAGGCGGTCAGATTCTTAGTCGATGCCCGGGCATCATTGGCTGCAAGCTCATGTGTAGCGCCTCGATTCATGAAACACTCATCAACGTTACTACACAGTACGTGTAATCCGTAGACGAGAACGCCTATTCTACCGCAAAAACCGACCTGAACAAGAAAAACAAACAAAAAAAAAGAAGCTGACTCCTACCATATCATGCCGTCCTCCGGCCTTTCCCATTCACATTTACCGCCAATCCAATACCCCACCAGCCCTAATGTATACTCTCTCCGGCACAGGTAGACAGCGACAGCGTAGAGAAGGCTGACCTGCCGCCCCAGACCGGGTCGTACTTATACAAACGCGAGAAAGTCAAAAGCACTCCAAGTAAATCCAACGGCTGGGCGCGGGCCATGCAGGACTCTGGTCGAGGACGGTCAATAGTCAGTCCCCGCACCGTTATGCCCAGGCTGAGCGCCGTAGAGGTTATAACCCTGCGCATCCGCGCTTTCCTGCTGGCCAGGCAGACCGGCGCCGAATCCACCCGCCGAGTTCGAGCCGGCGGTGGCGCCGTACCCTTGGCTGTTGGGCCGGTTCTGCTGGTTCTCGCCCCTATTTGACTGGGACTGCTGAGATGGTATTAGCGAACAAACTAGAGGATAAGGAGAGTTGGCAGCCGTACCTCGCGGTACTTGGAGAGGTAAATCTTAAGAGCCTCAGCATAATTCTCGAATCCCAAAGAGCTCATCGCGAAGAGAATGTCCTCGCCATTCACAGTCTTCCTCTTTTCCTGATGGCACTTCTCGGATGCTGTGATAGGTCAGCCTCATCATATCCCGAGCCAACATGGCACGTCCCACGGGGTCCGTAACAGGCTTACCTTCACTGGTAATGAACGAGATGAACTCGCTGACACATTCTTGCATGCATTCCTTTGCTTCCTTTGCAATTTTGGCATTCTCGGGGAGCGCCGTCTTCATGATGCGAGCCACTGGCGCAAAATTGCGAATGTTAGCATCGTAGACATCAGCCTTGTCCGTTTTGGACGACGACGAGGAAGCGCGAGCCGCCTGCAGCGGCGACTTGGGCGACGAATGGCCCGACATGGACGTGGAGCTGCCGTTGGCACGCGCGGTTGTCTGATAGGCAGCGCAGAAGAGACGCCAGTAAACGCCAGCCAAGGAGAATCTCTCGCCGCCATGCAAGCGGAAGTCGACGGGGAGGGAGCCGTCACCACCGCAGGCGCACGCGAATCATGGTCGAGTGGAAGGTTCATAGAAGCGACCTGGAAGGAAAGGGAAGCATGACGTACCATTGGCTATGGGTAACCACCGGTCCTGCTCCTTCACCTCGAACTCATAGCCGAGCCCGGTCGAGTGTGGGTCCTGAGGGTCGTTCATGATTTGTGCTTCCTCGTCACCCGACGGTGCACCTTGTTCGACATCCTTTGGATTGGATTGGGGAGAGTCGGACATATTTGGCTACCTGCAGCGGATGCCGGCTTCTTGTAAATTCCTTGGACTGCCAGATCGCACAGCGGGGATAGAGTCGGTGATGTGTTGTCGGACACGTTGCAGGGTTGTAGGGCTTGAAGCCACTTTCTCTCTGACAGGCTTGACCTGCGAAAGCTGCGTCAAGCGGTACCTCTTCGCGTGTCCTAGGCGTGCTCTAACTGGCTCCCCTGCCCGATTTTCAGGCTGTAACAAGGAAGGAAGCCTTGAGAGCTGGGGGCCAAGGTGGGGTGGAGGTAGCCTAGGGGGTAAGGGGTGGCGATGACGTGCCGGCAGGTTGGCCGAGACTGGCAGCCCGATGAGGTATCGTGGGGTGAGCCGCGCTGGTGGGTGGCCGCAAGGATTGTGTGTGGGATGCAGAACTGCGGGCCTTGCCAACAGTAGCCGACAGCCGGAGGGACAGCCCAGTAAGGTCTCGTTGTCAGCCGGATCGCCTTGCTGCGGGACTAACAGTCTCTGCCTTCTTGCTGAGATGTCTAGTGCAGCCGTCTGACCGGTCGATGAGGTGCGTGTTCCGTGTCGCCGGAGCTCAACTGCACGCGCGAAGTCCCTCTGTACTATGGTGTCGCGGTTACACCAGGGTTGCAACGCAATAGCCGGTTGGTTGGGGAAGGTCGGCACGGGGCAGGACGGCCTCGAATTGCGGACTGCAGATTGGTTGTGCTGCCAGGCCTTGATTGCCTGCCTCGTGGAATACCTGCAGAGCCGCGTCAGAGAGCTTTGCTTATCCGAAGGGTGGAAAGTTTGCAGAGTGTCTGCGCGACGATGATGCGGAGTCCAGCAAGGGATCCCAGTCCCGTCCCCGCTACGGTCGACGCGATGCGCCGTGATGCGCGACACTACCAGGCCATGCGCACATGGCTAACCAGACGTACCTTGGCCGTTTGTACCGGTACCCGCGACGGTTTGGTCGGAGCAATAAAATGGAGCAGCCTTGTCTCTTGCTGGTTTAGGCTCGGTGCTGCGTGTGCTCCGAGTGGGTGGTGTCTGAGTTGGTCGCAAATCTAGTGTCCGGCTTGGGTCTGCGATGCGCGGCGAAACTGGGATGCAAGAGGCTGCAGCGCACACGCGTGGGGTCGTTGCGTTGGAAAGATGGAAGACGGATGAAAAGAGGAATGCGGGAGAAGTGGGTTCCGCTCGACCCAGCTACCCCGGCCATGACAACAAGCTCCACCGCCAAGACAGCACATTGAAAGATCGATAACCGTTACCTTGACTTCTGAAGTCTCCAGTTTCCGTGCCTCCCCTCGTTCTTCCTGCTTGTTGAGAGCTAAAACTTGGTTGCCTGTATTATTTCTACCCGTCAAGGCCGCAGTCCAGCTACCAGAAACGCCCACTGTTCTGAACTCCTGGCTCAACAGAGCTCAGGCCATTTCATGGTGGGGTTACAGAGGATTCCAAGAGCTAGTTACGCTACGTACATGCAGGCCAGATTCATGAACATGGACCATCTCTTGCATCCCAATGGATCCCGTCCAGGGTGGCCTTGCGTCTTAGTGTCTTTGGGATACTGCGCAATTCATAAGCAAGCGTTGGAGCCAAGATAGAGACAACTGTGCAAAAATCCAGGACGGGCTAGTCCGGGCTGCGACACGAGTGTCTGCGGCATCGATTTTGTCTCCCGTCAGGAGCGGTGAATCGAAAACAACTGTCCGAGAGCCGAGGGCTGTGTGCTGGCGGCAAGTGCGGGATTAGTGATGGAAACTGCGTGTTCTCAATTTTCAGCACTTTCCATAGTCGCTCTCCCTAAGAGACACTCTGGAAAGGTTACTTCTCGGTGAAATTGAGACATTCACTCCGATGTACGGACGTAGTAGTATGCCAAGAACATCTCCGCGCCTGAGAAAGAGGAGAACGATTGGACGATGGCTGTCGCCAGTAAACATGCCAGCAGGAACAGGAAGGCTGAGTGACTGAAACTCAACGGTCCCGATGATAGGTAGACCTTGGATCGAAGGCTGGTCGAGTCGACTGGCTGGAATTCTCTGCTTCGTGGTTGGAGGGTCCCTTAAATCAAGAGACTTCAGAAGCGATGTACAACTGAGACCTGAGTGGTGGTAAATGTCTCCCTCTTGGCCAATGACGGAATTTAGCACAGGCTCAGTCATTTTATTGGATGATATATCCATTAGATTTGCAAGATCTCGCGTCTTTAAATCCAGATCAGCCGCAGATTTCTAGACAGGTTGGGAACGAACCTTCCTGTGTTCAACGACTTCTTTGAGAATGTCAGCCGGTGTAATTCGGGATCGACAACAAGTTGAACAGCAACCAGTTTCCTTGGGCATTCCTGTCGAGTTTCATGAAGAGACGTCACCCCACCCCCATTTGAAGACCGCATGCCCAATCCCATCGCAGCCCAACCGGCTGGCTGGACTGCCGGTTGGGCATTGCAACAGTCCATGCCACCAAGCTGCAGCATGGACAGCATGTGGGACAACTCAGCACACCTGCGGGATAAATTGAGGAGACTCTTTAGATGTCATCGGCCTGGCAGGCAAGTTGTTGCTTTTGCTTTGGCTGTTCGGTTTCTTTCCCATGGGTTGAGTGACGGTTAGCGCTTGGGCTTGCACAGCGAGCCTCAGGCGCGTGGGAGGGTGTAAAGGCAAGCGCATGCGTCGCCCGTCGCCCGTCTCCTAATATCTGTTGTTATCTCCGCTTGGTGTACACTGGCTGACCACACCCTTAGAATCCGTTGATGACATGGCAACTGGGGCGGCCCATTGCCGGTCACTTAATCCAGGGCGCCTGGAATCTCATGATTGCACAACCTGAACATTGTTCTTTTTCTGGGGACGGTCAGAACTGACGGTATGACGGCATAGTAGGCGGGGAGAATCTTCGCATACCTTCCACTTTTCGAGCTCATCCTGCTTCGCCTTGTACTGCTTGACAAGGTCATCGAGTACCTTTTTCAGCCCTTCCGCATTGGTCCGCAGAGCGGGGACGACATCCTTGACGGTCCTCTCTACCAGAACGCCGTTTATCATGCGAAAACACTTGCGGTCACCGGGGAGGGGCTCGAGGGTTTCAAGAACAAGTCTGCCGGCGCGGTTAGTGATGAGCGGTGAGAGGGCAGCATCAAGCGGTGAGGTGGGAACCACGGCTCATGCAAATCCGGCGCAGACGCCAGTGTTCCTGAAAAAACGGGCCTGCATTGCCCTAATGAGGTCATCAGAGGGGAATATTACTTGTGCTCCTCGGCTTCTTGTTCGACATCGCCAATCTTCTGAGCGAGCTGTTGCAGCGTGTTTTTGTAAGTGCTGTACTGCACTTGAAGGTCTGTGGGAACAGTCAAAACTTGGTCTCAAAATGTGCCCGTTGGCGTCTGACCTTGTTGCCTCTTCGCTGGTGTTGACTGGGATGCCATGGCTGTCGTGACGGATACAGAATGCTCAACCGTCCTGCTTAACTTTGACGTCGTTGTTGAATAGATGAGGTGAGTGAGGCCCTGGAGCGAGATGCCCATCGGGCCAATCGACACAAGGCCATGGTCCAAGCTTTCGGGATGACCCACTCACCCTCCGGAAGTCGAGAATGGCGGCTTCTGAATTCGCGGCACCTGGCTGAGCATGGAAGTGTCTTCCAACACCGTCTTGCCCGACGTAACATCTTGATCCCAAGCCGCCTGGCCGCTTTTCACGATGCATCCCCTCCTACACACCAAGGACAACTCGGGTAAGGGACATGTCCCCGCGCCAACAACTGTGTCATCCGCATGCCCCTAACTCTCACCTTCAGGTTGCGAGCAGGTCATGATCGCACTCGAGGAATGCCACGCTAGGGGCTTCGTATGGAAGGCAGTCGGCATGTGCAACGACGCCAAACAACAACTTGTCGAATGCCTCCGGGCGGAACGGTCAAAGAACCAGGACGAGAACCGGAACGGGGTTCAGGACAAGCGATCCAGGATACGGCAGAAGTGGAAGGAAATCGAAGAAAACTCCTAAACCATCGGTCCATGCTGATCACCGCCGAACTCTCTCGATATCTCCTCATTTCCGTGTCGGCGATTTGATGGTAGTTATGGGAAGAGGCGAGAGCATATCGCATTACACAACATGAACCAGGAGACGCGGGCAGTTGTACTGTGGACGAGATGCGACGTCCAGAAGCGGCAGCTGTGTATAACATGGGCTACAGGAAGCCCTAAAACACTCGGCGCTGTACATTATGATATCTCTTTTTCCTCCTGACGCACCCTCACCCCCGCCAATACCCGGCTATTTTCGTTCGTTACAAGGTACGGCGGAATGCGTCGCCAAAGGTAACCAGCCCGTACGCGGCAAACAAGGACAGCATTATGGGTACCGGCTTGCGAAGTCGGATGGCGCGGGGGAACGCAGACCCGCCCAGGACAATGGAGGCGAGAAGACTCAGCTCGACGCCGTAGGGCTCGTTGTTGGCGATGCGGTAGCCGCCGAGGCCATCTGGTGACATGTCCCATGAGTGTCAGCGCAAGCAACTTAATTGAACCCGTGACGAATGACAACAGAGGAAGACCTACACAGGAGACCGACTGCAGTGCCCGCAATCAGACTGGGCCTGCTCTTGGTCCGCGCGTATCCGACGGCACCGCCGGCAGCTGTCAGCGCCGCGAGGATGTACGAAGGGAGTTCCAGGCCCTGCGTCGGTGTCAGTAAGTCAAACGCAGCCCAGATGTCTTCGGATTGACTGTACCATTGTTACTTGATACCGAGTCTATTTTGCTTAGATGTGGCTGTTTGCTGTTCCACCTGTAGAAGCTATCCTGCTCAGAACTCTTGGTTCGCTTGAAGCTGGTGAGCCAAGCAACCGCGGCAGGTGCCGAACCAAGTGGCATGGGGTTATTTCACGTCGTCCGTATTTGGAAACATACATTGTTACACGAATTTCAATCCTGGCTTACACTACCTACCTGGATGCTGGGTTCTTGATATTGAGCGTTACTCATTGTTCTTTCTCCGCCCTCTGGTTATATCCTCTTTTATCCATCTTTGTCTTTGTTCCTTCTCTTTCAAATTTTCTTCTGCCTTGTCTTCGTCAGGGCCAGCCATGTGCCACGCTAACAAACCATGATGTGTTTGATCGTTCAATATGACAGCTGTGAGAGAAACCTACCGTACTTATTATGTACCTTGATCTTCAAGTGCAGTACTCTCAAAACACAGCAGAATTGATGGCTTTATTCAAGCAGAGTTCTCCGGTGTTTAATCCCACTAGATCTGTTTTGATTCGGCAGTATCTTTCATATCAAATGTGGACAACTTCTCAAAGCCTGGCCACAACAGTATTTGCCCGGCTGCCAACTCATCATATTGACACTTCAAATTTAACTACAGTTGCTCACAACCACGACCCCGGATCGATGTCAACATGAGCTCCCTTGGCATGACGGCAGCCTGTATTACTACGATTGTGCACATATGTTTCAAGCCATATGGAAATAAATCGTTATCGTTAAGGATAGCGAGGACGTGCCGAGTGGCTGTGACGCCGGATGTAACGCGCCAATGCATTGGAAGTTCTGTGTAACACAAGCGACATACAAAGTTCAATGTTGAAAGATGGTTCCGACAGCACTCGGTTGCTATACCCGACAAAGAAGGATGAGAGCAGCGTTCATATCAGATTGCATTGCTCTCAGTATAAGCAGCGTTTGATGATCTGCGTTAAGCCAAGTTACAGGCAATGCGCATGAAGCCGAGTTCAAATAGAATTGATGTCTCAAGAGAGAAGTCGGGGGCACAAGATCCGCTCAGACTAGTGAGATATTGTCAAACTGGCGAGCTTGAATTTGTGAGTGCAGCAGGATATGATGAATCAATAATTCTGAGGCCTCTCCCGCACAAGGCTGTGAGAACCAGAGAATGTCATCGAAGTTTAAATCATGGAAAACGCCTTGGTGATGGTGGTGTCTTGTTGGCCCCACCTCGCAGCAGCAAGGGCGGGGTTTTCAATTTCGCCCGCAACTCTGCCCAGTCAATATCCAAACCGCACAGCCTCAACAGAGGTTCAACGAGCATCCCAATCTTTGCCAATCACCATCTGACCGATGCAAGGTAGATTAAGTGGGCAGCCACTTGATCTCAATCAAATTCCAGAGCTTGGGCAAGAACTCCGTTTCTGCTTGAGCGAATCACCCCAGATGGGTCCTGCTGCCTTGGGGCAGAACACCGGGCGTTCTCTAACACGCTAGACGACAAGCCACACTGTAAGCTTAACGGCAGTTCACGAAAGATCAACGGGAGGACTGCGGACAGAACCTGTCTCAGCCAGTACTTACGGCCTACCTCCGTGAGCGTCAGAATTCCTGGTTCTTTGGTTGAGCGGAGATGGAATTTGGTTTCCGTTGCCAAATGTTATTTGCCTACTGACAACCAACAAAACATCGACTATCGACCCTGTTGCACGCCCTGATGTGTCGTTTGCTCCTTGGAGGTGGCTGCCCCTCATCCCTTCGTGTCATTCCCGCAGCCAACGGTACAATACAAGCCTTGAAGCGCTAGCTTAAGGCTGGGGACCGCAGCCGCGCTGCGCCTCACCCCCCCCATTTTCCGCCCCGGACAGACACCAACAGTCTTGAGAGGCCAGCCATCGCCGTGACTTCTTCGCTCGCTCACTTACCTCAATCACATCCGATTGTCCTCGCTGCTCATCGGCTTCCTCTGTTGCTGTTCCCAGCAGAGATTGTCGGCCAGAGTGACGCCAGTCGCAACCTACCTTTAGCCTGCAATTTCTCAGCTCGTGCCTCACCCACCGCTTGCAGACGCACCCACAATGACTGTCGCCTAATTCTCCCCACGTCCAGAAACCGGGAAACTGTGCACCGCATCCTCACCTTGCTGCGCGTACACAAAGCCAGGGAGATCTCGCCCGAGACTAATATATACTCGCCCGCCGGGCCACTGAACCCGTCCGCTGCAGCAGACATGTCTTCGACTTTCACCTTATACCCGACTGGCCCCGATACCACCGCATCCCGCCCGGACCTGCCTGAGCAACCCCGCAACATCCCACCACAGGACCCTCAATTCCTCAACCCCTTCTCGCCTCAACCCGGCAGCAGCTCGGCCTCGCCTGCGTGGGACACACAGACGCCCGCGGAGTCGGTGTCCGCTCTGAGCATCCACTACCAGTCCAGCGAGTTCTCCGAGGTAGACGACCCCTTCTTTGGCATCGACTTTAACACCGTTGAAGGCGCATCCCCGTCCTTCTTGGATGAGAATAATCTTGCGTTTAGCGGAAACGAACTACTCGCGGACAACCCTGGCGTCCAAGTTCCGCCCCCTACCACACAGCATGTGCACCAGCCAGCACCTTGCCTGCCGCTGACCCCGGAGAAGAGCCCCTCGTTGCCAGGCGGATCCCCTAACGGACAGACAAGAGAAGACGCGTCAACAAGGGGTGTATTTCCAGGCTTTGCCCGGGTTTCAATTGCGCCCAAGGACTTGTCGCTCTCCCCCGACCCATCTTCGGCGCCGATTGCCAAGCACCCGTTTTCTCAGCTGACGCCGAGGACCAGTAACGACAGCGCTGAATCCAGCGACGACGGTCTCGCCCCGGTTGCCGCCATGCGAAGCCCCCGAGTTACAATCTCCCACTGGGATAGTGACAATGTCGGTAGATCTCCCGCGTTCCATGCCCAGGACGCCCAGAGTCACAGTGGTCAAGGCTTAACGGCGGCTCGTGACGGCACCGGTCGTTGGATTCCAGATCAAGTTACCGGGCAGGGTGGTCTCGATCCATCTGCTCGTCCCCACGCCGAAGTCGATAGCATCAACGACTTGGCAGCGCAGCGAGGGGTCGAGGAGCGGAACCAGGGTGTCAGTGAGTGGCTGGAGAGATCGGCACCCTTGGCAGAGCCCACTCGCCAGCTTCACCAGCAGCCCGCAGAAGTGCCGAATGATGGAGATGACAACATCCCCGCGCGAGAGATTGCCCTGGGAAACATGACCGAAAACAAACCCGTTCCTGGCCAGACATACTACGTTGAGACGGGCGGTCCGCTCACCCGCGAAGACCTGGAGCTTATGCGCCGGGGCCGCAATTGGGACGACGCTCCCCTTGCCTTTTCAATCTCGCAGCCGGACTCTGCAGCCTATCAGCCTCAAACCTCTCAAGCCGCCATAGAGCGGTACCAGCGGATGTGCCGGGACAATGATTCGATTGTGTCGAGGACGGCAACCTGGGGAACCCGGCGGTTCAGCATGCCCAGCATGGTTGACACTGATGTCCAAGTCGCCGGCAACCTCCTCAAGAAGCTCTCTCTCAACCGGGGAGAGGGCCGGCGGCCAAGCATTCTGGAAGGGCTTCGCGGCCTCGCCAGGAAAGCAAGCGTCAATTCGAGCAAGCGCAATCGCGTTGAACCGGACGATGCTAGCTCCTTGAAGACGGAATCTTCTATGGAGCGGAAGGAGAACCAGGCCAAGCTCGCACCCCCTAGCCCCAAGCCCGGATGGTCCAGGAAACAGAGCGTTCCAAGCATCAACACCGCATTCGTGGATGTTGGAAATAAGGTGGCGTCTATTGGCGTTACCCACGCCCGAACCGGTTCCGTCAGTGCGACACCCATCACCTCGCCTCGCAGCCCGAGTGGCCTGGGATTGACCGTCAAGAAGCCCTTGAATCGTCTTCGGAGCAAGTCCGAGACCTCCGGCATTATTGGCCTGTGGAAGAAGGCTGGCGGCCCGCCCGTGTCGAACTTGGGAAACACCAAAGTGAATGCGGCCGAGGCTGATGACGACGAGGATGAGGACGATGATCTATACGAGGATGGAGACATGAAATCCGAGGCGGCGACGAAGTTCATCGACGACATCACGCCAAATTTTGCTGGCTTCCAGCAGCACGTCCTCAAGCTAAACCCTTTCCTGAGCACGACCAACAATTACCTGGTCGACCGCATTGCCTACCAGCAATGCGCCCGCTACAAGGCCCTCCTCAACCTCAGGGTGAAACATCTGCAGGCAGTTGCCGCCAGAAACTGCTCTTGTGGCTCTACGTGTATTGCGCTGGGCGGCAGCGCCAACGTCCTGGATTCGAAAGGTGATCAGCGGGGGCTCGATCCGCTCTCCGGATCGGATGGAGACATCACTCCGCTGGAAGGGGCCATCAACCACGACAGTTTCCCTCAGGATATCCCAATGCCACCGACAAGTTCATTGCCAGCCGAGTTCGAGTGCCAACTGTGCTTTGTAGCGAAGAAGTTCCAGAAGCCGTCGGATTGGACCAAGCACGTGCATGAGGACGTCCAACCGTTCACCTGCACCTGGGAGCGCTGCAAGGAGCCCAAGATGTTCAAGAGGAAAGCTGACTGGGTCCGCCACGAAAACGAAGGGCACCGTCACCTAGAATGGTGGACCTGCGATGTCGACGACTGCCGGCACAAGTGTTACCGCCGTGACAATTTCCTCCAGCACCTCGTCCGCGAGCACAAGTTCATCGAACCCAAGGTCAAGACGAAAGCTGCCATCAAGCGCGCAGGAGCTGTTGACCCGACCTGGGCGAAGGTAGAGCAGTGCCACCAGGAAACTGCCGAGTTGCCTCAGAATGAGCCCTGCCGGTTCTGTGGCAAGACCTTCCCGTCGTGGAAGAAGCTGACTGTCCACCTTGCGAAGCACATGGAGCACATCAGCCTGCCCGTCCTCAAACTGGTAGCCAAGAAGGAACTCGACGAGGACACCATCATCAGCCCTGTCCAGGAGCCTCCTCCACGGTCCTTCCCGACCACTTTCCCGATGCAGTCTGAGCAACACCCCTTTGGCCCGTCACCGACCGTGCCCCAGGGCCCGATGGCCCGGCAACCCGGGCCCATGACCTACCCTCACCAACACCAGCCCCAGCCGCTGGGCATGTACCCTATCCCTCCTCCACAGAGCTTTACCACCGGTTTCTATAGCTCCAACTACGACGACCTCAGCATGGCTCAAGCCCAAATCGACATGCAACAGCCCATCCCCCACCACCAACACCAACACTACCAGCACCCGCAGCATCCGCACCAGCACCAACATCACGCCTTCCAGAGTTTCAACCCTCAAGCCACCGCCTTCCCAGCCCTGCCCGCCACCTCAGCAGCAGCGACTACCGCGTACATGCCCGCGCCGCTACAGGCGAGTCCCGTTACCTCGGGGGCTGCGTACATGCCACCGCAGCAGCAGCAGGTGACGAGTCCGTACTTGACCATGGCGCAGGATATCGAGCCCTTCCCTGCTCTCAGCATGGATGCGCTGGGACTGGGGCTGCAGGATCCGGTTCCCAGTGCTCCTAGTGGTCCGCAGGCAGCAGGCGCGGCACAGATGGGGTATCTTGTCGGTGGTGGTGTGGCTGATCCCGCGAATGGTGTGGTGCAAGTGCAAGTGCAAGGGCAAGGGCAGGACAACAGGCCGTTTACGCCGCAGGGGTCGGTATCGCCTTATGGGCACTCGCCGAATATGTCGTCGGCGGCGGGCGGTGGGTTCTATCACTGATTCATGCTCGTCTTTTCCGTTGCAGCGAACGTTGCTCGCGCCGAAAGGGGGAAGGGGTTCGTTGGAATCATCCCGGTGTGGGAATCGGGTTGGGGGTGGGGAGCTTTGGAATCAGTGATATTGTGTTGTGTGGTGTTGGAGGGCATTCGTGTTGGTTTGATACCCCCTTGACTGTTCTGGCGAGTTTGGTGTATACTTTTCTTCCTTCTCTCCTCTGGAATTCTTTCTCAAAATTTCGCCTTTTCTTTTAGAGGATTTTATTCACATGATCTGTATAGAGGGTAAAAATCAATTTACACGGGCAGGTTGATGGTCTCCGTGTTGTATTCGCGATGGTGTTAACGTCGTTTTTCTTCTTTCTGACGGGAAACAGGAGATGCGTAAATAAGCACACGGCTGGGATTGATGGCTTGGAGATACACATGTGTACACATTTAGGGTAGCGATGTTTCTGGATACTTGTTACAAGAGCAATAGACGGCGTTTGTGTGTCTTCTCGTCCGCTCCACAATTCAGGTTGTTCGTATTCAAAGTACTGTATGTAAGGTACAGCTGTTGTGCACAGGCCCGGGAGCCGAAGGCTGCGTATACAGGCTACGAAGATCGTCCGACGATTGGAGGTCTGCAGGGACTACAACCCAACCTGGTTTGTTTGTTGGCGTGACACATGGCATGTGCTGGACAGGAATTGAGAATCTTGAATTAGGAAAGTAGAAATTAGCGTAAATAGAGACACCTGAATCGAGGGAGAATGAAGAAAAGAATCATGAAAAGTAAGAGGGTTCAGGAAGTAAGATCAAACAGAGACAAGTTTTCCCGAGATCAAAGCAGACCGCAGTCATATCCAGTGGGGTAAGGGATTGAAAGGGTGACACACGGTGCCGCCGAGTTGGGACGAACTAGAGCGAGACGAATTCGACCTTTGGTTGTCTTGGAAGAGTCGAGGCTATCAGAGAACTGATTGACTCGGGGCGAAGAGACAACTTCCAAGTCGAAGATCCGAATGCTCCTTTGTTGTCGTTCGCTCGTTCGATACAGGCAGCCGAGCGCAAACCCGTGGAGATGGATAGGCGCGCACGCGGGTTGGGAAGGATTCCTTGTTTGATCTGCGGCAGAACCTCACGATCCGAGCACACCACACAGGCTATTGTTTGTTTCTACTGTCGAAGGCTCGGTCGCTGGGTGGAACCTGAGGCACTTGGTGCCTCGCGATTTGTCTTTGAGGGTGGTGGGTAAGGGACAAAGGAGGCATGTCCGCGCACCAGCCACACGACAACCCTACAGCCATTACCACCTCCATCCTCGTATATCAAGGCGACCACTTGCTCAATTGCAACTACAATCAAATGAAGTTTACGGCCCTGGCGATGTACCATGTTTTTAGGACTCTTGGTGGTGCACTTTGTCTTTTATTTTTGAGCCTCCGGTGGGCCAAGCTCCGATAGTAGGCGTAACTCTCGGCCCTGGTCTATCTGTCTAGCCACCACCACCGGGGGTGAGAGATATAGATTAAAACGCAGACTCAAACCAACCGCGTTCAAGGTTTCTGCACTGATGAGCTGAATGTCCGGTGATGCTGGTTGATATATTAGCATTCAAGTCCCTTGGTGACAAGGACGGTGATGTTGATGGCGGCAGGATTGCGGTGTGGCTGGTGTAGGAAACCTCTACGCCGAAAGTGGTTAGAATAAGTGCGAAGAAGACAAGGGGTAAGTGCGGATAGACAAGTCGATCCTCCATGTGATATCTGGTCGTGTCGCTTCCCGAGTTTCAAAAGTGTCGACAAAGCACTCAGTGGCGCCGTCGCTAATGCACAGAAGCCTCACAGCCAATCGACTCATCATAAGCAGCACTGCCGCCGGAAAGGGCAGAATGGGTGCCCGGCCACTCTCAGCGCTCCGAATGCCGCTAGCGTTTCAGGCTCAACGATGGCAGGTGGGACCGCGTGCCAGCGGAGGCGCCAGTTGACAGAAGTTTCGATGGGAACGTTCGCTTCGCGCTCCCTTCCACCTTCACCATCACCACCCCTGACGCATCCGAGTGCACTTACGATGTGGCTCCAATCATGATTGCGACGTGGCGATTTGCCCGTTGCAGGACCGAATCGGGTCGATGGAATGATTGGGTTCAGATTTCGAAGACGACGCAATGTTTCCGCAAGTCGAGAAACCGAGTTGGCGAGACTGGACTTCTCCCAGTCCGGTGCGAGCGTCCAGTGCTCTCCACACCACGCGCTCGCATTCCCATTCCGTTTCAGATACCCGCTGGTCCCTGTCATGATCTCCCTTTCGTTCCCTCTGCCCTCTTTTTGCTTTATCTCGCACCCCTGTCCTTTTGTTCCTGTCTCTTTTATGCCACTTCTTTGGCATTTCTGTTCTTTTTCGCTTCTTGCTGCCACTCTTTGGAGCTTTGGCTGGTGCCAACTCGTGACCTCGTCCTCAAGTTCTGTTCAGGCTTGAGCGAGAACTCGCCAGACGCCTCCCCTTTGAGGGGCCTCTCTTTCTGCTGTGCGCTTTCCCTTCGCTCCAGGTTGATCCTCGGCTCTGTTATTCTTTGACGTTGACTGTCTTTATTTTTTTTTTCCTTTCATATATCTTGTCTATTCTCATTTCGCCGGTTTCGACGACATCAACAACTGTACAAAATACCATTGTCTGGTGAGATTGGAATCTGAGACAGTGAAGCACACGATCTGGCTGGAAGTGCTGGAGAAAACAAGGGGAAAAATCATCGTTTTAAAACGGAGGATCGAATCCTGAGCTGCGGCTTCGACGACCGAGATTGCTATCGCAACGTGAGGAGAGGAATAGGAGGATATCACACGGAGATGAGAGGTCTAGGTGGCCCGCTGAGGGCGGCTCTGGCCGGGGCGCTTCTGGCCAGCCGAGTGCTGGGCGTGGATATTTTGGAGACAACCGGCTTCAGCAGCTGCAACACGAACGCCAGCGTGTCGGTGCAAAAGGTGGACATCAAGTACAACAACGCCGACAAGACGGTTACGTTCAATGTAGCAGGTTCGAGCAACCAGGTCCAGAACGTCACGGCCATCCTCAACGTCACGGCTTACGGCCAGAACATCTACTCGAATTCCTTCGACCCCTGCGACCAGAACACGTTTGTGCAGCAGCTCTGTCCCAGTATGTGTCCATCTTTCCTACCATTTTGCTGCCACTAGTTGCTGACTCGTACAGTCCCCGCCGGTAACTTCTCTGCAAAGGGCACCCAAAAAATCCCTGACGAGTACGCGAGCCTGGTGCCGGCCATTGCCTTCCAGATCCCGGATATCGCGGCCATGGCGACCTTGCAGTTGACCTCGAGGGAGTCGGGTGAGAGGGTTGCCTGCATCCAGTCTCAGGTGTCCAACGGAAAGACAGCCAGCGTGCCCGCCGTCTCGTACGTGGCCACAGGCGTAGCAGGAGCGGCTCTGGTCTTGGGCGGCGTGTCAGCAGTTGGAGCGGCCTTTGCAGGAGGCAGTGCTGCCGCCGGCGGTGGTTCGGCGGCCGGTGGTATGGGCACCGTCAGCCCCAGCTTCACAGAGGTCTTTGGCTGGTTCCAGGGCATGGCCATGAACGGCATGCTGTCGGTCAACTACCCCGGCGTCTACCGAAGTTTTGCCAAGAACTTTGGCTTTTCGACTGGTCTGATTCCCTGGACGCAGCTTCAACTTTCGATCGACGACTTCCGTGCTGCCACTGGGGGCGACCTGACCGGAAACAGTGTCAAACTTTTGAGGAACGCAACTCTGGTGTTTCCGGACGGCTCTTCGCAGACGACCGGACAGGGGTCGTTCAAGAGGGCAGTCGACGAGTTTGTGCGCCTCGCTGCACGACAGATTGAAACGACCGTCAATGGCACGGTCGAGGAAACTGGGGAGCAAGGGAGTCCCGAGAATACCGTCCGGGTGGCCGTGTCTGGGATTCAGGGCTTCGTGCAGCAGTACAGCATTCCGTCCTCCAACGCCTTCATGACGGTCCTTCTCATCGTCGCCATCATTGTGGCGGCAGTTGTGGTGGGCTTCCTCCTCGTCAAGGTTATCCTCGAATTCTGGGCCCTGTTCGGCAGCTTCCCCAAGGCGCTGTCGGGCTTCCGCAAGCACTATTGGGGCTCCATCGCTCGGACCATTACGTCGTTGATTCTGCTACTCTACGGCATCTGGGTTCTGTACTGTGTCTTCCAATTCACCCGGGGAGACTCGTGGGCCGCCAAGGTGCTTGCCGGTGTTACTCTGTTTCTCTTCACTGCCGTCCTGGCTTATTTTGGCTGGAAGATTTGGAGCACTGCCCGCAGGCTCAGGCAGCTCGAGGGCGACATCGGCGGCCTGTACGAGGACAAGAGCATCTGGGTCAAGTACAGCCTGTTCTACGAGGCCTACCGGCGCGACTACTGGTGGGTCTTCGTGCCGACCATCATCTACATGTTCGCCAAGGGCTGCGCGCTGGCAGCGGCGGATGGGCATGGAATGGTGCAAACAATTGCGCAGCTCATCATCGAGGGTTTCATGCTCATCCTCCTGCTTTGGAGCCGTCCGTACGAACGCCGGTCGGGCAATGTCATCAACATCACCATCCAGGTGGTGCGGGTGCTGTCGGTGGTGTGCATCCTGGTGTTTGTCGAGGAGTTCGGCATTGCCCAGACCACGCAGACCGTCACGGGCGTCGTCCTCATCGCAATTCAGTCCGCACTGACGGGCATCTTGGCCATCCTCATCGCCTGGAATGCTTTCAATGCTTGCTGCAAGGAAAACCCGCACCGCAAGCGCCGCAAGGAGATGGGTAAGTTGATAGCGGCGCCACTCTGGCAAATTCGTGTCCATAACCATGAACGCTAACAGATTCAAAAACAGAGAAGATGCAGCGCGACACCTTGACCCCGCTCGACGCCCGCAATTCGCTTCTGCTCGACCGCCCAAAGACAGCGTCGACGGACCTGTCGTCGTCCCTCTCGGTCTCTAAAACGGGTTTCACCGGCGTGGCGGTCGAACCAAAAGAGGGCCCCCTTGGGACTTCGCCTGATCGGTACGGCCACAAGAAGAACAAGAGTAGCTCCGACAGTGACAGGCTCTCCAATCCCATGTTTGCTGCACATTCGCGCGCTCCGAGCGGCGGTTCCCTCAGGCCGCTGATGCCGAACGCGCAGGATATGACTATGAACCCGAGTCGGGAGAATCTGGTGCTGGGTGCGGCGCCGCTGCCGAGGGCGGGGGGTATGCGGCAGCCGACGTTGCCGAATTTGGGGCCCATGGGGGGTGGTGGTGGTGGTTATGGACACTCCCACGCTGGGGGCTATGGGCAGCAGGGAGGAGGGTATGGTGGGGGGTATAATGGGTACCGAGGGCCCTACGAGGGTTATTGAATGGGTGACGTGGGTTACGATGCAGGCGACTTTGGAGTGGGATGAGTTGGGTCCTCTTGTAGACAGCGATGGAGGAGGTACTGCATACATACAACCATATCCTGTATATTATTGAGTGATGAAGATACGATGGAGCAAGTGTTTGAGAGTCCACGGGGAGGCAATTCCAGTCGAAGAGTCGACCTAGTGAAGAGCGAAATCACTTAACACGACTGAAGGCAGCCTGTGGCCGTATTACCCGGTCCATATATGTAGAAAGCAGGACTTTGTTTGCATGATACTGCAGGAGATCGATTTCGCCGGTCTGCTCGTTATTGTACAAGTACATGGACGAGTCACAACGGTTATTTGAGGCTTTCAGCGACACTGTGCTTGCCATAGTCTTTGCTGCCATTTCCATTGCAGCTTCCCCTGAAAAGGGGCCAATACAGTGCGGGGTTGTCTGCCCAAAACGAACGACCAATGACCTCACCCAAGCTCAATTGGCTCCTCAACGCCATCCCTACATCATGAACTTTGGTCTGCTGACATCCAGGAGGGACAATCCAACTAGGTAGTTGTGTGCTTTTAATCATCTCCCTTCGTAGAGGTCCTGCTCACTCAGACTCCGTTGTTCCGTCACCTACGAAATCTGAGACCTACTTTGACACTAGACGAGGAATGGCTTCGGCGGCCCAGCAAGGCCATTGATGATACGCTCCGAGTCCTTCTGAGACGGTCAGCGGAACATGAGCGACCTGCGAAAGAAGTGGGCCAAAGCAAGAATTAGCACGGCCATGCATGCCATGGCACCGCCTCCGCCACTGGCCGACTCCATCTGCGAGGCTGACGAGGACCGCTTCGGCTCTGGCTCGGTGCCCAACACACCGCAGGACGATGACTCGTCGTCGGCCTCGTCTATGTCATCTACAGGAACCGTCATTCCTTCACCGGGCAGAGCACTGTTTGCTAGGCCGCAGGGGTATTCCTCCCTCAGTCCCAGCATTACATCACTGAAGAGACAGAGGAAAGCCTAACACGAGAAAACAGTCTTCCCGGCCGCTCCCTCGACCCCATCCCCTGGACGACTTACTTTGAGCGGGAGCTCTTACTCCGGTCGCCTGACGGCTCCATCACCTACCACGCCTACCTCACCTCGCCCACCCCGTCCTCGGGGCGAGGCAACCCCCCCGGCCCGCTCTTTGTCACCCATCACGGCGCAGGAAGCTCGGGTCTGTCATTTGCGGTGCTCAGCGCAGAGATTCGGAAGCGCCTGCCGTCGGCAGGGATTCTGTCGCTAGACGCGCGCGGGCATGGGCTGACTACCACCCACCACTCCGCTTCATCTACCCTCGCCATCCATGGCGAGGAAGCAACAGAAGGAGGAAATGGGAAAGTGGAAGACCTCAGTCTCCCCACCCTCGCCGCTGACCTCCTCGCTGTTATAACTCTGACCCAGTCCGCCATGCACTGGCCTACACTACCGCCCATCTTACTAGTAGGGCACTCACTTGGCGGCGCAGTAGTGACGGAACTGGCTTGCTCTCTGGCAAGAAGCAGCACCACTACCACCAACATCAGCAAAGCACCAGCCTCCATGGAAACCACCACGTCCGGGCCAAGTGGAGGCACAGGTAGCAGAGACGACACAAGCACAGCCACAAAAGTAGACCTCCTGGGCTACGCCGTCCTGGACGTCGTCGAAGGCTCGGCGCTTGACGCACTGCAGAGCATGCACGCGTACCTGGCGACGCGCCCCGCCGGGTTCGACACGCTGCGCGACGCTGTCGAGTGGCATGTGCGGTCGCGGACTGTGCGCAACGCCATCAGCGCGCGGGCGAGCGTGCCCGGGTTGCTTGTCCATCAGGGACAACCACCACCACAAGCACATGAACAGCAAGCGGGGGTTGTTGGAGATGATGGTGAGGAACAAATGGTTGAGGAGGAAGACGGGCTTGTTGCAGAGAGCGGAATTGTAAACGGCAGCGGAACGGGGAGAAAGGGCATTAGCAAACCGTGGCGGTGGCGGACGGACCTGGCCGAGACGCAGCCCTTCTGGGAGGGGTGGTTTGGCGGGCTGAGCAAGAAGTTCCTTTCTGGCAAGGGCGGCAAGATGCTGTTGCTGGCCGGGACGGATCGGCTCGACACCGAGTTGACAATTGGGCAGATGCAGGGTGAGTCTCTTCGGAACATTCTCCCATCCTATATACCCTAGGGCACGGTTACTGACGGAAACAGGCAAGTATGCGCTGCAGGTGTTTCCCGAGGCGGGACACTTCATCCACGAGGACCTACCCGAGAAGACGGCGATGGCGCTGGTTGACTTTTACCGCAGGAATGACAGGAGCGCGCTGGTGCTGCCGCCCAAGGTGTCTGAGTTGTTGGCGCAGGGTAAGAGGGTGTAAGATGTGCCGAGGGATAGCTGAGCCATCCTTACGATGATTGGTATACATGTGTTCGTACATGCGGTAGATCCGGAAAGAGTAAGATACCACACGACTTGCCATATATGGAGGAGGGCTCGTGGTGAGATGATGAGATGAAATTGTATCGTGTCTAGTATATAAGTTCTATTTTCTCAGACCCGCACCAGGATATCGTTCCAAGCCCACCCCGTGAAAATGCCATGCCCGTACGCCAACCGACCGCTGTAAGATGCAAAGAGAATGCTCACTTTATACCGCAATCGACGCAGGTGCAGCGACAGGAGTAGGATCAGCGACCTCGACTCTCTTCGCCGACTGCTCTTTGTCCACACTCCCTTCCCTCTTCCTCTTGTTAGACTCCTGCTTCCCTTGCTGCTGCCGACCCTTCTGCTGACCCTTTTGTTTATTTTTTTGCTTGGGCTCGGGCTTCACCTCAAACTCGCCCAACCCCAACACCCTGTCGGTCTCCCGCGCCATCTCCTTCATCCCCTCGTGGCCCAGCGCCTGCATAAAATCGACGTACGACCTGCACTTGTGAATCTCCTTGTACTCGGGCGCCTTCCCGGGAATCATCTGCGTCAACAAAAACTTGGTGTTGGCGATCTTGTTCTCCACCTCCATGGCGAACCGCAGATAGCTCTCCACGGCCTCCTGCCACGTCGCCATGCCGCCGTCAGCGCCGCTCCGGAAACAGCTCGGGTTCTTCTCGGCCGCCGTCGCGATCATAGCGCCATCCACCCCAAACTCTCTAATCAACCCCTCCGCATGGTCCCGGTTCTCCACATCCCCGTTCATAACGCACGCCACCCCGGCCTCGCGGCACACATCGGCAATCATCCTCAACTGTCCGCGGATCGCCCGCTCCCGCGGCCGCATCGGCGTCGTCCGGCAGTGCACCGTCAGCCCTGTGATCCCCGTCGCCACAAGCCTCCTCACCAGCGCCTCCGTCTCCGCGGCCGTCTCTAGCAGCCGGATCTTGACGCTGATGCCGACGCCAAACTCGTGCGTGATCTCCCGCACCAGGGCCTCCAGGATCCCCGCGAGCTTCTCGGGCGTCCTGAGCAGCGCCGCGCCCATGCCGCCCAGCACGCTGAACGGCTTGGGACAGCCGGCGTTGACGTCGATGCCCGCCACGTCGGGCGCGACGAAGCGGGCGGCGGCTACGGCGCGCGCCGCGTCCGACGTGCCGAGCTGGAAGACGAGTTTGGCCTTCTCGCGGACAGGGTCGATGCGGTAGATGACCGACTCGGCGACGCCGCCGTCGCTAGCGGCTGGGCTGTGCGAGTGCGATGGCTGCCGCGTGTACTCGACCATGTGGGTGCGCGGGTTGATCCGGCGCGCCGCGCCGATGAGGGAGTGGTCTATTGTTTCGGGGCCTGTGGGACACAAAACGGTGTTAGTGTGGAGTTGGTATTGGACGGCGGTGGTGGTGGTGGCTGAGAGACGGTTGGACAGGGCAAATGGCAACGTACCCCAAACAAGGTCGGCGCCGTAGTGCAGAGCGAGGAGACGCGATGGGAGTTCGCCGGATCGGACCATGGGGGCGAGCACGAGCTTGCCTCGGTAGTCGACGCCGCGGGGCGGGATGGGCACGCGCGGGAGCATGGTCGGCGCCAGCGTGTGTGGTGTGACGGATGCAGTTGCAGTCGCAACTTCAGCTGCTGTTTCCTGTGTGGCCGCCATGGTGCTGACAGTTTGTATTCCTCGCAGAAAGCGGGCTGCTGCCCGAAACATCACGGCGTTGAGCGAGGGGAAGGGATGATCGCCTCGAAAACCTAATCGCCAGAAGTGGAGGATGCCGATAAGAAATGGGACACTGGCTGTCCCACTTTTCTGGGCCAGTAAAATGTATCGGCCTCACTTACTGCCAAGAGAGCCTGCTCGCAAGCACCTCTCGGGTGAGGCAGTGAGTGCGTAGTCCAAATATTGTATGCAAAAATAATCTGCTCAACTACTCCTTCTATCAGATTGGTCGGTTGAGATATATCAGCTGGAGCTAAGCTTGTAGGCCATTTTAATATTATACACCGTTTTAGCAGGTTGAAAATAACTATTCTAATTAGACTCCTTATTAAAATAAGATTGAAAACTTGACTATAAAATATATTCACTCACGAAACTCTGTTCCAAGACAAAACCCTAAGGAGACACGACGGCCTCAGCAGAGCGAAGAGTTCACTGTTGATCCAGATTCGAACCGGGGCCATAGGCCTTCGGGCTTTCTTATTCGAAAGGAGAGTCCCAGAGGTACTGACGCCTATATGCGAGTGTGGAGAGGGGCGAGAGACTGTCGAACACCTTGTGATGTGGTGCTTGGCCCCACCGTTGACTCGAAGATGGGAGAGAGCCGAACTCAGAACGCGAAGGGACTTTTATTCTGTCCTACAGGGAATCAGTCCCAAAGCTGCACGGCTAACGGGGAGGATCCTGGACTGGCTGATGGACTCGGGGAAACTGCCGATGTACGGTCTGGCCAGGAGGCTGGAGCTGGAGCTCGCAGTCTGATACCCTTTCCTTCGAAGGCCAAGAGGCCTTCCCACTTTGTATTCGCAGGATCGCACACTGATCGTTTCCTTGATTGCCGATATGGGTTTTTCACCCGGCCCACGAGGGCGCGGTTTTCCTGTATAGTAAGTTGTTGAAGGTCCGGCACGCCCTGGGGCACAGCGGTGTAGGAATAATAATAAATATATTCACTGTATAGATCATATCAAGTATCTGTATTTTCCTACTTTATAATAGTTGAGAAACTTACTAAGAGCTAAGCTGAATTAGATTATTATTATTATCATCCCTACTCTGCTCTGCTCTAGGGCTCGTATGACGGAAAGCGCACCCTGGACTCATGCTCTCATCGGTGGGTCATCGGTGGGTGGCCTGTACGACCACTTATCTTTCCCGTGTCGCAGACGCATATCCTGTATACTCTCCCTCTTCCTTTCCTTAGCTTTCGATTAGCAGAATTGAGTCGGCATTTGCAGTGCCTAGTGCCTCGCCCTGATGCCACTTGTCTCTCACAGCACTCATGTAATAAATCCAGGACTTCATGTTTCTAGAGTTGCTCTTACATTGCCGCGAGCGATGAATTTGAACCTCAGCTGATACCACCACACGAAACGCCGTCTGCCCTCAGGCTGCCGCTGTCCTAGGATATCACCCTTCATCCTCAGAGCTTGGCATCCCTCACCGGGCTGTACTCAACCTTATTCGTGCACGTCCCGACGCTGTCCAATTCAACTTCGACCACATCCCCATCCTTCAACCACACCTGCGGGTTCCGTCCCATTCCAACACCTTGCGGCCTGTCCAATCCGGTGCGATACCCTGATCAGCATCCCATTATGTGGAAAACGAAACCCAAGACAAAAACAAAAAAAAGAGGGCTACTCACGTCCCTGTAAAGATGACATCCCCCGGCATCAGCGTGGTCCCCTGACTCAGAAACGCAATCGTCTTGGCCACGCCAAAAATCATATCCGCCGTCGTGCTCTCCTGCACCGTCTCGCCATTGACCCGCGTCCGGATGCCGAGACGCTGGGGATTGGGGATCAGGTCGCGGCTCACGATGCCTGGCCCGAACGGCGCCCACCCGTCGAACCCCTTACCCAGGCTCCACTGCCCGCCGCCCAGCTTGAGCTGCCAGTCGCGGTGCGACACGTCGTTGCCGACCGCGTAGCCCAGCACGTGGTCGAGCGCCTCGGACTCTGCCACGTCGGCGCAGGGCTTGCCGATGATGGCGACGAGCTCGCACTCGTAGTCCAGCCCCGTGTGCTGCTGGGCCAGCGGGTGGATCGGGATTGGGTCGGTTGGGCCAGTCAGCGAGGTCGCGGGTTTGTACTGCGAATTTTTTGGTTAGGATATGCCATGCCCCTTCCGTACAACAACTGTCTTGGTAAGGGCAATTGAGGACTGGCGGGAAGCTTACGAAGACCACGGGGTACTCCGGGATGGGCATCTTGGACTGCTTGAGGTCAGCCGGGTTCCATTTCAATGCTGGAGGGTATCTATGGGGAGGGAGAATGCGCACCTCCTTTGCATGGGCGGCGTAGTTCAGGCCCAGACAGCGCACCGTCCGCACGTCCTCGGGGGCGAGGGGTGCCAGAAGCATGCGGATGTCGGCCACCTGGTCAGTCACAATGTGCTGCCCAAAGATGTCGCCCTGGACGACGCGGGCCTGGCGGGCCTTGCTGACATCGGTGACGCCGCGTGGAAGGATAGCGTCACCGTAGTAGGTGCGGCCGTCCCGGGCCAGGAAGCGGACGAGGCGCTGGGGCTGTCAGCGTGCTGTCTCGCATTGTCCCCGTCTGATGAGTGGTGTTGTAACAGAACTCACTGAGAATGTAGGCATCGTGATGGGTGGGCGTCAACGAAATTGGCGAGTTTCTGACAGTACAGGACACTCTGAAGTAGGAATATGTGCTCCTTTATATAGCGAGACCAAAGATGCCGATGGCGGAGATATCTCGCAGTTATACAACCGGTTCCGTACAAGCCAATATTGTTAGAACTGACTGTTTTGTAGCTTTGTGGGGAAGCTGCTGGGGGATCGTCTCATATACCGGTAACTCCGCCGTGGGAGTTTCCTCTCTTTAGATGCTTGTCCTACATATTGCAGTTCTATCCGGCACTTTAACTCCAGTCGTTGATGAAGGTGAGTAAGATGTCGAGCTTTCGGGTTAATTATTCCACCAGCCAGAGTGGTTACTGTTACCCCTGCTTTCCGTAACTCTCGGCGTTCGGCTCGGAGGCTGAGTGACTTATAACGGCTCAAACGGATAGCATTAGCTCGGCCATGTAATGGCAACAATTTGATAGGTCAAAAGACTAGGCCTGGTTCAGGGACCAAAAGCTACCCAAGTACGGATCTCCCTACCAAAAAGTTTACCACTGCCAAGCGGAACCTCTGTGATGTTAAGGCGGTGAGGCAAGGATTTTGATAGGGACCTCCGTACAAGTACCTATTTATGTACGTACCTCATCCACGGACACCCAGCTAGAAGATATCTTTTCGCTCATTTGACTTATCCCAACTTGCCGAAAGCTGTGAGCATACAGAACACAATACGTCCCTCATTCAGCAGATCGTCAAGGAGCATGAATGTCCATAATCGTCCTCACAACAAACAGCAGGCAAGAATGGCCTTTTTGCTGCACGCATAGTTATAGCACGCAGCTCGGTAGGGGAGGAATACCTAGGTAAGGTTCTACGTATTGGCCAGGTTGAACCAGGCCATGTCAGCGACATTACGGCATTAGTTCGAATAGGGGCCAAGGTAAATGGCTGGTTTCGAGGCTGGCTGGGAATTTGACGCGGAAGCATCGGATTCTAAACCGCCGCGTGACTCACAGCCCAGATGAGAGCACCACACAGGACATGAGGATGAATCAGGAAGAAGAGGCGCCAGATGGACATAATCAGGTTGATCTAAAGGATCACCATGATGGACCATGTCGAGGGAGCCTGCTCTACCGCGCAGACTTACAGCGTCAACATATTTGTTGGAGTTGAATTAGGGGCCATCTCTAAAACAAACTCACACAAAAGCATGTAACAGATAGCGGAGCCACATACCGGGTAACTCGACAATAACATCCCTCAGACGAACATCCCTCAGACCCTGCCGACCCTACTAGCCTGACAAAAGAAGCTGGATCGATTGATCTATGTCTACCCACCCGCCCCCTACAGTACAGTTCCTATGCTGGGCTCGGATCGCCAGCACCGATTATAATACACTGAACCCGGGCGCCTCTGCTTCCTCTCCTCTTCCCTCCTCCCTTACTCCACGCGCAACAACCGCACTCCTTTTCTCCTGTTCTCTGACCCCCATCCTTTAAAAGTTCCTGCTCATATCGGCCCTAATCCTCGCATAGTCAAAGAGACCCTCGATGCTGCCAACAGCGCTGACGGCGACGTCCTGGTCCCAGAGCTTCCGGTTGGCAAACTCCATGACGTCCTTCTCGGTGATGGCGTCGATGATGCGCTCGATCTCGCCGGGGCTCATGCGGCGGCCGGTGGTGACGATCTGCCGGCCAATGTCCTCGGCCACGGCGGTCGTGCCGTCGAGCGACAGGAGGATGGACGCCTTGAGCTGGGCCTTGGCGCGCTCAACCTCGGCCTCGGTCACGTTGCCCGACAGCCGCGACCACTCGCGCAGGGCAAAGTGCACCAGGTCGTCGATGTTCCCAAGGTTCTCGGTAACCATGTAGATACCCCAGAGGCTGCGACCGCGCTTATTAGCATATACTCGACGGCCAGCAAAGAAAATCAGTTGCGCAACGCCCAGGGGCAAACCTACCCAGTGTCGCTGTAGCTGGTGGAAAAGCTCATGTAGCTGTTGGCCAGGTTGTTCTGGTGGACAATCCCGCTGAGCCTGCTGCCCTGGTGGGGGGCATTGCCGAGGGCCTTGTCATAGTTGCCGACAATGGCCTGGGCGACGAGGGCGGTGAAGTAATCGGGGTCATTCCAGCTGACACCCTCGACCGCGATAGCGATGTTGGCGGTCGGGATGGTATCATCGCGATAACGGACGTCGGATCCGATAAAATCGGGCTTCTTCTTGGACAAAAGGTATGCGCTGGTCTCGGGGGCCTTGGACGGGAGCTTGGAGAAGTACTTGTCGGCCATCTCGACGAGCTGCTGGTGGGGGACGCCACCAGCACCAACGAGGACCATGCGGTCAGCCGTGTAGTTGTTCTTGATGTAGTTGACGAGCTCGGTCCGGGTGATGTCGCGAATGTTCTCGCGGGGGCCGAGGATGGTGCGGCCCAGGGGCTGGTTCGCGTAGGCGGTGGCATGTAGATGGTCGAAAACAACCTCCTCGAGCTGCTTCTCCACTTCCTCCGACTCGCGCAGGATCACGTCGCGCTCCCGCTCAATGGCGGCCTCGTCGAGCCTCGAGTTCTGAAGAATGTCTTGCAAGATGTCGACACACTGGGGGACGTCCTCGTTGAGGGCCTTGGCGAAGTACACGGTGTTTTCGCGCTGTTCCCCATGGTTAGCGGCAGGTCGAGGCTTGAACCTTCACAGTCATGGACGAACCGAGGTGTAGGCGTTGAGGTGGGCGCCCATGTTCTCGATCTCAAGCTCCAGTTGCTGCTGCGTCCGCTTCGACGTGCCCTGTCCAGGAGCGAAAACGGTCAGCGCGAGTCCCAGATTCCGTCTCCAGCAATGGCGCGCGGGTCCGTACCTTGAAGGCAAGATGCTCGAGGAAGTGAGCGGTGCCGTTGGTCTCTTCGGTCTCGGCGCGAGAGCCGGCATCGATCCACATGCCGACCGTCGAGGTCTGGGCATAGGGCGAGTACTGAGTGGCGACCTGGAGAGGGAGCAATTCAAGTCAGCGACCAAGCTAGGGAGGACCAATTGGTGACGAGCGGGCGGGAGCTCACCGTCAGGCCATTCTTGAGTGTTGTCGTCTCGGTTTTGATGGCGGGCGAGTGGTGAGGTGTTGCGAGGCCTCGCCTAAACGGCACAGAAAGCCCTCCTGCACGGCCGCGAAGGCCCTGGGCGAGGTTCAGAGCGAGTCTCCGGGACGCCATGGAGGTGGAGGATGTGGGAGAGGGAGGGGTGTATGTGGAAAATGAGCGGTTTGAAGGGAAGGTCTGGCTTCCTCGCTTGCTTCAAAAAACCATGGTATGCACCGTATTTTTGCCTCACTTCCCAGGCACTCTCGGGAACGCCCGGGCCAAATCCGGCTGCGAAGCTTCCAGGTTCCGTCACGTGGAAGCAGGTGCCATACAGCTCTCTTGGCATTTCATCATCAGCGGCGACTCGACGAGCTCAACCCAAACCCTGCTTTGAAACTCACTGATCAATGTATCATGGCCATCCGCGGAGCTTTGGGTCCCCACCATGGCCTCTGCGGAACGAGGTCCCTCGGTCCTTGCAAGCAACAAACCACATCTCTTTTCCTACTATAGCCTGCCGGCTACGATTTATTTCCCTGCGCACATAGAATCAGGATGGTTCTCCAGTTAGACAAAAAGCAACAACCCGAATTTAGAAACGCTTCGCTGTGTACAGTGCCACCTCATCAGGATTAGAGATTGCCGTCCATAAGCATCTGGTATCCCACTTTCACGCTTCCAGTTACATACCATCACACGCCGGCAAACGTTTCGCCCACGAGCTCTCCGCCACACACGGCCGCCCTTTCCCGCTCGCTCAGCGCCCGGCTCCACAACCTCAACTCCGCAGCCGACACATTCGACTCCCTCATCCACCTCCTCAAGTCAACAAGCCGCCCATCATCATCCCCGTCCCCGTTCCCGTCCCCCCCACCACCACCACCGCCACCAACAACGACCACATCCCCCCCAGGCCTCTCCACACTGACGAAGCCTCCTTCCTTGATAATATTCTGCTGCCCCTTCCCGCGCGACAGCATGCCGAACCTCAGCCCGACCTCGGTTACCGTAACAATAATACTGATAACGATGAGGATGATGATGATCCAGGTGATGTGGCTCATCTTTGCGTCGGCGACGCTGTCGGCCAAGATGTCGGCCAGGTCCAGGAACACGCGGCAGCGCTCGTTGAGCACCTTGATGCGCGGGTCGATCTCGAGGTACTCGCGGACGGCGACGTAGAGCGGGTGCAGCGTCGGCTCCGAGTCCCAGAAGAAATTGGGCACGTCAAGGATGTTGGACGACAGGTTGATGTCGACGCGGCTCTTGAAAAGGCGGCCGAGGATCTTGACGATCTCGGTGCGCGTCAGGTTCAATTCGCCCGTGAGGGCGAGGCGTTTGGGAACGTGCTGCGCGTCGAGCATGGTCTCGGACATGCGCTCCTCAAAGAAGCAGAGCTTGGTGCTCTGCGCGATGGCGTGGCTGATGGCGAGTTTGACCATGTGGTCTGACCGGGGGAGGAGTGTGATCATGTCGTTGAAGACGCGCGGGCGTTTGACGTCGGCGCTGTATTCAAAGTGGAATTCCTCGGTCTCGAAGTCATCCTCATCTAGCGCCCGCGTAGCTAGGGAGACGCCGGTTTCGTTCTCGGCAAAGGTCAGGTCCGCCAGAAGGTCCTTCTCCTGGTGCTCGGTGAAGTTCCAAAAGACGACCACTCCGTACGAAAAGACAAACATCTCGCCAAAGTGCTTCGCATCGGGGACGAGCTGGTTGATCGGGTTGACGGTCACACGAGCTGCATCGGCGACGGCGTCGGTGGAAGGCGAGTGCTCGAGGGCGTCCGGGGCGCTAGTCACTTGCTGCAACAGCGGCGCAGTGTTTGGGCTGCCCCCCAGCCCCTGCGAACCGTACGAGTACTCGTCCCAAAAGCCCTCGTGCTCGTCTCTTCGCTCGCTGCGCTCAATCTCGAGGTCCAACACCGTCTTGCCTGTCCCCGGCGTCTTCAATATCGGGCGGCTCCTCAGCCGGTATCCGTCGACGCCCGGCAGTAGCGGCAGGTGGTATCCTGCATAGAGACAATCGTCGTATATCTTTGTCTTGGCCTCGTGCTTTGTCTTTACGAAGTCGGCGGTCGCCTTGATCTTGTAGGCCTGGGCTGTGCAGTAAGCCGTCAGGCGAGACACCTTTTCTCCGCGCTGTACTTTTGGCAGACGCTCTGCGTAGCTCTTTCCACGGATGCCCCCTCTTTTCCTCAGCACGTCCAGCTCCTCGTCATTCAGCGGCCGGCTCTCGTCCTCGCCCCGCAATATCGACGCCCCCCTCGCTAGCTCGTCGTCGCTCTCGCCTTCCTCATCCCCAGCGCCGGGCGCTTCGGGCAACAGCACCAGCTTTTCGCTGATTTTGGTCGTCCGTGTGGGGACAATCTGCTGGCCAGTCCGGGCGGACGCGAGAGTCGGCAGACCGCCGCCTTGGCTTGTGCGACGCATGGCCATGGCGCGTACCGGGCGATGATGGGCTGGATTCCCCCTAGGCTGGCCCGAGGGTATGTCAGACGAATACTGCAGCACATTGTCGACGGATACGAGGCGGGTGCTCAGGCGCGCGGGGCCGGCCACACCTCGTTGAGGACCTGCTCGGGATGCGGGGCGCTCGCGGGAATCTGTCACCTAGCGGAAACAAGACGATGTCAACTGGAGACTGGTACGACGGGGAAAGGGAGGTCGGTTCTGCATACCAGGACCGAGGGGCCTCGTTTCGCAGAGGCCATGGTGGGTGGGAGATGCGGGATATCGAGGATTCGGGATGTCGATCAATTGACTCTCAGGGGAGGGTTTATTAGGATGAGACGAGGGGTCGGCGCTCCGTCCGCGCTGGAGTGCGTGGCGTGTAGTTAAGTCCGTACACGGTGGTGACTACTAATGTAGTGGTGTTGCTTTGATATTCCATGTGCAGTAGTACTCTTTGCCGTCATCACCATCATTTACCGTCGGGTTAGAATCGTCAGAATTGCAACCGAGCTACCACAGTAGAAGCCGGAGCCAGCCGACGTCATCTTCGACGTGGAGGCTGCGACACATTAGGGCATAACCGTATTGTACATTACATGCAGGTATCATACAGACCAAGTTGGGCATTTAATGGTTGGTTCGCTACCATGCTAGGAGCGTACGGGATGGAAACGATTTTGGACCCAATGCGCATTACCTTCGTAGTACACATAAGGTATGGTAAGGAAGAGCGTTTTAGCATTACCGGTAACTGTACCCGGAGATTACTTCGGTATCAGCCCCATCAGCCAGCCCGTGAAGAAAAGCTTTGAGATTGCGAACAGCATGTGACAGCTTCATACAGCAATCTCGAAACTCAACACACGCCATGCTCTACGACCTCAACATCGCCTGGTCGCCAGGCACGCCCTCTGCCGAGCTAGAACGCACCCTCAAGTTTGCCAAAACCCTCGGCTACGATGTAGTCGCCCTCAACCACACCATCTCGGGGCCAATTCCAACCCAACCGACGCCCATCACAAACCCAGTCCCACAACTCACCCCTCCACACCCATCCTACCCCGGCGGCGCAACAATACCAGAACCAACAAAAACAACAACAATAACAACAACAGCAAAAACCAATCTCCCTACCAACGCTTCCTCCGCCCTACCCCCGTCCTCCAAATCCAAGTCCAACTCCCCCTCCTCCTCGCAGTCCCTCCCGACAGTCCTCCGCCGCGCAACCCTCACGATAACCGACCCGTCCACAACAAACTATCGCCTCCCCGACTACGCGCGCGCGTACGACCTCCTCGCGCTCCGCCCGACCTCGGACAAATCCTTCTCCTGGGCCTGCCTCTCCACCACCGACCCGCCGGCGCTCGTCTCGCTGGACCTGAGCTCGTACCTCGGCTGGCACATCCACCACCGCACGGCCATGGCAGCGGTGCAGCGCGGCGTACGGTTCGAGATTTGTTATTCGCAGACTCTTGCTTTTCCTCAGAATGATATCAGCGGGGGAGGGGGAGCGGGGGTGGATGCGGCGAGGCGGAGGGCGAATTTCATTGGGAATGTGCAGTCGCTGATCCGGGCGACCAAGGGTCGCGGGGTGGTCATCAGCAGCGAGGCGCGCGGGGCGCTGGGCTTGCGGGGGCCGGCGGACGTGGTGAATCTACTGGCGGTGTGGGGTTTGGGGCCGGAGAGAGGGTTTGCCGCGCTCGGGGAGGCGGCGAGGGCTGTGGTGGTGAACGAGGGGATTAAGAGGAGGGGGTTTAGGGGTGTTGTGGATATCGTGCGGCCTGCGGAGGGCGGGCAAGGAAAAAAAGGGGATGGGGATGGGCGTGGGCAGGAAGCGGATAGTGGAAATGTGAATGAAGCGAAGAAGCAGAAGCAGCAGCAGGGACAGCAGGGTCAAAAGAGAAAGGGTGGCGATGCTGGCGCCGGCGGAAATGCGGGCGGCCAGCAAGGGGAGATGAGCAAGAGGCAGGCAAAGAAGTTGAAGAAGGAGAGGTCCCAAGCAAAAAATACCTGATAAGCTTGGAGCCATGTACGTCTTCTTCACTTTGTACCACTACGCTATCAACGTACCGGTAGGCGTGGCATTACGATACCCCTTATAAAGATGTTGGGCTGGGAGAATGGGTATGACGAATTGGTTGAGATCCCTTTAGTAAAATACTTTGAGGAAGAAAAGAGCCGAATCCATCTGCGGCACAAGCAATCGTATATATACAATGAATCAGACTCATCTGAGTTGTCCTCCCATGTCAGCGGCACCATGGCTAAGAACAGCAACAGGAACATCATCTAAACACGACAACAAAAAGGGGTATAGTATCCACATTCATGTTTTCTTCATTTTATTACTCCGGCCCACGCACAACCGCCCCAACGGTTATAGGCGCGCTGTCGAAGTACGCTGCGCCAGATTCCCGAGGTTGAGCTGGCTCGACAGCGTCAAGCCCGAGACATTAATCGTGGGAAAGATGCCGGCTCCATTAGCAACCCCCGGCGTGGTCGGGGTCGCAGGCGGGTCCGCGGCGGATGCGATTGGGATCAGGCCGGCGCTCCCGCCAAAGGCGCCGGCGGGGTTTGACGTGGGGATCGCTGCTGGGCCATTTCCAGTAGTAGAAATGCTCAGTGTGTCGCTTAGCGAGCTGGCCAGCCCCGGAAGAGGGCCAATCGTGGTGTCAGAGATAGCGGCTGAGGCAGTAGCTAAAGTAGTGGCTGAGCTGGTATTCAAGGAAGTGGTTGAGGAGCTGGTTGGGATGGCGGTCGAGCTGTCGGACACGGGCGCGCCAGCGATGGGGTCGGACGAGGGGTTCGCAGCGCCGGGAAGAGGTGCCAGTGATGTCACAGAGAGAGTGGCGGAGAATCCCGGAGGCGTGACGAGTTCCGGCAGGTTCGCTTCTCCCTGAGTCGGGAGCGGCGCGAGGGATGACGAGGCATCGGCCGACTGTGAAACGACAGAGTCGGAAGCGATTGTTCCTGAAGCGGTTGACCCAGAAGCGGCTGTCTCGGAAGCGCTCGTCTGAGAAGCCGTAGATTGGGAAACGACTGTCTCGGACGCAGTTAACTGAGGGCCGGTTGACTGAGAAGTAGCTGGCTGGTTTCCAACCAGGCTGGTCTTTCGGGCAGCTTCAGGCACGGAGACGACGATAACACCGATGCCGCCGCTCGGAATCACCAGCGCTGGCGGTGCTGCCGAACCTGCTGCTCCACCAGGCGTGGCCGATGCCGATCCATCACTCGAGACCCAATCCACAGCTCCATTTGCCTGGCCTGGGCAGACAGTGACGGTTGAAGCGGCGGCTGTCACCGTCACCGTGACCGCGGCCGTAGCATTGATACCAGCACCCACGTCGCCGCCAGCTCCAACTGTAATAATCTGCCGTAGTGTTTCAGTGACGGTCTGAGCGGCCCCTAAGCGGTTGAACATGCTGATAAAGCCATCGGCAAGGTTGACGCTGCTGGTAGGAACCTGTTGACGCCGGTCGAATACAGCTGCCTGGGATGAACTGTAAGCTGCGTGATTCTGCTTCTATCAACGCATTCACTCACCTCAGCGAGCGAGACAGCGCCCAGAACGAGTGCTAGAGATGGCACATAGGCCCTCATCCTTCTGACCTGCACCCCGCAACGACGGTGCTTTTGGCGAACCAGTTCTCAATGCTCCAGCGGTGGTATGGATACGGGAATGATTGAGGCGTCAGGCCAGCCGTCTGTAGAAGCTGTCGATTTGGCTCTCAGATGCGTTGGACATACAGTTGAGGTGGCGACAAATACCAAACGGCAGGATAAAGTGTGACAAATGGTCTACTCGATCGATGCCAGACCTAGGTGGCTATAGACGTGGAGACGCAAAGAAAACGCAGCACTGCTGTATCGAAAGAATAGAACTTGGGGTATCGAAGTGATTATGACTGCCAAGCAGAGGAAAGAAGGGCACACCTGGGAAAGGAATGTGGTTGAAGCAAGCAGAACGCAGGAAACGACGGAATCACAGCATTATGGAAGAAGACGACGGGATGGGACGAAGGGGGCGCCATAGGTAGAAACAGCAAAAGTGCAGCTTGGGGAGTACGTTTCGAACGGGCCCCATCCACGTCCCCTTGGACGTCGCCTCTGACAGGGCAAGTCTCCAATGGTCAAAGACGTTCTAGACGCTGGCGATGTTCTCAAGGGCGACCATGTCTGGGATGCAGTCTCATGCGGGTCTCGGGAAAGCGGGTTCTGGGCTGATAAGGCTCAATGCCTTCGGGAAATTATCCATCTTGTGGCATGGGATGATGATGCGGAGCGTGGTTGCGGCTGCTCGCGGCTGGTGCGTCGCACGCCACGAAGGGGCGTGAGACGAACCCCAGACGGCTTGTGTCAGAGGTCGGCCCACTCGAAACGGGCCACTGCGTGAGCGCAGCAGGGGGGCCTTAGCCCACAGGTAGCTGCATCAAAACCGCCCAGTGTCCCGTGACGACCTTGGAATTGAATATGGCCTGATGTGGGTGTCAACGACCTTCTCGGCGCCATGCTCGATCCTCTGGTGATGCCGTGATGGTAATTGATGGATGTGATGAAATCGACTTCGGGGATTTTGGCCTGCAGCTCCACATACCCACAACAGGTGCGGGCAGCCCCGCATTTTCTCCATTTACAGTAACACGGCCCGACGGCATGGTCCGGGGAGTTGATGCGCATCGTCGAGCTGGCAAATGAAAACAAGAACAATTGACTCAGAACTCGAAGAAGAATGAATGGATGACAAAAGGATAGAACTGGCAAAAGCTCACTGGGTTACTCTCTACCTCGGTGGTAGGGAGGTCCTGACGTCTGCCGGCTCCCAAAATCCGCTGACGTGGTGGAAATTTTCGGGACCAGTCGAGGAGAGAACCCCTTCTGAATCCAATGTGAAGAGATGGCAGTAGATGGGAATCGAACTGAGAACGTACAGATCTCCTCGCTACGCACCAAGGTGCTGAGTGCGCTCGGTGCCTTAGCGCGATGGCTGGTGGTCACACACGACCAGGCTGCGACCAAGGCCCGTCTCCGGAAACACAAGGCGGACTGCCGGAGAAGAATTGTCGACAGAGAAGTTATGTCTCATCTGGAGATTACCACGTTGCTGGCTGTACTGTGTTGTAATCATGCGCGGATGGACTTGGGGTAAGTTCAGTTCAGCGACGCTCAAGACGCCGGACGCCCAGCGGGGGTGGCTCCAAGATCGCCATACAAAATCGTCACCATCCTGGGAGTTTCGAATGTGATTCACAGCTCTCCAATATCTCCATCTCCACCAATATTGATGGATTCAGAGGACTGGCCGTTTATGATGAAGGGCAAGTAACAGAACCCATAATGATTACTTCATGCTTCTACTTTGGCATCGAGAGTAGAAGTCCTACGGATAGTGCACCCACCAACGCTAACCTTGAGAGATGCATCAGATCAAAGAAACACACCAAGTTTTTACGCCGCGATCACTCAACCAAGCCCCGTCGACTGCATTCAGAATCTGCCTCTGCAGGTTCCAGCGCCCATCAGCCACCCACCTGATGACCTCCTCCGAATTTTATCCCCTCAATCCAATGGGCTGATCAAGCTCCTCCTGGACGCTGCCATAGTCGGTATGGCTCGAGTCTTCCGAGTAGGCCTCTGAACCCTCGGGGATCGGGACCATGGCCGACTTGGTCCTTTGCAAAGAAGATGGTGAGCAATGCAAAATCAGCGGCAAGCGACGCAGACACGGGAAATACCATATGTGGATGGCCGTCCTCCAGTCCAGACCCTCGATGCAGCCTCCCTTGACGGCGACGACATTCTTCTCCTAGCGGTCCAACGACTCAAGTCAATAAAGCGCCTTTGAGCACAAGCTGTCGTTGGATTCCCCTGCACTTACAGGCGTCGAGTGGATCAGCCTGGTACCGCATTGCTTGCAGAAGTAACTGCACACGCGCACCGAGTCAGAGTCTGGCTCTCTGGTCGGGCACGCTCCCATTCATTCATGTCACATACCAATACAGAGTTTGGCCCAGGGAAGTCGCTCTCCTACGACAAGAAAGGTATAGTCAGACAGTGTGTCAAGACAGAGACTGTGGTCTGGGACTCACTTGTAGCAAGAGAGCAGCTCAGCATCTGGCAGCGGGAACCGTGGGAAGATGGCCGAGGTGCCAAAGGCCGAGCTTGTCTGCAGCTGGCAGTCGTGGCAGTGGCAGATGTAGAGCGCCAGGGGCTTGGGGGTGGGCGTCTTGAAGCTCACGGCTCCGCACTGGCAGCTTGCGTTCATGGTTTCTGTCTCCCTTTAGGATATAGCTCGGTAACAGACGAGGTTTGCGGGAGGCAGAAGCGGTCCAAAGTAAGCTAAGGCAGTTTAACCGAGTCTGCGATGGTTGAACTTAGGGCATAACACTCGGATTTGGGCGATCGAACCCGGGTCGCGACGGCTTCCACCGGCAGCACCTCGGTCGCTCACTCGTGTGCCGTCCCCGAAGACGGAGCTCAGGTCGCGTGTGGCAGCCTTGTCAGGCTGTAAGTGAAGAGAGACGGGGAACCGGAGGACCAATCGGATAACACCAAGCCAAGACGAGGCGATGAACATCAGAGCAGAAGAATGTGGAAGAGCCCTGAGGCCACAGTGCTTTCCAAGTGGGCGACAGCCTTGGAAATATACCCGTTTTCCTCTGACTCTTTTCCTGTCTTCCAAGTCATGACGTGAGTCACCTTGGCTTCAGAACCAGGGCATTGATTCGTGAGCGACTCAGAGACGCGTAGTCACATGACTGCCCGTTAAACGGCTTTTCAAGAAGGGATCTTCATGATGAAGGTAGCGAGGAATGTTTGGGACGGTTACTACTCCGAATCCGACGTCAACGTGGTTGCTTTCCGGTTTAGAACGGAGCTACCATGGAAGAACGACCACTCGAATCGAGTGTATTTGTACACGTATGCGTAGTGCTTCTGGTCTTCATTCGCATGCCGAAATGCGGAGCCGGATTTCCAAGGCCAGGACGTGGTCCGATCCGATATTGCACCGATCTTCTTGGCGCCGGTCGAGGTCCGGGTTGGACTTCAACATGGCCGATGGAGTTGATTCAAAGAGAGAAACATCCGTCGCAAGCCAACAGAGACCGACGTCTTGTATATTTACGAACAAGGAGCCGGCCGATCAACAGTAATGCCGCAACCGCCAGACACTTGATAGCCAACCCCTGTTTCCGTCATCTGAGCAATTGAGAGAGTGCTGGGCATACTCACCTTACCAAATCTCAAAAGCAACAACACCATGCTCGCCCACCTTCCTCTCCAACCTCGGATCCGGCACTCCGTGCGGCGTTGGAGTCAGCCTTAGCGAGCCATCCCCACCCCTCTCAAACGTTCCCTCCGCAAGCAAGCCAGCCCGCTCGACCGCCTCACCCTGCATCAGCCCAGGCACAAAGCACTCGCCCACCAACCGCCATCCTCGCCTCCCATCCGCCCGCTCAGCCGGCCTCAGCACAAACGGCACCACCCCGCCAAACAACACAACCACCACATCCCCCTCCCTCGCCGCCGCCGGCCCCAGCCCAACCAACCCATCCTCCAGCACAAACGCCCGCCGCCCAACCATCGCATTCACGCTACACAGCGCCCGCTCCCTCACATACACCTCCGTCCCCTGCTCTCCTCCTCCCTGAAACCCATCCACCTCCAACCCCAACCCCGCTTCCTCCACCATCCTCCTCAACTCGACCTCCCGCCACGAAGCCCTCTCCCGCCAATACAAAAGAAACTCGCCCAGGTGATCCCCCCGCGCCCTCTCGCCGTCCAGCACCTCGGCTGCCTCCCTCGGCGTGCCATATTTCCCCGGCTGTGCGCACACCGCGACGGCCATGGACCCTTTCGAGAGGAGTTTCTCGGCCTGCATGTCGGGGTCGCGAAAACCGAATAGGGTAAAACGCTCGAGAGTGGCGCTCCACGAAGAGCGGAACTGGTTTGCTTCTGAGTTCAGAGAGGCGAGGAGGGCTGTGAGAGCTTTGGCATGGGGCGGGTCCAGAAGTTTGTTGTTGTTGCTGTTGTTGGCGTTGAGGGTGTTGTCGAGGAGGGGTGGGCTGGTGGAGGTGACGGTGCTGCAGAGGAGGCCGGTCAGGGTGAGGGATTCGAGGTTGTTATCGTCGTTGAAGGTTGAGGGTGACGGACAGAAGAGCTCACCGCCGTTGGCGTAGTAGCCCTGCTCATCTCGCAGCGCGAGCGGTTCGGCGGGGAGCGGCTGGTGCCATTTGGGCACCCACGAGGGGTAGGACGGATCAATCTCGGCGCCGTGCTGCACTGCGCTGAGCACACGCAGATGCTTGTCCTGCTCCAGGATGCGCTTGGCCGCTTGGATGTACACGGAGCGGACGTCTTGACTGTAGTCGGGTTTGAGCAGCGGCTGGCTATCGGGGTCGTTGCCGGCAAACGGCATGCCGAGGAGGGCGTAGATTCGGTCCCGCGCGTCGGTCGAGCCGAAGCGGCCCATGGTGGTGCCCAGGACCACGGACAAGTCAAGTTTTGAGAACGCTGAGATCCCGCTGCGCTTGGCGAGTGGAAGCACGTAGATGAGGAAGGCGTTGTAAGCGGCGGTGATGGGCTCGCCGTGGTGAAATGTCCATCCGCTGCTCATCATCCAGGCTGCGCAGATTCCAATCAGTCCCCAAGCTATGTGGTGGCGGCCCCAGAAGACGACGGCCGAACTTCCCAGCGCCAGTTCCTGGATGATCCAGAATCTCTGGAAATAGCCCGTCTCAAACAAGGCTCGGAGGGCTTCCCATGCCTTTTGGTCGACAGCACCGCGTACTCGAGCAAGTCCATCTTCCCCCATGGGTTCCAAAAGGCTGGCGTAGCCAGAGAACCCGAGTTTGTCGCCGTCGGGGCGCCAGGCGCGAACAATGTCACAAACAGCCGTGAAAGCCGTGCTGGCCTGGTTGTGTTTGTCGAGCCCGAGCCAGACAAGCACACGTTTTGCGTTCCGGTAAATGTGCCGCATGATGGACACCTGCTGTCCCCGCTCGGGGATGTCTTCCTGGTTGATACATACTGAGTCAGCCCACACATAGCGAGGCTGATTGGAGTGGCGGAGATGTTTCAGGGCATCCTCAAGGTTCTTTGGAATTGGGACTCGAGCACTGTTGCACAGTAGGAGTATCTTGTCCGACGGATCCCCCCAGGTGTAGGATATCGCCTCGTAGCTGGGTTTATCGTCAAGCGAAGCAACGACCAACCGCGTCCGGAGATTTTCTTCCTCGGCCAACGCAGGTTCGATAACCAATATCCGGATGCTGTTGTTTGGAAGTGGTGAGTACAACGAAGAATACTCCTGCTGACCGTCCACCTTCGGGTTCGCCAGTTGGTCTATCAGCCCGTCCTCCTCGGCGGAATATTCTTCGTTGAAGCCGCATCTGTCAACGGCGTCGCCAGCTTGGAGGAAGATAGCCCTGGCCAGATGGTCGGCCTCGGGCCATGCCACCGGCACGTCCGGATTCGACTCATCTCCGTCGAATGATGGCTGCCACGGCTCTGCGTCCGATGCGTCTTGGCCACAATGCCCGATGATGTGGTCGTCGGGGGCAACCTTGGGCAGAGACCGTGCTTCACATTGGCCCAAGGCAAGCACAGCGACAACGCGACCGCGTCTTTCACCAGCCTCGTCCTCAGGTGTGATGGTTACCATTTTGCCCGCCCGGAACCACAGTGAAAACCTCCAGGCGTGGCCTTCGGGCGTCAGAACCTTCTCTTGTCCATCGATGGAGAACATGAGCGTCGTCTTGGGAGCAATCCACACCGGATACACAAAAGTATCAGTCGAAAAGATATGGGGGATAGGAGAGCCGTCATCTGACAGCCGAAGAACCATGACGGTGGTGTTGGGTGGCTTGAACTCGCCGATCTCCTCTTCCGTTGCATCCTTCAGGGAGTGATAGACATCCCAGAAAACGTGATCATAGATACCGTACACTTGTCGTCTGAACGTGGTAAAGATAGGACCCTGGCCGGGCTCGCTATTGTCGATTTCGGTCTGTGAGCCCTCGGGAGGATCAAGAAGAGTCAGGTCGGTGTGAGATTTCCAGACTTCATCAAACCACCGGTCGTTTGCTGGTGTTTGGGCGATCCAGTTTCCAATCTTGATGGTAACCTCGCGGAATACCTTCTCAAGGGACTGAGATTGACGCTCCAATTCGGCGGTGCCAATCCCTAGGGCGCTCGGATCGACGAGCCATAGACGCCTCAGGGTGGTCGACACTTGCATCACCGCCGGGTTGTCAGAGAAGTCGACGGTCCGCAAAGAGACGTTATCTCCCACAGGCTGGGCGTTAACAGCCATGTCGTCAAATATGTCTTCCTATCGGCCCAAGTCCGTCGGGTTGTGACAGCGTTTGCTCGTCAGAAAGGTGAGCGATGAAGAGCTTTTCCACAGTAAGCAGGCATGCCTGAACCTGCTGCAGCCTAACCGAAGCGATGGGGCTGTACGGTGGGCCTGAATTCGGGGCGTAGGCTGCTCGGGCCTATCAGCCTCCATTTCCTCGACTCCAGACTGTATGGGCAGGCTATTTAGGTAGTGTGTCAGCATATGGTTTCCATGGTCTCTAGCGAGGTCAGGAAGCCTAGGATAAACAGAGAGGGGGACAATTGCGCTATGTGCGACAGCAAGACACAGTAAAGAGGTGCATACCTGTAACGGAAGTATGCATGCCATTCCGGCTTCTATGATATGGGTATACAATCAAAACAGTCAAACCAAACATCCAGCGTCATGCGGCAGCAGAGTAGCCCTGACACCTGGGCCTGAGCTCCGTATCGTCCAAGCACAGCATTTCAAACCTCCTCGCGAGACTCACAATCCGGCTGTCGACCGCCCGCCAAAAGAGGTCTGCCACCCAGATGACGAGCGGGCCCAAGAGCCAAAGCCCTATAAACCAGCTAACCGTTATCTGGGTGATGGTCTCGACGCCGATAAGACCTTTGACTCCTCTTGCTGGTTTTTCCGGGACATATTCGGGTGCCCCGGGTTCTCCCCAGGCTGGAACCAAGGGGTTGCCAAGTAACTGATCCCTGAACAGCTCCTCGACCGGTCCGTGGCAGATATACACGGCGTAGCTGATCCGCCCAAGGTACTGCGCGAACGGGCTTTCAAAAAGGCTCCGGAGAGAATCGAGGTCTCCGATCACCCAAACCGCCGCGGCGGCTGACAAGGCGAACCAGTATTTCTGCGGCGCAAGAGGGTCCATCGTGGCGAACGGAAACGGCGTCTGCGCCAGGAAATATCGGATCCCAGGCGTAAACTCGGCGCCTTCGTTCGGCCACCCCGCAAGGAACAGGCCGATCAAAATGATGCAGACCTGGAAAGTCTTCAGCGGCCAATCGGTCTCTTCCTCGTTGTCCTCGCCCTCCTTCGATTTCGCACCGGCCCGGAGTACATGGATCTCGGCCAAAAACAGCCCAGCCAGAAACTCAAACCCGGCCCATTTCCCGCACGTCAGGCAGTAGACCATCAGCCCAAAGACCGACGCCATGCGTATCCACATCCGCACCCTCGACAACATCAACAGCACCATGAACAACAGCATCGAATGCGCAAACTCGATGGGTATCGTCCATAAGTGCACGTCAAAGTTGGGCCTCAAGTCAAAATCCCAGGCCCACGGCCAGGTGATGGAATGGAACACGGCATCCTTCCACCTCCATAGCGCTCCGTACAGCGTCGGCTCCGTGGGCACCAGATACCCCATCTGGCGCAGACACATGATCATAAACGTCGAGACGATGCACGGTCCAAACAACCGAAACGCCCTGCGAAACGTCGACGACGCCAGCGCGGCGTAGCACCTCTCCAGGTCGCGCGCGTGCAACGCCTTGACGGGCTTGTACGACAGCGCGAAGCCCGAGATGACGAAGAAGATGTGGACCATGGGCCTGCCCGAGAACACGACGCGCAGAAAGGGCAGCTGGATCCACGAGGAAGGCGTCGTCTCCGGGTCGCCGAGGCCGTACGACGGCACCAGCGCGGCGAAGTTGTTCTCGGTGTAGTGGCAGATGAAGACAATTATGGCCGCGATGCCGCGCAGACCGTCGAGGTACGAGGTCGGGTGCAGCCTCCATGTTTGACGGTGCTCGGAGAACATAGGGTCGGCGACGAAGCTCGGGAGAATGGGCCGGAGGAATCGCACCCACGGTCGACGTGGGGAGAGGTAGGAGTGCATCGAGGACGTGCTGGCCGCCCCGCGGCGATAGCCCGGGGACATCATCGTTGTGTTTGCTGCGGTATCTCGGCTGAAGCGCGAGCGCGTTTGGAGAGGGTGCTATGGACTGAACATTGGAGGAGGCTTGCTGTGATCGCGGAGTTAGCAAGGTGGTGGAACGAGGTGTTGGCTGGATCAGAGCGGCACAGTCCGCGCCTCTTATGTTTCGGACATGGGCCCAGTTTACGAGCTGCGGTCTATGAACAGGATTACATACCGAGGCACCAGGTCAACAGAACCAACGGCGGGACAGTGGGAGAGAGGGGCCAAAGGAGAACCGCAAAGGCGAGCAAAGAGTGGATATATGTCAGGCTCAATTGAATGGCGGGAGCTTGATTGCGGAAAGTCACAAATTGAAGAACGAGACACCGGCCGTGGCAGTGATACTTCTTGGAGAAGGACAATAGAATGGCTGCCAGAGCTAATGGATGATCTGGGTAATTTAGCCGGCCGCGTCAATGGTTACAGATGTTAAAACTACATCTCAGATTGGCGAATCATGTTGGTTGATGAGGGGAGGCCTTACCCGTTGACTTGAGCGGCGGTCCAGCCCCCACCCCTTAGCCCCCACCTGCATTACATGTGGGGCTGCAATACAGGGGCAGATTGCCAGCCTGGATCGCAGCCCGAGCTTACCCGCATCGGTCTGAATCGATCAATCTCACTTCAGTCAGCTTCGCAGTTTATGGATCGGTGCGAACCTCTTCTGTTAAGAATACGGGGTACTTCATCTGCTGAGTCGCGAAATGGGATGAACCATTGCCATCCGTACGCTGGGCGCAATTTCCCTATGGCAGAACGCCAAGCTGGACAATATCGCCATGGAGCAACAAACTCAGGTACCTACAGTACATATACCAGGTACATGTACGTTCTGGCTCCTCACCACCAGGCCGGTAGGGTCACGGTTGGTTGAGCGTGACCAAACTTGATTCCCTCAGTTCTTCACAAAAGAGTTCAACGGAGGCTTGCGGCTAAGTTGGGGACCTTCAACCCAGACGAATACAATACGTGCCTGGGCTAACGTGAGTCCTTGAGTTTGCGGAGGTCAGCGTTCCATAGCAGATGAGCAAATAAAGTTCTCAACCTCAAATCCTTTCTAGTTGCGTCCCTAGCCATAGTATGCGCATGAGTAATGGTTCGCCTGGACGACGCCATCGGTTCTCCTAATGGCAGTAGATTTCCTCCCTTGCTTGCAAAGCTCTACATGAGCATCCGGACACCATGTGACACGATTGTCATATTGTGCTCACGATCCGGTGACTTTATCCAACTCGACTTTCGAGGTCCTTCAACGTGCCGCATAACTCCACCTTCCCTCATCTCTGATGCCCAAAGTGGAGGTAGAGAACCGTCCGGGTAGCTTGGGAGGTGGGACTGGGAAAAGTTCCCGAATAGCTGTGCCACTAGGTCAAATTTCTCGGACCATACGAGGCTGAGCTATACCATAGATGCCGTTTCCTGGTGATAACAGGCCTATTTTATCCAAGTGGAACGAATAGCACAGCTGGTTACTATGAGGTTGTTCTCGTTTGAGGAGAATCGGGACAAAGTCGGCAACTCGGTATGAGCAGTTCATCTTCAAGCAGTTAGCCCTCAGTTGCCCAGCGGTGGGATTCCTGTCGACTGAACTCGGAGCCTCACCTGAAACAAGCCTCTAGAGACTGCCTGACCACTGGCCTGGCGTGGCCGTATGTCAACAGGCTCCACAAGCCGCTGTCCCTGGCACGAAGTAGTGAAGCGCCAGCCACGGCTATGCTCCGGCAAGCGGTACCAGACCTAAGGTAGCACAGATTGGTTGCGGGATGCTTCTCCGAGTAAGCCACTTCTCATCATCGTGGCGGCGCCGGCCGTCTCGTGCTCTCGGTCTGTGTGCGCTTCGACTCAAACGGAAATCTGTCCGAGAGGTTGGGGTTACCTCTGGCAGCCAGCCAAAACATGTGTTCAGGCTCCAGAGCACGCTGTTTCCCTTCTGCCGCGGTAGCGCCCTTCTTCCCGTCCTCTTCTTCCTCCTCATCTTCCTCTTCCTCATCCTCCTCCTCTTCCTCATCCTCCTCCTCTTCCTCATCGCTCTCCTCCAGGTTCTGTCTCAGCCCGGTCCGCACGTTCTGAATGCCCATTTCCTGCTCTTCGACCGTGTATTTCTTCTTGGCCTGCACCGTCACGTACTGCTGCAGCGACTGCTGAAAGGCGTCGCGCATGTCGGCCCACTGCTCGTTGAAGGGATCTGAGGGAACGTCGTTGTCCAGGTCCATGCCGTACGTGTCCTCCTCGTCGTAGTCGTGCTCGCCCCGCTCGCGCACGCCGACAGCGAGCTTGCTCAGGTCCAGCCCGGCAGCCCGCGCCGTCTCGCGGGCGTCTTCGACCCAGTTCTCGACATCGGGTTCGAGCTTCTTGCGCAGCAGCGAAAGGAGGATGTGCTCGTGGGTTCGGCCCGGGAAGTTTGTTGACGGGTGGATGGCGGCGCGCTGGAAGAGGTCCGAGTTCTCTGTCACGAGGGCATCGATGGATCGGATGTTTTGCTGGAGGATGGCGGCGGACGCTTGGAGTGATTCGCTGCGGAGGGCCGATGAACGAGAGGCACTGACACAGAAGTACCGGCTGTACTCACTAGGTGGGAAGAGGATTTGAATTCATGACGTGCGCCCTGAGACTTGTGAGGCTGTTAGTGAGCTGCGCGAAGCGGTTGCGCAAGAGCTCCAGCTGCTTTAGCTCCTCTGGCGACATATTGAGCGACGCCATAGTTACAGAGCGTTGCTTGACGTGTCAACTCGCTGATTCCGAGTGAAGTAGGCAACAGAGTAGCGACACGTCCGGTAGATTTGTAAGTGTTGAAATACGGAAGGTTGGTGAGGTTAGGCAGCAAGTGGTCTGGAGTTGAATTGATTGAAAATCTGACCCAAGGATGAGGGGCACTGGAAGCTTTCCAGGTTTGCTCTGGCATGTGCCAGCTGGATGGAATCGCCGGGTCAATACGCTAACCTTAGATAATGTAGGTCCGTACGGATCCGTATACTGTGGTACAGATGTAGTAAGGGGTCAAAAGTCTGTCACACCCCACATCAAAATCCCCCGCCATCGTAATTTAGGTCATCACAGCTATCAACATATCTCTATATAACGAAACCCCACCAACATTCCTAGTATAATAGATATTTACAGATAAAAGTCCTGGTTCTGGCCATCACTATTATGTGTACCAACACCTGGCTTTGTTGACTACGGCTAATCGCCGGGGCATTGAGTCAATGAGGCCGTCAATCTGGGCCTGGTCAATTGCCCACCAACATGCCCGAAGACATCGAGTAAACTCGGCCACATCTAGCTGGTTTTTCTTTGAGTAACCAGACGTCTGGATATAGCTGCTTCATCCTCCGTTTTAATATAGCCCACATATGCTCGATTGGATTGAGATCTGGGCTGTGGGCTGGCCAGTTAGGCAGGACCTCGATCATGTGGTTCATCAGCCACTCGATCGAGGATGCAGATGCATGTACTCGGGCATTATCCTGCTGGAAGTGCCGATTACCATTGTAAATTGGGAGAAGACCCTTTTTCAATGCCTGCTGACAACCCCAAGAGCTATATCCTCGTTTTTGCGGTGGTTGGTAGTCACGCTCCATGACAACAAGGTCGGTCCTCCCCCCTTTCCATATGCCACCCAAAATCATGATCGAAATCGTGCCATTACCGCGGCTCTGGAGGTTGACGAAGCTCTCATCCCATTTTCGAGAAGGGAACCGGAAGACCTCAGTTGTTGGGTGACTCGAATTGTTTTGGCAAGACGATTCGTCGGTGGAGATAGACTAGAGGTTGGTTAGCAAATCCAAGGTTGACTCCCAAGTCACTTACTCGGATCAAGATCTCGATATCCTTCAACCAAAGTCAAGCAAATTGATATCTATCCTTTGCTACTGCCTTCGTTTGTGCACGCCACTTGCGCATCCGATTATGGCGAAGAACCCGGTGTATCGTTGATCGGGAGATGCGGCCGTCCATGGTATTGATCAGCATCTGGGTTATAAGCTGGGAATACCGTTTAGCCAATTGTAGGATATACCGCTTGTCCCGGCGTGTAAGAACCTCTCGCCGGCCTGTTCGAGGCTTGGGACCAACAGTGGTGGAAGATTCGAACCGTTGAAGGATGCAGTAGACTGCGGTCCTGTCGATGCGAAACGCGCGGGCAACGGCCGACTGGCTAGCCCCGGCTGCAACGGCACCTACAATAGCTGCACGTGCAGTCGGCGATAGTTCCTGGCCAGGTTGACGGCCGGCTGTCAATTTGGCCCCGATATGGACCAAATTGACCATGGTGGGCTAAAGTTGGGATGCTTAGAAGATGGAAGATGGTGCGTGTCGTCCCGCGAAGCGCGTTTAGTTGAGGTGGCGTGTGACAGACTTCTAAACCCTGACTGTAATGATGTCTTGGCTCTCCCGTCACAGTTTCCAAGCTCATCAGGGAGTGGTCACTTCTTCATTCATGTTCAAGACCGCCGCGGTATGCATTGGTCATTGGTAAGCTCTAGCTAACCGCCAAGAGAGTATCATTTTTAAATCAACGAACGTTCTGCGCCGCGCTAATACTGATGCTTAAAGATAACTAGCTAATGTTGAATCCCATACCCGTAAATCATCGCAGAAACAGACCCGGAAGCCGAAAAACCGATACTGTCGGCCTCGCATGCGCGACTCTCCCCTCACAGCCCATGAGACCCAGCTTGGTCAGCAACAACGATGGACCCCGTCTCACGCCCAAACTCGTCCACAGCAGGGAAGCGCGCCCTGCGCTCCAGATCATCAAGCGGGATGTGTGAACGGATGTACCTGTCGCACCGTTAGCACCGAAACCCGCAAGGCCAAGTCCACGATGAAGAGAAGAACCAAAGAGCCACAACTTACTTCTCCCTCCCATCATCCACAGGGTCATAATCCCAACTGGTAAACTTCCCCTTGGTCAGGGCAGCCCACACGAGCCGCCTCTTGCGTTGCGAGAACAGCACCTGCTTGGTGATATCCTCAAAATCCCACCTCTCCCGCGCCTCCCTCTCAAATGCCTCGAACACGGCCCTGATCTTCTCGTCGGCCGTCACCGCCTCGCTCCGGACCAGGTCCGTGAGCTCGAGCGGGTCGGATTCCAGGTCGTACAGCTGCGATCCGTCGGCCGGGCACGTCACGTATTTCCATCTGCCGCGGCGGATCATCATGAGCGGCCGCACGGTGCCCTCGCCCGTATACTCGGCAAAGACCTCGTCGTGGCCGGCCTCCGGGCGGCCCTCGAGGTGCGGGAGCAGCGTCTTGCCGTCCATGGGCAGGAAGGGCGAGGGCTTGGTGCCGACCAGGTCGCACATGGTGGGCAGGATGTCAAGGGTCGAGACGTTAGAAGTGACGCGGTGCGGCGTAAATTGGGCTGGGTGTGAGATGAGCAGGGGCACGCGGACCGAGGACTCAAAGTAGTTCATCTTGTACCTGGGGGAGGGGTCAGTCTCGTAGTCCAGGCTGATAAGTGGGGACGACATGCTTACCAGAGCCCGCGCTCACCAAGCATGTCGCCATGGTCGCCGCTGAAGATGACGATGGTGTTATCGTCTAGCCGGCACCGTTTGAGCACATCGAGCAGCTTGCCAACGCAGTCGTCGACATAGCTGACCGCGCCATAGTAAGCCCGGCGCGCCCGCTTGATCTGGTCGTCGCTGAATTCCTGGTCCCATAGGTCGCAGACTTTGAGCAGCCGCTTGCTGTGCGGGTCCTGTTCCTCTTTAGGAATCTTGACCTTGGGCAACTCGATGTCGACACCCTCGTAGAGATCCCAGTACTTTTGCTCGATGGTGTACGGGTCGTGCGGGTGCGTCAAGGAGACCTTAGGCCAAGTCACCATGTCAGTCTACAGTTTCAGAACACCCACCATCAACCCCCACGAAAAACGTGCATGGTGTGCTTCAGGCCAACCGCCAATCATGCAACCCTGACGGGGCCGAGTTCCCCAAGATTTATCTTCCCCTTCCCCCCCAACTAGCGTGACTTACCGTCAAGCAAAACGGCCTGGCTTCGGGACCCTGCCGCACATGGTCATACAAAAACTGCGTCGACCGGTACATGACCTCCTCATCATAGTCCAGCTGGTTACTGCGCACACAGACGCCCGCCTGCAAGATGGAGCTGGCATTGTGGTACCACTCGAGCCGGGTGTCGGGCTCGTCCCAGTTGACAACCCAGCCGAAATCGCCCGGGTAGATGTCGCTGGTCAGGCGCGTCTCGTAGCCGTGCAGCTGGTCGCCGACAAAGTGCATCTTGCCCGCCAACACCGTGTGGTAGCCCCGGAGGCGCAGGTAGTGCGCGTACGTGGGGATGTCGCTCGAGATCTGGGTGGCGTTGTCGAAGGCGCCGATCTTCATGGGCAGCAGACCCGTGATCATGCTCATGCGGGACGGCGCGCAGAGCGGGGACGGGCAGTAGGCCGAGTCGAACTGGACGGACCGGGCTGCCAGGGTGTCCAGATTGGGCGTCTTGATCTGGGAGTCCGGGTTGTACATCTTGAGCAAGGGCGCGGCGAGCTGGTCGGCCATGATGTAGAGGATGTTGGGCTGCTTTTGGCCCGTGGTGACGGGCCCGCTGGCGAGGCCATTGCGGGTGAGGTTGACGGCTTTGCCCGGTAGCGGCGAGGGAGGGAGTGAGTTGAGGTCCGGCGCCATTGGTGTGCGTATGTTTCTCTTTTTGCCTAGCAAGTGTAATGGGGGGTGAGGATATCGTGTCCCTACGAGGCGAATCGTGTGCTTCAGCCCTATGCAAGCAGGAACAGGAATCCGCGGAAACCTTGCAGTAGCTGACTGGGGAAAGCCTTATGTATGCCAAGAACACCAATTACCACGTTCGGTAAAAGTGATGGTGTAAGTGCACACAATGGGATCAATGGGATGGAGTCATAAGGTGGCACCCGTTCCTAGCCTCCAGAAACCACAAGTCGACGTGAAAGTGATGAGTGTGAAGGAAACAGGTGACCCCCCACGATATTCTTTTGGCCGTTGGGTGTATAAACGGTGTGGAATGGGGGAGCTGGGATGACGCCTGAGCACGCAATGTGTTTGACGCAATATGGCGAGCTCGTGAGATGGCGCCATCAAAGGAGCGGGATGGAAACACCGCCAGAAGGGGCCAGTCCATTTATTAAACATTCACCCCATGGCCCGAACTGTTATCGGGTAAACCCCAGGAATGCTGTCAGGGTCTAACCATGGGGTCAGAAATGGCGTTGTCTTGGCATCACGAGGGACCTTTGGGACGAGGGGCCACGGTGATGATCTTTCACCAAAATTCAGGTTCGTTGATCTTCAAAGGAGCTCTCCCGTAGCCGTTCACATTGTGTACCACACGCCCTGGTTATGCCTATGATATTTCCATTAACTCGAGCAAAGTTCAGCTCGAAGTAGGTATCTCCCATCACATGCGGCCTCACCGCTTCTCGCCGCTTGCGCCCCTTATCAACGCACACCAGGATGGGGACCTGACATTTTTTTTCGACTTGCACATGCAGGAGAATCATTGTGGGGAAAACACGGGCCCCCACAGCAAATGGGGAAGCTTGAATTGGGGCCAAAAGTCTTAAGACGGGGCTTTGTGCAGTCGATCTCCGAGACTTCCTCATGAGAATACTGCCACCGGTCTCTCAGAGGGCGCCCGAGACTGCAGGGAGCCGCAAAGAATCGGGATGAAAGAGATGTGTTTTGTTGCAACCAAACTCTGGCTGATTCATGGAGGTGGAGCTCTGCAAAATGGACCACATGACCCTTGACATCGAAAGTCGTCGAAGGGTGTCGATCAAGGAGCGATAGCGAGTGGACGATGTGGCAGGGGAGGCCGATCACCGGACGGGAGAACCGTCCAAACACCCAGCGCGGAGCAAAGGGTGGCATTAGTGTGAAATTGACAACTCGAAAACACCACGCCAGCTGGCGCGAACAACTGAAGCATGATGATCCAATACAAGACCGATTTGCTATCCTCGGCGACGGGTCGTCGGCCCTTTTTTTGGTGTTGCAGTCGTCGTGGCAGATGAAGACGCCGCTTGAACCGGAGCCTCCTTCTGCTTGCCCTTCGCCTTGGCCGACGGGGCGTTCCAGTAGTAGACCATCTGCAGCGCCAGAACCAGGTTGAGCGCGAACCCAGCGACGAATCCATACAGGATCAGCTTGTCGTCCACCTCTTGCAGGGTTGTGAAGATACGCGTGAGCGAGCCAAGGAGGTAGTTGAAGACCTGCACAGAAAATCTCGTTAGCACCGTATGGAACAGCCAAACGACCGGATATCAGCCATATCTCACCGTATACGCGCTCAACTGCCCCGTGCCGCCCTGCTGCCAGATCGCCAGAATCTGCGGCACCTTGCTCGCGACGCCAAGCGCGCCCGCTCCAGCCTGCAGGTACCGCAGCTTCTGCATATCCAGAATGCTCTCGCTGAACAGCGTCACGATGCTGGACGCGAGCGCGGCGACGAACAAGGCCGCCATGCTGGCGCGGCCGCTGTAGTTGAGCACGAGCACCGTGATGATAACATTCTGGCCCAGCACGAGCGCCGTCTCGCCGTAGGTGCTGAAGGGGAACGCGTTGCGGACGTTGTAGGCGAGCGAGATGAGGTAGCTGCTGGTCTCGAGCAGGTACGAGAGGAACGAGACGCCGTCGGCCGACTGCGACCGCACGAGTTTGACGATCTGCGGCACCTTGACGACCGAGGACGCGCCGACGATGCCGATGCCGAGCGCCTTGCTGATGGCCAGCTTGAGGCAGGCCGTGTTCTCGAGGTCGACGTCGAGCAGCAGCGTCTTGTAGCACGTATCGCCGATGATGGACTCGCCGAGGTCGCGGATCGGTCCGGGCAAATTGTGCGTGATGGGTTGTATCGCCGAGCGGAGCGCGTCCATCTTTACGGTCGTTACGTCGACAAACGTGCTGCTTTTGACAGTGAGACCTTCGTGTTTGGAATTTTCGGTATGCGTGGCAAGAATGGATAAGGCCCTAGACGTCATTGATTGAAGCTCAGGGGTGCCCCACTTGGACCCTGAAACTTGTGAGCCGGGGCACTGGGCCTGGGCCTGGCAACCCTGGAGATCACGTCAGAGAAGAATGTTGGTGCCCCTTTACCGGGATATGATCTGAGGTGTGGTTGCTGTGCCTAGTAGAGCAATGAATAGTGCAAGGTCAAGTGCAACTCGTAGCGAAATAATATCTTAAGATAATCAAACTGGCTGTTGCGAATAGTAGGAGCATAGCTTCGAGTCACCTTGTCAGTAATTTCACGCGCCGGGACATTAAACATAGCGATGGAATCATGAGATCATGCAGATACCTATGCCATAGCCGCTATGTTACAAGTACAGTCCCCTTGTGAGCACCTCCCGAGCCCCGGCCTGCCGCGTATAGCCCCTTTCTCCTGGACTGCTAGACCAGTGAGGGGCCCTAGAAGCGAGTAATCAAGACTGACAGTAGCGTCCCATGTATTAGCAGAGTGCTCGACCAGATCGATGGTTCCCGGTTCCTCCATTGTTACTCCTTTTTCGCGCAACTAGAAAGGAAAGCTCCAGTCAAAATTCCGCCAAACCTGTGACGCATAGAGCTAGAGAACTGCACGACCGAAAAGTAGAAAGGAAAACGAGCCAATGCTACCCGGTTGGGCCCTTAAACCCGAGCTCTCCTCCTCCTCCCAGGCCGCCCAGGACGCCCAGGAGGCTTCTTAGCAGCCCTGACGGCCTTGACAGCCTTGGGCTTCCTCCCACGCGTCGCGTTCTTCTCCTCCGAACCAGCAGCGGACTCGGATTTCTTGGCAGCGGTCCTCTTCGCCGCCTCGGCCGCCGCCTCCTTCTTCTTCTTGGCGTCGAACTTGCGCACGAGGTCGAGCGAGCCCATGAGGTTCTTCTTGGGCTCCCACGTATTGTCGCTCGCCGGGTAATACTTCCACTTGACCAGGTACATGTGCTCCATGGTGTCGACGTCGATGGCCGAGTCCACGATGTCCTCGACCTCGAATTCGTCCGCAGCGAGAGTGCCGTTGGTCGAAGCCTTGGGAACACGCCCTGCCCTCTTGGCGGGCTTCGCGGCAGTCTGGGTTGTTGGGTTAGAGTCATTCATGTGCACCATACGTATCTGGATATCTTGCTGCAAATACTTACAGTGATGGACTTGGGGCGACCGCGGGTTGACTTATTCGCGGCCTTGGCGGCGAGACGCGCACTGGCGGAAGTAGTCGCGGGACGGCCGGGACGTCCGCGCTTCTTCGCCGGGGTGGGTCCGGCCTCGTTCTCTTCTGGCTCGGCCTCGGCGTCGGCAGCCTTGCGCTTGCCGGTGCTACGGCCCGCGCTCTGGGGCGCCGCGGTGCTCTTGGTTGAGCGGGACGTTTTGGATGCGACTGACTTGGCGGGTGTTGCCGAGGTGGAGAGGGACGGTCTGCCACGCTTCTTGATGGATGACGGCGGAACGGATACGGCCAAGTTGGCCTCGGCCTCGACCTCGGCTTGCAGCTCCATGTCGGCTTCGGGAATGCCCAACGCAATTTCGTTCACGCCAACCTCATCGTCCAGCGTGACAACGGTTTGACCTGCAACCTCAGCGACTGGCGATTCAGGTTCCACGGAGCTATAAAATTGCATGTTAGCGACGCTGTAGATTTTGGTGATACTGCAGCGCAGCGCATTCAGACTTAACCCGCAGTGTCTAATGCAGAAATCAGGCGAAAAGGAATAGTGTAAGGAGAGAAAGAATCCTGCGGATATTGAAGGCCTGTGATCGTAGGCGCTACTGGCGCAAACTCGTTGCGAAACAGAAACGTACGCCGTGTGTAGCTACTTACTTTAGGAGGTCGCTCTGAACCAGATTCAGAGGAGGGTCAATCTCCATCTCCGGAAGAAAACCCTCGCCGAACGGCATCTTGAACGTGCTTGAGCAGCAACAACAAAGAGCGTTGACGGATGGGTGATAATGTGTGCCGGTTCAACCGCGCGCAAGAAGGTTCGCTACACGACTGGTGGGCTTTTCGGGGAGCGTGTTGCAGGGACGCTATGTTGCGCGTTAGATTTGAACTCAACATCAAAACTAATACAAATGTGCTAGTTGCTCAATTTCTCACCTCTGTCGAAAAGCGATATCTCTCGGGCTTTTTGATGCATAAGAGGTGAGATTGAACGCGTTGTCGACCGGGGAGAGACCGATGATGTGAACACTGGGTTCGGGTTGGAAACGGCAAATATCCCGTAATATCATTACCAGACTAACGTTAACGTTATAACTTACTGGGGATAAGTTGTATTGGCTAAAATTCAAGGTAGGGTTAGGGTTCTATTGCTTGCCCCAGGCAGTTCGTTGCACCTTCCTCAGTTCCGTTCAGTCACGGCAGAGGTTTGCAAAATTCATTGTTTATCTGTTAAGATCAACAATCTTTAGAATGACACTCAATACGTACTTGTGATATATTAAGATTACCTAAAATTATGTATTAAGTCTCGAGAATGCTCTATCCTTACGCAGTAGTATTGTCTGTCTTGACATGATACCTGGCGATGGCCCTGCCGAGGTCGCAAAGGCCGGAACAGTTATGCCGACCTAGAGAAACCCTTCAAAGTAGGGATATTCAGGATCGGATCGAGTCAGAAACGAGTTAATGAATTGGATAATCCCTAAGCTCTAAACGCGGAGGACAAAGTTCAGCCAGCTGGACTAACCCCATACTTCGCAACTCGGCCTAATCCACATCTTCCGCAAGCTCGTCATCGTCAGGCAACTCTTCGAACCTCCCCTCCCGGACAGCCGTCGCAACTGGATTCTCCACTGACACCACGCCTGTCTGCCTCAGCCTGTCAATCCATCGTCAGCAGGCAAGCACGAACGAAGAGGGTCAAGCCAGCGGTAAAGCCCAAACTTACCGCTCAAACAAAATAAACAGCCTCTCGGCCTCCCTCTCCTTCTCCTCGTCCGTCATCTCCGGGAAGTCAGGGAACCTCTCCTCATCCAAAAACTGCCCTGTAATCGGATTCACCGGCCTTCTCCTCGCCGCCTCACTCGACGACCCTTCCCCACCACCATTACCGCCCTCCACAGCCCCCGCCGGAATTGGAATCTGATTATCAAACAAGAACCCGGACGCGTACCCGTACCCAACATTCTCGATAAACTGGCCCGCGTCCTTGCCCGACAGGTCAAAGTACAGGTGGGCGACGGCGCTGCGGAACTGGGGCGCCAGCGGGTTGGTCCAGTTGCGCAGCAGGCGCGAGGGTAGCGTGTCGGTGCGGCCGAGAACTTTCTTGCGGTCCTCTTCGGTGGGGAGCAGGGTCGTGCGGATGAAGGACCGGACCGTGTCGGTACCATCGGTGCCGGTGTCCTTGTCGTTTTTCGCGTGCTCGTAGACCACAGAGAGGGAGCAGATTAGTGGGGTGACGGATTGGTCGAGGCTGGTGTCGGTGTAGGACTTCATGGAGAGGTCGAGGAGTTGGATGAGGCGGTTGGCGACGCGGGTGGGTTCGGTTGGGGGGTAGATGGATGATTGGGCGGTTGGTGTGGTGAGGTCGAGGTTGAGGAGGGTGTTGATGAGGAGGCCAAAAACGGGCTCAAGGGGTGTTTTGAATTGAGGTAGGACATGGTTGCAAAGAATCGTTGTGATGTGGGGGAGCGTTGTGTCGAAGGAGTTGATGTGAGCTTTGGCGAAGTTGGTGACATTGAAGAGCAGTTTCAGAGTTTCAGCCAGGGCCATCTCCTCCATCGGGTCCGAATTGGCCGTGTTGCCTGACGGCGAAGAAAATCGAGCCGCATGTCTTGAAAGGTTCTGTGTGATGGAATCGGCCAGCTGGTGATGGCTTATGAGTGCTGGAAGGTCAATCTTGGTGTCGTAGGTGGTGAGAAGGAGAAGCCTGGACGCAAGAAACTCGTCGTCCCGACTGTCGTTCTTGAGTTTGATGCAGGCCTTAGCTTCATACCCTAGGTCTACGAATAGCTGTCGCGTTTCAGGCTTCAAGAACAGGGAATTGCAGAGAATTCTCATAGCATTTCGGGATGTGGTGTCTGATGGGCTGTCGAAGGCAAGCTTGGACAGGGTTTCAATACCCTATAATATGTGTTTGACTTTGTTAGAGCCGGATCAAGCAGTGAGATGCTCAGTCCTGTGACCTACCTCCTTGGAGAAGATAGGGTCTGCATAGCTGGGATCGCGGCCGTACACCTTTAGCTCCTCAAGAAAATTATCACGCTCTGTCTCAAGCTCAGCAAATCTCTCCCCCTGGTCACAGCGACACTTGGCGTCACGAAGACAGACCTTGGGGTCGGAGACTGGCAGATACGAGGTCTTCAGCTAGTTTATTCAGGAGGTCCTTGACCGCGCTCAGCTTGCCTTGTGAGGCTGTTAGCTATCCCCTCCAGACATGGGCAATCGAGAGTGGCGATCTGCTAAGCACATACCAGGACCAGCGAGGCTCCCTAATGAAGTCGGTTGGGGCGGTTGGGCCATATCGGCTGAAGTTGAAACGGCAAGAGATGTGACCTCCTCACCCTTAGGGTGAGCTTGTGATGCAGTGCAAGCAAGTGGCGTTCACTGAAAGAGGAGGTTGTTGAGATTCAAATGGCCCCACCCAAGTCAAGCTCCGTACAGATGAACATCGCACAGCGGGGTCCCATACCCTGGGTGCAAAAGTGTCTCTTAAGGTAATCATAGATGAATTCTGGAGCACTGTTGAACCCTTGCTCCGCGATGCCTGCGGTGAATAATCGTGCAGTCTTTGGGAACTCACTTTTTCATCTTGATTCTATTTCAATGCCGCCACGTTGTCGTCTGTGGAGGGTCGGGTTCGTCACGAAGCGCTTGAAGCTGATGCCTGTCATGCAGCTTGGGGAGTGCGGAACAGGAGCGGCCTCCTCGCCGATCTATCATAGTACTCCGTACCACCTCAACTTCCAAATGCAAAAACATACATAGAACTCAAAGAGGTTTGAAAGCAAAATGATAATTCAAAATGCCCTCTTCATACCTCATGGTTGAGCAGACTCGAAGCAGATTGGATTCAACAGTGAAGAATCAGGCGCTTTGCCAAACTGAGTCGGGTATGGGACGGGAGTGGAGTCCAGCTCAGAACCCTTGGTTTTGAGGAGCCGGGGTCAAAAGCCAGGGGATGAGGTGGGTCTTTGACAAAGTGATGCGCGGAACAGACGCGCCTTCCGTTCGCCGTTCACGCGACCGCGTCAAAGTCCTCAATGGCCTGGTGTCCCTTGCAGCCTGTTCATGTTCCAATCCATCCTCCCATCCGCTGCTGGGACGTCGTGGCAGGACACCGATTCTTTTTTCTGGTTTACGGTGCTGCTCCTTGTCTGAGCTTTTGACTTCCCTTTTCTACTTTGTTTTTTTTGGTTCCTAGGAGTTCTTGTTCCAATGCAACTGCAGCACTGTCGATCCAGGTGACACTCTGCTGCTCTTGGGACGCAGCCAACCTCGTCCTCCCAGCAAGGCAGAATGTCATCTCCAGCTGTGCTCTCCAATTTCCTAGGTTCTCTTCCACCAAGGCCGCCGACCCCACCGCGAGAAGCACACCATGAGGCTGCAGTTCCGATTAAACCTTCGCTGGGCTCCATCGATACCCAACTGAGTCTGCACACTCCACCCGGACACTCACCCGCCTCCTCCATCACGACCTCGACCTCGCACCGGATTCGGAAGAAGGTTGGGTTTTCGGCCGAGGCCGAGTACAAGGACCCGCCTGTGTACGTTGACGGCGAGGGAGTGAGGCAGCACCCCACCCCCGTGTCCTTGTCTCGGAGCGCGTCGAAGCCCGTCAAGTCAATCCTCAAAGTCACCGCCAACGCCCCCAACCTCCTCGACCCCACGGCTGGGAGTGACTGCGACCCTTCAAACCTCCAAGTCAACTTGGCCGCCATGTTGGAATCCACGCTCCAGCAGCTCGCCGGCGGCGACCGCGACTCCAAACTGGACGCCTACCTGATGCTCACCCGGGCATGGAAAGCGTCCAACAATTTGCCCGACCGCGTGGCTCTACAGGAGAAGATGACTCTCTTCACCCAGTTTATGCAACGGGATATCGTGGCCAAGTCACCCGAAGGCACCCTCGACACCTCCCTCGTCAACCATGCCCTGAACCTGCTCAACACCTTCCTACACTTCCCGGCAATTGCCTCGACCATCTCGAACGACTTCGGCATCTTCCTAGTCGACCACTGCATCCGCTCTTTCGAAGACGCGTCTGTTCCGAAAGACACTGCCCGCAGGCTCATGCAGGCCATCTCGTTACAGAACTTCTCTTCGAAAGTCATGACTCCCGACAGAGTGGGGAGACTGGTTTCCTCGCTCCGCAACATCGAAGAACATCTGAAGGGGAAGAGCATTGTTTTGTCCCGAGTCTTGATCTACCGGAAACTGGTCCAGCAGGCCAGGCAACCCATGGTTTCCTATTCAGATTGGCTGCTCGACATGTTCACCGACATGCTGAGCAATGTGAAGGATATCCGATCGGCGGCTATCTCTTTGGGACTAGAAGCAGCCTTTAGTATCGGCCACGAAAAGTCGCTCTCCCGGAAGGTCATGGAGGTGCTCAATCTGTCGTACGAGGATAGGCGGTATATCGAGTACTATGAAGCGAAGCTCAACGCCATGGCGAAGAACAAGCACGAGTCAGCCGTTGTCCCAGAGATCTGGAGCATTGTCCTTCTTCTTCTCCGCATTCGACCGGAAAAGTGGGAGTTTGGCAAACGTTGGCTTCACATCATCCAGAACTGTTTCAACAGCACCGATTTTCCGACCAAGATCGCCGCAAACCATGCCTGGGGCCGTTTCGTCTATCTTATGCTCCTTGAATCTAAGGCATTGTCGGCGAAGAACATGTCCATCCTCACTTCCCCTCTCATAAGCCAGCTGCTCAGGCGAAAAGGATCCGGCAGGACCTCGGAGGAGTTGAGACAAACCGTGTTAGGGGGGATCTGCAACCTGTTCTACTACGCCTTCAAACCCAACACAAGTTATGACGTCCTAGACGGCTATTGGGACAGCAGCCTCGAGCATGTTCTCAGAAAGCTGCTCGAGCCGACGGCCGAGGCTGCCGAGGGCAACCTGTGCCAGGTTAGCGCCATTTTATCAGGTCTGTTCGACTGCACCACACCGCGGAGATGGAGAGTCGACCACATCGCGGAAACTTCAGTTGTGAGGCCCGACGAACTTCCTGCCATCGACCCAAAATGGCTCAGGCAGAATAGCAACCGGGTCTTTGCGGTGGTTGAGCCAATACTTGAGCAGGACTTCTTTGCGCTGGCCAAATTGGGTAGCGCCACACACAACCTTTGGCAGACTTTGGTTACTACAGTGGCCTCCGCCGCAGCCAAGGAGATCAAAGTGTCCAAGGACACTTCCCTCTTTGTTGCAGAGGCGCTGGCTGTGTTGCAGAAACTCTGGAGCCGTGGCTTAACGAACAAGGCGGATGCTACCGTCAGTTCGGCGGATTTTCTGCTGTCAGCTCGGGCGTACTTGGAGATCATGACCAGCTCCCTAGGCGTCCTCCCTTTTACAGAGAAGACTGGCAAACCCCACTCATGTGCCAGACCGCCTCTCTACACGCTCTTCTCCATGTTGTCAGCCCTCCCACCAGATGTTCCGGACGATGCATGTTTCGCCACGTTCTTTCGTGAAATTTTTGCCCCCTTTTTTGACTCTAAGGGAGACAAAGCAAGAATGGACCTCGCTCAGGACCTTATCTCAGTCATTCCAATGGACAATCCTCGGCCCTTTGGCGCTTGGGTGTTGGTGGCTGAGAATATCTTTTGCTGGCTTGAGCCAGGCCATCATAGCCACCAGTCAACTGCTTCAGCGGGTGAGACACCCGTTGGGCACGACTACCGCGATATCGTGAAGGTTCTCGAGCGCGGACTCAGGTCGACGCCCAACCTTCCATATGACGAGTGGGAAAGCTTGTTCCACGCGTGCGTCAAGCGAGTGCGCGAGGAAACCGGAGATGCAGGAGTGGCGATTGTGGTGATTGAGCCCTTGGCCAAGGTTTTGGCTGAGTTGTTCACCGCTCAAGACGGCGTTCAGAGGACACTTTTATGTGTCAGATATGTGGCCGAGTTGGTTTCTGTCGCAACCCAGCCGCGCGACAGACAAGCCGTTGATGCTGCTCGGAAACGACTCTGGGGCACGGTCCTGGCCGGTTCGCGCTCCTCATCCTTCGACACCTTCGACAACCTTTACAGACTCATCAACGAGGTTCTGGGTTTCTTGTACAACCACCTCAACCTTGTTCACCACGACGACGAGTTTGACTTCGTCAACCGGGATTTTACTACGGCGCACCTTTTCAAGGAGATTAGCGGCTTCTTCGATAGATGCAACAGTCACCTGCTTTTGAGAGCGATGGTCTCTGTGCAAGACGGTTGTCTCCCTTGGTTTGAAGACCAAGAACGACTGCTTGGCAGCGTTCCTAACCCTGTCCTTGCGGCTGTAAGTTCGATTGCTGTTCTTCGTTTACTTCTGAGGCTAACCACCGCCTAGACTAAATCGCTGTGGGACAAGCTCTCTCACCTGATCGCTAGTATCGAGCATCCTGAGCAGCATCTGCAATTCCTGGAGCGGTTCTTCTGCGCATCGTTTGCTTCATGCCATCGAGCTATGGTTAATGGCGCCATTTCCCTGTGGAACAGACTTTTCCAGAACGTTGGACACCTGGACTATCCGGAAGAGCTCCGAGCTGCACTGGAGAGATTGCAACTTCAAGCCGATATCATTTTGCCCGGGTTGGAGGTGTCGAGCGCCGAGTATCCTGCGCAGCAACCAGCATTCATTGAATCATTCGAGAACTTCAGCTTACCCCGGTTGCCTTCGACGCGATCCAGCAGTCGAATCGGGACGCCGAGACCAAGCTCGTCGCAAGCCAAGTCGCCCGCATCCACCAGGGCTTCCTGGAGGCATCTTGATCGATCCCCTCAGCGGAAGCCAGCCGCAGCCAACTGGCGCAACACGACCCCTCGACTCAGACATGACGACTCGCAGATTCAGTTCGCTGCGATTGAACCTTCCTCTGCCATGGGTAGTCTACTCGAGTCCCAGGTCTTGACGGAGCGGCAAAAGGAGATCCGTGACCGGCAGCGCGAGAACGCTGCTTTATTCCCTGAGATCCGGTCTAGTCCGGGTATAAAGTCTAAAGTATCCGGTCGACAAATGGAATCAGCCGGAACTCGAACTCGGCAAGACGCTACCCCTGAACCCGAGAGAGGGTTTGACGACTACATCTCGTCAACTCCGACTCCACGCCGTGGCCAAGTCGTTGTCATCCCCGAGCATGACCTGACGGATCCACCTTCATCGCCTCCGGAGCTTAGGGGAAATCCACTTGCAGCCGAGATAAGATCAAGGTCTGCTAGCCACAGTCTCATGGAAGAATGGCAGTTTTCTTCCTCACCAGTTTCAGGGTCGCCCAATCCGAACCGGCATGAGATTGTTCCCGACCCTTCGAGCAAACGTGGTTACGTCAACGTTGTGACTCTGCCCAGAGCTGAGGATGCTGGTTCCGAGGTTCCTAGCAGTCCGGCAAAGGCAGAAAGCAGAGCAGAGTCCCAGTCGGCCGTGGATGAGATAATCGAAGATAGTATGATCCTCGAGGTGGTGGAGGTGGCTCCAATCCCAGAACCGGCTGAGATTTCGAAGGAGATCCCGTCTACTCCGCGGCGATCCTCTCGGCTTTTCCAAGCCAGATCTCGGGAGACGCCGACTCCAAAGTCTGACGCCGAGGAGTTCGTGGACGCACCAACCAGTCCTCTGCCGCCTACTCCCAAGAAGACGGAGAGAGCTGCCAAGCCGGCCGAGTCATCAAAAGCGAGGCCACCATTCCACATCCCGACAGACAATACCTCGTTCGAGGTCAGCGATCTCGACGAAAAGAGTCTGATCAGGCTGGTAGTTGAGTTGGACTCGGTTAAGACTGACCGCTCAGAGTATTACCAGCCTTCACCTTCGGTGTCTCCTGAGGGCAAGGGGCAGGGGTCACCAGTCATCGACTGCATTGTGGTCGGGGACAGTCCGCAGAAACCGGTACCGCCAGCGCCACCTAGGTTGACCAGAACTAGCTCAGCGGCATCTGCCGTCTCGTCTAGCGCTGAACCAGAGGGTATCGCGACCTCGCAGTCAAAGACCCGTCCAGGGCGACAGAAGAGAAAACGGGCTTCGTCCAAGGCACAAGGGACCATCCCCAAGAAGAAGCGGCATGATTCGAGCCAGGACATAAGCGGAATCCCGGCGAGCCAGACAGCGACTGTTGACGATGTGGATGTCGAAGTTCATGCCTCTGCAGAGATGCCGGCCATCGCCGCGGAAGGCGAGCAGAAGGAGGGAAACCACGAGGAACGCATCCCTAGTTCTTCGGCCGAGCCCTCAAGTTTGGAAAACCAGAACCACGAGGACTGCTCGCAGTACTCTGTGGTCCCCGAGGCCGGAGACGTCATGGAAGTCGAAGAAGACGACCAAGGTGTGCAGTCCCAGATTGCTCTCGAACTCAATCACAGTTGCCTGCAAGAGGATGATAGAAGGCCAAACTCCGAAGAGAATCCCCTCGAGTCTCCACCCCAGGAGGAGGTAATGCAAGCCGATTCTCAACAACCCACCATTGATGGAGAAGCGGAAGAAGGAGCTGCCGACATTGCGGCAGGACCTGTCACGAGCCAAGAAGTAGCACCTGTGGCGAACCGGGTGCAGAAGATATTGAGCCTGTTTCGGGATGGACTTGATGAGCTGCGGCAGGCGGCGCTGTCGAGGCAGGAGGTCTATCAGATTGAGGACATGTTTATGGATATCAAGAGGGAGCTGTACGAGGCAGAACGGCGTGGGCGAGCATAGGCAGTTTCCTTTTAGCATGATTCACGGGGTTTCTTCCTGGGTCGGTTGGTGTTATCCGTACATGGTGTGATGGGTATAGGTATTGGTTGGCTCTTGTTCAAAATGGACTAGCATCGGCATAAGCTGTTGTTGAAGACGTGTAAGGTGTACTAGCAGGGCGCAATGGAGCATGACTGAGGCAATGGTCTTAGCGCTATTGGACAGCGAGTAAACTTCCTGAAGGAGGGGAGTTGGTGACTGCCTTTGACGAGGGATGTGCGATCGACGATGTCACATTCATGAAGGGAAAGAAGGGAGCTTGGACCATTTTATGAGGGCCAGACCTGATCTGTTTGAGGTCAGCGGTGCGTCAGTGACGGCACACGCAGCTGGCGTGTGTTTCAGGTTATGCACCTGACGGCACCGGGGACGAGACTGTGTTACAGGTCCGTCCAACACCCGACCCCGCCGTGGTTGGGTTGCCCCGCACTCGCGAAGCTTACAGCTAAGTTTGGCTCTGGCTTCTGTTGTCCTGCGCATGATGGTCATCGACGAGAGATCAAACTGAGCATTGTAGCGATCTTGACGATCAACTTTGCCACAAGGCTGCCTAGACTGTCTGTGCTGTCAGTCTATTCATTTGGGATAAATAGGAAGCAGGTTCTGCTTGGTATTTCCCTCGAGGTTTCTCTGTAAAAGCAACTGCGGTTGAAAGCATCGGGAAGCTCCCCGCCATCGTGAACTACCCCGCAGTTCCATCTTGGTACAGTATATTTCCACCAAACAACCAGCTGCTGTTCATCGCCTACTTCACCTTCCTCACTCACTACTCGGCAGACTTCAGTTTCACTTAGCTCTATCCATCGCATTCTCACCCAATCAACCGGCCAATTCAACCCTGAGACACACAAGAACAAGTGTTCTAAAAACCAAGCAACAAGATGGTCGAACGCGTCAACAAGCCCAAGCCCCCAACGCTCTCGTCGACGCCCGGCCTGCCCCCTCAGGCGACAGTGACCTTTTCCGACGACAACTCGCGCGTGGTAGCCGAGCTGCCTACGGGGGAGAGCGTCGAGGTGCTGCTCTACGGCGCCACCGTCATTAGCTGGAAGGACGCCTCGGGCAACGAGAAGCTCTGGCTGAGCGATGCCGCCAAGCTGGACGGCAGCAAGGCCGTCCGGGGCGGTATTCCTGTCGTTTTCCCGGTTTGTCTTACCACGTCTCCCACACATCATGCGTAGTTCATTTGCGGAAGTGAGAAGGTAGTTTGGTCATCTATACTGACAAATCACGGGTACAGGTCTTCGGCACGGCCCCAACGCACCCTCAAACCAAGGACCTTCCGCAGCATGGGTTCGCGCGCACCTCGCGCTGGGAGTTCCTGGGTAAGTCGACGTCCGAGTCGACGGCAGACAACAACACCTCGGCCAACAACGAGCCGACGGTGAAGCTCGACTTCGGGCTAAGCTCGGGCTCGCCGGGGCTCGACCCCCTAGCGCACGCCCACTGGCCGTTCCGGTTCAACCTGATCTACAGCGTGACGCTGAATCCATCGAGCCTCACCACGAGCATCGTAGCCACCAACGACGGCGCCGAGCCGTTTGAGTGCCAGGTGCTCATGCACACCTATCTGCGCGTCAACGTAACCCATCCCCTTCCACTCGCCCCTAGATTCAACCCACCTATTTCTCGCTAACAAAACACGCAGGACATCACCGCAATCGAAATTCACGGCCTCTCCAACGCGTCCTACACGGACAAAGTCGACGCCGGCGCAGCCAAGACCCAGACCACGACCCCGCTCACCATCACAGGCGAGACGGACCGCGTGTATGCACCCGTGGAAGAAGCCGTGACTGTCGCAGAACAAGGGCGGCCCAAGTACCGGGTCACGCGCGACAACCTGAGCAACGTGGTCGTGTGGAACCCGTGGACCGACAAGGCACAGAGCATCGCCGACTTTGAGCCCAAGGACGGCTTCAAAAAGATGCTGTGCGTCGAGCCTGGCGCGGTGGGGTCGTGGCAAGCTGTCGAAGCAGGGGACGCGTTCGAGGGGGCGCAAACTATCACGCTCTTGTGACTGACGGGTTGGGGGCAGGTGGGCAGTCGAGGGAAGTCTATCGGGAAGGGTGTTTTGTGATCATGGGGGTGAAGTTGGGAACCGATGATGAATGTGCTCAGTCATCTTAATCGGCTATGATGGTTGAAGGGGTGGGAACAAGCCTGCTAGCGTAAGTTGGATGGAAATCTGATAGAGCTGTTTGCATAGTTTCAGAAAGACTACTGTGGGAGGAGCTCCGAGTCCTTGGTTCACTGTCAAGAACCAAATCACTCGTTATGCCCCCGAACCAATCGTTGCTGGGCCAACAAGACCCTATATGATCCTAACGTCACATATCACCAGGGAGCTCATGATGAATTCTAGTACAAGTACACCACCTTTTGCCCAATCATTTCTGTTGCAACTAACAGTTTCTAGTATGTCTAAGTGGGCTTGGCTAACGCCACACAGAGCGATTGGAGACTGTAAGTCGACACCACTTGAGGGAGTGTATTTGGAGTTTAATAGTACTGAGTCTATGGCTCAAGGTGAAAGGGGTTATATTTATATATAGCTTCCTTTGATCGGCCGTGCCAGTTTCATTAGTGACTCGGGAGCTCGTGACCTCGTCCACGTTATTACACAGAAAAACAATCCACCTACAGTCCAACTCTGCTTTGTGCGTTAGCGTGGAACTTCGCGTGATAGGTATTATCCCTCATCGCGAGTGTGGAGAGGGGCGAGAGACTGTCGAACACCTTGTGATGTGGTGCTTGGCCCCACCGTTGACTCGAATATGGGAGAGAGCCGAGGTCAGAACACGAAGGGACTTTTATTCTGTCCTACAGGGAATCAGTCCCAAGGCTGCACGGCTAACGGAGAGGATCCTGGACTGGCTGATGGACTCGGGGAAACTGCCGATGTACAGTTTGGCCAGGAGGCTGGAGCTGGAGCTCGCAGTCTAATACCCTTTCCTTCGAAGGCCAAGAGGCCTTCCCACTTTGTATTTGCAGGATCACACACTGATCGTTTTCTTGATTGTCGATATGGGTTTTTCACTCGGCCCACGAGGGCGCGGTTTTCCTGTATAGTAAGTTGCTGAAGGTCCGGCACGCCCTGGGGCACAGCGGTGTAGGAATAATAATAATATATTCTTTCTTTTATTCTTTCTTTCTTTCTTCCCTCTTCCTCTATACCTTTGTCTTCCTCTTCTTCTTTTCTCTTTGTCTTTCTCTTTCTCTTTCTCTTCATCTTTCCTCCCCCTCTTATATTTTGTCCTTACGTCCCATATTTTCTCTTTCTTATTTTCTTACGTTCCTTTCTTTTATCCCATTTATGTCTAGTGCCCCGCCATATGCCACGCTAACAAACAAACTAGGGTTGGATATGTAGTTAGAAAAATGTTGCCTGTTTGTCCTATTCGATTGATTTTCAAAGCTGGGCCCCCTAACCAACTAGTTCGTTCCCGGAACTCCTCTCATACAGCTCGCAGGAACCCAATCGCGGTCGTTCAGGCGAGGACAGCTGCTTCTCAACGCTACATTGACCGCCGTCTCCAAGGACGGAGCACATAAGGTATAGGTCTTAGCAAAAGCCCATCAGAGATCAGACGGAAACCCAAGTCGGCCGAGTGCCCCGTCTCACTGCCTTCTATGTGTCTAGGCGCCTAAGTAGTTCTCATATGCCACGCGGGAGACTTTTTTCAGCCACCTCCAACTGGCTACGAGCTCCCCATCGGCTCTACCCGTAGTCTGGCATACCCGTTGGCCTCCAACGACGATGGGGACGCAGCACGCCGGACTGCCACTCGCGTCGAAGAGCGGAGTGGCCCTTGGTAGGTTGAGCCCCATGTAGACGCCGGTAGCAGTGGCGGCCGTCGCGAGATTGCTGCCAAAGCTGGTCGCGGTCATGATCGTGGTTACTGTGATTGTGCTTGTGACCATGGACGTGACGGTCGCCGGCACGGTTGCGCACGGTGCTATGGTTCAAGGTTGATTTATTTATTTATTTTCCTCGGTTGCATTTTTGTATAAGGTAGGTAAGGTAGTCTGGTGGATTGGCAGAACTTAGCAGGTGGTGGAGGCGCTGGAGGGTTCACGGATGGCTGTCTGCATTCGGTACCCCAAGGCTGGCCTCCCATGAGCAGGTCGAGGCCGTTTGTCCAGCAGAGTGTTGCTTCTGCCACGTCGGCATATGTGGCCACAGCCCGCGAGAAGCCAGATCTGGGCTTTTATGGTGTTTGGCTTTCGGTTACAACACAAAATTTGTTAGCTGAGGGTAAGGTGAACAACGGTGAACAACGATTGTTGATAATAGAGTAACTAGAGTTACTTGTCAAGAGGCAAACTTCAATGCGGACCAACGGAGGAGAGTGAGTGACTGAGGTCGAAGGAAGGCATTGCTTTATATGAGTGGTGCTCGAAGGCTCCGAAGCAACTCACGGGCTTTTAGAAGACACGGCTGCAGAAGTTCAGCAAGGCTGCTATCACATCTTGGGAACAGAGAGCTAAACCTCTGGCGTGAGGGACCCTCCAGGCCCCCGGAGGGCCAAGTTCCTCGATCGGCACACTCTGTCCGGCGGTAGTGACTTCTCTTATCTTTGACTTTCGTGTACTATGATTACCTGACAATTAGCTTGCATCAGGTTGAACTGCTAATCGTATCTCCTTCGAAGCACAAGCAGACGCGTGGAGATTCAAACAAATAGCGAATGATCTATTAGCTTGGCATGTTGCTGTCTTGGTTCTATTGAGCTGAGGCGCGCCTGTTTCCCAATCTCGTAGAGTCTGTGTTCGTGTTACTGGCTGCATACGTAGTTGAACGACTCGGAAGCGACCCGAACTTTGACGGCCCAATTTAGAGATCTGCGTCGGCGGTCGATGCAAGGCCGAACGCTGCAATTCTTCGCTAGCCGGTCGGGCCCTGCATCAACTGACTCTCCCGCGGAAAGCTACGGTAATCAACGGATGCAAGTATACAACAAATGATCCACTGGTTGGCACCTTCCTTGTCTTGAACGTATTGAGCTGAGAAACGCCCCGATCGTCGATCTTCTTTCGCTTATTGTTGAGTGGGGCTGCATGATTCAGCCATGTTGGTTAGATGGCCACATTCTTCGTCCCTACCTACGCGCGGCCCGCGCGGTAGCTGACTGGATCTCATCGATCTACGGAACTCGATCCTCGGGCGTCAAACCTGCTTGTTGAGTAGGACAGATCGGCGTCAAAGGCTGCAGTTGGAACCTGCAGATCCAAGACCTGAGGTTGATTCCCTTCAGCTGGACAGGACATGATTCCGAAGGGAGCGCCGTGCTGTGGCTGGCTAGCGGCTACGGCATCGTCGACATCACTCATTACTCGAGCAGAGCAAATGCTGCAGTGCCTTCCCCGGGGCTACGGGGTACGTTTGTACGCCGGGGTCGAGGACATTCATGACTGAAAAAATATATAAAGAAACCTGGAAGTGGCGGTTCGAGGTGTCACTGTCTCCGTTGACATGTCCACACAGCTCGACCATCATCCGTTTGTTTCTTTTAGCGACCAAATCGCGACAGCAATATGAAGTCCACATTAGGCTTGATAGTTTTGAGCTTCGTGGGCCTGACCATCAACGCTGGTGCACAGGGGGGCGGCACACAAAATCCTTTGGTGCAGTAAACGATTACGTCCTCAACGGTGCCGGATCCACTGGCAGCCGGAATCCGTTCCGGCGGCGGCACCGACTCGACAGACTCAACCGGCAACCAGAACCCGTTCGGCGGCGGCGGCACTGGCTCGACAGACTCATCCAGCAGCCAGAATCTATCCGGTGGCGGAGACGCAAACGTTGGTGGCAGCAACAATACACGCCTTGATGCACGAGGATGTCCGGCCACGCGAGCCGCGGCATCGACTGGTCAAGCGCTGTCCTATGCCAGCTCTCCGATCTGTCCGACGGGTAAGTCAGAAGAATTCTTTTATATCTCACCCACAATGCTTGACGGGCGATACGTTAACCGAGCATGACGATACTTTAAGTAGGTGACGGCAAGTTATATCAAAGCCCCGATGGCGATACACTCTACATCCAGTGCTGCACCCACGGGGCCCAGACGGTTATCAAGACCATCGTCACCACCAACGTTGGCGAATGTATGGATGAGTGCAGCAGGACGGACCGGTGTAGCAGCGTCCAGTTTGTGGCGCATGCTAATCCGCTGGTTCCGGGGGAGGCGTACTACACTTGTAAGCTGAGCGAGGACGGTGGCTACTCGGCCGAGACATGTGGCGCCGAGGACATTCACAGCTACGCCTTCGTTGTCGACCCCCCGGCCATTGACTCGTTGGACTCGGCGGGCGTCTTGTGCTCGACCGAGTGCCGGTTTACGCACGGCCAGCTGTATGTCACGTCCGTGGGCGAGTCTTTCCACATGGACTGCGGCCAGCGGCACGGCACGCAGGTCATCTTCTGCGACAGGCAGCCGTCGCTCAAGACGTGCATCGAGGCGTGCGGGCGGCTTCTGGCGTGCCAAAGCGTCGACTACGACGTCCATCGGCAGATTTGCTACTACGGAAAACACCAGGGCGAGCCTACCATTGAGGCGCGCGAGTTTGCGAGTGCCCACTCAATGGGCTGCGCCTGTGCGTGCTCCGCCTGCGGTGGCGGGGCGTTGTCCGACGGTGAATCTTGTGACATGTTCCTGCCCTCAAACAGTCTTCAGAGCTTCAGTTTGCTGATGAAGAAACCAGGACGTCGACCCGTCAGCGCCACAGCGCGACGACCGCCCGTTCCCGCAAGACGGCGCCATGTCCAACCCTGCACCGCCTCATAAGCTCTGCTCGGGGTTCAACGGCCAGGTCATAAAGGCTGGTGGTGCATGCTACCGGATGACGTGCAGGTCGGCGACGGGATGCCCCCCCGATGATGGCGTTCGCTACTTTGGCTCCAGCGCCGACCAGCAGAGGACGTTCGACGATTGTGCCAAGACCTGTGCAAATACTTCGGAATGCAACAGCTTCGACTTCCTTGAACACTGACTGTAAGCTCCTACCAGCTCCATGTCCCCTTTACCCCTCTCGCCTCTCGTTCGATCGTCTGGAAGTGGGCCAATGTCACCGTACAGTCACGCCTAATGCCCACGGCAAGGTGCATCCTTAGGCTGTGCAACCCAACCCCTAGCAATGTCGGTAACCATTTTTCGGGGTACAAGCTATAAGGAAGGCAAGCAACAGGTCTGACGGCATGCACACGTGAAGCCGACCGAGCTCGTAGCCCTACGTGTTGTTTACATTGGCTGCCCTGTGAAGCGGTGGAATCAGCGGGGACGGGAAGGCCTGCAATTCATGTAGGTAGTCCTGCCGGTGAATATTGCAAGTAGGCTTTATGCCATCCAATTGTGCATCCCATTGTGTCCTCACACTCGGTACCCAAGGGAGATAAAATCACGCATATCATACCAAGACCCCCAGAAACAGAGCTCAAGCCAACTCCTCCTCCCTCTCGCTACGATAGTGATCGGCAATCAAGAAGGCCAGTTCCAGCGCCTGCTTCTCGTTCAGCCGCGGGTCGCAGAAGCTGGTGTAGTTGGTCGACAGGTCATCCTCGTCCAGGCCCTCGCTCCCGCCGAGGCACTCGGTCACGGCATCGCCCGTGAGCTCGAGGTGCACACCCCCGAGGTAGCTGCCCTGCTCCTTGTGGATGCGCAGCGTCTGCTGCAGCTCGCTGAAGATGTCGCTGAATCGCCGCGTCTTAATCCCCCCGCTGACCGACTGCGTGTTGCCGTGCATCGGGTCGCACTGCCACACCACCGTGCGCGCGTACTCGCTGTCTTCGACGGCCCGGATATGTGCGGGAAGTAGGGACGCTACCTTGTCGGCGCCGTAGCGCGTGATGAGCGTGATCTTGCCCGGTTCCCGCGACGGGTTGAGCGTGCGCAGCAGCGCGAGCAGGTCTGATGTGGGCGTCGTCGGCCCAACCTTGACACCGAGCGGGTTGGCGATGCCCCGGAAGTACTCGACGTGCGCGTGGTCCAGCTGCCGGGTGCGGTCGCCGATCCAGAGAAAGTGGGCCGACGTGTTGTAATATGTCTTTTTGGGCCGCGAGGCGGGCGACGTCGGGTCGTCGAGCAGCCTGGTCAGCGGCTGCTCGTACTCGAGGAGCAAGCCCTCATGGCTGGTGAACAGGTCAACCGTGTGAAACTTGTCGCTCTCGGCGCCAATGGTGTGCATGAAGCTCCGCATGTCCTTGAGGAAGTTGACGGCCTTTTCGTACTTCGCCTTGAGCACCGGATCGCGCACGTGGCCGAGACCCCAGTCGAGGGGTTTGTCCAGATCGGCAATGCCAGAGGCGAGGGCTGCCCTGATGTAGTTCAGAGTGGCTGAGGAGTGATGGTAGGCCCTGGACAATTTCAGTCAGCGGGGGAAGCCCGAGGCGCAGAGGATAACATACCTGACTAGCCTGTCAGGGTCCAGCTCCCGCTCGTCCGGATGGAAGCCATTCAGGATGTCCCCCCTGAACGACGGCAGCTGGCGGCCGTTGACGGTCTCCATGGGACTCGACCGCGGCTTCGCGTACTGCCCGGCCATGCGGCCGATGCGCACAACCCGCTTGTTGGCGCCCCAGACAAGCACCAAGCTCATCTGCAGGAGTAGTTTGATCTTGGACTCGATGGCATTCTGCTCGCAGTAGTCGAACAGCTCGGCACAGTCACCGCCCTGGAGCAGAAAGGCCTTCCCCTGGGCGACATCCCGGAGGTGCTGCTTCAACTGAACAATCTCGCGCGGGTGGACGATGGGCGGCAGCCGGTTGAGCGCCAACACCGACTTCGCGAGGGCGGCCTTGTCTGGGTACTCCGGGCACTGCTTGATCGGCTTTGACCGCCACGAGTCGGGAGCCCACTCGGGCGCCTGTCCGTCGATGCTGGGGCCGCTCATGATGAGACTTCACCGATGTTGAAACCTTTCGAGGCACTCCAGTTCACGAAGTAATTCAGTCGGGGTCTTTCTTCGTCCCTGAGCAGGAGCCAAGCTGGAAAAGTCGGCGAACGAGGGGACAAGGTTGACCGTCAAATCCAGTCTCTTATTCAACCAGGCTTATTACGACGACGCCAGAGAGAGTTGTGGCCAGATTTCGACTCCTTCATTGTAACTGTGAGTCAAAGGTTTCAAGCAAACATTCAACAAGGCGTTATGAAAGAACCTGAAGCATGCATTGGCCAATGGAAAGGTTTCCCACCGGATCGAATCCAGCCTTTACTCTTCCTAGCCTAGCGCCAGCCGGAACTACCCCTCCCCCACGGTCAGCCAACAATCCTGAGATTTTACTACCCGTATGACGCCGTACGACCTTCAGCAGCTCACGCCGCGGGCAGTGGAGACATCCCGGAGACATTTCGCACTTGCAACACAAGGCACAGCTCCCCACTAGCTTCCGGCTGAACACCCAAGACGAAGAAGGCAAACCCACGTACGCCATGGCTGAAGACAGACAACCAGCCGACATTGTCGAGGGCGCCACCTCGGGCGACGTCGAGGACGAGGTGCAGCCTACGGCCAAGTCAGCCGAGGACCGCAAGGCCGCCGCGGCCCTCTCCAAGCTCGACACGCATGGCGCCGACGACGAGAGTGCCGGCCGCGAGGTCGACCAAGAGGCCGTCCAGAATGCCATGAATGCCTTGGGCGGTGTCGACAAGAAGGAGGCCAGCAAGACGGTCAAGGTGGATGCTGCGGATGTGAAGTTGCTGGTTCGTCACCTAGCTTCTGCGGCGATGGAAAAAAGGGTTATTTCGTTTGGGTTCGGTGCTAACGAGACCGATGATTAGGTGGACGAATTTGAGCTATCAAAACCCAAGGCGACCGAACTGCTCAAGGCGCACGACGGCGATGCGGTCAGGGCTATGAAAGCCTACTTACAGCCTAACTTCTAGACGACGCTGCAACCGAAGATCAACATGAAATAGCTTCGAACACGTGACTGATCCCCTTACAGCACATAATATGCCATGGGCCAAGCATCACGGCAGCAGGCGTTGGGGGTACGCCGCGAACTTGATGCAGCTACCGGCGTCTTCGCCGACTCTTGTACCGGGGCCCAAGTGACCCTTGGACGTAGTGCGAGGACTGTATGGTCGATGAATGCCCAATACTGGGCTGACCTGATCTGAGGGTTACATACTTGGCGCAGGGCTCGGAGACAAGACGATATCCAACGACTTCACTTGAGGTTGGGGGACTGTTGAAGGAGAAAGGAAACCCGGAATAGACCTGACTGGTCATCGAGATGGCAAGTCTCAAAGACACGACGGTTTGAATCTGCTCGCCCATATCACCGATCTTTGCTTCCCAATCAAGAGTCTTTAATCACAGCGAAGAGCATAACATGAGATAAGCATGTAACATTCGAGTTGGTATACAACAGGCCTAAACACACACAAAGGAAACGATGGCCGTCCAAAGAACACCACTTCGCTACCCAAAATACGCACCCATAAAAGCCCCGACTCTCTCAAACCGCCTGCTCCCCATCGAGCGTCGCCAGCGGTACATACCCCTCGCTCTTCTTCGTCCTCCCCACCAACCCGCCAACCGCCTCCCATACCCTCCCAAGCAACCCCCACCCCTTCCCCTTCCTCACCACACCCCCCTTCTCCTCCACCTCCGCCTCCACGTCATCCATCCACCTGGGCCTCTTCCAAAGCTTCAGGAACAAACTGCTCACCACCACACTGACACTACTGGCCGCCATCGCCGCGCCCGCCATCATGGGGTGTATGTGCCAACCAAGCGGCAAGAACACGCCCATGGCAAACGGCAATCCAATGGCATTGTACATGCACGCCCACGCAAGGTTCATCTTGATCCTCCTAAAGATAGTCCTCGCCAGGCTCAGCGCGGCGGGGATATCCATCAGATTGTTGGGGCGCATGAGCACGACATCGGCCGCCTCCATGGCGACGTCAGTGCCCGAGCTCATGGCGATGCCGACGTCGGCGGTCGCCAGGGCCGGGCTATCGTTGATGCCGTCGCCAACCATGGCCACGACGGCACCGGCGCCCTGCAGCTGCCGGATGATGGCCTGCTTCTGGTCCGGCGACACGCCCGCGTAGACGTCGTCGGGCTGGATGCCGACCGCCGAGGCCACGGCCAGCGCCGTGCTGCGCTGGTCGCCCGTCACCATGGCCGTGCGGACGCCGATGCGGTGGAGGACCATGATGGCGGCGCGGGCGCCCTCTTTGATGGTGTCAGAGAGGCAGAGGTGGCCTGCATAGGCGCCGTCGATGGCGATGAAGATGTTGGTTGTGCCGGCGTAGGATTTGGTGGAGCGGGCTGCGTTGACTTGTTCCGAGTCGTCGACGGCGGTTTGCGGCACGCTGATGCCGTTTTGCTCAAGGAAGAAGACGTTGCCAATCAGGACTTTGTAGCGGGCTCGCTCGGTGGCTGTTGCTGGTTCGACATATGCGCTGATACCCTTGCCTACGGCCGCCGAGAAGTCGCCAATGCTGCCTTCAAGCGTGGCCTCAGGTCCAAGGCCGACTTCTGTCTTTGCAGCGTTGAGAACTGCTTTGCCGATGGGGTGCTCGCTACCCATTTCAGCGAGGCCGACGATAGTCCACCACAATCGCCGGCGCCAGTCGGTGTCCTGCCAGGGCGAGGCGAGGGTGGCCTTGGCCACACTCATCTTTCCGTATGTGAGAGTGCCCGTCTTGTCAAGAACAACCTGGGTAATCTTCGTCATGGTTTCCAAAGCCGCTCCGCCTTTGACCAGAATGCCGTTCTCTGCGCCGACTCCAGTGCCGACCATGACAGCCGTGGGAGTGGCAAGACCAAGGGCGCAAGGGCATGCGAAAACAATGACGGAGATGCACAGCTGCACGCAAACCATGATCTTGCCGCCGCTCGCATCCTCCAAGAAGATCTTGGGCGGGTGCGGCAAAACATGGCTCAACACCATCCATACCAGGAAAGTCATGAGGCCCAGGAACAGAATCGTCGGGACAAAGTAGCCCGCCAGGATATCGGCCAGACGTTGAATAGGGGCGCGGTTTGTCTGTGCGTCCTGCACCAGCTTCACGATCTGACTGAGCTGGGTGTCGCGGCCAGCCCGCGTGACGCGGAAGTCGACCTTTCCATGACCATTGACGGTGCCACCGATGAGAAAGCTTCCCTTCGTCTTCTGAACTGGCATGGCCTCGCCGGTGACCATGCTCTCGTCCACATAGGTCTCCCCCCTGACCAGAACACCGTCTGCTGGGATCTTGTCTCCTGGTCGGAGAATTACAATGTCACCCACTTGGATGAGCTCGGTGGGGATCACCTTCTCCTCAGCAGCATTGCCGTCCAAGGGTTGCTTCGACTCGTCCTCGCTGGCCTCGCTCCATCCCTCCGCGGCTTTTTCAGCAGCGATCGGATCAGCGTAGATTGTAGCCATCGACGGAGCAAGGGACATCAGACGCGAAAGCGCCCTCGACGTCTGGCCCTTTGCGCGGTTCTCCAAGAACCGACCAAGGGTGATGAAGCTGATGAGCATCGTGCTCGTGTCGTAAATTGTGCTTGGCCTGGTATGAGGGGGAAACAGGAGAGAAACGAGCATGGCCATGATGCTGAAGAAGAACGCGCAGGACGTGCCGAGGACGACTAGGACATCCATGGTAGGAGAGCCGTGCTTGATTGACTTCCAGGCTGATTTGTAGAACCGCCGTCCTATACCGAACTGTACGGGTATCGTGAGAACCAGACAGATGATATCGCCGAGGTATATCCCGGGGATAAGTCTAATGGAGCCGAAATCTAAAGCAGGCAGGAACATGGGAATGATCATGCTGATGAGGAGGACGGGAACGGCAAAAGAAGCCGAAATTTGGAAAGCCCCCCTCCATTCATTGATTTCTCGGGTCTTCGCAAGCGATTCAAGTTGGGCGCTGTTGTCGTCGTTATCTGCAACCAAGGCGTTGAACCCGGCGCTTTCGACAGTCTCAACGATGGCTCGCAGACCTGTCACGTTGGGCAGATGGACTACCGTTAGCCGGGACGTGCTGAGTGCGATTCTTGCGCTGTTTACGCCTGGAAGTGTTTTCAACTCCTCTTCGAGCGACTTGGCGGCGACCGCGTCCAGTGCCCCATAGACCTTGAACTGCGCCGTCGATGTGCCACTGGCGTGGTCCACTGAGTCGAAGGTAGTCGAAAGAATCTTGGCATCGAACCCTCGGTTCTCGATTATCTCGATGATTTTGTCCGCCGGCAGTTTCGCAGGGTCGTGTGTGATGACTGCCCGTTCCGCCAGCAAGCTGATGTTGAAGCGTAGGACACCACTGACGGTTCTGAACCCTTCTTCAACGGCGGAGGTGCATGCCCCGCATGTCATCCCCTCGATCGCTACAGTGGTCGTGGCGGTCGACGCAGTCCGCATGCCTTCCGGCACCACCTTGGCCTCTGGCTCCTTTTCACTGCTCTCAACGACCTGAGCGTCGAAACCTCTGTCTTCAATGATCTCGCAAATGGCCTCGGCGGTCAAAAGCGACAGATCATGTTCGATGACGGCTCTTTCGGAGAGCAACGAGATGCTGAAGTGTTTGACCCCCGAAACATCCTTGAAACCCCCTTCCACCGCCGATGTGCATGCGCCACAGGTCATGCCCTGGATGGCAACCGTGGTAACCATCGTAGCTGGGCCATCGTCGGTGGAAACCGCGCCGAAGGAGGAGCAAGGTGCGACGGGCGAGGGGAGGTCTGTCGACAAGACTTCGGCGTCGAATCCGCGGTCTTCGATAATCTCTCGTATCCTATCGGCCGATATCCTTCGGGGATCGTGCATCACCAACGCCCGCTCCATGACCAGACTGACCGAGACGCTGCCAACTCCATCGACACCCTTGAAGCCTGCTTCAACAGCCGAGGTGCATGCGCCGCAACTAAGAGAGGTTAGGAGAGTCAAAGCGCAAGCGTGCGACTGCAACTCACGTCATTCCCTCCACCTTGAGGGTCGTAGTCGCCATGTGCGCCGTTGGCGCCGCGAGCGATGCGCCGTCCCTCGACGGGACTTGGATTGGCGCGGGCGCCATGTTGAGAGACGCCCTCCGTTGTGACCACTTCTAAAACCCAAGCACGACAAAGTCTGGGCTGGACCGGAGCACGATTGCAACGTATCACGTGAAGACACTCGGGATGGCTCGATCGGCCGGGAACAGCCGCTATAACATTTGAAAGTGCTGGTTCGCAAGGATGGCGTAACCGGAATCTTTGAGAAAAGCGAAACGAAAACAGGCCAACTTCCAGCGTTGGCAGGCTGCTGGGTGCAATTAAACAATAATGGGGGGCAAAGAAAGGTCCGAAAGATGCCAGATAGGGAATATCTGGGAGCTTGGCTGCGGCAGCGACGGAACGAGTTTTGTCAGCCTGTTCCGGCTTAGGCCATCTTGTCAGGAGCCTGGCGGATGGCGAGATGGTGGGGGTGTACAGTGCAACGGACTGTGCATCGAGGGAAACGCCAAACTGTCGACGGCACGGATACTTAGGAGAGTGGCTTTGCACTCTTTTCAAGTGACATGTCTATTTCTCACGACTTTGCTTCGACTCTATGCAGATAAGGCTTGGATTACTCAGAGCACACACTTCCTGATTGTGGATTTGACTAAGGTGCAGTGTCTGGCCTTGACATGAGGAAGTCCCAACTTTTGATTCGGAATCCGAAAGGAGCTCTGCTCCGACTCTCCAGCTTCTTCTCCGGTCGCGAAATCTGTTACTCTGTCGGCAAGACACAACCCTCAAGATGGTCGCCAAGTATTGGGTATTCTGCCCTCCAGTACCAGAAAAGGAGCGGGTGATGGTTCCATTGGCTTTTTAACTGGCTAGGTAGTGTTCCCTGCCCAATACCGGAATAAGCAGCCAATCTATCTCGTATTTTAGTGTGCGAGTGGTCACACACAACTCGCTGATTTTACGGCAATGAGAGTCCAATAGTCTAGTTAACTGCATTGTCACCCGCCTTGGCGGCTCCCGTCCCGCGAATTATTGACAAACTGCAGAGCATGCGTCAGACGGGAAATGCACATCCCGGAGAAACGCACTGTATGCTCCTCCTGAAACGATTCTCCAGCTTTGTTCCTGGTCTGCGCTAAAAATTAAAACGTGGGCCAAGGTAGAGTTGTATTTCGGATGGCCGAGAAGGAGGTCCAATCCGAGTAGCGGATCCCAGGCGAAGAAGAAGGGTCTCGGTTAACGTCAAACAATCCTGAAGCAGGTCAACGAGGCAAAACACCCTATAGCTTTATTCTGAGCCGAAGGGTGGCCAAAGCTGATCGTTTCCTCATCGGGCAGTGCGCTTGGCATTGTCGATCCTTTTGGGACATCTCGCGATCGCCATGGTGCTGGTATCGCTAAGCATGCGGGGGTACAATTCAAGACCCCCCATTCCTGGTAGCGCGCCACATAACAAACCGCTGGAGGTAGGTCAGGTCCATGTGTATAAAGTACTGTACTTACACAAATGAGGGGATCGGAAAATCGAGCGGGGAAAAGAGAAAGACGACAATGAGTAAAAGAAAAGAAAGAAGAAGGAGAGCAGAAAGGCTTGATAAGCATGAAAAGAGCTCGCAGCCCAGAAGTCCTCATGAGTGCCCTTAAGTTACAGTACATACACGTGTACTCTACATCCGCTGCTAGCAAGCAAACTTGGGCCAGATGTACAAGTACCACCATCACTCTGTGCAGCTTCAGCCTTACCATAGCTCGCCTTCCCCACCAACCATCAGCAACAAGGCTGCAGCCTAAACAGCGACAAACCACAAAGCCTGGGATTTCAGACCCTGGCAAGAGTTTCTCTCATCTTCATTCCGAAACTTGAATTGGATGTATTGTACAAGCTGGGATCGACTGGACTGAACATAGGAAAACATGGAGCAGACCAAAGCGCTTAATGCTCTCGAGGTGCGTCATCATTGCCGTTTTCCCCTCGTTGTGCCGTCCACAGTCCCTTACACACCCAGAGATTTGGCATACGAATAGTGACTGATGTCTTTCATAGCCTTTTCTAGCTCTGAGCAAATCAGCCACGTCCCCGCGTGCTGCCGCCGACCTGATCGTGCGAGTGACTTCGGCGCCGAATACCTACATCTTCACTGAGCTGCTTCAGACCCCACAGATCCAGGCGCTCGCCTCGTCTGACGAGTTCGCGCCGTACCTGACCCTCCTCCAAATCTTCAGCTATGGCACCTACTCCTCCTACACCTCGACCGCCGGTCTGCCCAAGCTCAACGATGCGCAGCGTCTCAAGCTCCGCCAGCTCTCACTCCTGACCCTCGCCAAGAAACACAGCAACAATCCGCCGTCCCCGTCCCTCGACTACGCTTCCCTCCAAAAGGCCCTCGACCTCCCCAGCCGTCAAGCCCTCGAAGAGCTCGTAATCAGCGCCATCTACGCCGGCCTGCTCAAAGGGCAGCTCAACCCGAAGGACTCCCTGGTGCAGATCAACAGCGTCTCCCCGCTGCGGGACGTCGCGCCGACTGCCATCAGCGGCCTCCTCGCGAGCCTGCAAGCCTGGGCCGGGCGGTGCGAGGCGACGCTGTCATCCCTCTCGTGCCAGATGACGCAGCTGCGAGCCGACGTCGACCGGCGCGCGGCGCGGGCCGCCGCCCGCACACAAGAGACACACAAGCTGATGGAGAACGAGCAAAAGGGTGGGCTGCCCCTTACCTCCCCCGCATCTGCAACACATCCTGCCGCTGCTGCTGCCGCCGCGTACCCCTCCACCGCCGAGCTAGGTGCTCCTCAATCCTACCGCGGCTGCGGCATCTTTGCACCGGTCCACAGCCCGACATATTCGCTCCGGGGCGGCGGCAGTAGCGGCCATACCGACAACACCACATCCACCACCACGGACAACGAGATGGACAGCGTGCTGACGGTTGGCGGCACCAACAGTTTACTCCCAAATGGCGGGCCAATCGCAAACACCGGCTCAGCCGGCCCGGCGGACCTCCAAGTGACATCGGCCGTCAAGGGCCGCACGGGGGATCCGGAGGACGGCGGTGCGGATGGCGACAGTGAGAATGGAGTGAGTATGGATGTGGATTGTGAAGGGAGGGGTCCGGATGGGAAGAACCGGGCGAGTAAGCGGAAGTTGGAGGCCTAAGTGCACACAAGACCCGGTGAGGAGGGTCTGCAAGGGGTCATCATGTATACCCCGTCAAAATAAATTGATGAATGCCTGTATCGATGGCGATGAGACATTCACAAGATAGGTCGCTCTGATCGGTCAAAGAAGACCAGGATGAAGTCCAGCGCAGTTAGCTCCGTTGGGATGCAATCCCTCTAGCTCAAGTACTGAATGGCCCACGACACGGGGGTATTTGGTATCGTACATCGGCGGTGAGTGCAATGAAAAGCCAGGACGGAAAAACAGACAGCAACGAGAACAGCTTGTCATCTCCATGGAACGCACCCAAGCTGCTTGAGAACTATGGTGAATGAAAATGCTGACAAAACACGCCGTATCCTGAACACCCAGTTAAGTCCTCCCTCTAAACCCTGCACCGCCTGTAATTATACGAATACCTGCGCCCCTGGTTCAATCCGTTCAAAAGGCAGCGGAAACTCAATAATGCCCCTGGTGGTCGTGACGGTCGTAAACGAAGAAGGCTCTCTGGTTCAGGTCACTTCTTCCTCCCAGCACCCGAATGGCTGGTTTAGTCGGGAGCGAGGCCAGCTCACAGCTCCCGTGAGCTAAACTTGAGGGCCCCACTCAGAGCCGCTTGCCAGGAACCAGGATGAAGAGAACGCAGAGGGCCGCATCGATGAGAACCGTGACGGTAAGGACCATGACTGCCCGGCGCGAGATGAGCTTCCGGACGTACGGCTCCCGCACCCGGGAGAAGTTGAAGGGGGTGTATTCGCTGAAACCAATGAGAGCGAGGATCGGGTCGAGCGAGTACTGGTAAGAGGCAAGGCAGTAAACGCCAATGGTGAAGGGGAGGATGAGCTGTGAGGGTAGTTAGCAACCTGCAATGGACATTGGCAAGAACTGTTACATACCCAAAGTCTCGTCATCCGACTCTCATTGAGGAAGATCAGAACGAAAGCAGCCCAGAAGCCACCGAATATAGACACCAGACCAATAATGAGGCGCATGATCAGTGTCGGCGGAATGAGGTTCCCAAGTGCCTTCATTCTGAGAAAGCCGGGGAATGCATCGCGCTCCATCGCCTGAAAGACATAGTCCTTGGCGACATCAAACACCTCCGGATCGTCCCTTCCGAACTCCTCAATGGCTGTGATGATGTCTTGAGTGATTGAGCCAGGCAGCGTGATTTCGCGTTCGGCATTTGGCAGGAGAAACGTGTAGAGGATCTTTTCGGCAGAAGCCCTAATGTCCTGCCGAGCGACCGTGTGGGGAGGAGAATTCGAATCGGTCTGGGGATCGCGCGGGGTGCTGATGGTCGTGCTTGGACGCTCCTGCCTAGCACTGCTGCTTACCGGGGACTCGTGATGCTCGCCCCGATCCTCCCGCAGGAAAGCCGACATCTGCGCATCCTGGTCCTTTTCCTTTTCCGAGGCGTACATTGACGGTCCCGCGACAGGATGGTTCATGTCGCCGAGGCCTTCAAGGATCCCCGACGATCGCTGAGAGCCTCTTTCGGGGTCGGGAGTGCTCACGAGAACGGAGCGACGAAGCTCACGTACATAGTGGCGGCAGAGCGACATGTGCTGTGCGACATCGAGCCTAGCGCAAAGTCAGTTGCTGCATGACCAAGAGCACATAAACCCGTCGGGCTAACCAGAAGTCGAGGTAGTCAACAGAGCGCTGCTGATCCCTCATGTAGATGTAGAAGGAAAATAGATCGACAGGAGGGAGAGTCCGCCGACTAAGGACCTCGAACAGAGTCGGCAGACGGTTCCGAGTCAAATCGGGCTGGGGTGAAGGAGTTGCTGCGGCATGGTCTGCCATTGTAAATCAAGCTGGATTGAGATCGAGTTGAACGTGGCAAGAAAGAGAGAATGGTAACGATCGGACTTGAATCACGTTGAGATATACCACTGGAGCTCTCGTGTTGGTGGTGTGACAGTTATCGGGTGCATGCGGTCACTGAATTGAAGTGTTGCACGTTGGTGTTGAGGTGGCCGGGGAAGAGGCGGGGGTTTGGTTTTGCGGGAAGAAAAGAATGCGGTTGTGCGCACAGCGCATGGGAGTCGACGAAATGCTGCTGGGAGGAATGCAGTGGTGAGAATTGATGGCTTGCGCCTTGTTGGAGTTCGAGCAAACAGCTTTGAGATGTCAAGGCGCGGTTGCCCCCTGCACCGCGGATAATCAAAGAGCGGGCTGGTTCGTCAGTTAGTACGTAACTTGGGCATCTACACCCTCATTTGTATTTCCTTTTCGTTTCCTAGTTACTTTCCTTTATGTCCCTGAAAATTTTCATGTATTTTATATTTACATTCTTCTTTTACTTTTTAACCCTCATGTATTTTTTTTCTCTTCCTTTCTTTTAGGTTTCTTGCATTCTGCCCCTGCGAGGACTTTTTCTCTTCCTTTCTGCGTAGGTAGCGTCTGCCACTTGACCTGTTAACAAACAATCATGGCTGCGAATTGAATGAGGTGGGGCCGGTTGGTATTATCAGAAAAGCAGCTCGGCAGCTGCCAAAAGTGGCAGTACCAGCCACAAATTGATTTGCAGCCACAAGCCAAAAAACGGAGCTAGCAGCACAGACACCATTCCACTTTTAGGGCATTTACGCGAGGACGCTGAGCCTAGGCCCGCACTTCGTAGAATTCGCGGGAAAACCGAGCAAAATTCCCAGAGGTAGGTTCAGCGAACCCAGCAAGAACCGACGATTCCTCGACAACACTCAACCCGACTCCGAGTGCACGAGACCCAGACGTCGCCGAAGTACGTTACTGTCCATCCATTCCCGCGCCGACTCGACCAAGCGCGATTCTACGCTCCGGAATACCACTCCTACAACCGCTGCGTCACCCGCTAACGAGCTGTTGCCAGAATGTCGTCCACCAAGCCCCAAGGGAAGACCCAACGCTCGGCCATCGCCGACGTCGTGGCTCGCGAGTACACCATTCACATGCACAAGCGCGTATGTGATGCAGAGATTGATAGAAAAGGGACATACTGAAGTGCTGACCTTGGGCCCAGCTCCACGGTGTCACCTTCAAGAAGAGGGCTCCCCGTGCGATCAAGGAGATCAAGGCGTTCGCTACCAAAGCCATGGTACGTCCGACTGCAGACGCCGACCCGAAGACTCCGAATTGCGTGACGAAATTGCCCCGGTTTCGACATGGGTGAATTGGCAGATAGGTCGACTGGATGCTGACAAGCAATGGTAATCTAGGGTACCACGGACGTCCGTCTCGATCCCCAGCTGAACAAGAAGGTTTGGGAGCAGGGCGTGAAGGGCGTTCCTTACAGGCTCCGCATCCGCATCTCCCGGCGGCGTAACGACGAGGAGGGTGCCAAGGAGAAGCTCTACAGCTACGTGCAGGCTGTCAACGTCAAGAACCCCAAGGGTCTGCACACGGTTGTCGTCGAGGAATAAAGGGTGGGCAACAAAACTTGGGGCATTCGAGATTGGGCCGTGGTTCGGTTTCAGGGCGACATTGGGCTTTTCCGGAGTTTTCGCATGGCATCTAGCTTCCTCTTACGAATACATGGGTTCGTGAAGCACGGCACCTTCGATACCACGACCATTTCAACGGACGGTCAGTGTGCAGCGGGGCTAGGGGCCGGTAGGGGAAACTATCAGAGTGATGCGCTGGGATTATCTCCGTTTGATGCGCTCGTGGACAAGCAAATGTCCATTCAAAGCCAATGCTTGAGGTACTTCAGCCTGCGCAACTAGCAGGCACGAAGGGACATCCATGAACCAATCCATCCCGGAAATGCAAGGCTAACCAGGGACCGAATACTCCGGGGTTGCCTGTGCAAAGCCTGAAAACAAACTCCGTTCTCCGTGACAAGCGAGGAAATTCCGGACCACGACCCAATTGTCTCCCGTTCAGTCGTCCTCGACTTCCTTGTGGCGGTCCATAACCTTTGTCTTGAATAGCGTCGGGTCCTTGTCCCACAGTTCGGCAGCCTCGCCGTTCAGGGGAGATGCACTGCGAGGGTTAGCAAATGGATCTACATAGGGGAACCAATTCCCGTTAGCTGCTTACTTGTTTGGCTCTCCCAACAAAGACTGCAGACTGAGTAGCACGGTCTGGATGTTGTATGCCGCGGTCCACTTGTCCTTCAAGATGTCGAGACAGATGCGCCCGGAGAAGTCGACATTGGGATGGTAGATCGGTGTCCGGAAGAGGACGGCGGGCGGCGCATAGGGGTAGTTGGATGGGAATTCGAAGCTGAGCTTGAATGTGAGGCCCGAGTAGGGCGTGTCATCGGGGCCCTCGATGGTGGCTCTCCACGAGAGAAGGTTGCCGTCGGCAGAGGGGAACGCAGACACGCCCGGCGCCGGCGAGGTCATGAGCTGCATAAGCTCCGTTTGCAACCTGGCCAGGTGTTGGAATTAACAATGCAATCAGAGATTTGAACCCAGCGACCTGAACAGGCGGAACAAACTCACCTCTTCGTGGCATTCTGGCCCGGCTCAACACCTCTCCTTGCGCCGCCCAGCTTGCTGGCCTGGACGCCCGGGGCAGAGATCTGGCTCTCTTCGGCAAAAGTCATGGTGGTGTGGCGTTGACAGCCAATCGAGTAGGCAACGGTCAAGCAATTCAAATCGAAGATTAATTCAAAGAGAGTCTAGAGCAGGATGCCTTTGACAATACTTCTAAGGAAAGAAGTCAATACGTAGGTTCGCGAAGCGCAGATGAAGATGGTCTGTAGGAATGGTGGAATCCGTACCTGCAGAGACAGAAAGACGTCAAGCGTCTGGCCTCTTTAAACAATGCTCGAGCGTTAAATCTCCCGGCAAGAACTGGAAGCAATGGTTGATGTTGCTGAAAGTAGGAAGGCGGCAATGGTTAACGAGGACATCCACCAGTTCACCAGAGTCGGGCAGGAATGGATTGTTTACACAGGACTTGCTTGCAGTCGCCCCCACCAGCCCCTAAGCAACCGCGATGGGTGGGACCTGGTCCGGGCGCAGCCCCCGGGCCTCAATGTACGTACCGTATACGGATCTGTAGTTTCAATCGATTCGTACGTTCACAGGGCGGCCCACACATCCTGTCACTCAAAAACTGTCGGTAGGTCCGTGCGCACTGTTGCTGACAAAGATTCAGAGGCATGGAGGCTCCCACTAACGTTAAGGGCATTGGAACATCTGATTGGTAATCGAAACAGAGTGGAAGTGTGTGAATCAGATGAAACTACGGATGTATACGGTAGCCCGACAGCCAATGAACCCGCCATTGCTGCCTGCCGCTGAAGTTCATACATAACATTGGCCTGGGCCGTTTTCCTGCACGACCAGCACACAGCGGAACGCGTCCATTGCAATGGTGAGTACTTTCTATCAGCCGCTCCGAATGCAAGGCTATCATATCTTTGCAGAGCTTCGGTTTTCCTTATTCTCGGCGCATAGTACACCTACTGTTACCGATTTTCATTCATTACTCTGTGCGACCTGGAAATACTTGGCCTTGAAAGTTTCCGCTGTGGGATCCTGTTAATGCCAGGACACAATCTTCCGGCCCCAGTTGTGAAAATACCAACTAAACAGCAGCAAAAATGCAACAGTCGCAACTAGAAGATCTCCCAACCGATTTGCCCTTCCGAATCATCTCCAAGACGATCGGGAGGGGCGCATATGCATCGTGAGATTTGGCCCCGACTCCCACTTACACGCCTGGCCGTGCCCCACACCGTTAACACTAACATGATCTCCAGCATCAAGAAGGCAATACCCTTGGATGCGCCATCGCCAGTCTTCGCCGTCAAGCTCATCCACAAGGGTTATGCCATCAGGCAGGGCCGCATCTCTGCCAAGCAAATTGTCATGGAGGTGTCGCTGCACTCGCACATCGGGCAGCACCCAAACATCATCGAGTGGTTTGCCACGGGCGAGGATGCAGTATGGAGATGGATTGCCATGGAGTTTGCCGAGGGCGGTGACCTTTTCGACAAGATTGAGGCCGATGTTGGCGTGCAGGAGGATATCGCCCACCTCTACTTCCTACAGTTGATCAGCGGCGTGAGCTTTATGCACTCCAAGGGCGTCGCCCATCGCGATCTGAAGCCTGAAAATATCCTCCTGTCGGGAAGCGGCAGCCTCAAGATTGCCGATTTTGGCATGGCAACCCTCTTCGAGCACAAGGGCGCGAGGAAGCAGAGCACCACTATGTGCGGCAGCCCGCCCTACATCGCCCCCGAGGTGTTGCAGTGCGCGAGGCAGGACAAGAAGTCCGCCGACGGCATAAAGTACTCGGCCAACCTGGTCGACATCTGGTCCTGCGGCGTCATCCTGTTCGTTCTTTTGGTTGGCAACACGCCCTGGGATGAGCCAACCACGGAGAGCTGGGAGTTCCAGGAATATGTACGAACCAACGGTCGAAGCACGGATTCATTATGGGGAAGGCTGCCCGCGGAAGCCCTATCGTTGCTCCGGGGCATGATGAACATCGAGGCCACAAAGCGCTTCTCGTTTGCTCAAATCCGCCAGCACCCCTGGTATACCCGGCGCAACCCACTCTTGACAGCGGACGGCAAGGTTTCCGACCCTGTCGCCCTCGCAGCGCAGATGCTCGCCGGCCTGCGCATCGACCTCAACGCCGAGCCCACTCCATCCCAGCGCCAATCCCAGCCCGAAGCAATGGACATCGATTCACACCCCGCCTCCTCCTGGTCCTCCAAACTCCCAGCCACGCAACCCGAAACCCCCATCAGTGACGTCCTCTTCGACTGGGAACGGCCCTCGCTACGCACACTAGGCCGGGCCGACTACGCCATCTCGTCGACCCAACCATCCTCCGCCTTGCCATTACCAGGCGCCGAGCCAAGAAGACCGCCGCACAGCGGCTACAACGCCGCTCTCGAGGCCCTCGCCGAAAACGAGCCCAGCATGAGCCAGTTCTCGCAAACCCCCGGCGTGCCCCTCTCCCTGACGCAGCACGCCCGCCAGTTCCGCGACATCGTCCCCGCCTACTCGCTCACGCGCTTCTTCTCGCACGTGCCAGCCGCGCTGCTGGTCCAGATGCTCCGCGACGCCCTGCACCAGCTCAACGTCCCGCTGCCTCAATACAAACAACCGAACCCGGCCACGGCTGCCGTCGACCACACGCAGGCCAATGAGCATGTCACGATGCTCAAGGTGAGAACGCTGGACGGGCGGCGCCAGGGCTTGCATGGCGATGTGCTGGTCGATCGGTACCGGTTGCCTCCTGCAGCTGCTGGAATGTCTGGTGAGGCGGAGGAGGACCAGGGACAGGTGGTGGTGGAGTTGCTGGAGGTGAGGTTTGTGAAAGTCAAGGGGGATCCGCTAGAGTGGAGGCGGTTTTTCAAGCAGGTTGCGCTGCTGTGCCGGGATGCTGTGTACAGCGGCGATGGAGGGGGGAGTCGGCTGGTAGAGGGGAGCGGCGCGTAGGCGCTGCTGCTGGGACTTGTGGTGTTGGTGGTGAAAAGGGTGCTAATGGCGTTGGTGTAAGGAATGTGGGAAGAGGGAATAAGGCATGATGAGGTTATGATGTTGGATTATGGATACCTGGGCGTACCGAATGGGATGGCAGGCTAGCAGTGTGTTTGGTTATTGTTTGGAGACAATGTCTAGAGGCTGTATGATATGGTTGAGAGGACAACATGTTGGTGCTTAGGCTGGGTATCATCCATCTCCAGCAGCATCGTATTTCAGAACTGCCATGTTTGGTGAGGTCAGGATGGTGTCTGTCTGATTGAGATGGAGCAGGTCAACGTCTGACGAACAAAACCGTGAAACCTCGAAGTTGTCACCTGAACCTCTCATTCCGGCAAAATTTTTAGGATTCGACGAGACACTCGCCAGGTCAACACACAGACAACCTCCTCAGCATCTTTCAAACCGAGAATGACTTCCAAACGATTGATACACCAAAATCCCGTTACATGCCATATCGAACAATTTCGGGTATGCCGTACATCTCTGTGCGCCGTCGCCATGCAACCACCCTCCCTCCTCCATGGAAAACAGCGTACCTGTAACCGATCCAGACAAAGGAAATGAGCTTCGTATGATGATGTGAAAAGGGTAGGGAAGAAGGAGGCAACAGACGCCTCGCGGCGGTGTCAAGGTCTCCGCCTGACCGTGTCAGAATAAACGTATGACGCCATGGGCTCGTCGCTTGTAAGGACGTACAAAGGACGGACGGCTCGGCGCTGCGCCCACCACGTGCTGCTGCTGCTGCCGCCGCCCCCGCTGCTACTCGAGGGGCGGTCGTTGTAGGAGTGCACCACCTCGCGAGTGGGCGTGCCTGGTGTGGAAGCAGGAGACAAGCCGCGGCCAAAGTACGGAATCTCCTGGCTCCCAACAGCACTCGAGGAACCGGAAGCGGCGCTGCTCCCGAAGTAAACCACCTCTTGAGTCCCACGGCCGGGCACCGCAGCAGCCGTAGCAGCAACATAATCCTCCTGCTCAAGCACCATGCCAGAGCAGTGATAAAAGTCGCTCTTTCCCTTCTTCCACTGCCTCAGAACACCACCGCCACCATCATCACCACCGCCGTCCCAATCCCCCTGCCTCTTCCACCCCCCTTCATCCTCTTCCTCCCCTCCACCCCCTCCACCCTCGCCGCCAACCCGAAACAAGTCCAAATCGGCCTCGACCCTCCTCAGATACAACCCGCCGCCTTCCCCAACCCACTCATCAATTACCGCCGCAATGTCCCGAAACCCGTCAGTATGCCCACCACACCACCTCGCGCGGAACCCACAGCAAATGAACAGATAGCAGTGAATCAGCTCGTGCAAGAAGGTACTAATCAGCAGCCGGCGCGAGTACTGCGGGTCGCGCAGGATGGGAGAAGACAAGACAATCAGCGTCTCGAACCCGCGCGTGTGGGCGGCCGCGCGGCGGAGGGCGGTGGTCCCAACGACGCGGGCGTCGTAGCGCGCGGCCGAGGAGTGGGACCAGTCCCAGGACACGCGCTGGGAAAGGCGGCCGTTGAAGAAGATTTCGTTGGCGGCTGAAAAGATGGACTCGAGGGCTTCGTTGTCGAGCGGGTACGAGGAGGGATCATCTGAGACATCTTGGTGGGGTCTGTGATGGTGGTTGTGATGATGGTTGGGAGGGTGGTGACTACGGGCGGTACGTCGGTGTTGGTGGTGATGATGGCGGGGGTTGATGATGCTGCGGAGGATGCGCTCGTGCTTCGAGTCGGGGTTGCGCCGGCGGAAGGTGGCCAGATGGTCGCGAACGCGCTGGGCGGCTTCGTGGTCTTCGAGGAGCTCGGTGGAGGCGCACCGCTCGGTGGGGTCCGAGCGGATTGAGTGGCCCGAGGCGGTCCGCTCCATGGCCGGGGCCGCGGTCCCAGGTGGTTCCGGAGACGGGAGGTGAGGGAGTGGCGAGGGGTACCGGTGATGTGGATGGTGCGGGTGAAAGGGTGAGTAGCTGAGTGGTGGCTCGTCTACGACCTTGTAGGCCACGGGGTCGGCAAATTGGGAGTGCTGAGGGTATTTTGTCCGCTTGTGCTGAGGACAGTGGAAGTCATCGTTGACGGCATCGGCATTGCGTCGCTTGGCCGGGTAGTACGCCTCGCCAGAAGGGCGCAACGGCAGGTAGTCGTTCCCGCCTGTCACCGGCAGTGCCATCGGACATGCTCGGCGAGGAGTCCAAAGAACAGGAGGGCGCTGCCAGTGCTACAGGGGGAAAGCAAGAGCCTTTCAGGTGCTCGAAAATCAGGCGATACAGGAGACGATGTCGAGTTTGAGGGGTGAAGGTACAAAATGTGGCAGCAATACAGTGACACAGTGACTGCTCAAAAATGATGGCATAAGGTGAGGATCGGTCGGAGAGGGAGGATGTGCGTTACCGACTGGCAAGACACACGGAGACAGCGGCCAACAGCGTCGCACGTAGCTCGGGATAAGAGACAGCAAAATGCTGGATTCAGTTAAGAGCAGCCTTTGCTGGACAGGATCAAGGGCAACTATTCGCCTCACTGTTTGTCCGATTTCGACAGCCGGGTTGCTATCCGGAGTTGTCGCTGCAAGCCCGTTGGGGGAGGGCCCCCTTTCCGACGCGCAAAGCCAATTGAAGATCAGGGCGCAGGGGGGGAGGAGAGTAAAAACATGGGGCGCCGCTGGACGGTCCATGTCATGCTGCCATGCGTAGGTAGTGAAGCCCAGCAGCAAAGATCGCCCTGTGTGTGCTGTCTTCGGCTTTTTGTCTGGAACCAAAGAGGCGGTCAGGGCTTAAAGCCGGCGCCAGTCATTCCAGGAAGGGCGGCCAAGAATTGAAACACAAAAGGAGGAGAAATACGTCCAGGCGAAGTGAGCGGTGTGCTGCACGAAGTACAGAGTACCTGGCTGCTAGTTTGGTGAGATACGCGCGCATCCGGGATGCAGCGGACTGTAGTGCAAGAGGGGCAGCGGCGGAGAAACCAGTGGCCGGCCAGCCGTGGAAAGCATCCTGAACGCGCTAACGTTTGATCGATGTATATGGAATGTACGAAGTACTGTAGCCTAATGATCACCATGGCTGGCGACCTCACATCCAAGTGGCCCTCCCACCCATCTGATCAAAGCATGAACGACAGGAGGCTTGTTGAGCAATCAAAGTCAAACCATTTCTCGAACCCACAGCCCAACGCGAAAATACGTGGAACCCAGATCCAGCACCACTGCGATTGGCTCGCAGCCTCCTTGGCTTCGAGGTGATTGGCCGCCTCAATCGGTCGGATCTGCTCCGTGGTTCCACCGTTTCACGCGCAGCTCGGCCACTCAATTCTCGCCTCAATCGATCCAGGCTGACGACGTCGACTTGCAGTCGAGGAGAAGGCAGAAACTCCTATCGTAGGTACTACTAGTTTAGATATACAGGGCAGAAACATCATGCCCACAAAAAAGAGACTCAGTTCATTTGCAAACAAGCCCATACACAAAACACATCTGGACGGAGAAAGGTGTATAGATATGCATGCTATGATGCTACTGGTTCTGTTATAATTCCAAACAGCGCTGTTTGCCAGTGCGTCGGAAGCAACCGGCCTTGAACACGTGCCTTCATTTGAAGTGTTTCCAAAAAAACGCATAACTGCAGCGTCAAGGTTTAACGTGATCCCACTAAAGGTAGCCAATGTTGATCTCTCAGCATCAGCGCTTCCCCGGAACCATCACATCAATCCGGGCCTCACTCCGCTGCCAAGACCCAGGTTCCTGACAAACCTCACATCGTCCGCCTGCAACTCGAGCGCGCGCCGCATCCTGTCGCCATACTCGCTGTGAGCGGCCAGCGCCTCAGCCTCGGCCGCCTCTACTGGTGCCTCAAAATCCTCGGCCGCGAAGCCCGGGCGCGCAGAAAACGTCACCAGCCCCAGCTTCTCGCCCGTCCAAAAGAGCAGGTCGTTGCTGTTGACTCTCCCACCACCACCCTCGTCGGCAGCAGCAGCAGCAGCAGCAGCCTGCGGCCGCGTCGGGAGCAGCTTCCGCCCGATGTCGTCGGACCCGGGCATCGACGCGAAGATGGAGAAGGCCTGGCTCCGCTCGCTGTGGCCGATCCGGCAGCGGCGCACCTCGGTGAAGCCGTCGCGCTCGAACCACTTGATGTAGCCGGACCCGTCCGAGAAGGCGATGCGCGACCCGTGATTGACCACCGAGAGCAGCTTGGAGTGCGAAGACGTCTGCCGGTTCTTCAGCGTAGAATCCTGCAGCCCGCCTGGTCGGGCCGTGCGTGCCGATGCGCTGGGCGTCAGCCCGTACAGCTCTAGAGAACCCTTGGTGTTGTACTCGCCGCAGGCAATCAGGGTCCTGCCGCCGGTGTCGGCCTTGTAGGCTTCCGCCTGCTCCAGGGACAGCTCGCCCATGCGCCGCAGCTCGCTGCCGAGCGTCGAGAAGGGGTAGGGGAGGGATGTCATGCTGCAGAGCCTTGCGCCTGAGTGGATAGAGCCCTTGATGGAGGGAAACTTGCGACGGTCGTAGTGCAGGATGTTGGAGAAGCGACCTGCCACGTAGATGTCGTCGGATAGGCCTGCTTCCTGGCCAGGCTGCTGGAGGTGGAGTATGTTCAGGGGGCCGGGCTGAGACAGCGGGGCATAAGGGGGTAGCGGCTCATCGTCGAAGATATGTCGAATGCTGCGCTCGTAGAACTCGCTTGCGCCCATCCTATCGAAGCCATCTATCGACTCGCCTTGGTCATTCCGCACCGCCTTGCGCGAGCGGTAGTCGTGTAAGTGTATGCCAAGGCTTGTCCCGACAGTGAGTGGCACCGTCGAACTCGCGGCCGACAGGGCACTGATAGACCAAGGGAATGATTCGCAGTCGACAACCGACAAGCGTTGTAGGTCAACCTCAATGAGATCTAACACACATTCGTTAGTCATCCACACACTTGAGCACAAAGCACCAGACAGGGATGCAAACTTACGGCTCTGCACAGCGAAAAAGGCCCTATGCAGTCGACTATCCACGCTCACACATTCCGTCACACCAGAATCAATCATCTTGGACCGTCTGCGATTATCAGCCCCAGGCCCATCAATGAACAGAATGCCCGGCCTGCTCCTCGCAACAATGGCCCCCCTCTTCCCTTTCGTTCCCGCAACATCCCATAAACACACGCTCCCATCATCCAGCGGCGCCACCGCCAGCACCGCCGTCTCCGCCGCGGGGTCGTCCCCGTCGGGGTAATACAGCGCGACGCCGCGCGCCTCGATAAAAGGGCCCGCGGCCAAGGAAGGGGCCTGCCCCTCCGCCTTGTTATTGCTGTCGTAGGCGTGCTGCATCCAGTTGATCACGACGGGGCCGTGCCGCTGTATGTACTCGTCGTACCACGACACACGCTCTGCGGGAAAGCACGGGTCCCAGTTGGCCATAATGCGGACGCGCTCGCGCTCTCGTGTCTCGGCGGAACTGTAGACAGAGGAGGAGGCTACGGTGGCTGTGGTGGTGGTGGTGGTAAATCTCGGCCGATCGTCGATATAGTCGTTGGTCTCGCTGCTGGTGCCGCCGCCGAAGTTGACTACGGCGGCGTGACTGTTGTGGGCGCCTAAGTGTGCGGCAGCGCCATTGCTACTATGATGGACCCGGTTCGCTTGTAATTGCCGGGTGTCCTGGTCGGCGAGCCTGAAGAGTCGCCGGCGGCGGTCGAGGGTTTCGAGGAAGGACGACTCGAGCAGGCAGCGCAATCGCCAGAAGCCGTTGTCCCGCGCAAGGTTGTGAAAGCCGCGGGAGACGAGCTGGAGGGCGGTGAGTTCTGGGGGTTCGAGGACTGCGAGATGGGTGAAGGCATGGCTGTTAGCACCGGCTGTCTTATCGGCCTTGCCATCGGCTTTCCGGGGACAGAGATATCGTGTCCAAATAATGACTTACAGGAGAGGATATGGAGTAGGATCTCCCCCGGAAGGCCCGTCAGACCCACCATGATGTCGACGGAGAGCCGGAGCCGCTGAGTGATTAAGTGTGCTCCTTGTCGTGGTCTGTAACTTTAGGAGACGCTCCCTGCACAGAGTGTTGAAGGAGTGTTAGATAAGAATTGACACCAAGTGAAAGGCACAAAGAGGCGTAACTTTTTCGTCTTCAGTGCCTCTATAATGGACAGATAATGCATGAGTTAGCCAGGAGAAAGCGACCTATCTCTCGTTGATCCATCTGAATGTAAGGACTGCATAGTTCAGGCACTCCGTCTCCGGGGAAAGAGTATTCTCATTCGAGCAAGCCCTTGGAGTGGGCTCCGGCCAGCCGGATGCAACGGCCCGTTGAACGGTGGATTCAACAGGGCGGGGATGCTGCGGTTTCACAATGGCAACCAATCGAAGCCGCCGTTAGCCATGCGGAGACGGGGAGTGAACTAACCACATTTTGGGGCTAACCATGGTCTGAATCGGTTAAGACCAGTCTTTTATCGATAAGTCTCTTTCAACGACATGCGTGCCTTCCAAGATCGGATGGTGACTTACACGCACCCTTACTTCCTGCGAGGAATTCTTGTAAAAGCCCGGTCAAGATTCAGTTTCTTGTCTCGACAAGAAACAACCACGAAACTCAGCATTACTTCCGCATCACTGAATGCAATGGCACCAGGAGACACAATCCATCGAAGAAGCCCACGATGACACGAATCTGAGTGCACCTGAACGCCAATTCGGTTGTTGGTGAGCGCTATAGGGTGCCGTATTCAAGGGGCCGGATGTCTTCTCAGGTTTGTTGATTGCGGGCCGGGCAACCTTGCAGCAAAACGGTGACCATTTTCGGCCAGAAAGCCCTAGAGAAGACCATCTCGCTGCTCCATACCGCCTTTGGCTGTCTTCGGGTTCTCAGTCTCCCCCATACTCACAGGTCTGGTGGCTGCAGGCGACTCTACCTTAGTCTTGGCTGATGGCGAGTGTTTTGTACTGGCAACATGGCTCACATGGATGCTCATTCAGCTTCTGATCTGGAACTGAGTTGTTGGATGGGCTTGAAATATGTTTTCGTGGACGCAAAATGCTGCTGGACTTGTGAGCAATTGGATTAGGAAGCTCCCCAGAGGTGTGAATCTGCTGGCTACTCCCGAGAATCAGACGGCCAGGGTTGCTGACGCTAAGTCCGCACACAAGCTGAAAACCACAGAAATCACGGGAAGTTATTGACAAATTGACATCACGGCTCGGGGCTTCGGCTCTTCTCAAACATCGCCGTCCCCGAGCCCTTCTTCCCTCCTTCTCATTCACCTCATCATACCCCGCCCTTCCTCACACTCCTTCCCTCGCCTTCGCCCAGCTTGTTTCTTTCCAAACATCGTCATTTCACCTGGCTACTATCACGCTCTAACCTGACCTTTCTTTCGGGGCGACTATTAACTGCCAGATCTCTTGACTGCAAGACACTCTTCGATCTTATTGTCTCTCCTTTCCCCGAGGAGCACTTCCCCACCCACCATCGCGTCCATCGACAACGCGGTAATCGTGCCTACCATCGATGCAAGTCCAGCGATTGGGAAATCGCAGCGCTCTCGGTTGAAGACAAGGTGTCGCTGTTACCAGATTGAACCCCCCCCTGCTACAAGGTTGATTCGTTAAAGAGTTCCCGGTTCTCAAAGGTGTGTGCTCTCAATTCACCCTCCTGTCCAGAAGAACAACCGACCGATAGTTGTGAAAGTACTGTGAACTAACATCGTCACCCGATGGCAGGAGGAAGTGCAATCATGGCTGGCAAGAGCGATCGCAAGGCAGAGGACCATGCTGAAGAGAATTGGTCGGCCAGCGAGAGCTCAACCAGGGCTCTGCCTTCGCTGTCCACGGCTTCAAGGTCCATTACGCCAAAGGGACCTCTGTTCCCCAACCTGGGAGAAGCGCACCAGGCCATCACGTCAAGGCTGGCATCGCACTCTGCTGGACGTCACGTTCCCGACAAGCCTTCACAGCCCTCTTCTTCTACTTCGTTCGTCAATGTATCCTCCATCTCGACGGGATCGGCCGACAGCCAGCCAAGCGCCACTCACATGGAGTTCGCCAGGCCCAACTATCCAGCTCAGCGGTGTCTGACGCCCTTCTTTGACACTTCATCCTCAGGCGATGAATCGGCCAAGACGCCGACTGGCCCATCGCCAGTTGTCTCGCCCTTGGCATCATCCAGCGGCGGCAACTCTGTGGGGGACAGCCTCAACGATGGCGCTGGAGAGACCTACGTCATGTCCGACCTTTTGGGAACTGGGGAGATTATCGAGGTCATGTACGATGAATGCTACACGCCGCCCCTGTTCGCCCAGTCAACCTCATCGGCCAAGGTTCACCAGTCCAAAGCCGTCGGTAGTGACGAGGAACCCAGCAACAAGTGTCAGGGCCCTTCGCGGAGAGCTGCTCAGAGCACGCACGTCCGCTCTACAGACATACGACGGGCTAATACTGATGTCAGTTCGACCATGGGTTACTGGCATATGCACCCTGCTGATGATGAGCCCTCACCAATCTCTTTGCCCAAGCTGCCAAAGCCCGGAGTGCCAAAGAAACACCCTGCCAGAGGAAACAAAGGTGTCCTCAACATCAGCCGTCCTGTACTTTCTGTGCAGACTATTCCCAACTGTCAAGATGCCACTAACAAGTCTGCGGACGCAGGTCAAGCTAGCCGGCATGCAACCACTACCAGCACTGCGACATCAATCACCAGTCAAGACATTGAGGACTTCGTCATTTGTGGCCGGCTTCCTCCCCAGCCTGGTCACGACAAGCCCTCAAATCAGGATGTTCAGGAGAGCGAAAACAGTCATGGCGAGAGCTCCAATGCCGGCGGGTCTACCGACTCTGACGAGGACCCATTCAAGTATGACCGCGGCTCCTTCACCGGTTTTCTCCAGCCCTCCAGGGAGAGGGAAGTTAGTGCTGCCCTTCGCTGCGTGAGCGACAACAGTATTGCTTCCGTGAGTGGGCTTCTGCACCTGGCGTCGCCCCAGGCCCCAACCCCGCTCGGCTTTCAAAGCAACAACCCATTCGCGGCCAGGCTGCAGTCGTACCAGACACCTGCTGTTGGTTACGACTGGGGTGACGAAGACGGGCTGAACGAGGTGAGGATTCCTGTTGTTCGCTCGCCGCCTCCCGTCCCGCCGAATTCTCCCGTTCAACATGCAATGAATTTGAGTGATTTCGTCGAAGGGCTGGGTAGTCAGCGTCACAGGAACGAGATTTTTACCCTCATGAGTGACCAGGCGGATTGGGAGACTGTCACTACCAGTGTTGGCCAGTTCGACAGCAACCGGGCCCTAGCTTCCTCAACAGGTCTCAGTGGTAGCCATCCCGTGAAGGTTACAGGAAGCAGCATCGCAGACTATTCAGACACCAGCAGTGTCCATGTGCCTCAATTCGATGCGTTTTCCTCGACAGAGAAAATCATGGAGCTCATCACTACCAATCACCCGCTCGACACTCACGGTCGTCGGATGTTGAAAGGCCCTGGCCGTCCTGTCTTCCCTCCGAAGCCACGGATTCATCGTGTCAACGGGTATCTTCAGAACCCCCGTCGCATGTTCATTGATACAACCACCGGCAGCAGCGGGACCTCGGTCAGGAGCGCATTAGTCGAGAGGCTCACTGCTTCAATCCGATCTCGCAGCGCAAGGAAGCAAGCGTACCAGCAAAATTCTCAGCTTAAATCGGATCGTTGGTCCAGGGCCAGTGGCTTCGAGTCATTGGACTCCATTTCCTCAACCTACTCGGACCAACCCCCTGCGATGGATGGGTTTCAGGCTACCAACAGTACTCACGAAAGTAGGACTAATGCTGTTGTTGGATGCAAGAAGCAGCAAGGTCAGGAAACCACCTTCGGATTGTTGACGTCTCCGATTCCCAAAGAGCCCGCTCCCGTCCATCTGAAGGGCCACCAACCAGCTCAGCCAAATCACACTCAGCGACTTTCCGGTTTTAAGTCGCCAACCCTGTTCAGCTTTCCGCTCATTAGCCTTCAAGAGGCTGCCAAACGTGCGAAAATCAGGGCCCTAAACGACGGCGGCCTCGCCGTTACTAGCGGTACGAGAACACGGAAAAATTCGAGCATGGATCCTTCCAAGGCGACTCAAAGGACGACGCATCCTACACCGCACATCATGAAGCCCATCCGTGACCATCCCCGCCGTCCCACATCTGCCAGTATTTTGGGCATCTCCGAGAATCATCGCGGTTACGCCAACTCCCAAGGTACGCGAGACTCTAGTCACGTTCATCCCGTCTACTCATTCATCGCGCTGACAACCAACATAGAGAATCTCATCATGGGCCACGAGCGCGGCATCTCCAACGTGACGTCCTACAAGAGCGCGACCCCGCTCGTCGCAGGCCGCTCCTCCACCCTTTCGCGCGCCTTCCGAAACCCCTTTGAGGCCGTCGGCAGCGGCGTTCAGCGGAACACCCACCCGTATCCAGGCCATACCTTCATCTTCGACACTCCGCCGACTCTCGTCCAACGCGACAAGCGGAACGCCGCCCGCGCAGCCGCTGCAGCAGCCGGACTCGGCAACAACATGTCGCCCTCGCTGCGCCAGATCGCCGCCCTTGAGGCCGGCGCCTCGTTTGGCGCCCTCGCCACCGACGACTCGGTCTATCTGTCTTGGGAGGCCCGCAAGCGCCGCGAGGCGTTTTATTACCTCATGTGCGCCCTGGCCGTGTTCCCCTTGCTCTTGCCGCTGTTTTGGCTCGGCAAGTTCGACTCGGCTCTGTCGTGGATCACGCGAGGCGAGACGGGCTCGTTCACGCCAAAGCAGCGGTCCAGGGTCTTGTTCGTTGGGGTCATGTTTGGCTTCATCTGGGTGATTGGTATTGCGGTTGGGGGCACGGTTGCCGCGCTGAATGCTGACCCGGAGTTGAGGGCTACTTGGTAGGCCTTAGGGTTCTGGTTGGGCTTGTCCCGGACGCCCGAATTCGTGGTAGAGTTTTGGGGGATCGGTTTGGGCTTGGAGCATAGGAGATGGATGATGATGGGTTGGTTCGGTGTTTGGTGGTCACCTCAGTGGCGTTGGGCAAAAGAGATCTTCGAGTGGGTGAAGGATCTCGCTGCGAACTTTGGGTGGGTCTTCGTCTCTTTCTCTGCTTTTCGCTTCCTTTTGATTCGTTGCTTTCCTTTTACGTCTTGAGTTATACTTGCTCATTCTGACCATGATGAGGCATGAATGGAACGGATCGCACATGTAGGCTGGCTGGGCATATGACGTTATAGGCCGTGGAAAGGAAAATAAGTGTTGCATTGTGGTTGTATGTAGGATTAATGCCGCGGCAGACCTCTTTTTTTAGACACCGCTGTCATGTTCGATGATGTTTTGGTACTGTACTGTGGCGGATAGCCATAACAATGGCGGCAACCAAGGTGACCCGTGACAGGGAAGCCCTCCAATCCCTTGCTGCAGTCTTTTCCTCTAACATTGGCATGTTGTCTACTGGCTCGACATGGTGCAGTTCGCCCTGTTCAAAGTCCACATGCTGCTGTTGCGGCTGCAGCTGTGGCTTGGGATTGCCGCCCGCCCCCTCAGGTATGTATCAGGTCCCACGTTTCTCTATCATCACCTCTCCCAGAACACCGTCTGGCCGATTGAGAAAGGTCCTGAGCCGGGTAGAAAGTTCCATCCGCCGGCTGGCTGGTCCATCCAAAGTCTCGAGAGACACACCAGATATGAACCTCTTCCCCTCCGTGCGGGAGCAAAATCCCACCAACAGTTTCACTATGATCAAACTCTGCAAGGGCCTTATTTGGTGTGCACCTTTGGTCTTTTTTTTGTCCTTACCTGTGTGCAGTACATCGTCTTTACACACTCGAGTAGGAGTTTGTTGATACACTCTTCACACCACAAGCAAGGCAGTTAGTAAACAGGATTCATTCATCCTTGGTAAACCCAATCAATCATTCAAGCAAAGCCAGGTCGATAATACTGATGTTAGTGACAAAATCAAAAGGCTACTATCAATTGGCTTGACGCCCGTGAATGGTACATTAATAAGTCTCTGACTTGGCCATGTGTTGAGTAATCAATTATATGATATTACAGGGGGCGGCGTTCGACTGCAAGTATACGTACCCCCCAAACCACCGCCAAAATCATCAAATTCGTTTTTATTTTTCCCTTTCCCCAAGCATTACCGTATAAGCAAATCTATATAACAAGGCCGCTTCAATTCCATCCACAGGCTCTTAGATCCTTTTCACCAGCCCAACATTAACTCAACACAAGGAAAACACCCCCCTATCCGTACCTCCTCCTCACAACTACCTCAAACACCCCGTCACTCATCCATCTTGCCCTCCCCAAAAACAATCCCCCTCAACCTCTCCCGCTCCCCACTCTCCTCACACATGGCCCTAAACATGCCACCGGGTATCTCCCACAGCTCCCTGGGCGTCCCAAACTCGGCCACCCGCCCATCACTCAGCACCAGCACACGATCAAAGTCTGCAATGGTGCTCAGTCGGTGCGCAATGACAAGCAGCGTTGCGTCGCCAAACTCCTCCCGGATACTCCGCTGAATGAGCGCGTCGGTGTGCATGTCGACGGCCGACGTGGCCTCGTCGAGCACCATGACCTTTGGCCGCGAGACAATGGCGCGCGCAAGACACAGGAGCTGGCGCTGGCCCTGAGAGAGGTTGAGCCCGCCCTCGGAGACGGGCGAGCTCAGATCCGCAAAGGGGTTTGTGTTTTTCGGCGCGACCGAATTGGCTGCGGAGCCATCCCCCGGGAGAGCGGCGGCGGCGGCGGTGGTGGTGGTGGAGGTGTGGGAGGAGGAGGGGTTGGTGACGAGGTGGACGCGCTCGAGGCAGTCGCGGAGTTCGGCGTCGGTGTGGTGGTTGAAGGGATCGAGGTTGGAGCGGATTGTGCCAGAGAAGAGGACCGGGTCTTGCGGGATGATGGCGAGCCGTGAGCGGAGGTCGTGCAGTTTAATCTTGGAGATGTCCAGGCCGTCGACGTGAATGCTGCCTGATCGTGCTGCCAGGAAGCGGAACAAGGCTAATGTCAACGACGACTTGCCGGCTCCGGTGCGGCCGACAACGCCGATCCTCTCGTTCCGGTTGATGCTGAAGGTAAGACCCTTGAGAACGGGTGGTAGATCGGGGGCATATGCGACGACCAGGTCATTGACCTCAATGCGGCCCTCGGTCGGCCAGGCGGCGGGCGGGCTCTCGCCGCCAAGCGCTTCGGTCGGGAGCTCAGTGTACTGCGGCATCAACGTCAGTTTCACATCTCTCTTCTCGTCAGATAAACTGGGCTTTACCTCAATAATCCGCTCCGCGGCATTCATATTCAGCTCCACATTCGCATAGAGCCGAATAGTCCACATCACGGAGCTCGAGAACTCGAGGGCAAACGCGAGCGCAAACCCAGCCAGCGCCGAGTCGATCCCAGGAGTAAGCAGGATGAGAATCGACACAAAGCTCGAGAAGAACGACCCCACGAGCGACATGCGCCAGCCCATCCACCTATTGAATAGCCACAGGTGCCATGTCGCAGTAGAATAGTCGTCAATCTTGCGGTACATGCGCTCCACGTAGACCTGAGCCTTGCCGAAGCCGCGAATGGTGGTGACTCCAGTAAGAGCCGAGCCGAACTGCTCGAAGACGGGCGACTTGGTCGTGCTCTCCAGGCGCTTGACAGGGCGTGCGCCGTTGAGATAGCGGATGGCGTAGTAGAGGCAGATGAGCAAGAGGATGACGGCCAAGAGCACAATGAGTGGTGACACAAAGAGGCCAGCAACGATCACCGCCATCAAGCCGAGGAAGGAATTGGCCCCAAAACTCACAGAGTTGGCTAATTGCGAGTCAATGGTGTTGAAGTCGGCCGTGTACCGGTTCAAGATTCGACCTACGGGAACTGTGTCAAGCCAGCGGATAGGGGTGCGCAGAATGGTGAAATTCAGCTTGGCGAAAAGCTTACGGCTCGCGCGGATTGAGCCGAAGTAGATGTAGAGGTACTTCAACGTGCCGATGATGGAGGAAATGACTGCCAGGGCAACGTAGATGCCAAGATAGTAGACCAGCGTGCCCTGGAACCCAACAGCTGGGGCGGACATGGCGTGGATGGATGTCTGACGGACACCGTCGGCATAAGAATATCCGTACACGCTCGGGATATTGGGGATCCGCTGGCTGTGGACGGCCTGTTCCTGATAGTTGCCCGTCCAGATTTTGAGCCACCATGAGCGCCCTAGATTCTCCTGTTAGCAAGCCGACGATGAGGGAACGTAACACAGAGGCGAACTTACCAACGTTTAGACCCTGTACAACCAGGAAGACGAATAGCGCAAAGATCCAGAAGAAGAAGCCACCGCTATCCTTCAGATAGGTGGAGTAGACATGCTTCTTGACATGACCCTGCTCGCGCGTCTCCTCCTCGACAAACTTGCGTGCGACCGGCGCCTTGGACGTCACCTTCTTCAGTGTGTTACCGTCCACGCCATCCTGCTCGCGTTCCTCGACCGAGGAGCCATCCGAGTTAGCTGCCGTGGCCAGCTCGTCGGCCTCAACCTCCTCGGCCGTCTGCTCGTGGCTTTTTATCTTCTGAAGGGTGCCCTCCTCGCGAAGCTCCGAAAGCAGGCCGGCGTGTAAGACGCCGCCATCGCCGAGCTCGACCAGATACTTCGTCTTGGGCTCGCAGAGAGCAACGTGGTGGGTGACCAGGATCCTCGTCCTGCCGACCGCCAGCTCTCCGTTGAGGCACTTCTCAAAGATGTGGCGACCGACATGCGCGTCGACGGCACTGAAGATGTCGTCCAGGACGAGGATACCCGCTCTGGAATAGATCGCTCTGGCAAGCGTGACGCGCCACTTCTGGCCGCCACTGAGGTTGATACCATTCGCACCGATCTCGGTGTTCTCGCCATCATCCAGCATCTCGAGGTCCTTTTTCAGCGCGCAGGTCGCGACCGTCTTGTTGTAGCGCTCTTCATCGTACGGCAGCCCAAACAGGATGTTTTCCTTGATACTGGCGTTTTCAATCCATGGGATCTGGGCTACGTACGCAATGGCTTCAGGAATGATCCAGTTGCCCTTATTGGCTTTACTGTCGTGCCGCTCGGACAACGGTGGCGCTCTCGGGACGTATATGGTCCCACCCAGAACATCGACTTCGCCCAAGATGGCCGCCAGCATCAGACTCTTGCCCGTTCCCGTCTTGCCTGAAATGACCGACAGCTCGCCCTTGGGAAAGGTAATGTTGATGTTGCGAAGGACAAATCTCTCCGACTCATCCATTTCCTCGTCCGACGGCCAAGCAATGGAGGTATTGTCAAAAGACACCTCGTCGGCGTCCTTTGAGATCGTTTCCACCTCGGGCGAGTTGAGATACTGCTCAATACGTTTAATGGAGACCCAAGCATCCAAGAGATCTGTGGTGAGCTCCGGGACAATCGACAGGGTCATTTCGAGCCCCTTGAACACCCCCAAGCTGACAAAAGCCACCGACGGAGCCAGAGAGCCCGTCAAGGCGGCGTACACGGCGAGGGAGATGGCAGATAACAAGATGGGGCTCGTCACCCAGCAAGCCAGCAGCATCGTGTCGTTCATGAAGACGCTCCAAACGGCACTGAGTTCCCGTTCCCGCACGTCGCCAATCTTCTTCTCCCATTCGGGCTCCAGGGCGGAGAACTTGATCTGGCGGATCCCCTGGAGAGCCTCGGTTACCACCTCCATCTTGGCGTCCCTGACCTTCATCAGTCTATCCTGAGAGTCTGAGTACCGCTTGGAGAAGTAGATATTGACCGGCATGATGGCAAGCATAGCCGAGAAACCAGCCAGGAGCGGCTTCCAGCCGAGCAGGTCGACCAGGAAGACAAGCGAGACAACAAGCTTGAACAGACTGCCCGGTAACAAATTCTGATAGGCGCAAAAGTCGGACACTCTCTTCCCATCGACGCCAATCAGGTTGACGGTGCTCTGCTTGCTCTTCTTGAGCTTTTCCGAGTCATCCTCTTCGACGCCCGCGGCGGATGGAGTGGTGGGCCCTGCAGCCTCAGCATCTCCCTCCTGGGAAGTTTTGGTCTTGGATCTCTCGCCGCCCTTGACATCCTTTCTGCGCATCGACTTTTCAAAGATGAGGGCCGACAGCTGAGCGCGAATGGGAATTTGGAGCTCGGAGTAGGCCAGCCACCAGACGTAGGACTCCACCCACGACTGCGCGATGATGACGATTCCAAGCCAGACAACCCACATCCAGGCCTCGATGTCCTGCTTCTTCCCAGGCTCGCGGGTCTCGAGGAATCTGAGGAGCTGCAGAATGACCCATTGTGGAGCGAAGTTCAGGACTGAGGCGGCAAGTGTCGCAAGCCACTGCAGGGCGAGGGGCTTCTTGTGCGCCAGGACAAGAGACAGCCAAAGGCGCCGACCGCTGGTCTTCAGCTTCTTCCAGTCGGCAGATACCGCGGCCGCGCGGGTGTATTGATCCGGTCTGGTGAGATCAGCCAGATCCAGATCTTTCTTCTTCGAAGCAAGGTTGAGAAGACCGGATGGCCAACTCCACGTGAAGCGACTGAAGGCGGAGACGGTGTACATGCGATCCACCAGTTCTCCCTGGTAGAACACATCGGGCCGCCTGGGGATGCAGAGTGCCGAGATGGCGAGGGACACGCTGCAGACGAGCTCAACCACGCCGAGGGCGAATGCAGCGGGCGCAGACTTCAGCAGGCGTTCGGCGGTCTCGGTGCCCTGGGCGAGGAGAATACCGCCCAGAACTATGGCCGAGAAGAAGGTGTAGATGCCAAGACGGTAGGCCTGGACTGAACTCCTGCTCGAGGCTACAGCTGCAGCTTGGAACAGCAGGAGAGCCTACGTGGGGTGTTATTATTGTGTTTGCGAACTTGAACAAGCATTGCATCCCCTCTCGACTTACCCAAGCACCCGTGCCAAGGCTATCTGTCAAGAGCCGCCCTTCAGTGTGAGGCGATACCCCCAAGAGAGCAATGGACATGGCGAGGCCGGCAGCCGCAGAAGTCAGGGCAAGTGACTTCGGCAGCTTGGCCGAGTAGGCCTTTATCGACTCGAGCGTAGCCTTGCCATCGCCGTCTTCGTATGTGTCCTGTTTCGCATCTCGCTTGCTGAGACGGGTCACGATGCTGCTCAGAGCCGGCGCTGAGCAGAGCGCAATGAGTGCAGTTCCGGCTCCAATGGCGTTTAGCATGGAGTTGGAAGCATCGATCGGCATTGTAGACCGTGACGGATGAGAGGTCGCGACCCGGCTCTGACTTGTGGTCTCAGCTGCCAGGTCCCTGATATTCACGGAGTACGGCGGAAGGGACCTCGGAAGTCGGCGCTCTGATGGTATCTCCGAGTGTGCTGAGCTTGGCAAATGATGTGAACTTGATCACCTTCACTTTGAGTCCCGAAGTCCCTGGAATGTAAGTTTTCTTTAATGCCTGCGACAGTTGAGGTCGTTGGTAATCCCACGAATCTGAGTGGAATGCGGCGAGAGCTCCGGTCCACGGCTCCACAAGGTTGCCTTTGTTGTTGGTGTGAGGCGGTGGATCCGCTGCGGTGACTGGAAAGAGACTGGAACCAACCCCGTATCAAGAAGGAATGGTTCAAGAAAGAATATCCCGGACTCAGCGGGAGGGACTCAGGCGGTCATCAATTAAATCGAATCAGCAGCATCTCCCTTTGGCGATATACAGGGGAGGACAAGAGAGAAATATCCGTGGCACAGTGAGTTCCATTTCCACTGCAGCCTCTGCATGTCCTGATGGTTGCCGTGATTTGACTCATACGGTGACCGGGGAGCTCGAAGTGGTGGGAAGGCCGGGCGGTAAGTTGGAGACAACCCCCGGTTTGTCAGCATCAACAGCAATTGAGCACCTTCCAATCTCAGCAACCTGGAACCAGATGCCGACACTTCGGGAATGAAAATTCGCCTGTTTCAAACCCAAGTACTCCGTACTGTGTAAGACATCTATCCGTACGGAGCACCTTACCAAGTAATATACCTTCCAATTCTTGAGAGACGATCTCTCTGCTCTCTGCTGGCTGGCCGGCGTGTCTGAGTCATTTTGAGACATGTGTACGTATCGATCATTTCGGTGATTGTGATCAGCAATTTCTCCAACACCTGAACCACACCGAAGGGAAGCCGCGCAGCCGGAAGCCGTGAACATGGGTCGGCCCGCAGCGGGCGCCGCCGCCGTCGCTGCCGCCGTGTCTGTGGTCACCGGTCTTGGCAGCCTGGCCTCGCCCCGCACTTTTTGCTCCTTTGAACTTCGAGTTCCAAGTCACTTGGGACGTTGCATTGGTGCATAAAACTGGCAGCCACACCAAAGTAAATGCTCTTAGCTTGGCCGATGCGCTCTGACAACCTTCCGGGTATCGCCGGGCTTGGTGGGAGGTCGATGTCGTTGTCCCTTTGTCTTCCGAGTTGGTCGAGCAGGGCAGCGTCGGGTTAGGGTTATCGTCCCTGCAAGGGATATTGTCAGCGCCCAACGCAAAAGGCTCCGAGGCCGAGAGAATGAAAGTTAGATTGAGAGACAAGGGGAAGTGTGAGAATATACGAACATGAACATGCGAAAATCGAGTAGAAAAGAAAACAAGCGCGGGAACAGTATCTGCCGTCCATCGGGCAACCACTACCGAGCAAAGTCAACAAACGGACTCGCTTAACATGCCCCGTTCTGCTTGGTCTGGTGTTCGTCAGTAACCAAGTAGGACTTGAATCTAGTCGAACTCGGCACAATACATACAGATGCATTACACCTTACCCTTCGCAGCTTTGAACTGAGTCATGGCCGGAAACGTAAGGTCATATGCAGCACGAGACAGCTAACAAAATCCTGGCTGGCTGCATGTGGGCAAGGTAAGTACTGGGCGACGGCGGCGTGTAAAGAAAACCCTCTGAAGGCGAAAGCTATCTTGGTTGCAAGGCAGAGTATGGCCCCTGCTAGACTCTGCTGGACTAATTTGAACTAGGTGCGACGGTGATGTCTGAAAAGAGACTGGGAGATGGGAGCCATGCTTGTGGTCAGCCACAGGAAGCCCCCTGTTACACAGCCTTCCCAAGACCTGAGCTGCTCTGGGGCGAGTTGGCAACCCCTAAGAACGGATAGAGATGGTCATTGTTCAAGTGTGGTTTGCTTGGAAAGGTGCTGCTGAGCAGTCCTCTTTCGCCAACGAATCGCTTTGCGATGCAGTGATGGCATAAGCTCCTTGGTACACGGGCTTGTTAAGCCGCGATTTGTGTATGGTCGTGGGGTCTTAAAGTAACAGCGGTCTAAGGTCCGTACATGTGTAAGAGTTGCGGTGTCCCCACAGTGGGGTACCTCACGGCGCCCATCACACCAGGTGGAGCTTGCCATGCGGGCGGCCCGGACTGCAGCACAAGGTCCATCATGGTCATGACACCGCCAAACGAGACCTGGACTGGACTTCCCTCTACTACACGCCGTACTTTTCCAAATCCTAGACCTCAACAAGACGGCAAACCGACCCACAGGAGAAATACCTGTCGTCGGCTTCATTCTTCCGTCTGCTGTATTTGCGGCCATCTTCTGCGCGGCTCAACCTCGCATCTAGTCGTGCCAACAACACGATGCCCAGAGATCTCGCTCCATAGGTAGCCACCGCCTGCATCGCCCGCCACTCTCGGATTTCGAGCATTCGAGTCTCCGGAATTCAGGTTTCTGAGAAATGGAGGCAAAACAGAAGCTAGAGTCTCTCCTGGACGAACTGTCCAAGTTCAAGAGGCTGCCCAGACTCTCAGCAGCAGCACGCGATGTCGATAAGATTATCGACCTGCTCAGCGATGCACGCCATCAGATCGCCGGAGGTGTGTCCATTATCGTCGTTCCACGGCCGCCAGAAGGCCTGTCTGCTCACCTTTGCCGCAGCAATGGATCCACACACGGCGAGCCTGACCATGACGAAGCTCCAGAACCCCGTCAAGACGGCCTTCGACAAGGTCAACGACGACCTGAAGGCGGCATCATCGGCACACAAGAAGGTGGGAAGGGCCCTAGACAAGCACTTCCCTTTGAAAGAGCTACCCACCGACAACGACGACATGGGGAGACAATTGTCGCTCATTAACCGCGCCATCGCCATGCACCTGCTACGAGAAGGCCAGTTCAGTGTGGCCTCGACCTTCATAGGCGAGGTCCAGGCCAAAACCCCACAGGCCGGAGCTGCCACCTTTGATGAGACCATGGGCGAGGACGGCGACGAAGAAGACGATGATGACGACGATAACGACACAGACGCCGACGGGTCCCTGGACCGAGCTACGTCTCATGGCGACGAGTACGACCTCTCCTCTCTTCACTCTCAAGAGTTACAGGATCGGTTTGCCGAGATGTACCGCATCCTCCAAGAGCTCAAGGCCCACAACCTGCTCCCGGCGATACAGTGGGCGAGAGAGAACTCCGTTGAGCTCGAAGCCCGTGGCAGCAACCTCGAGTTCGAGCTCTCCAAGCTGCAGTTTGTCTGGCTCTTCAAAGGCCCCGCTGTCAACGGCTTGCCGGACGACCAAAACAACGGACTGTCGGGCGCCCTGGCCTACGCCCGAGATCACTTTGGCCGCTTCCAGGCCCGCCACCTGCGCGAGATCCAGCAGCTGGCCAGCGCCATGGTTTTCGCGCCCAACCTGGCCGCCTCGCCCTACCAGCACATCTTTTCCATCCCGACCGCCTTCACTGACGTGTCCGCCTCCTTCACCCGCGAGTTCTGCAGCCTGCTCGGCCTGTCGGCGGAGTCTCCGCTATACTTGGCAGTGACGGCCGGCGCGCTGGCCCTGCCGCGCCTCATAAAGTACATGCTGGCTACGCGGTCCAAGGGCACCGAGTGGACGACGGCGGGTGAGCTTCCTTTTGAGACGCCCTTGCCCGAGAGCATGCTCTTCCACAGCATCTTTGTCTGCCCCGTCTCCAAGGAGCAGACCACCGAGGTGAACCCGCCCATGGTGATCCCCTGCGGCCACATGCTGGCCCGCGACACGCTGCAGAAGCTGTGCAAGGGCAACCGCTTCAAGTGCCCCTACTGTCCGAGCGAGGGGCTGATGCGGGACGCTCGACGAGTCGTGCTGTAGGGCGGCGAGGCGTGGACCGCGACAGTGATGCGCATGAAGATGGGGTGGGGGTCCTTGTACGCGTATTACCCGGGCGTCGGGGATATCGAGGACATTGCCGGGCTTGCTCTTTCTTTTTTTTTGTTTGTTTCTTCTTTTTGTTTTTCCATTCTTACCCTTTGGTCTTTGAAGGAGAGGCATATGGGGCTATTGGGGTTCCTGGCGAGGGATGGAGCTGCTCTGCGTTTTGGAGTTAATCTGGTACTTGTTTGGTTACTGGCAGGCGGGGGCAGGACATGGCTCGGGTAAGTACACATTATCGGTAACGGACAACAGGAAGGGCGTCGGGGGTAGATAGATTGACATTATCCTTATCATTCAATCTTGAAATTCCCAACGGTTGAGGTGTTCAGATCTCCAGGTTGCTTCATCGCCACTGCTACTCCTGAGCTGTATAGATGGCAACACTTCAGAATGCTTCTTCTAGCTCGTGCACATTAATTAGAGCAGAGACCATACAAACTCACCAACTCTCACCCATAACCATGACCGACAGCAATACGCAAATGCAGCTAAACATGTTGCGAGTTCCTTCCGTTGCCCGCTTCCATTTCTTGAATACATCCTCCCCGAGCCCGACCCCAGTCCCTCTCCCAACTGACATTCCCCTTTCAGCTCTCCATGTCGAAGCAACCACCAATGTTTGCCGGCCACTCAGCCGACCAGCAGGCAGGCCAGAGCACGAGGAGAGCTCTTGATTCTAGTACCTACCTCCTTTGATCCAAAGCCAAATATACTCTCAAAACGGGCCCCGGAAAACTGAATAAGAACGCCATTCTCCCCGGGTTCCGCGTACCATGCCTTCCCCTTTAAAACCCCCCAACGCAAGAAAAAAAACACTGCGAAACGACTTGCTCACGGAAAACAATGCCAGGGACTGTGTGGACATTTCAATGATCGCATATAAAGATGCAGTGTGATAAAAGAACAAAACCAAGAAATTCGAGATGGGGATATCTAATGCTGACCAAATAGCTGCGGCTTCCTGCTTGCCAAACAATAAAAGAAGGAATGATGTTGAGTTCCAATTGGCTCAGCTTCAGGAACTCCAGGGTCGTGAATCTCGTTATATGGCAAAATGAGGCCATCGTGCTCTGCACCTTGCTTCGTTTTTTTTTTCTGTTTTCTAACATTCCCACTACCCCTCACCGCCGCTTGTCCTAAATCAATACCATGTTAATCGATCGTCATCCGAGTGGGAAGCGACGGTTTCTGGTCGTTCAACTGATACGAGTTGGCGTCTTCCTTCTCCGGGTCCGGGGCCGCCGGCCGGACGAGATGGGTCTTCAGGCCAGCGCCAAAGTTGCTCATGCAGATGAAGGCGTTGGTGATGGTCAGGATGATGAGGATGATAGTCAGCACGGCGAAGGCCGTGAGCGAGCGCTGGACGGCCTTGTAGTCGTCCTTGTGACCGGGTTGGTAGATGCGGACCAACTTGAAGAAGAAGTAGGCCAGGCCGCCAAAGTAGAGGAGAATGACGAAGCACACGCCCACGCGATTCTCGCGCTGGGTGAAGAAGGCGGCGCAGAGAAGAATGGCGATGGTGATGGGGATGGCGGCTACGTGTAGGCCGAGCTCGAAGTCCTTGAGGCCGTTGACGATGACCAGGAACTGGATGGTGAAACCGAGGAAGAAGAAGAAGTCGAACTTGAGCAGGGCAATGTAGATCTGCATGGGTGTTAGCACCGCCGCACGCTACCCTTGGCCCCATCCGTCATAAGAAAGTGTACCTGATAGTGCAGGAAGCGCTTCTTCATGCGGTAGTCCGCACCGATCTGCTTCAGAATATCCCACGCGAACTCGCGGTAAAGCTGATATGCGAGGGCGCCCATGGCGATGGTCACGACACCCACGATGGCGGGAACGGCAACGAGGAACGGCTTGCAGAGTGCCCACACGTCCCTGTCCTGCTTATCCGGCTTGATCAGCCCAGCGTCCAGCAGCTTGCCGATGGACTTTTCGATCTGATCGATCTGGAGGATGGCGTAGACAAAAATGGCCAGGTTGGCGATGCAGAGGCCAATGACCTGAATGGTATTCTTGAGCCGCAGGGCGTCCCATGATAGGATCAGGATGTAGAGGAAGCCAAAGATGAAGAGCGCCAGAAAGGTCGGGATCGTGCGATACTGTGATTTTTGTTCGGCAGTGGCGTCTTGGTCATACTGGTATTTAAGGCTATACTGGAATCTCGCGAACACGTACCTGGGGGTTCCCAAGTCAGCATCCCGGTTTGGAGTGTTAGTATCGAGATTGCCCATGACTTACGCCTCGAAAGCCATACAGACTAGCGCCTGCAGGCCGACAACAAGAAAGAAGAGCTTGGCCCATTTTGACGCAAGAAACTCTGACGAGAAAAGTGGCTGTTTCTTGGTATGGCCGGAGCTAACAGGGGTGGCCGAGCCCATCATGGTGCTGTCCCGATAGTGCGGGCTGGTGTAGGTTCCGTCAAAGCTTGAGATGGGCTGCGAGCCGGCCACGTACGACCGGCGCAGTTCCCGTTGCGGAGCCAGGACGGGCAATTCTCAAGGCGAACGAATCGCCCAAGGCGGGGTCGGGAGAGTTGTCTGTTTCTGTGGTTTGAAGTTGAACGACGGTTGGCGGCGGCGATGGGCGCGATCGGCTTTTGAAAGGGGTCTAGGGGGGAGGGTCGAGAAGTTCACGGCTCGTTAGCCCTTCACAAGAGAGGATTGATGAGACTCGAAAGCGAAAGGTGGTCGCGCGCGTTCCTCTGCGGACGTCGGCTGAGGTGTGTCGCAGCGATCAGCGACGAGCACTGCTGGGTCCAGGGGTGGTTCTGCTTTGACTTTTGTCGGCGGAGGGCAGGCTGAAACGCATTGGGGAGCTGATGTGTTGCGGGCGTGACGAGGACTTGGCTCGCCGTTGACGTTTCCCGGGACTCGATTTTCGGAGGACACTGGCTCAGATTCAAAAGGGGCCTTGTGCAACTATCAGGCGAGGCCTGGTCACGGTGTGAACGACTGGAGTTTGACGGTGTGTGAAAGAAATAGCAAAACAGAAAGCGAGGAATTAAAACAAACTTAATGCGCAAATTCTAGGTGGTAACTTAAAGAGATCACAAGATGAAAAAGAGGGAGCCCTGAGCAGGGTCTCGAGGTGGGATCCATTGATACGGGGCAGGACTGAGGCTTGCCAAGGCGAGAACCCACTACAGGACTCTTGCAAGCACCAAAAAGGGGTTAACGTTAGCTCCACATTGGATCAGCCTCATGCCAGCCCTGGTCTGAGGCTGTGCTGTCCCCAGATCTCTGTGTGTCAGCCTTGGTGCGTTCTGGCCTTGCCTGACTGACGCCATATCAGGTCCCCTTCCATCCTCCTGTGCTCTGGCTTCTATACAGCTCTGTGCTCCATACCCCCTAAGTATCATGATACCCACAGAGCTACCCTATTCTTTCGGGATCATAAGGTACCCTAGATGACCTGACGTCGCTGGCCCCTGGGTTCCACCCTGTGTTTCGGGTCACTCACGGCCACTGAAGAAGAATCCGCCCAACAGCAACAATCAGGAACAGCTTTCCAGGTCGCCTTCGACAAATTTAAATCGATAACTACGGCCCCGTAATTCACCACACTGAACATCCGAGCTGCGATCTTAAAGTTGGTGATACATGTGCAGTGCAGCGACGTTACCAGACAAGTCTGGTCTGCGGAATCTGCCTTCCAACCCAACCCCACATGAGCATGGTCGCGATTCGCCTTGCGGACCGTGGGGCACGTCATGACCCTTCTTGACCACTCGAACGCCGACCCCACAGGAATGCGAAAATGTGAACCTCGTTTTCGCACGACGAGTTCTTGATGACGGTTGTTGAACTTGCATCGGATCCATGGATCCATCCTCGAGGCTGGCGAATGCCGATGCCCCGCCCGGAATTCGCTCGCGCCATAACTGGATTTCCACTGGCTGCCGGAGATCGCAGGCACTCCGAGGTACAATACCAGCATGGAATGCAGTCAACAGATCAGCGGGTTGCGATTGTTCGACTTTGTGGCGAGAGCATGGAGTCAGGACGGTACAGTGGTCATTGTAAATTGAGTCTTTCAACAACTTGAACCTCCAAGCCCGCCGCCGGCCGCCAGCCCTCAGAAGCTCTTCACCTTCCCGCTCATGGCTTGCCGCGGTAATAAGGATGCCAAAACGCCAATCACCACGTGCAAGGAACCTCGTCCCACCTAGACATGACCCGGCCGCCCTCGTTCCACTCGGTTGACTTCCTAATGCAACGCTTGGGCTGGTTATCGAAGAAGAAATGTCCCCTCTGCGCCCCCGGGTCGACGCATAGCGTGTTCATGCTTGGGACTCCGGGAGGATCGCGACAGCCTCCGCTGGGGTCGATCCAGTAACCGCCGTAGGCTGTATACCATGTCCCATTAATGAAGCAAGGGGGGATTGTCCCGGGGCATGAAGTCTCAACTATCATGTAGTCCGCCGCCGCGAGGGTGACGAGGGGGGCTAGGACGGCGAGGGGTTGGGGAGTGCATCTCGGAGCTGTTGGAACAGAGCAGTTAGCTTCATGGGCCCGGGCTCGGTGATGAGTTGCTTGGTGGGGATACAGACTGCTTAGGTAGACGTCGGCTTGTCAATTCAAGCGAGAACCTTGGGATCTTGTCCGCCGTTTGCTTGTGGAGTTGCGAGGCAAATTGCTGAAGAACGGACTCTGCCCCTGCTCGACTTTGGTTGTTGGCGCGCGTCATCCATGTCACGGACAGGGCATGAAGTTCGTCAAATCCGTGGAACTTCAGACACTCTCATTGGCAAGCTGTACGAAAGTACTACCTAGGCGCAGGGAGGTTGATGCAGTTGGTGATCGTAGAGGTTGGTTGATGCAGATGTTGGCTGAGGCAGATGTTGGTTGATACAGATGTTGGTTGATGCCAAGATGTTGGGTTGGTTACCAAACCAAGGCCACGAGAGCCAGAGATCCAGAGACCCAAAGAGCTAGAGAGCAAGCGAGAGAACAAGGAGTTGAAGATGTGTGTTGGTGGTTTAACGTGTTGTAAGAAATGAGTCTGAGTATTCACTATGCCTCAGAACCAAACTGTCAACAAAGCAGCTCCATTCAAGATTCAGATTGGAGTAGCTATCCACATATCTATGGTGAGATGAGGTCTATATCAGGCCGCCCATAACAAAAGAAAAGCCCACAAATGTCCCAACGCCTGACCGATCTCGCCCGCTGTGACGCTGGGCCGTCTATATCCCTACAGAATCCCCGTGTGGCCTACTCAAACACGACACACAAAAGAGAAAATATGAACCGTACCGGCCAACCCATTTTTCCACTGACTCACTTGTCGCTGGACCTGGGTTGCGCCGCCTCGCGCTGCTCCTGCTTCTGCTCTAACCTGGCCGCATCCAGCATATCCTTCTCAGCATCCAGCGCCTCGCCGACCTGCGCCTTCTCAATGGTACCGTCCGCCTCGGCATGAGCCTGCCTCTCCTCCTTGTCATCGATATCCTCGTTGTCCCGCGGCGTGGCAAATCCGGTGGCCTGGTTCTGCTGGTCCTGCTCAAGCTCCTCGTCAATGAGCTCTTGCTGCTCCTTGAGCACCTCGAGGCGCTGCTTGTTGGTGGCGGCGCCCTCGGCGTTGTGCACCTCGAGCTCGATCTCGTGGAACAGCTCTTCCGGGATTGACGACAGCACGCCCGTCAGCGCCTCGATCTGGCCCGAGAACCCCTCGTCGGACTGCGTCTGGCCGTACATGTAGGCGTTGCTGAGGACCAGCAGCGTGGAGGGCACGCCGTCGCGCAGCCGCAGGTCAAGCCAGGTCTGCAGGTCCTCGCGCAGCCGGGCCGGCGAGACCCCGTGGCTTTTGATGCCGCGGCTGGCGCAAGCCATCTGGAGCTCCGAGACCGACAGGACGTCGACGCCCTCGTAGCTGATGGCGCGGTCGTCGCGCTTGATCTGCCGCATGCGGTGGCGGATCTGGTACCGCAGCATCATGTCGGTGCCGAACGTGTTCAGGTTGAGATAGCGGCACATGGACACGAGCTGGGGACGGGACAGGTTGTCGAGCGTGAGGTCGTCCTTGAAGATCTTGCACACCTTAATGACATCCTCGGCCGTCGGCTTCTCCCCCGTGGAGCGTAGCTTACGGAAGAAGTTTGTGAACTCCTCCGTTCGCGTCGTCGCCTGCGTCAGGGGAAGACCTGTCTCCCTCAAGGTCTGGCGGAGGAAGTCGCTAACTTCCCTCCGGGTAGCCCGCAGCGTCGACGCCTTCTGGTCCTTGGACTTTTGGCCCTCGTACGTGCTGGGCAGCATGTTGGGGAAGAGCTTAAGGGCGACCGGCAGCAGGAGTTCAGCGAACGGAACAATGACGAAGACGGAGAAGGGGACCAGCCGGCCGAGATCCTGGACGGTGCGCTGCAGCTGCCGGTTCTCTCTCCGCGTGAGCTCGTAGCCGGCGGCCATCTTAAGCGCGAGGCGCGAGCTGATCTTGACTTCGGCCGCCAGCAGCTTGGTGCCGTCCCAGTAATGTTGTACCTCCTTTCTGATCTTTTGCCCAAGCGTCAGCTTCTTCTCCTCTTTCTTGGCCTCGGCGCCTTCTACGGCGCCTTCCTTCTGGTCGGCGAGCTGAGTGAGCGACGCATCTGTATCGGCAGACGCTTTATTGCCCTCCTTAGCGGCCTCCTGCACTTCGGTATCCGTCTTTGGCTTCTCGGCCTTCGCTGCGGGCTTCGCGCTGCTGGCAGGTTCCCTTGGAAGTGGTTTCTTAGCCTCCTCTGGGTTAAACCCTGGCGGCGGGCCGCCGGGAGGGCCGTGGGTAGTTGTTCCCGAGGTTGTGAGGGTCCGAATTGGGATGAGCAGGGCAGAGGCCGGACCCAGGGTCTGCGCATTGCGCGCAAAATGGATCGATGTGGCGAGGAGAGCTGATTTGGGAAGAGCGCGGCCTGGGCAGCAGATCAGCGGTGCACTCAAAGCTGCGGGAGCAGAGGACTCACCAGTGCCCATGAACGGGTTGACCACCAGCGCCCGACGCGCAACTCTTGTGGAGGCGCTCATGGCGACTGTCTGTGAGGCGAAGGGAGGGAGCGTAGCGGGGATAGTTGGATAGAGACGCTGACTCTTGTCCTAGCTAGCGGTTCGTTGAGGTGGATAAAGAAGTTGACAGTCGTCACCGATGCGTTGATGGGAGATGCGGTTATGCTGGCAAACGTCAATGAAGTCAATAACGAGCGTTGACCGCAACCGGGAAGCAGAGACTATTGGGAAACAGGGTAGTTGACGTTGTGTAGCCACTCAGGCATGAGTTGTCCAAATAGCAGAAAGAGTGGGAGAGGGAAGCGTACACTCAAGACTCAACTGAGAAAGCGAAAGTACAATCAAGGTCGGGTGTATGGTGACGGTGCTGCAAAAGGGGCGTACTCCATCTGTTTGGCATCAAACCCATCCTTGGCCAACGTTTCGCTGCGTTTCCAATCCGCCGGTCCATTCCGCCCCGCGGTCGCCCCAGGCGAGTCAGGAACGGAGCCAGATATCACGTGACTTGGCCGGATCAAATGACCAGACCATCCCGATGTCAAAACGTGCAGAACGGGTGCCTTGCTGTTTGGCTGAAGTCCGGCTTTGATGTTCCACGACTTTCCCGGTTTGCACGCAACCGATGAGGACTCGCCACGTCTCTCGACAGGCCATTTCTTTCGAGCCTGAATCCTCAGTTTGAGGGTTTCATCCTGGGCTGTTTCGTTGACCTACACAGTTGAATGCTGCAACTCCATTCCCAGTACGAATACCCGTTTTGATTGATGGATCTTCAGAAACAGCCTTGCTGGAGACTGAAGTCGACCTTGAGTTTCCAGACTGTACAATAAGGCTAACCCTGAGAACTCTTCACCCATTCATGTGTTGCAGCGGTGTCGGTGTTCCTGAGATCTCTCAACAGAAAAACACCGTTCCAATTTTGGTGAGGAGGCTGGCCCTGTCTAGCAAACCTCCGTATCCGTTAGTCCCGGGCCATGCAAGGCAATTTCTCCACGGCAACAGCGCGGCCCTTCTTATGTGCATGTTAACAGGACGAGCTGCGCAAAACTGCTTTTATATAGCCTCCCACTTGAAACTTACAACTACATGTACCACATAGCCTCTGCTTTGATCTCGGCTCTCTGACACTGCCAAGCATGCAGTTTCAGTAACCTGCGATTCTCTGTGCGTCCAGGTTAAGAACTTCTCGCCGATCAACCGTTGCCCCGCACTCCGATTTGTGTCCGGGGCCGAGCTTGCTTGTGCTACCCCGGATTCAGAATTGTGTGTTACCTATCCGTCAGTACCTTGGCTCGCCAGATCTTGCCTGCGCCGTCCCTCTGCTATCCGCTTCCCGCTCCCATCCGCCTGCACCACAGAGAACGGACCGCAGAACAATGCGCCTTCGAAAGGCTGCCCGAGTCATCCTGGTAGGGGCGCCGGGCGTAGGCAAGGGAACGCAGTCGGAGCGGCTACTCAAGAGGTTTCCGCAGTTGTCGTCCATCAGCTCCGGAGACCTCCTGCGGCACAATGTCAAGCAGCGGACACCGCTCGGTGCGTGCAATTCACCCGTCAATACCGCCTACGGCTGTGAAAGACTTACTTAGTAAACCACTGCAGGAATCAAGGTGGAAAGCACCATGAAGGCCGGCGGCCTCGTCCCCGATGACCTCATACTGCGGCTCATCAGCAACGAGTTGAGCCAGCGCGGCTGGATCTACTCGGGCCACCACCCCTCCGACAACGTCATGACCCTATCCTCCTCCGCCATCAACACCTCCTCCTCCGACGCCCACCCCAACCCCTACCAAGACGACGCCGAAGTCGCCGCCTTCCTCTCCTCACCGGCGCACGCGCGCAGCAGGAGCTACGGCCACAACCCGCCGTGCCCCAGGGTCAACGAAGACCCATCCGCCTCGTTTCTCCTCGACGGCTTCCCGCGCACCGCGGCGCAGGCCACCCGTCTCGACGAGATCGTGCCCATCAACCTGGCCGTGTCCATCAAGACGCCGCTCGAGGTCATCATGGAGCGCATCGGCGGGCGGTGGGTGCACGAGCCATCGGGCAGGGTGTACAACACGACGTTCAACGCGCCGCGCGTGGCCGGCCGCGACGACGTGACGGGCGAGCCGCTCGTGCGGAGGGCCGACGATAGCGAGGAGGTGTACCGTGAGAGGTGGCGCAAGTTCCAGGAGACGAGCGAACCGCTGCTGGAGCACTATGCGCGCAAGGGCGTGCTGTGGGAGGTGGAGGGGTTGAGTAGTGACGAGATCACGCCGGTGCTGCTGAGCGAGTTTGAGAGGCGGTTTGGGGAATAGCATTATTTGGGCTTGTTGGAAGGGTCTTGTGTTGGAGTGAGTCTCTGTTGTTTGTACTAACCTCCAGGGTTGATAGAGCAGGCAGCATGCTGCTGCGGATGGGACGGCGCTGGGCGTTTGTGGGATAGAGGCCAGTGGGCAACTTGTCTTGGGCTTTCTGGGTATGATGTTTAGGGCCAATTTGGTTCTTTGTAACAAATTGAATATCTAATGCAATCCTTACTACTTCTACGGTTTATATGTCGCGAGAGTCGTGCCTCATCTACGTACGATGGCAATAGGGCTGAGGTTACAAGAGCTCTTGCTGCGATGTCGGCATGGCCATGGAAGTTCGGGGCTGGCTGGACACGCTATCTGGCCATCGTCCGAACTATAAACACAGCAGAACCTCAGCAGGGAACTTGAACGTTGGTTCAGTTTACATGGGCTAGACTGTTCAAGTAAGTCAAGGTATGCGACATCGACACCAACCTCCCTTGATCCTGTGCTTGGATCTTGAGTTTGGCGGTTCCGAGTCGAAACTGAGTCCCGGTATACGGGAGCCATACGTTAAGGCTCAGATAATAGGCGTCAGCCCGCTGCCCGCACCCTCGTTCATGCATGGCCGGGAATGAAGCCACAGCATGTGCCTGCTTCCCCACCTCTTTCTGAATCTGATGCATGGAGGGGCTTCTTGGTGGGGTAGGCTGATCAACAAAGCGGTAACACCTGCCGCAACCATGCTAAGATCCTTCCTAGGTTCCTTGGCACAATCCAACACTCCCCTCCCCCTCATGATCTTGAGCTGTCAAAATACTGTGAACACTCTTTCGTTGTTGGCGTGACCCCGTGACTCCCTTTTGTCATTGTGCTTCCCCAGTCTAAATTGGTCACTCGTTTTGCTTTGATATCCTAAGGGCCGGCTCCTGGTCACTAACTGGTTCATTGCAGAGGACAGACACCATCGCATGACACACCGTTGCACCTAGGTTGTATATCCCGCGAAAGTCGGCCCACGATGATAGCAACATGAGATGGCCGGCATTTGACTTTCCCGCAACTGTTTTAGTAGCCAGCCCATGGTATTGTTTGCGTCGGACACCCCTTGATTTGGTTTGGCCGCAACATCTTTTCAGTTTCTCGCGTTGGACGCCGTTGTCACGATCCGAACCTGCGTAGACCTTCAACCCTATAGATTTCGACAGACCTTGCTTTTACATATGGTACATGGTTTCAGAATTACTGTTATCCCGACCTCATCCTCAAGGTGAGCTGCCCAAACCACCTACCGTTCTCTCCGGCCATGCTAACACAAGCCAGACACCCCTCAAGCCATCAGATATACCTACACCGATACTCTCTCGCTTGCTACCCAAGTCAACATGCTCGTCTCCTGGGCCGTGGTCGTCGCTGCGGCCACGGCAGCTGGCGCTGCCTCGCCTTGGCCGCCTCCCCCTTTGAAGCTCAAGAATGCGAATAGCGCCGGTGCGGGACGCTCTCTTCCAGACTTCAACGTGTTCCAGGATATGTTCATGGCCCTGAGCGATATGCAGGATGCCTATTTCGAGCGCTGGGTTGGCACGTGGCCGAAGGGCATCGACTGGACCCGCGCCGTCATGAGCACCCATGTTGCCGCCACGCTCCGCACCATCTCCCACGAGCTAGAACGCCGCCAGCCTAACGAAGGAGCCGGGTGTGCTACCCGGAAACACGAGGTTATTGCGGGCTACTTTGCCGATGTCATCGCCTACTACTTTGCCGAGGACGCCTTCGCCATCCGCAACCAAGCCTATGACGACATGCTCTGGGTCGTCCTGGGCTGGCTCGAATCCATCCAGTTTGTTGATGAGCACAACAGGGTTCTCTCCAGGATGGCCGCCAGAGGGCTGGGAGACAGACCCCGGGCCGAGACGTGGTATGGGAGTCGCTGGATACCCGCTTTTGCTCATCGCGCGAGGATATTTTGGGAGCTGGCCGCCAAAGGGTGGGACACGACACTCTGCGGAGGCGGCATGCTCTGGAACCCGCGGCTCATGCCGTACAAGAACGCCATCACAAACGAACTGTTCATGGCGGCGTCCATCAGCATGTACCTCCATTTTCCAGGGGACCCCAATACATCCCCTTTCAGCAGCGATTTTGCCGCGAATCAAAGCCACTGGAACGCTGACTGGCGTCCCCACGACCCCGTTTTTGGCAAGGCTGCACAGGAAGCCCACCGCTGGCTCACCACATCCAACATGACCAACGCACAGGGCCTGTACGCCGACGGTTTCCACATCTCGGGTCACGGCTCGGGGAGCAACAACACCCGGTGCGACGAACGCGACGAGATGGTGTACACCTACAACCAGGGCGTCATCCTGTCCGGGCTGCTCGGCCTCTCCCAAGCCACCGGCCGAGAGCACTACCTGCGCGAAGGCCACGCCCTCATCAAAAACGTCATCCGAGCGACGGGTTACGATCTCGCCCGCAACGTCCCCGTCGACGACCTGCGCCCTGGGAATGAAAGGCTCCCGCCCTGGCGCGGCCTGGGACGGGCCGGCATTCTCGAGGATGCGTGTGATGTGTCTGGCACCTGCTCCCAGGACGCCCAGACCTTCAAGGGCATCTGGATGCACCACTTTGCCACCTTCTGCTCGCCCACCGCCCTGCAGCAGATCCACCCCCATACGAAACTCGATGACACGGCCAAGGCAGCCATCCGGGCGCGCCATGCGAGTGCTTGCAGGCGGTATATACCCTGGCTGAGGCGCAATGCTCGGGCCGCGATGGGCACGAGGGATGCGAGGGGGTTGTTTGGGATGTGGTGGACTGCCGGGCTGCTGCAGTTTGCTAATAGCGAGGAGTTGGAGTTTGGGGAGAATGCGCTGCCGCCGTCTTCGGAAGGTGACGATGTGGTTGATTATCGGAACTTAGGCGTGCCCCAGACTGCCGTGTGGGTGAGGATGGTGGATCTACCACCGTCGCTTGTCTCACCGCCTGGGGACGAGACGGGATCGCGGCAAAAACCTATGGGTGATGGTCGGCTGGTGTCGGCGAAGGGGAACAGGAATCGGTCGGCGACGGATCATGATCATTATCATGATCGTGTCGGAAAGAGAGGGTTGGGATTAGAGGAGGATGAGGCGGGTGGTATAAGTACTTGGGATCCCAATCTTCGCGGGCGAGGGAGGACGGTGGAGACGCAGGGCGGTGGGTTGGCTGTCCTCAGGGCGCTGTGGGTGGTTTCTAGACATGAGTTATGACGGCGTTGAGGATGTTTCATGGGAGAGTATACGCATGGCATTAGAGAGACGGGGGCGGCACCTGGATTGGTATGGCTATGAGGTTTATATTTGTTTCGGTATCAGCATCGGTATACCCCATTGTTAGGTTTGGAAAACTAACTGTAACCCTGAGTTCAACTTTCGACACAAGACACATGTGGAAAACCGAGCAAAACTTGAGAACAAGAACTTGGTTTGATGTGGTGGCCGAGCAAACTGTAAGATCGTAAAGGAGTAACAAACACGCTCTGTCATTGTCTCATCGTCAGTTGAGCAGCCACAGGGTATCCTAGATTTGCCAGGGTTGGGTTTAGAGCCTTAAGCTTGCTGGGGTTCCACATTGTATCCAAGTCCCAAACAGCTTGAACCCCCCCCCGCGCACTCAGCAGACCCATATAATCAATCCACCACGACAACCTCTCACTTTCTCAATCGCAGACATCAATCTCGCCGTCAGCGCCACTTATTCCTAATTTGACCGCGATATCGCCCTCTCCCGACCGACACCGATCGCAACTTTACCGCGTCCGCAAAAGAGAGAGAGAAACAGAAAAGATGGCCTCGGACGAGATGGAACTCGACGACCCGGTGCAGCAAGGAGGGCCCACCGACGCTTCTTTCTCCTCCAACAACGACAACAACATCAGCTCGGCCAAGCTGGCCGCCATGCAGACGCACACCAAGGCGACGGCCGTGCGCTCTATCGAAGGGTGGATTGTCATGGTGACCAACGTGCACGAGGAGGCCGACGAGGAGGCCATCCACGACAAGTTTGGCGAGTTTGGCGAGATCCGCAACGTGCATCTGAATCTGGATCGGAGAACGGGGTATGTCAAGGTAGGTGCCTCCCGTCCACGGAGTCTCAAATACGTCCCTCTTATCCAAGACTTGAATGGGGGCTTTTTGGCTGACTTGTGGCCCGGGCGGGCGGGGCTTGGGTTTTGATAGGGCTACGCGCTGATCGAGTACACGACCCTCGAAGAGGCGCGCGCAGCCATCGACGGCGCGCATAACACGCAGCTGCTTGACCAGACGGTGCAAGTGGACTTTGCCTTTGTGCGGCCGCCTCCGGGTAAGGCGGCGGGCGCGAGAGGCGGTGCTGCTGCTGCTGTTGGTGGCGCGGGGGCAGGTCCGGCGCGGGGTTCGAACCGCGGCGCACGGAGCGGGAGAAGCCGGAGCCGGAGTCCCGGGGCTGGGAAGGAGGATGTTCTGTGATGCACGGCTTTTCTGATAACTTGAAGGAAATAGATATGACGTGCGCTGCGACGACGATTACGACCACTCCACGCGGGAGTCTGTCGCGAGAAACAGAGGCCGAGCCGCTCACACGAGATGTATTACAGAAACCCAGCCGATGTGTCGGAGACAGGGAGACCAGACACGTCGGCATCTTGCCATAACAAACTCGACGGTGAGCGCAACCAGTTCATCCATGCCTGGCCGCAGAGCCACCAACTAACGCCGCCATTCTAGGAGATTGAAAATCATCTGCCATCTGTCTAGACTGGAGTGACTGAATTTGGGCGAACATAAAGAAAAAATCGATATGAAGCCGTCTGAAAAAGCGGCAATCAAGCCACTCAAAGAGAGACCCAATACTTGCCTGATGGCAGCAAAGTGGGTTTGCTTGGTGACTTCCCCAGACCCGCGCCTGAAGTCCTCTCAACATCTCGAACTCACCCTACGGATTAAGACGCCCTCCCATGCAACGACGGCGTGCTGCAGGCCCGCCGGGGTCTCTTAACTCAAGGAAACATGACACGATCCGTTGGGTTCGGTCCGCAGGTAGATATGATGAGCTGTCAAAAGTATCCCAATGTTCTTGTTAATTGGGGATGCACATCAACACCCTGCAATAGAGATAGGCATATCATACCTCGTTGCACTCTTTTCGTCATCAACCGCAACCGCCCAATGCAATAACCAGCCCCGGCCATCACAGATTAGCCCAATATATCCAATTTTCCGTATGGAGCCCTACCATCCACTTAAATGCCCCTTTGAAAATGCCTCGCATATCATATTCAAACCAGCCTTGTAACTCCGGGGCCGGTGCCTCAATAAGCCATTTCAGCCCCTTGTGCAAAACGCCTCTGACCGGCGCTCTTCTTCTTCTCCCGCTTCGCCCAGCGCAAACCACAGGCATTGCACAGCGTCTTGGGCCCGCTGGGCCCCTTCCTCCATTCCGGCGATTCGAGCGTGCCTGCAAAAAAGAAAAAAACATACGGTCAGCACTTATCGGTCTCTAATCGGACATTGAAAGTAATACGTTACATACCGCAGTCGGTGCACACGTATTCCTCGGCCACCTTGAGCTTCTTCTTCTTCTCGCCTGTGCGCGGGTCCCTGTCCACCGGGATGGCGATGCCCGCGTCGCCCGTGATGAGCGCCGGGCTGGGGTTGCCCGTCGTGATACCCAGGCTGCGTTCGCCTTCCTGGTACCGCAAGCCGGTTAGCATCTCGATCGTGTCGCCTACGTGGTTCGTGCTACCGGTTGAGGGACGGCGGGTGCTTGCCGCGCTGTCGGTTGGTACGCTGTCGAGGGATACGCGCCGCTCGCGCGGTGGGATGGAGGAGGCGTCTGCTGAGGTTTGGGTAAGGGGTGTTTCCTGGCTTTGTTGTCGCCATGTTCGTTCGAATTCTTCGGCCTCGACTTGTTCCTCTCGCTGGAGCTCGGCAATCTTCCGTTTGAGGCGCTCGTTCTCCATTTTGTGCTCGAGAAAGGAATCCAGCAGCGCCGCGTTTTTGGTGGGGTACGGCCTGGCCATCATGAAGACCGCCTGGCAGAAGGGGGTCTGGTTGCTGGGGTTGGGCGCAAACTTGGCGGCGGCGATGTGGGCATGGCCGACGGCTTCGAAGACGAAATATTGCCCGTCCTTCTGTTTCAGCCTGTAGAAGACGCGCAGCGGCGTGCCCGAGGCGATCGACTCATTCAGCTCCGCGGTGAAGACGCCTACGTCGTCCGGGTGCAGGAGGTCCTGCACCAACAGATCGCGCAGCTCGGACGGCTTGTAGCCGGTCAAGCGCTCAGCGCTCGGCGAAACGTGCTTTATCCGCCCGTTGGAGTCCAGAATGTGAAGCAGATCCTGGAGCTCCTCGACGATTCGTGCAGGCCAATTACGCCGCTTGGTGAATTCGGTTAGGGCGCTGGGGTTGTTCGAGCTTCCGGGACCCAGAGTCTCCCGGGGTTGGTTCCCCGCCGGCCCGGACGCGGTGCTCGTCGCATCATCCGGCGGGGAGAAGGGGGTTTGCTCGGCATTGTTCACCGAGGGTGCCGACGAGGCCTGCTGAAACGGTCCCGAGGCGAATGGCTGCGCCAAGGGCCCGTTTGGGTCGAAGCTCATGGTCATTGTGCCATCGAAGGGCAGGAAGAAGGAGTTGTCCAGCAGCGACAGTGTGTCGGCCGGATCAGGGTTCATCTAGAGGTGCAGGCATTCAGGGTGTTAGTGGGTTGGGGTGCCCCGATTGAGACTTGAGAGGCGGACCTGCAGCATCGAGACGTCTGGGCCCATGCTCGCCGGCATCCCGAAGCCCAGGAAGCCGGCCTGAGTGTGTCCGTGGGACATGGCAGCCAAGCGGTCACGCCAATTGGGGCTTCACCTGCGACGCCGTTTGTTGTTGGTCTAGACTCTGGAGAGAGCAAGGGTAGTATTGCAATGAGGACTCGGATCATGAGCGAGGGCGTCTCCGAGTGATTCTCATTACTGACGACGAAGGGGGAAAGGTGGCAAATTCTTGGAACCCCTCCCAGGCGTGGATGTTTGTTGCAGGAATGGAAACTTTCAAAAGCCCGCTCTCGGGAGACGCAGCAATGCAATGCAATTCGACTCTCACAAGTGCTGGGCCGGGTCTCCCCATCAAAATGAGCCAAGAGCGACGATCACCAGCAGATAGCGGTGGGGGCGGGGTTGCAGGAAGGCGAAAGAGGGGATGGGATTTCTGGGTTTTCAGCATGGGAATCTTGCACTTGCTGTTCCCACTTTCGCCTCTGACTGCCTTGCATACTTTCGCTGGCCACTCACCTTGCCACAGCCGTTGAGGGGCGACACTGCGCTACTGGTCGTATCCGCCGGAGAGGTTGCTCCTGGCGAAAGGGTCTTGATTAGATCCCCTGGGAGTTACGGTCCACATGTCCACCCACCCTTGGGTTCTGCCCACCCACCCTTGGGTTCTGCCCACCC